AAATATCCACGCGTGAAAAATGAGTTTTGCTCCCAAACTTTCACTTCAAAGTCCCTTTAAAGGAGCGCAGAAGTCTAGCTTTTGGAAAACACTAAAGAAAGCTTGCTAAAATCGGGATCGAACCTACAGTCTCAATTTGCCGTCCTTTTCCACAAATCGGGTTGAATCGAACACGCCACGAATATGGTGCCTCTTTGAAAATGCATAGCCAAAAATCCTTAGCCATGCCTTGCAAATCCCTTTAATAGCAACCATTATAAGGAAAAAAATCGCAAATTAAGGATGTCACGTTACCGATTTTTAGAAATTTCTAAGCTAACATCATCCCCTTAAGTTTCAATAAATCACCATAGCAGCCGGAGAAACCAAGAGTACTTTCAATACCATGAAATCGACTATTTATCATGAAATCATACCACCTGCCCCCTTACCGTATCCAAAGCAATCCGTGCTAAATCCAAATCACAAATTCCCATGTGCAGGTGGCAATTAGGAACAGCATTTGCGACCCTTTTTCTGCTTGTAGCCGATTTGGAAAGTTTGAAAATGATGCTGGAGCGGGTTATAGTTGTGGGAAACTATGAGAAAATCTTGTCGGAATTTCAAAGATATTTTGGAAGCTGAAAATCTTGAATGTGAAAGCGGTGTGGGGTGAGGGATGGGGTCTCCATGGTTACCCCGAAAATTTGCGGAGGTTAGCTGAAGGAAAAAGGACGGGGGCAAAGCGCGAAATGGCAAATTTGGAATAACATTTTCTCCCAGAGGTACACGGTTCTTGTTATTGTTACAGTTTTACGGGGCACATTTTACATTTCACAAATTTAACTTTTTAAAAATAAAAGGAATTTAATGCGACCTCTGAGCTATAGAAAGTACGCGAATTAGAGTTTCTAGCTATACATAATCTTTATCGTAGAGATTTTATCATAATATTTATGATGGAGAATCAAGGTTTAACGGGCGGACGAAAGTCAATTTTCAAAACGCCATTCGATAAAGAAAAAATATTAACTAATAATTATTGTAGAACTCGTAAAAAAAATCATATTTAGTAGTTTTATTCGCCTCGCGCAACCCGGCCTACGTGTACCGATTTTCAAATCCCCACGAAAATCCTGAACGCTAGATCGCCGTTTTTGCGATCAAATGACGAGTGGTCTGGTTTTGTCGACTGATTCCAGAAAAGTGAGCAGTGAGGGGCATGGTGGACGCTAAGTTCTGGAGTGGCATACAGTGGCTGTAGCTGCCATCCCGGCCACACTATCACCACCCCCGGATTGCCCGGAAAACGCCATGGGTGACGACGGCACGCAATTAGCCATGTGTGGCGGAGGGGGGGAAATCTGGCAGGCATTTTTAGGGAGGGGTGAAGAGGGAGCAGTCGGTGATGATGGCAAGGGCATAATTTGTGCGGGGAATTGGATGGCAGGAGACTAAAACTTGCAAAGTAAATTTCTTTGAAAATTCTTTCAAAGCCTACTACTATCGTAAGAAAATTTTTCGCGCATGAAAAGATGCGGTTTTTCAAGCACTACAAAGCCTTTTTCTTGATTTGGCTAGAAAATCAAATAAAAACGAGATAATCCCCAAAAAGAGGCGGCTTTTTTGAGACATATGCCTTTTTACAGCCCAGTTTTACGTTACACCGAAAACCACCCGTTTTCGGATCAATGACGTCGCCTACAAAAATGATGTGCGCTGGAAACACCGATGAATAACGCGAGCGCGCTTTACAGTGCAAAAGCCCTGGGATCCACGAAAAGATAAGCCATGAATGGCGCCACGGCTAACGGGCAATGACTCATCCGAAAAGACGCGAAAACGTGGACCAAATAGTGACCAACTGCACGCAAGGCATCTTTTCGAAATCAAGACGCGAATAATAGCGCGCGGAATGACAAATGATAATAGATGTTTAACAGTCTTAAACTTCATCAAAATAAGTTTCTTAGTTTTTTAACGTTTAAAGTGCATTGTCTGCAAAGGAGGTATCGAATCGAGAAAAATGTAACCTTCGCAAGGCATTAACGGTATACCGAGCAGCAACTAGCACACAGATTTTTCAAAAATCACCGACAAAAATGACCACGCTATAACCGTCGATTTGTTAATTTTCTAAACGCACCGTCGTGCCAGACAATTATACAAAAAAAATTATGGATTTTGATCAACTTCTCATCGCTTAAACCAACAAAATCCCAACGTGAAACCAAAATCCCGGGGGTCAAGGCCAGCCGGGCGAGGTGCGAAATGCCGGCGCGAAAATGAGCCAGGCGATAAGGGCGCTGCCCCGAAACTGAAATACGAATGCTACCGTAAGCCGTCGGGGCGGAGGGCGAACCTTATCGCCGCTGCGGGGCACTTTTTATCCGGAGAAAACTGGGGGAATGAGGAGTGGAGGCAACTGGCTGTCTCGAGCCCGCCATGCCGAGGCACGACGGGGGGTTCAGCCGATAAGAATGTTGCCAGATTGCCCCCGCCGATTAGGACCTCCTCATCGCCGAAGCCGAGCTTCCGGTCAGCTGTTCCAGCGTTCTCAAGGCTTTTTTAGGGAATTCTCGTTGAACCCAAGACAAAAATGGAACCCCCGGAATTCGCAACATTTCTGAAACGCGCCTGATCGCGCGCGGGAAGATTTCAATCGCAGAGCATAGGTTCAAATTCCTCAAATAGAGCTCGAAATTTTGGTAGGCAGGAGTAAAGCGAAAGGAGGGATTTTATAAAAATTTAATTTTCGTGTGGGGGCTTCTCCTCGGGGCAGAAGCCGCCTTTATGCAAAATTGCCCTCGAATCGCACTGGCAGAGTGCCTGGCTGCGACCCCCCTGGAAATGGCGGTTTACGGTGGCTGGGGTGCGGTATAGGGTGCGAGGTTGACCACCGAGTACCCCAATTTGCTACTCACGATCCACCTTACCAAATTTTTCCTATATCAGGTTACAATTGGCTATGTAAAATTATTAAAAACGCCGTAGGCATGAATAACGGTATAAAAACCGCATGTTAAATTTTAACCGAACAATTCAGCGGTTATAAACGCAGGTAAAGCCTATTCGTTCATAGGTCGGCGCCGGAACCCAATTTAGCCGCGCCGTACTCGACAACTAACAAGCTTTTAAACCCTGTGATTCAGCCAATTACACTGCGTTCGTTCGGTGGTTGGGATCAAATTTATTGGTCAAGCTTCCACGCCTTTTGCACGTATTTCCAGACGGGTCGCTGGTGGAGAATCTGAAACTTTAGTGTTGTCAACTCGAAAATTTAAATACCTTATTGTAATATTCATTGAGCAGCGAAAATTCGGCTAACACTTCTGCATCGGCATCCTGTAGTCGATAGAGAAAATATATAAGCACCAGATCCGCGTAAGTAAGCTGAAAACTTAACTTTTTCGAAGGAGGAAACTAATTAAAGGGCCTGGCAAAGTTTCAGCAGCTAGAAAGTACGAAATTATTATACTTTGAGGCGCAAAAAAATGCATGAAAATAATTATGCGATGAGCTTTCCTTATGAAAAGATCAAACCAACCTCATCCCCCACCATCACTTTGCCCCCATTTTTTCGCAACATTTTCTGGAAAACGGCGAGCTTTTGTGGGCGAGCCCTGTCCCATTCCTCCTTTTTCTGGGCCTAAAACAAAAAAGAAAGATGTTTAAAGTAGAACGATAGTTGAAATGATTAAGCAAAAACCAACAGCAATTTCCGGGGTGGGCGCGAACCGTTCGGCCAGCGCTTGGGCAAACATGTCCCAGATCGTATCGATGACCATATCACATTTTGCGGCATCAACGCGGGTCTTTCCGGCAAATCCTAGAAAAAATGTATATTTTTGACGGATTTTTCATAAAGCCAAGTTTCCGAACATTTTTAGAGCTTGCCAGCCGTATTGTGAACATTTAGAATTAAGCCGTAATTTAAAATCTCCCAGATTACCAACGCTAAGCAAAAAACATACCTGGCTTGAACGATTTGGCAATGTATCTGAGGATGGCGCTGGTTTGGCATAACGTCGTCTTCCCGCCGTCCACCTCCAGGTAGGGGAGCTGGCCGAAAGGGGCGTCTAAAAGGGCAATACAGATAACATTTCAAAGTCTGCATAAACTCAGTATGCCCACCAAAACCTCACCCTTCTTGTAATCGTCCGTCAATTTCAACCTGACATCCTCAAAGTCCACGTCGAAATAGTGAAACAACAATCGTATCGGCTCCCCCCCGGCCTTCGGCATCAAAATACACGAGGCGATAGCTGTGCTTTTGTGTCATAGCCGCACGAAAAGGGCGTGAAATTAATAATGGGATTTGACGGGGTAGGTGAGGGCAAGAACCAGCGGACAGCGCGTTACCAGGGAGAAGCCAGCGCTTCAGAGGGCACATAGGACACGCTAATTAATTTCCGCGTCTTGAAGAAAGCTAGGGAAATGAGAATGCTATTGTTCATTATGTTTTGGATGGTTCATTTTATTAAAAAAAGTGGTGAAACGTGAAAAACCTAAAACAAAGTTGCTCGAGACAGAAATACAAAGTGCGCATAGCGTAAGCCTGTTCAAAGGACGACTACGTAGTCTAAATTTTGGAAGACGTAACGCTCCAGTATACAGGCATTCAGTGCGTTTTAAAGAACTAATATGCTTCTTACTCTTTCACTTAATATTTATTTTTGTGTTGAATCAAAACCTCAGATTTTCGTGTCCATTTTGCCATTCGCGATACGTGTTCATACTTCCCATCCCAGCGGATAATCTCAATATTTAGAGATATCCTAGCAACTTTTCACTGGACTGGCTGCCGTTCCATCCACTGGGTGCTTTTCCCAACCGGCGAAGACGACGAGGGCAAAAAATGGTGGCGAACAGGTGGACGAGGCTCGACTCCCTCAATTTCTCGAATCAGCCAGAGTCGATTGTCTCGAAGGGTTTTTGCGAGCGTGCTCTCGGCACGCGTTGAAAAGTGTGTTCCCGATTATATATAAGGGGTTCGTGTTGACGACTCGAGTTTCGCCAGCATGGATTTGGACCGTAAGATCGCCGTCTATCGGCTGATCGGCTATTTGGCTGTGGCGCTCGCTACCGCGTCGACGATCAGGTGAATTGATTGGGTTTCTGTATACAAACAATGATTTTTTTATAGTGGTAATGTTTTTTGTCTTTAAAAAACTTAAAAATGCCCTAGGCAGCTGCGAAAACGCAGATTTCGAGCTGTACCCTTTTTTACGATCGGAACGTAGCGTACGAACGTTTCTTTTCTCGTTGGTTCTTTTTCTAACAATAATTGAACACAGCGAGGGTAGGCATCTTTCTTCAAGCTCTGATTTTCAGCATCTGCATCACCATCCCAATCCTCTACACCCAAGTCGCCAGAGCCCGAGAACGGAGCCATGAGGAGCTCGACTTTTGCCAAGTTGAGCCCGCCGTACCCGATAATCAAACATTCAGCATTCCATCATCTCCGTCAGCAGCCAACTACGCCGTATTGACGACGCGGGCGGCAACCGCAACCGCACCGTGAGGCACGCTTACGCAACAGTACCCCCACCACCGTCAGCTACGTATGCGGAGGTACGCTCACTTCGACATACAAACCAACGACAATCCACGGAATCGCTTTTGTCGTCTAGAGATTTGTGCACTCCCGAGGGAATGCGTTCCAAAATTTGTTCGAGACACTGTTGGTAGGTCTCGGGGTTAATGCTAACCTCAAACTTGGGTAATTAAACCGAAGCTGTGGTGGGGTGGGTGCTTTTCTCAACTATCCATTGCACAGATGGGGGTCTTTTGACGGGCAACCACACAACGAGCGATCTCTCGTTGTCTGCGTCTCTTGGAAAGAAACCACACCCAACGCCGCGTCTCCCCGCTACACCGTCTCTCACCCCCATATAGAGTGTACGCTATACTCCAGGAGACGCAGACAACGAGAGATCGCTCGATGTGTGGTTGCCCGTCAAAAGGCGCCCATCTGTGCATTGGCTAGTTGAGAAAAGCACCCACCCCAGTACATCTTCGGTTTAATTACCCAAGTTTGAGGTTAGCATTAACCCCGAGACCTACCAACAGTGTCTCGAACAAATTTTGGAACGCATTCTCTCGGGAGTGCACAAATCTCTAAAAAACAACGTATTGAGTTCTCCGTCGTCTCGGTTACGTCCCATTCATACCGTAAAGCTTTACTCTGCTTGAAATAGTTAGGAGAGCTTCAACATTTTTCCGTCGCAACTAGGTTCCAAGGGACAGCCATTCCATCTAAACCACCTTTTTTCGCTGTTTTGGCATTTATTGGCATCATTTTCCAGCGATCCCAATGCGAGATCTGCTGTACCGAAGGCCCACGTGGTCCTCCAGGAGCTGCAGGACGACAGGGTCGCCCAGGTCGTCCTGGTGTCGAAGGCCAACCCGGAAACCCGGGAAAACCCGCGTCAAAATGCCAACTTCCGCCCCCTCCACCATGCCCTCAATGTGATGCCGGTCCTTCAGGTGATGACGGTCCACCCGGGGCCGAGGGTCAACCGGGGCCTCCGGGTAGTCCTGGTCCCCGTGGGCCGCCTGGGGATGCCGGGCTCGATGGGATACCGGGAACGATTGGTGCTCCAGGTAATTATTACAAGTCAGGGCCGGCTGGTAACATCATCGGCTTCTATGTATCTTATCTATAGCGCCAAGGAACAACCTCAGCTTGTTTTTAAAAGGTATTTGTGCACTCCCGAGGGAATGCGTTCCAAAATTTGTTCGAGACACTGTTGGTAGGTCTCGGGGTTAATGCTAACCTCAAACTTGGGTAATTAAACCGAAGCTGTGGTGGGGTGGGTGCTTTTCTCAACTATCCAATGCACAGCTGGGGGTCTTTTGACGGGCAACCACACAACGAGCGATCTCTCGTGGTCTGCGTCTCGAGGAGTGTCACGTACACTGAGCAATGGGGTGAGAGAGACTGGGGAGAGGGGAGACGATCTCTCGTTGTCTGTGTCTCGGGGGGAGAGGCCACTCCCAACAACGCCCTCCCTTCCCGCTCTACGTCTCCTCTCTACCCAATCTCTCTCACCCCAAAGGACTAGTGTACGCGACACTACACGAGACGGAGACAACGAGAGATCGCTCGTTGTGTGGTTGCCCGTCAAAAGACCCCCATCTGTGCAATGGATAGTTGAGAAAAGCACCCACCCCACCACAGCTTCGGTTTAATTACCCAAGTTTGAGGTTAGCATTAACCCCGAGACCTACCAACAGTGTCTCGAACAAATTTTGGAACGCATTCCCTCGGGAGTGCACAATTCTCTAAACTGCAAAAGCGATTCCGTTGTTCGTCGTTGGCTTGTATGTCGAAGTGAGCGTACCTCCGCATACGTAGCTGTGGCTGTATGCTGTTGCGTAGACGTTTCCGTGGTTCCATTACCGAGATTCCCCTCGTAAAAGAAAATAGGGTTTTTTTTTCAGTTCAGTGTGTGAGTACAGCGGGGTTTGAATTAGTGATATGTTTTTATTCGTATAAAAATTGTTTACTGCAAATTCCAGGAATTGCGGGTGAACCTGGCGCGCCAGGAGCACCTGGTGAAGACGCGGTGGGGAATAAGCCGAAGCCTGGCGGGCCTGGGCCAGTTGGTCTCCTCGGGATGATGGGCGCGATGGGTCAACCGGGAGAAGCAGGAGAATCTGGCGAAGCTGGGCGTCCGGGTCCGAAGGGTGCCTCCGGGATTCCAGGGTTTCCGGGGCCACGTGGGCGTCAGGGTCACCCAGGTGCACCTGGGCCGAAGGGACCACCAGGGCAGAAGGGACTCTGTCCCACGTATTGTGCACGAGATGGTGGCAGTTTCTACGAGGATGGAACGAGGCGATGAGGTGGTTTTTGACGTTTTTTCATCACAAACGTCTTCTTGTGTAAAAATGCGTGAGGCAGCTCCTCCTAATCCTTTTGGAAAAACTACGCTGCGCTCCTTTGCACACAGCGTGTTTTCTCTATGGGCTGCCTTAAATTTATTGCCTCCAAAATTAAAGGCAACAAATTTTCAGGCTCGCCACGAACGGTCGCGGTGACGATGGGACAAGTGTTCGCCGATAGATCACCCTAATTGACAGCCGGGCTGCATGTGTGTGCCCTGCCTTCTCGTGCTCCTCCTCTTCTTCCCCCTCCCCTCCTTACCGTTGCAATAAATTATCATCTTGGCCCCATTAAGAGTCGGAAAGCTTGGCCACGAAGCTGCGTTATTTTAGCTTTTTTTTTGCATATCAGCGAAATGTACTTTATGCCTTTGTAGGTTACATTACATTTGTATAAAGCTTTTTCTGGCTTTCAGATTAATATTTATCATACAAAAAGTGAGCAGCGCCTCAAAAAAGACAATTTTTTAGGTTTAAGGGAGTCTGAAAGGAAAAGAGAAGATTCGCGCACATAATACAGGTGTGGATAGGAGCACTACGTAGTTGATACTGGAAAATCTCTTTAAATTGGAAGCTCTTTAAATGTTCTCTGCCTACTTTATAACGAGGTCGATGGGCTCGGCGCAAATTAGGCTCATGCTCAGGGTTTTGCTGAAGCTTAAGCTCAGGTTTAGCCTCCTGCTTAAAGGGCACGTTCAGGGAGGTTTTTTTGGAAAAAAGCAAAGATTTTCGCCGCGGCCGGGGGTCGAACCCGGGCCCCCCGCTCGGGAGGCGCGGATGGATACCAGTCAGCCACAGCTACAACCTGGCGGGTGGGCGAGGGGTGCCCCACCCCGCAAAGGAGGGGAATGGCCTGTCACAGCACGGGCAGGCAGTGCGCGCGGTCCCTACGTCCATAGGGTGTATACGTTGGACAGAGTATACGGCCCCTCCCTGAACGTGCGCTTTAAGCTCAAGCTTAAGCTTAACGTATCTTAGCGTCTCGCTTTGTATCTGTGTGCGAAAACGAGGTGAGCTTGAAAGAAAAGCTTTCCACCCCCCTTCCGGCCATCACCTGTGTCCACTTTTTGATGGGTATGCGGACAGGCCCCGTTTTGACCCTCATCGCAAAGGGCTTAGGGCCCAGCTAGGGGCCCATACACCGGCTGCTGTCCTGAGTACGGGGTTGTACTCTATCTCTCCCCTGCACCCGCACACCTGGGCAGATCGCCACCACTGCCAGGTATTATTGGAAATTTTTACTTGATAATTAGCTTTATACCTTTGTAGCTAGTTCCAAAATGATCTCTGCTAGTTCCCCGGTACTTCCTAAAATCCCTCTGCTAGTTTGCCTAGTCTAAAAATTATCGCTGATTTTTCAGGAGCCTCAAGAAAGCCTCGGTTTTCCTTTTATGCTGCCAACCCGGCGGCCAAGCATCCGGGTCCCGCAGGGAACGAAAAGTTGGTTGACTTTACAGCTTTTAACTTACCTTAGATTATTTCTCAAACGCTGCGCTTGTCAGACCCTTTAAAGGGGCTGGTAAGTGCGAGAATCTACTCTCGAATTTCACTAGGTCTCGACAGCTACTCCTTGATCCAAATAACGTTTGAAAGGCATCTGTTTTTCGCCAGAAATTTGAGTAATAAAGCGATTTAGCCGTAGCAAGGAGCTGTCGAGACCTAGCAAATAGAGACGTCGATTTTGTGGACGTTTCATTCTTTTAAAGGGACTGGAAAGCATACTGCTATTTTTTTTACTATTACTTATGGATTTTCCCACGCTGAGGTAATATTCCAATACCTTTATACGATAGTCAAGTAGCGGACGCGTTGCGTGTCGCGGTCGCGGTAAATTCCACAGAGTACCGATAAGTGTCTTGCCAGCCCCTTTACCCCCCAAGAAACATTTTGTTGCAGTCACCAGCTCGCCAAAAGTGTCGAGCCCGGGGGCGCCGATTCTGAAGCGCAATGCGAGTTTCCGGGAGAATTCGGGCGAACGAATCGCGCGACACGACCACCACGCGTCCCCGGTTCCCGGCAGAAGGTGGGCAATTTCAACACAAGTTTTTTTCGCCGCTCGTTGCAAGCACAAAAATGAAGTGAGTGCGAAAATGGCAAAAACGTCTTGAAGTTAGCACAAGGCGCTGTTTTAAGTTTTTTTTATTAAAATTTAACATGCTCGACGTTATAATACGGAAGCCTTTTTTATTCGGTCTATATCTACAAAGTAAATTTGATTTATTTATTAAAAAGAAATTAGCCTACAACGCTGATTGTGAGGTGTTTACTATACTTCTCCGCTCACCCTGGGTGGGCCCCCCCCCTAGGGGGGACAGAAAGAGACTGAAAGGGGGGATGGTGGGGGCCCCCGGGGACCCCGGGGCCCCCAATGACCGTGCCCCCTACCCCCCTGAGGCATGGAGGTATGGCATCTACGAGTTCCATTCGCTATACCGAATTTTCGCTATACCGAATTTTCACTATACCGAATTTTCGCTATACCGAATTTTCGCTATACCGAATTTTCACTATACCGAATTTTCGCTATACCGAATTTTCGCTATACCGAATTTTCACTATACCGAATTTTCGCTATACCGAATTTTCACTATACCGAATTTTTGGTATACCGAATTTTCACCGTGCCGATTTTCACGATACCGAATTTTCACCATGCCAAATCTTCGCCATACCAATTTTGATAAGCGGTATGTTCCCCATTTTTTTTACTGTTTTTTTCCAAATAGATGGGCTAGAAAGTTAGAGTTAGCCTAGAAGTTTCCAAAAACGCAGGCAGATCGTAGGTCCCGTAGGCGCAGCAGATTTTCTGTTGCACCGCAAAGTCCCAGCCGATCTTAGTTATTAATATTAGTAGAGAATATTAGTAGTAGAGTAGCAAAAATTCGGCATAGCGAAATTCGGTACAGCGAAAAATTTGGGCTTGCTGGTGGGACGCTTGCCCATCCCCCCTTTCAGTCCCCCCTCTGTCCCCCCTAGGGGGGCCCACCCAGGGTGGGCGGAGAAGTATAGTGTTTACATTAAAAAATTTGTTGAAAAAACAAAAAGGGCCCCGATTACGATAATTACCAGATTACGATAGCTAAAGATTTTTTTCAGGGTACTTGTATTAATTAGAGCTATTTAAAAGCATATATTAGATGACGGGAACCTACCTAATACGGAAAATATATTTTAAAAACTTAAACTTGACCATTCTAACCTTGGCTACGATAATTACAGAAACGCTTTACCTAAAAGCCTATTGTAAGGAGATTTCTATGTAAAATATCTATAAGCCAAACCATTAAAAAATTTAGAATTATAACAATCGCCTAGAATCTAAAAACATACCCAAAACAAAAGCGGCAAGTCCAAAGCAAGACCACGAGGCGGCCCCGAGCTCTTGACCCGCTCCCCCAGCCCCTCGCCACTCGCCCCTTTGGCTCTTTGGTAGGGTGTCAGCCTCATGGCCCGCGAGGCCCGAGTTCGACCCCCCGCCACGGCATGCGAGATGCGTTCTTGCTCCCCATATAGCAAGCGCGGTGACTACCATGCCAACACTAACACCGCGAATACGTCATATTGTCCGGGTAGTGTCGGGTGATTATCAATGACGCGGGACACCTCTTTTTTTGGGGGTTTGTCGATCGTTGTTTGTCGTGTTTTGGAGGTTTGAAGCGGCGTTCGTTTTGTCGTTTTTGGCGGGCAGATCTCCGTAAGGTTTCGGATTCTCTGCTAGCTGGCCTGCCCAAAAATCAATTGCGATGGGGGGTTTAAAGGAATTTTTAGGGTAAGTTGGCCTCCTTGGCGCTTGTAATCCCTTTACTTACCTGCCGGGTAGTGAAATTCGCTAATGGATTCGCTACGGACGATATGTAGCCAACTTCCTAGCCTCTTTAAGTTTCGTAATCGATTACCGTAATCCATTTTCGACGGGTTTTCAGCGTTCCCCGGGCCGGTAATCAAGTTTTTTTAGATAGCTTAGTCTAGAGTCTATTTTCTGGCATTGTCAGTTTCTATTCGATCTCTTGGACGGTAGGTTCAGAATGATTGTGAGAGAGAGAGAGAGAGAGAGAGAGAAAGAAGAGAGAGAGAGAGAGAGGAGAGAGAGAGAGAGAGAGAGAGAGAGTCAGAGACAGCCAAAGGAGTCCAAAAGACTGAAAGTGCGAGAAAGCCGTCCAAGAAGAGGAATAAGAGTGCGAGGGGGGATCATGCCAAGAGTGGTGGTGGGTCCTCCCCCCTTCGTTTAGAGGCTCAAATTTCACTAGTATTCGGAGGGCGAGAATGGGCCATCCGACAGAGGAGGAGGGGGCAATAGAGGTCTTAATCGCCTCCCTCTTTTCGTGTGGCTCCTCTCAACACTCAACTTTGCCCCCGCCACCACCACCAATCCCCTCAATATTCAGCCTCCTCCATTTTTGCGGCGCTCTAAATTGGCAGCTAAAAGTTGCCCTTAACTTTCTATCGTATTCTGAACTATTTGGGCTACGGTAATGTTCAGCGGAATCCCTGAATGTGCCCTCGAGGCCGACGATGGCCTATTGATGGTCTATGAACAGCGGTGAGGGCGACTTTAAAGGGGCTGGCAAGTCGTGGATTTTCCCGAAACCGCGACACGCAACGCGCACGCACGCGATGAAATTTCTAATTGAAATTTGTCATGCGTCACATTAAAGGGATAGTGACATCAGATTTCGGGTCGTTTAAAGGGACAATGACAACCCTATAACCAATATTTTTTGGGGCACGCTGGCGCTGATCCTTGGGAGCGTTGTTTTTCTTCCCAGTTACTCATAAACTTTTAGAAATGTTTGTAAGCTGCTTTTTACTATTCGGAAATATCCGCTGGTTTGTATTATAAAAAATACAAGAAAAAAAGATTTCCTACAAAAAATGGCCGATTTCGATCAATATTGCATCTTTAAAATTTTATTTGAGGTTTTTAGATATTTTGCCACTTTAAATATAGCTCGAATTTACTAAAAACAGTATTCAAGTCGTTTCTATTACGTCAATAGACAATTCTGGAATTATATAAAAATTCGGTGACTCCCCGATAATCGTCCCCACCGATAATGCGAAAGCTCCGAGAAAGTGTTAGGCTTTTGATCCGGCTTAAGCTTAATCTTAAGCTTTTTGAAAAAACTGGGCCTCACCAGAATTTCCAAGGGCCCAGGGGCCCAGCCTAACCACCAGGAAGGCCCCAAGCAGAGGGCCCAAATTTTATTGCCAACACCCGGGGGGTGAGGGGATAATGCTCGCGGGTTTTTTAATGTCTCGAGGCGTCAATTCGAAGCTTCCCGCTTACCCAAACCAGTCGATTGATTTTTGCCAGACTATTCCCCTACCTCACCCCCTCGTCATGTATCCAAAAAGGAGGTCTGTGCTTTTTCTCGTCTACGTTCAATTTTGGGGCTCGAGTGCCCTAGGGAGAAGCTGGGCGGTCGTTATTGGCCTCCACCCCCACAATGTTGCTTAGGTTTTAGGCTTGGGCTTGGGCTTAGGTTTTGGATTCAGCTTAGGTTTAGGCTAGGATTAGGCTAGGCTTAGGTTTTGGCTTATGCTTAAGCTGAGATTTTGGCTCAGGCTAGTTTAGGCTTAGGGTTGGGGCTAGGCTTAGGCTTAGGTTTTGGCTTAGGCTCAGGCGTAGACTTCGGCTTAAGCTTTGGCTTGGCTTAGGCTTAGGATTGGGAGGCTTAGGTAGAGGCATAGGTTTTGGCTTGGGCTTAGGCTCCGGTTAACTTAACTTCGCCTTTGGCTTGGATGTACGTTTTTTGAAGCCTCAGCTTCGACACAATCCAGCTTAAGCTCAGGCTTGGGTTAAGCTTAACCTGACCGCAAAGCCAAGCGGATTTTTGCACTTTTTGCAGTCGATTTATCGACAAGCAATCTCGGCTAGCTTGACCTCGGCTTTGCTTTGAAACAAGTCCTTACTTGCGCGTCCCTTTAAAACGCAACTTTCTGCGATAACTTTAAAGTTTAAACTCGCTCCATTTCAGATCGGAGGCTGAGCCAGGCGTGAACGAGGGCGAGCACGAGATGCTTGGGTGAGCTTTACTCCATTTGCTGCGCCATTTTTGACATTTCGAATTTGGGTTAGGAGGGGAGACAGGGGCTACGTTGCCATACCTTTTACACCCCCCCCCAAACCACGGCCACTAAATCGGAAACACCATCGCTGTGGGAGTGCCTCTAAAGGGCTACGGTTACCCGCAACATTCTCTAGCCGCGGTCCATTTAGAGCTCCAGCTCCAGCTACAATGATGTACGAGCATTAGCGAGTCGTTTTTGGTTTTTATTGTTCTAAAATAACAGTTTAATTTGGTCAAAAAGCAAAAAGTTGGTATGGGTATCGAATCCCAATGTAGAAAACTGCTTCTCGTTTGCTCTCTCTCTCTCTCTCTCTCTCTCTCTCTCGCTCTGTCTCTCTAACTGTTTCCCTCTGTCTATCTCCCTCTCACTCTCTCACTCTTTCTCTCACTCTCGCTCTCGCTCTCTCTCTCTCTCTCTCTCTCTTTCTCTTTCTCTCTCGCTCTCTCTCGCTCTCGCTCTCTCTGTCTCTCTCTCGCTCTTTCTTACTCTCTATATCTATCTCTCTGCCACTCTCAGACTCACTCTCACTCTTTCTCCCTATCAAAACTCATGCTCATATCACGCAAACCACCCAAGATCAACCCCAACCCCCGCCCAACTTTTTGCCTTTTGATGACCAACACAGATATTCCTGTCCATTCAATTATATCCACCCCTGTTTTTTGCAGCCATATGGCCTCTGGATCGGCGTCTTTATCTGTTGCTCGTGATGAGGCTCAGGCGGCAGCAGCTGCCCAAGATGGATTTGAAGCCCCGCTGGAAGCCGCACAAGCAGAGAGGTGGGCCACTTTCCCCCCACCATACCACCACCACCACCACCCACTTCTTCGATTCAAATTTTTTGAGCGCACCCCACAGTTTTCTGATTGTTTTTTGGTTTTAGCATTATAACCTGGTTTCACAGGGACTACTGTGGTTTTAAAGGGGTTGTGAAGTCGCTGGGAATGAGCTTTTTAAGGCGCAAGTTCAGTCATTCTTACGTTTACAACAATTTACCGAGAGAGAGTGAAGCTAGTGAGAGAGAGAGAGGAAGAGAGAGAGAGATAGAGAGAGAGAGAGAGGAAGAGAGCGAGGAAGAGAGAGAGAGGAAGCGAGAGCGTGTTATTAGTAGTATTTCAAGCTTAAAAACGACTCAAAACCTTTTAAAAATGATGTAAAATTCGAAATTTTGGTCGAAAATTTATTTTATTTTTCATTTTATATTTTTTATATTTTTGCTTCTATCAATAAAGAAGTAGTTTATAAACATCTCCTCTGATTCTATCAAAAAGTTGAATGCTGAAGTACCCTAGCTTCTGATAACCCCCCCCCCCCCCCGATAAGGCTCAAGATCCAAAAAAATTGACGAAAATACGATTTTCCTAGTCTAGCTTAAAATTTTTGCAAAAACTGCAAATTACTGAGCCCTGGTGATGTACTACTCGATTTCCGGCGTCACCCACCGGATTCCACAACAAAACGTGCAAATCCGCGAGCCCCCGGGGTTCCGAATGAAATTCGAACATTCGAGCCATGGATTTGAGACCCAAAAAAACACAGACACCAAGTGTTAATCTTTGAGCAACCGGGGGGCGGATACAGCAGCGAATTTACCAAACACTTTTCGGGGGATTGTAACTATAGAAACCGGGCGAAAAAGGGCAGCCGGGGGGCTCGATCCTGAACTCGCATGCTTTTCCACGAAATAGTCGCACCCCAATTTGGGGGGGTGCTAATTTCTCCCCGGGGGCCAATTTATATGTATTTTTTAGGGATTCTGTGCCAGAACACTTTACACGCGCGTATTAAATTTTAATCTATTTATACTTTTACATTGATAAATTGTAATGGCATCGATTTTAATTAAATGAAAGGGAATATAGGAACTCTCTCTCAGATTGTTAATAGGATTTTTGGCCATAATCCCGACAGGTCATGATGCCGACAGACATGATGCCGACACGCAAAATCCCAAGATCCCGATAGCTAGTCCCGACAGCGAAAATCCCGACACGCAGAATCTCAAAATCCCGATAGCTACAATCTCGACAGTCAAAATCCCGACAGCGCAATTCCCGAACGCCTCAATACCGACAACCTGAATACCCAGAGCCAAAATCCCGACAGCCAAAATCCCCAACATTGCGTAATTTTTTTTTGCAAAAGCTGGGAATGCTAGCGGGGTTTCTTTGGGAATTTGCTTTTTTAAATTTTCAAACTGCGTCGCTACCATTAATGCGGGCTAAAAACGTTACGTTTTGTTAAAACGACTGGCCAGGCATTCTGCGGAACCTTGGCTTGAGATCAGATACCGTTTTTTACGATTTTTGTAATCGATTACGACCCCGATTATGGAGTCAAACGGCCGGCGCGTTGTTTGTTGCGGGACGTACAAATCTGATTTCCATAGCTGAAATGCCTTGCCAGTCCCTTTAAAGTAAAAAAAATTGAAAGCCACTCCTCCGTGAGCTCTCGATTTCGCAAAGCTGTTCAAAAATCGTCATCCTCAATCTCCAAGGCTTCTCATCCCCCTCGATCCGTTGCCTTCCCTGCAGCCCTTCATTTCCGGGGCCAATTTGGGAGGGTCCCGCCACGCTCGCAGGCAGCAGCAGCGGCACGGCCATAAAGGACGCGGCACACCAAAAAACGGGATGTGCCGCCGGCGGAGATGAAGCATAATTTTGGCTATTTGAGGTATCTCGATTGATTCGTTTGGTCGGGAAGAGGACGGCTTCATCACCTAAATTAAATATGGCCTATCGACTCTCGTAAAAAAATCCTGGAAATTCCTCAATGATCGCTGCTAGCTGGCCTTTCCGCAGACTTATTTTAGAGCTTTACCTCAATCGTTCATTTCAAGGTGTAGACTTCCTAGCTTTGTTAGCTCGGTCCCGTACGCTACGTTACTGTTTACATATCCTTGCTGGCACGCTTCCTTTAGGCCGCTTTCAATTAATTTTTAGTCTTTTTAGGATCTTGACAAAGTTCCAGGCAAAAAAAAACATTTCTTTCGATCCCCTGAAATGCCGAAATCCGGTCGGCCGGAATACCGACAAGCTAAATCCCTAAGCTCTCGCTTACCTTTAGCTTATGTTCTGTCGGGATTTTGGCTGTCGGTATTTTCCTCTGTCGGCATTTTGGTTATCGAGATTTGAGCTGTATTCTGCCCTGTCGGCATCCTGTCTGTCGGGTTTTGTCGCTATCGGGGTTTACACGTTTCGAGATTTTACAATAGGGGGTTGTCTTGTCGGGATTTTTGGTGTCGTGATTACGCTGTCGATATTTTTTCCTGTCGAAATTTTGCGTTTATCTTTTGGGCGTCTGTATTTCAACGTGTCGGCATTTTTGGGGAGCTAATTAGCGGGCCGGTGAGGGAAAACGACACTTCCAAATCCCTTTAAAATTTGATTCTTGCAGAATCTTTTCTATAATATCCATGGAACGTCTAGCCGTGCCGCTGGCTCGATTTAATGCCCATCCAATGCATAATTTACTCTCGGGTCCCGTCGCCAAAGCGTCAAATCTCTCACAGGGGCTCCAGGGGGCTGAAAAAGCCCCTTGGCTACTCGATTGGCACCCAGATTATCCGCCTCGTTTCCCCTTGTCTTTTACCGCGTAATGCCATAGACAGAGAGAGAGAGCGAGAGAGAGAGAGAGAGAGAGAGAGAGAGAGAGAAAGAGCGAGAAAGAGCGAGAGAGATACAGAGGCCCCGAATCAGCGTCCAATTCCCTCCCATCCAAGGGATCAGCCAGCCCTTCTTCTTTTTTTCTTTGGATTCTGGATTCCCTGGGCCACACCACTCCAAAAATCACGCTTCTTATATTTTACATGTTGTGTTCTGGACTTGTATTGGAATCGATTTTCTATAGATTTGCTTTGTCATTCCCTTTAGAGCACAATTCCTATCGTCTAGGCCAACCAGTACAGGTTTTTGAGGAAAATGGCCAAATTTTCACAGCTTTCACTGCACCACACAATGTAGATTTTGGGTTATTTGTTCGTCTATCTCGCTCTCGCTCTCCCTCTCTCTTTCCCTCTCTCTCACTCTCTCTTTCTCTCTCCGTGTCTCCCTTTTTCCTTCTGTCTCGATATCTCTACCGCTTTCTCGCTCTCTCTCAGCCCCACTTCTACTATACTTTTATAGTCTTACTTTTATTATTTTTATTCACTGCACTGCCCTGAATTCCCAGATTTTTGCCTCTTTTTTAGCCTGCTTGCTCAGATGTCAGTACGGAGTCTACGGAGTCACGTCGGATCCGTCAGCCGCTTGAATCAGAGGCAATCACAGAATATTACTGTAGTGTCGTACTGTAGAAATGGGATACGTTAGAAAACCTTATACTGTAGGAAAAGTCTCATTCGGAAAAGATGGAAAAAGAACCCGACCGTAGAAAAAGTACCGCTGATGGAAAAGTAGGAATTTAGCATACTGTAGGAGGCGCTTACTGTGTGTAGTTGTTATAGAACACAGTCTTACTGTAGAAATGTGTATTACATTGCAAAAAAACACACAATCAACCTTTGTTTCCAGATATGGCTCAGATGCGGGATTTAACGAAGATCTCGAAGGTCGACTGCCCCTCGAGCGAAATGCCCACAAAAATTCCGTCCGTGAACAAATTCCGGTAATTTTTTGGGGCGTGTCATTAGTACTGTCTAGGACTCGATTCTACGGCTGAATATTGGCGGGAGCAGCTATCGGATACGGACGCGGTCGATTGTGAAATTTGGGCCAAAGACGTTGTTAGGTTGCTCTAGCTCTCCGTCTCTCTCTAGCTCTCTCTCTCTTTTTCCCTCTACCGCTCTCTCTCGCACTCTCTCACAAACTTCTCTCACTCTCGCGCTCTCTCTCTCTCTCTCTTTCTCGCTGTCTCTCTCGCTCTCACTCTGTCTCTCTCTCTCTCACTCTCTCGCTCTTTCCAGGCCGTTTTGTCCGTATGAACCACGAGCATCGTCGCCAGTGGGCAGATTGGTATTTTGAGGATACTGATGAATATTTCTTCGAACGGGTACCTAGGTATGTAAAAAATTATGAGATCTAAACTATTATTAATGCATGGCCTCACGCCACATTACATTTTAGATACTTTGATCCAATTTATGATTTCTTCGCCACCGGCAAGCTGCATGTGCCAAAGGTCAGAAAGAGAGAGAGAGAGAGAGAGAGAGAGAGAGAGAGAGAGAGAGAGAGTTTGTGAGAGAGAAGGAGCAAGAGTCAGTGAGAGCGAAGTTGAGCTTGAGCTATAAGCGACACCGTTCAGGACCTGTGCTTCGACAAATTCATGGCCGAACTACGCTTCTGGGCGGTGTCCAAATCGAAAATGGATGAGTGTTGCTCCCCATTTACACAATACGCATTCACCCTCACCGCCCCATCCCAGGTAGCAATTTTTGGGGGGCTGATTAATGCAAATTTTTGGGCGAATAATGGCTTTTAGCGGATTTTTCCTGTGGTTGTTTGCATTGATGCCGTTTTAAGGGCGTTAGAATACTGGATTGCGATTTTTTTTTTGCGCTCTATCTTTCTCGCTCTCTCTCTCCCCCTTGCTCTCTCTCTCGCTCTCTCTCGTTCTCTCTGTCGCTCTCTCTCTCTCTCTCTCTCGTTCTCTCTGTCGCTCTCTGTCGCTCTCTCTCGCTCTCTCTCTCTCTCTCTGTCGCGCTCATTCTCTCTCTCGCTGTCTCTCCCTCCCTCTGCATCTCTTCATTCCCCTTGCCTTTTCAGGAGGAAGAAGCGGCTATTCAAAAGGTTTGACACCCCCCAAAACCCCCCAAATCCTCGGAATGCCTCCCACAATTCCCTCCTTCTCTAAAAAACTCTGGCATGCAGGGGTGTGTCGCTCAGTTTAGGTTCGGACTACAAACTACAACAAATTACGCTACGCTACGATAATTTCCTGAAAATGGAGGTCTTTTAGGAAAAGGACCACTTCATCGGGGTACGGTGCGCCAAGTTGAGGCGACGATTGTGGTTGGTGCTGGAGGGGCACACTAATAGCAAGTGGTGGAAGGTGAGTGAGATTGAGAAGGTTTGGGTTAGCCTTAGGTAGCTTCAGCTCAGCCTTAGCCTAGGCTAGGGGTTTAGGCTTAGAATTAGGCTTGAGTTTAGGCTTAGGCGATCTTAAGTTAGACTTAGGCTTAGCTTAGGCGTATGCTTAGGCTTAGTCTTAAGATTAGCTTAGGCTTAGCTTTGGGCTTAGCTTAGGCTTCGCGTAGTTTTAGTCTTGGCTTAGGCTTAGGCTTACTTAGGCTTAGCTTAGGCTTAGCTTTGGGCTTAGCTTAGGCTTCGCGTAGTTTTAGTCTTGGCTTAGGCTTAGGCTTAACTTAGGCTTAGCTTAGGCTTAGCTTAGGCTTAGCTTAGGCTTAGCTTAAACTTAGCTTAGGCTTAGCTTAGGCTTAGCTTTGGCTTGGGCTAAGCTTAGATGTTGGCTTCGGTGTAAAGCTACTTTTTATGTGTTGTATTCTACTCTTTGCAGGCTTTCGAAGTCACCTCAACCTCGTTCGTCGTGTTGAGCGTGGCGGCGCTGATCTTGGGCTCGATTCCCGAGTTCCAGGTGCCAGCAAATGCTGGCGGGGAGGACGAGCTCAGTCATGTGTATGTTATAAATTATTAAATTTAACTTGACCGCTGCTACGGAGCAAAATAAGAAAATTTTTCAGTACGGCCACGTACCCTACATATCCGAATAATCTGCCGAATACAATTTCCGAACGGGTACTAGTCAAAAAGAATAATGGAGGTGAGAAAATCGAGATTGGCGAAACTATTTTTTATTTTGCTACCTAGAACCTGACATACTAGCAGAGACAATTTGCGAAAGTTCCCAAAATTTAGGCATACGAGCAGATACCATTTGACAAAAATCCCCAAAATTCCAGGCGAAACCCCCGAAATGGTGGAGCATCCCGTGTTCAACTACGTCGAGAACATTTGCGTCATCTATTTTTCGATAGAGTACGCGCTGCGGTTTTGGGTAAGCTATTCGGAGCGTTGCGTAGCGTTCCGTTTTCAAGGTAGCGCCGCGGAAAGTGGCGTTCGCCCGTCAGTTCTTGAACGTCATAGACCTGCTGTCGATTGCGCCGTTTTTGATCGAGATGTTGTTGATATTGGTGAGTGGAATAGTTGGGTTACTATTCATTTGAAGATGCGTACGACACGCAACTTTAGCTTTTAATGTGGTGCTTTGGCATTATCGGGGGGCGTATCCCAGTCTTAATTTCAGATCGGCATCTCTGGCGACAACGTCCGTAAGGTACGATGGGCATTTCTGACAGTCCGTCTCCTTCGCGTCCTCCGCGTCATTCGCATCGCAAAGCTTGGCAGATTCTCACCTGGTAATAACTCTTATCTACCATAAACTATATTTTCTAGGTCTTGCCAACTTCGCGCTGACGATCCGGAAGAGTAAGAAGCAGATGCAGATGGTTGGGGTTGTGATGGCTACTGTGGTGAGTTATGGGAGAGAGAGCAAGCGAGAGAGAGAGAGAGAGAGAGAGAGAGAGTAGCGAGGGAGACTGTTTCTTCTAGGTGATCTTCTTCTCAACCCTCATCTACTTCCTCGAACGGGACGAGCCCGACACGAAATTCACCTCTATCCCGGCAGCGTTTTGGTGGTCGGTTAATTATTATTAAAAGCCCAATGTAAATACCGTATTTTTATACGATCGTTTTCTTACCGTAACCAATTGACAGGAGCGTCGTGACGATGGCTACTGTAGGATATGGAGATTTGGTCCCAGTGACAGTTGGTAAGTTTTTCTATAATCTTGTAAGGTATCCTTTTTGATTATTTCATCGATTTTTCCTTATTTTAATAATTAGTTTTAAATTTAAAAATTAGTATTAATGTTATTACTGTTTAAAATAAGTTGGATTTGTAAAATTTTCCCGGTTTTAGCGGGAAAAATGGTCGGCTCGGGCGCGATTGTTTGTGGCGTGATGGTGCTGGCGTTGCCGATCACAATCATGGTAGGAATTTTATAAAAAATGTATACAAAATTTTAAGAAAAATTAAAATTTTTAAAAATCAAGTTTTTTGTGTTTTCAAACTTCATATTAAAAATTGTTTTTATTTTCACTTATTAAATTTTACTAAATATTTTCAGGTGAACAACTTCATGCAGGTCGTCAAGCTGCGCGAGGAGAAGATCATCAAAAAGTATGCGCAGGCGCACGGCGATCAAGTTTAGCCGCGAAATTGCGATATTTTCCACAAAATTCGAGAGCTTCCGTGCCCCTTGAATTTCTACAGATGGGCCTCAATTTTGCCTTCCCAATACCTTTAAAAACCATATAAATCGATTACGATAATTATGACTTAATTTGAAAATTGAAGCCATTTTTTCGCGCCATTCTCTCCGCCGTTGATCTCATCAGATTAATAAAATTTTATATTTTGCACTTTTATGCGTTAAAAGCACCTAATCGGTTACGACATGTTATTCCGGTTTGAATGTAACGAGCAGAGAATTTTGTGGAATTAGAGTGCGCGTGACAGGCCCGAGTTTTCCACAAAAATGCCATCATGCTACAAAGTACAGGCTCTAGCTTTGGCAACCACAAGCTACACGTAACTACAAAAACAAAGAATCTACAGAAAATACAATAAAATTAGGAATAGGGAGTTTGCTTACCCAGGCTATAAACTACAAAATGCCGAATAAAATTATATTTATTAAAAAACCGCAATACAACAGACTTCAAACTACAAATTAAAAGGTTATTTTCATCAATATTACTCCAAAAAATCGCAATCAAAATATATCACTAGAAATCGATAATAAATCTTTACATCACTAGACGGCCCGCTGCTAAACGTTACATACAGAAAATCACGTCAAAAATTCTAAAAAACACCTTTTTAGATTTCGTAACAAACTTTAGGGTTTTTACCTCCCAACTCTCCGTAAAGTATTTGTATTTTGGGTTGGTCACCTCCCAGAAACAGGCGAGTTCAAACCCCCCCCCCCCCCTCCCCATCAGTTCGCCGCAACCCCCGCGCGGTAATATTTATTTTTCGGCTTACTCAGTGCCCACAGCTGATGCACTGGCAGGGGCAGCGCTTCACTTTTTCCCGTTTTCCGAATTTCCGTTTTGATCCGTTTCCCCCTTCAAAAGCATTTAAAGGGATGCCGACGGCATAGTCAATCGGTTACGCGCTGGAAAGAAATTGTCTCTGCGCCTCTCCCCAGGGCGCGATCTCTGCCCTGTTGGCTACTTGCCAATTTGTTGATGGGGGGGGGATCGACACATGCCGTCGGCAGCCCTTTAATCGTACCCTAAAATCCCGAGTAGTTCCGGGTGAAACGTACGTAGCGTTTGCAATTCCGTATGACCGTAAATAGGTGTGTTTCGTTTTTCGGCTCCTTGCAAATAACTCTGTCCAGGAAAGGTATTTTAGCAATTTTGATTGAAGATTTGCTCACATGCGGACTATTTCCAGCATTTTGAGTGAAAGAAATTGATCTAAGAAATCCTCACCGCTTCTTTTGGCTTACATCGCTTTGGCGGTGAGAGGGCGGGGACGCATATTATTAGAGCGTCATTTGTATTGTTACATCGCTATAGTGTACCGGAACTATACTCGGGATTTTAGGGTACTTCTTCTCCAAAACCATACCTGAACAATAGACTGGTCAGCCAGCACCCCAGACCGCCGGCCGCTATCGATTTGGTGTCATGGCAAAGGTTTCCTCATTCAACCTATCGCCGCTTCTTCCCCTCCCCATCCCCGGGTTACTACCTATATTTATGGTTATATTTATGCGTTCAGCAAAATTACGCGGCGCCTTTGATCGGCGGGCGCAGATCGGGTTCTTGCGCTTTTTGGGCTCAAAACTCACCAAATTTCCCAATTCTTAAGGTATGCTAGCAGAAAGCCTTGAGGAAAAATACCGTATCTATTAAAATCACGGATATCTTTTTGTTTTTCTCAATTTTCTTTGCTAGCCTGCCATGCCCAAACCCAATTTTCCACAAAGTTCTCTGCTCGCCTGCCAAGCCCGCGCGAAAAACCAATGAAAAAATATCGTAACTATTCCGAGCGATGATTTTTTTCGTTTCCTCAAAATTTTCCGCTAGCCTGCCCTCCACACCTGATCAAAACCGATACCGTAGCTATTCGAACCCAGTCAGATTTTACTGTTTCCTCAAAAATCTTCGCTAGCTTGCCACGAATATACCCGATTTTCCTAAAAATTTTCTGCTCGGGTGCCATCTCGTTCGATCAAAAAAATGATACAGTATCTATTCGAATCTAGCCAATTTTTACTGCTTCCTCAATTTTCTCTGTTAGTCTGCCACGCCCAGATCCGAATTTCCACAAAGTTTTTTGCTATGCCACCCGGTCTGCACGAAACACATAACCAAAAATACCGTACCGATTAGAATCTAGCCAAAATTCACTATTTCCTGAATTTTCTCTGCCAGCATGCTCCACCTGCCCTTGTTTCCAAAAGGCACTTTGCAAGCTAGCCCGTGTTTGGCCGATGCCAAATAGGGCCCCCGCGCGTCGCCTCCAATACCATGCCTCCCATATTTGTGCAGATTGCCAATGTCGGGGGGTTGAAGTCGGACAGGCGAGAATGGGGGCCCACAACCCAGGGGGCCCAACCCCCATTCTCCTTCCCATTGGCAAATAGCAAATATTGGGGCAAATAGCACTCTGGAGGCTTGTCTTCTTGTCGCTCTTTACCTCCAATGCCCACCCACAGCAACGTCTCGAAATTGACGAGTTAGAAACAGGGAGTGGTTTTTTCCTCTCTGTTTCTCTCTTCTTCTTCTCTTCACTAGCTTCCGCGAGTTCCGGTTGGCCCTCTCCGTTCGAGTCACTCTAAAGGAACCGGCAAGCCGTCACCGTAGATTTTTAGATTTAGACAATTTTTACCGATTTTTAGGTTTTATAGATTTTTTGGTTCCATACAAATTTTGCGGCGGTTTCGAAACGCAGCGCGATTGCCGCGCCAGCGATGTAAAAGTGTGTGAATCGGTTACGCAATGAAATTGCGAAGAAGGGTACTTGCGTAAATCGGTAAAAATAATTTAAATTATTCGTGTCGATTCTGATTTCTCGTTTAAAACTTTTTATTCGCCTCCAATTTCCTCAAAAACATTTCGCAATTTGGGGCCAGATTTCGGAGGTTTTTCCACGTTCTTTGATCGTTTTCCGCCGGCCATCCGATCGACGGGAGGTGTTCGTGATTCCCAGGGCGGAACCCGTTATCGTATCCGCTTGACAGACCTCTCCGCGCTGAACTGTCAACGGGCCCCCTCCCACGCAGCTAATCCCTTTAAGAGACACTTTACCAGCTCGACGAGTCGAAAATACGGCCGTTCGGTTGGCATCCTAAATGTTTTCTGCTAGTTTGCCCTTGTCATCTAATTATAACGTTTCTGGAACGTCTTTTCTTTTCCTTTGAAACGCCTTTTAAATTTTTTAAAACTTTTTCGCATCATATTTTTGCCCGGAAAAATCGTCATACAAAATGTCTGCTGCTAGCCAGCCCTCGATTTCATCTCGTTCCGAAAACCTAAAAAGGAATTGTTATTTATTAAAACCTTTCTGCTAGCTTGAACCGATTCGCTCAAAATACAAAGTTTACTTTTCTCCCTCTAGCCCCTAAAAACTTTATCAAATTTACCCTTAATTTGACGTGAAAAACAATTTTTTTGCGCCTCGCATGTTCTTCTAAACGCACGAAACCCAGTGGTCATTTCGCAAGGTCATTTTTCTCCCCGCACTTGTGTAATTCTCCTCTTCATCCTCCTCCTCCCCGCTCTGATCGCTGCCTAATTTCCGCACGTTTTTCCCCCAAGGCCACCCTTTGTTTTCTCTTTCTACTTTTACTACTTTCGTCTCTGGTTTTAAAGTTTCAATTCCGATACCTAGACCCGCTCCTAAAAAATGCCGAAAGAAAAAGAAGTCTCCACCCGGCTACTCCGTCCAACACTACCGCATATTGACTTGGAACAGGTGCGCGAAATTTTCAGGGCAAACTCGCAGAGATCCTGGAGGGAATTAAACTAAACTCTTACCAGGATACTAGCAGAGATTATTCGAGAAATTCAATAATCCTTATAGGTCTTTTCCGTCGTCGAAAACTGGGATTCAGCCTGGGAAAATGATGCGAATATTCGGGTATCTAATTCTAAGGCTGATGGTATCTCAAAATTGCTTAGATTTTCGACGAGGGCATCGCACAATACATGCTCGTCGACGAACAATCACACCTGAAATTCTACGCGGCCCTAATCCTGTCAAAACCGTCATTGAGGTAAGCGAACGCTAGGTTTTGACCATCTAGGTTGAAAGCTAGCAATAAACTAGTATAAATATTAATAAAACTAAACTAAGCTATACTCAATAGCTAATATACACTAACGGCAGTAAAAGTAAATTTTAAGGGACATTTATAATCGTTTTACCTCAAAAATTTCCAGATGTACGCTTGTCCAAGACGAACCTGACGACGTCCTCGATAATGAAGCACACAACACATTCGCTGTCGTAAGAAATTCCCTAAATAAAGAAATACTTCAAAAAATTTAGTTCTACCGGAATGGCATCAGCCCGGTCGAGACGAAACAAATCGACTACCTCCGCCATACCCTCCAGAAACGCGGCTACCGCTTCAATAGCAATTTGAATGTGTGACCGGAAGTGAATAAAATTTTAATAAAAACCGAGAGCAAGCTTGACGCAAAAACAAGCCATTTTTTACTATCCACTTGCTGCCGCGCGGGCGGCCCGACAATTCCCGATCTTTGCCGCATGGACGTTGCGGTGAGTGGCAACGGTTTAGCGCCTGTAAACACAGACGTCCAGGCGGCGATCGAACTGCTACGAGATGGTGTGCGCGGCGAGCAGGCGCGCGGCGATCAGGAGACGAACAATTACGACATGGAAGTCGGGAGGCAGGCAGTGATGGTGAGCGAACGGGAGTCGACGATAAAAATCGGCGGACTCTACGTAATCGTTACGGGCCGAGGATCAGCTTAAAACTAAGCTCCTGGAACAACAAATTTTCTAGACAAGCGCACAGGGCAAGCAGGCCTATATGGGAGTGCTGGACGGCGTGGCCTCGTGGAAAGGCCGAGTTGAGGCCGAGCTCGTCGAGGTTTGACCACCTGAGCGGCCGAATGTCCACATTCTCAGCTGGACGTCGTCGAGGAACACCTCAAACAGCGCGAGCAGCGGCTAGCCGAGTCGGCGATGGCGCTGCGTGCCATCATCGCCAGCGCCGAGGGAGACCGTCACGTCTCCACGGCCATCCCGGCCAGCGAAATGGTTGGGTCCTACAACGAGCAAATGACAAGTCTTTTTCAAGACCACCCCGGTGTCGACGAGCTCGCGGAAGCGCACCAGCCCCGACCAGACGCTCCCCTTCGCCGAGCACAGCGACTCCTCCGAGGTGAAGAAGCGCAGAGTCAGTTTTCGGCCCGGTCCCAAAACGCCAGGCTTTCTGTTCATCTTCCCCATTCTCCATAGCACCGACATTATGGTAACAGCCAGGGTGTTCAGACCCTCTCCTCAATTTCGTCGATCGTGGACACGGCCCGCTCGCCAATGGATTATCACGCTGGAGGAAGCTGGGTGAGTTCGAGCTTTTTCTCCTCCAAAATCCATGCACCCTGAAAAGTTTCGGTGAAAACTGTCAACCTTATGAAAAAGCGCTTCCAGCACTACACGACGCAGCCCGGAATAGATTCCGAATACTACGTCGACCTCGCCGCCGCCTCCACCTGCCCCACCAACACCCTGATGGAGGAAGACAGCGACTAGCCCCAAGCTTACACCCAGAAGAAGCCCTGCCTCCCACGCCCTGAAAATATTTCGTTAAATCTTACGTCAATAATAGTGATCGATTTGCGACTTTCTCCAAATGCAATAAATGTTTTTATCATTCCAAAAAAAATATCTCAGCGAGTGCACGGACATTGCAAAATATTAATACGCGGGGGCGAAGACGACTAGGCGAGACACTGAGTGACCAAACGGTTCAATCGAAAACGGTTCAAGGAGATGGGCAAACTTTGTACACAGCTGATTCTGGGCGGGAGAAATCTGTACTGACTCTTTTGGGACGCAACAAGGGCACAACCGGTGAGACGAGTTGAAAGATCTGACGAGCACACAACAACAAAAAACAAACACTAATTCCGTATCCTAGGGTCATGGGGCCTTCATCTCGAGCATGACGACGGGGCAATCGGGATTCAGACGCGGGATTTGGTACCGTTCGGTGCCCTGAAAAATAAAGATGAAATTAACGCTGACGAAAGCACCTGTGGCCGGAGATTCTTCATAATCCGGCAAAGCCGCCGTTTGGTGCCTAGCTGGTCCTCCGCATAGAACTCGTTGGCAATGTCGCCATCTTCATCGATGTACATGGAGCTGGAAAAAACTTCGTCCGTAAAAGCAAGAAAGCGCTACCTCGGATGTTCATGAATCAGCAAGAAATCGGGTAAGTAGCCGCGCTCCTTGAACAATTCCATGTATTGGGCTAATTTGGCGGAAGCTGAGGAGCCGGCGAGCTGAAAATGAAATATAAATGACTTATAGGATTTGTTATAATTTATTGCTTCCCCAAGCAGAAGGCTTTGTTCCATCCGAAGCAATGGTTCACCATACCTGCCAATGAAAAAGTGCCAAATTGGGAAAATGGAAGTCACACAATGATTTTGGAAACTAAATTCTGGAGCAACCTGGCGTTTTGGCCTCCTGCATCGGATATATTTGGACTCGACGCGAAAAAAGTAGTTTTGAACAACCCCAAAAACCTAAATAGCCCTTACCGAGATGGGCTGGCCAGGCCGCGCACCGGGCTCGCTCTCCGAAGCGGTCTTCTTTCGGCTGCTTACGAATTGGCCCATTCTATGAGACGGCGGCGGGGCTGAAGACGCATCCGATCCACGGCGATTTCTTCTGTAAATTACGGATTAAAAAGAGTCAATCGGGGGGAAAACCGAGAGGAAAAAAAATGGAATTACGCCAAACAACGCATTCACCAACGAACCTGAGCAGCTTGTCAATCACCGGAAGTCCGCGGACTTTATCGCCAAAAATTTTAGTTGGTAGCGGCATTTGGGTGGGAATTGCCGTGGGCAACTTGGGGGCTTTTTGCGTAGATACCGGGCATGTGAAGGCAATATGAGGGAAGCGCGGGCTGGCTACATGGGACCGTTTTGAACGCATCCATTTGCATAAGCGCGTGATGTTGTGGCGGGAAGTGATAACTGGGAAAAGCTGGCGGGGTGGACCTGTTTCGTGGGATACGAAACAACGAGAAGACTGGAATGTCACGAGCTAATTTTGGAGAGAAGGATGTTATTAAAGTTTAGCGTAAAATTGAGAGGCCGTGTTGAAGGAGTTTAAACGACTACAAATGCAGCCCTGATAAAGTCACGTTGAAGCTCTAGTGCTGGCTTCATTTAGAGCATAAGCTTATCCTCTTGAAGCAGCCGGAGATCTCGTTTTGAAGCCGGTTATCAGGCTTTTCCTTCCGGTCTCCCCATTGATGTCTGCCTCGTGCTCGACTTCATTGGTCGACGGGGTGGGTACGGTGGTGTGGGTGCATTTTAGGAAGTGGTCCGCAGATGCCTTTGAGTGGCGCGGAGTAAATTCACTTTGCAAAAACCAGAAAAACGTTGAAAAACCAAATTTTAAAAATTTTATGGTTAGTAAAAAGCTATGTATACTTCTAGATCAATTTCCAAGGCTTCGAGTCAGTTTTTGCTTGTTTTTGAAGAGTGATCATCATTTTCGGGTTCTTAAAATTTGCCCAGTCTTTGGTGGCTTCTGCTATTTGTGGCCTTTATAAAATTAAAAAGCATCTTTTCTGGTTGATAAAAAGTTATGTGACTGAAATGCATATTTCCAAACGCCCGGAGGCAGACTTGCTCGATTTTCAAGAATTATAGCCATTTCTCTTTTTTTTTCCAGGACTACAAATTTGTCAATTTTTTCAGGGGCCGCATTTCTCTGCTTTTGCGGCTTGTTGCTCGGCTCATTTGTCGCAAGCCGGAGCCCGTTTTGTGGCCCTAAACATATGCACACAGCGGCGTCGCAATCCGTCAGCCCCCGCCACATCTGGCCCATAATCTGTGGAGACGACCACCAGGGCCCCGGGTTTTTCTTTTCTTTTGTTCAAGCCGAAATGGGGCCCGGTGAAGTCTCGAATTCTATACGCGTGCGTGCTGGACGATGGCTAGAAAGTTCTTGGGGGTGTAACAGCTGATCGAGTCGACCCGGTGGGGGTTGGCAAGCAGCCAACGGGTGCTGGGGGTGGCATTAAATCCGCTCATCGCATCGGGTTGGCAAAAACAAGTCGAAATTGGGGGCGACACCTGTTTTGAGGATTGGGGTGGAAATCTTTGAACTTCTGGATCGGTGCCAGAAGTAGAGGAAGGGCGAGAGAGAGAGAGAGAGAGAGAGAGAGAGAGAGAGAGAGAGAGAAAGATAAAGCTCGTACTCCTGCAAAAAGCTAGTTTCTTCTATTAATCCAACAACGGCAGGCCTAATCGCAAACCGATTGATACTATGACTGCCCCATGAAAATTGTTGCCTTTAGCGGTCTCAGGATGTCTCAGAATCGACGTCATCCATCGACTAGGTCTCGACAGCTACCGGCATGCCAAGCGACACTGAAACGTGAAAAACGTGAAGCCTATTTTTAGGTATCACTTGGTCAGGCGTGTAATTGTCGCAGGTTACGCAGATTTCCTTACGCCAAGGAATACGCCTAGGCCAAAACCTAAGCCTAAGATAATCTAGGGCGAAGCCTAAGCCAAAACCGTAGCCAAAGCGTAAGCTAAACCCAATCCAGCATTCAGGATAATCCAAGCCCAAAGCCTACGCCGAAGCCAAAACCCAAGCCTAAGTCCAAACCCAAAGCCTAGGCCAGCACCCAGGCTAAGCCCAAGCCTGCGCCTAAACCTAAGCCTAGGCCTAAGCTCAAGCTACGCCAAGCCTAAGCCGAAGCTCAACTCTAGGCATAGTCGCCGTGTGGGAGGAGTATTCCACGCGTTTCGTCGTCCCCTTAAAGGGAGCGCGACAACAAGGGTGAAATTTCCAAAGAGCTACGATACATTCCTATACACACTCGCCTCCACAGGTGGTCTTTGATATCCGGGACGTGCTTTTCCTAGCCCCAGGTCATAACATTCCATCGGGCCGGTGTGTGGGCTGGCTGGCAACATCTGTGGGTGTGGGCCCTCCCTCCCCTCTACCAGGTGAGGGCCCATCCTTGGCCCTGCCCCCCTTAGGGCCCATTTCCGAGCGGCTGTCCCTGTTGTCCCCCTGCCTTCACATTTGCCTATTCCTCACAATACTCCCGGATTACACTACATTCCATTGTCCACCGGGCTGTGGTCACAGCGCAAAAGTAGCTACCCCACCTTTATCCAGATTTTTTATAGAGGTTTTTGGGATATTGATCGTATACTACTTGGGTTACCGTATCCGGGCAAAGCACCGTAATTTTGCAAACTACCGTAGTCCCCATAAATAATGCGTTTCTGAAGTTACCGTAGCCCAACCTCCACCGCAATTTGTTGCCTACCGTAGTGCCCCTTCCTTTTCTGATTACGATCCTACAAATCAATTTTCTGTTTGTTTCTGGGCTATCTACCGTATGTTTCCGGTTACAGTAGTCAAACGGAATTTTCTGGTTATGCTCTTTTTATATCCTGCAACTATATTTTCCGATTTTTTTGCGTCAAATACCGGGTTACTGTAGCCAAATGAAACTGTTTTTCGAGCTACCGTAATCCAAATTGATAGCGTATTTTATTAGGCTAACAGAACTTTCCTTTTGCCGATACCATAACCTATTTTATGTATTTTCTGAAATGTCACCTACCATACTTTTTGCACCAAACTGCCCTTCCAAATACCGTAACCCTATTCAATACTCTACTTTTTCGGTTATCTTATCTCAATTTAATACCGCCTTTTTCAGCTAGCAAATTTTGATTTCCTACCGTACCCCAAAACGAGCCTTAACCCAATTTTTTCAAGGTAAAATGGCCATCTACGATTATGAACGAGATCCGGGGTGGCAATTCCTGCGAAGATCACGAGAGCAAATGCTCAAGGTACGGTTTGAGAATTGGTTTGAAGGGGTTACGAAGGCAAAAATCGACGCGTTGTTTCGACTGGGTGCCGACAGATACGCAATGCGCCAAATAAGGCGTATATCCAACTTTTAAAGGGACAGCGACAGCTTAAAATCTGGCGAAAAGATTGAGGATTTCAGGACCAATCCACACCGTACGATTCAAAGAAAAACGTCTGGGTCCCAGATCCTGAGGACGGTTTCGTGGCCGCCGAGATCACCTCCAGCACCCCGAACGACGTGACCGTCATCACCGCCAAGGGCAACCAGGTAAGGCTACCTGCGCCGCCAGAATACGGCCACCGATTTTTAGCAAACCTTCAAAAAGGACGCCTGCTCCGAGATGAACCCGCCGAAATTCGAGAAAACCGAAGACATGTCGAACCTGTCGTTCCTCAACGACGCCTCGGTGCTGCACAATTTGAGGGCACGATACGCTTGTATGCTCATATACGTAAGGGCAAGGTAGCAGAGATTATTGGATGACGGTTTAGACATATTCGGGGCTGTTCTGCGTCGTCATCAACCCGTACAAGAGGTTGCCGATCTACACGGAAAGTGTTGCGAATATGTATATGGGGAAGAGGAGGTGAGGATGAGGAGAGAGAAAGCGAGAAAGAGAGAAAGAGAGAGAGAGATAGAGAGAGAGCAAGAGAGACAGTCATTGAGATAGAAAGAGAGTGAGAGAGCGATAGAAACAAAGACAGAGAATGAAAAAGAGCTGCAGTGAGCGAGCAAGTGGGAAGAGCACGAGGGTGAGAGATAGCAAGAGAGAGATAGAGAGAGAGAGAGCGCGCGAGAAAGAGAAATAATTTTCCCCAGAAACGAAATGCCGCCCCATCTCTTCGCCGTCTCCGACGAGGCATACCGTAACATGCTGCTCGACCACACCAACCAGTCGATGCTCATCACCGGCGAGTCGGGCGCCGGCAAGACCGAGAACACCAAGAAGGTCAGTTGTTTTAACTTCAATGAATTCAGTTACTCTCCTAATTGAATGCGACCCAATTTTCCAGGTGATCGCCTACTTTGCCGCCGTCGGCCAGCGCCAAACCGAGGCCGAGGGAGTGCGGGTTGATGCTCAAAAAGTGACTCTCGAGGACCAGATCGTCAGGACGAACCCGGTGCTGGAGGTAGTTTCCTCAAAAATCCCGACCAGCTTGCTGTAGGCGTTCGGCAACGCAAAGACGGTTCGGAACAACAACTCGTCGCGCTTCGGGAAGTTCATCCGGATTCACTTCTCGCGGAGCGGGCGCGTCGCGTCGTGCGATATTGAGCATTACTTGTTGGAGAAGTCGAGGGTGATACGGCAAGCTCCGGGAGAGAGGTGAGGGAGGGAGAGAGAGTGAGAGAGAGGGGAGAGAGCGGGTGGGAGAGTACCACAAAATTCCAGATGCTACCACATCTTCTACCAAATCTTTTCCGGCTACAAGCCGAACCTGCCGAAAGATTTACTGCTCGATAAGCCCGTCTCGGAGTATTGGTTCGTCGCCCAGGCCGAGTTGACCATTGACGGCGTCGATGACAAGGAGGAATTTCAGGTATTTTTCGCTTCACCATACCTTTAAAATCACATTTTTTTAAAACTTGGATGCCGACATAATTAATATTGAATTTTTGGCATAATATTTGATGTTTTGAAAAAGTTTAAAATATTGAAATGTTGGGCATTATGAAATTCCGACATTCCGATATCAAATCCTATGAACCTCGATATTCCAGATGACCGACGAGTCCTTCGACATCCTCAACTTTTCAGCTGAAGAAAAGATGAACTGCTTCAAGGTATTGTCTTGTTAATGACCGTCAAGTTCGAGCAGGTCGTGGCGGCGATGATGCACATGGGGAATATGCGATTCAAGCAACGGCCACGGGAAGAACAGGCAGAACCGGATGGGACTGATGAAGCACAGAGGGCTGCTACGATGTATGGAGTCAATATGGAGCAGATGCTGAATGCGCTGTGCAAACCGAGGGTCAAGGTGGGCAATGGGGGAAATTGTCTCTGCCACATGGCGAAATTTTTGGAAAAGGATTTGACTCTTTCGCTTTCTTTCTCCCTCTCTTTCTCTCTCTCTCTTTCCCTCTCTCCCCCTTGCTCTCTCCATCTCTCTCGCTCTCGCTCTCTCTGTCGCTCACTCTTTCTGACTGCGTCGCTCTCTCGCTCTCTCTCTCTCCCTCCCTCTCTTTCTCTCTCTCCCTCTCTCCCTCTCTCCCCCTTGCTCTCTCCATCTCTCTCGCTCTCGCTCTCTCTCTCGCTCACTCTTGCTCACTGCGTCGCTCTCTCTCTCTCCCTCTCTTTCTCTTTCTCACTCTCTCCCTCTCTCCCCCTTGCTCCCTCCATATCTCAGGCTCTCGCTCTCTCTCTCTCGCTTACTCTTTCTCTCTCGCTCTCTCGCTCTCTCTCTCTCTCTCTCTCTCTCTCTCTCTCTCTCCTCTTGAAAAACCTTAAACCATCTCCAACAATGTCTCAATTAAATTACCTTATTTCCACCCAATTTCCCCAATAATCCCTGCTAGTATGCCGCTTTAGGTAGGCGCCGAGTGGGTGTCCAAGGGCCAAACAGTGGACCAAGTGCAATGGTCAGTTGGTGCAATGGCCAAAGGTCTCTACAATCGTCTCTTCACCTGGATTGTCCATATGTGCAATAAGACTCTCGATCAGAAGGGCATCTCCAGGGATTATTTCATTGGTACGTCACGGCTACGGTAGGAGGGGCGGCTTTTAAAGGTATTGGCAAGGCCCGTTGGGGCACAGAAACCCTATGGGATTTTCCGGACCGCTACACGAACGCAGAGAAATGGATTGGCGGACTTGTGTTACATTTCCAGTCCCTTTAAAACCAAAAATATCCATATTAAATATCGCTAAATTGAAGACTCGAACCGTCACGCTCCCCTTAAAAGATCATCCTCCTCCTTGCAGGCGTGCTGGACATTGCCGGCTTCGAAATCTTCGATTTCAACTCGTTCGAACAGCTGTGGATCAACTTTGTCAACGAGAAGCTGCAGCAGTTCTTCAACCACCACATGTTTGTCCTCGAACAGGAGGAGTATCAACGGTGCGATTTTGGGCCGATTACGACACGAAAGTCCGGGGAGTCGGGAGGTTTAACCGGTTAGGCCATTGAATGGGGGGTAGATCAGTTACGCCATGTAATTACGCTCCATAGCTGGAGCGGCGCGAAAAGAGTCAAGCTGGAAAATTCCGTCTGAGAACTCTTTACGTCATGTAATTCGGACGAAAACTCTGTACCCCAAACCGGTTACATCATGTAATGCTACCCTTTTTAGTGAGGGCATCGCATGGACGTTCATCGACTTTGGGCTCGACCTCCAGGCTTGCATCGAACTGATTGAGAAGCCGCTTGGTGGGGGTTACGGTAGTGGATTGAGTTATCCATGATTCAGGCATCATCTCAATGTTGGACGAGGAATGCATTGTGCCAAAGGCTACAGATCAAACATTGGCCCTCAAGCTGTGCGATCAGCACCTCGGGAAACATCCCAATTTTGAGAAGCCGAAGCCGCCGAAGGGGAAACAGGTGGCGCATTTAGATTGGCTAATTTGTAGGGTTGGCGTTGATGCAACGCAACCGCGACGCCGCCGCAACGCGTTAGCACTTAGCGTTCGTGTCTCGGCAAGTGACGTATACGCAACGCGACCGCGACGCCTTTCAGCTGCAGCATTTTAACTCTAAATCGGTTAAATGGACCGTGAACGCGCCGCGGCCGCGCGGCGTGCCTTCTTTTCGCTAAAGACCTGCGCTCTTTCACTCTAAGAGACGCGACGCGACCGCAGCGCGTTAGACTTTTCCCCTAAAGAATCTGTGACTTGCAATTTTCCAGGCTGAAGCCCACTTTGCGATGAAGCACTACGCGGGCACGGTGCGGTACAACGCGACGAACTGGCTGGAGAAGAACAAAGACCCGCTCAATGACTCGTTCATCGCCGTCCTCAAGGCGTCCAAGGGCAACGAGCTGATGCACACGATCTGGGCCGACTATGTCACCCAGGAGGAGGTAAAGTATTGGGTTTTTCGTGTTTTAAGAGACCAAATTCATAAATTGTGGCTTCTCAGTCCCTTTAAATGACCCTATGGATTTTTGCCCCGCCACAACCTTTAGGATCTGCAGTTTCATAGACTTCCCGACTCCCCAGTCTCCTTAAAAACAAAAAAAAATTCCTTTTCAAACCGCAAACTATTGATTTTTGTCTTCTACCTTCATAGCCCCGAAATGTATGGATTTTTGCCTTGCAAGTGCCTTTAATGTCCCAAAATCCATATATTTTTGCCTTCTCATCCCCTTTAATATGCAAATCAACAGGCTGCGAGCAACAAAGAAGCTGGCGGCGGCAAGAAAAAGGGCAAATCCGGGTCGTTCATGACGGTGTCGATGCTTTATCGAGAGTCGCTGAACAACCTGATGGCCATGCTGAACAAGACGCATCCGCATTTCATCCGTTGTATAATCCCCAATGAAAAGAAGACATCCGGTGAGTTCTCACGATTCCTCAAGGATCCCTGCTGGCCTGCCAAGCAGTCAGTCCAGTTTTCCTAAAGAAACCGTGCTAGTATACCCAATTTTCCAGGCCTCATCGATGCCCCGTTGGTGCTCAACCAGCTGACTTGTAACGGTGTTTTGGAGGGAATTCGAATTTGCCGGAAGGTAGTGTTCTGTTGCTCTCTCTCGCTCTCTCTCTCTCTCTCTCTCTCTTTCACTCTAGCGCTTCCTTCCAGGGCTACCCCAATCGTTGTCTCCACCCCGACTTCCGTCAACGCTACGGTATCCTGGCCGCCAACGAGGCCAAGGCGTTCGACCAGCCAAAGAAGGCGGCCGAGGCGATGATGTCGAAACTAGTGGAAGAAGGTCAAGTCCAGGAAGAAGAGTTCCGCATCGGCAAGACGAAGGTGTTCTTCAAGGCCGGGGTTCTGGCTCATCTCGAAGATATCAGGTATGCTAGCGTGGATTCTTTGCGGAATTCCCGGGGGAGAGGTAGGCTAGCAGCGTTCCTTTAGGCATTTAGGACTTTGGCAAACTAGCAAAGATTCCTGAGGAATTTCTTGAAACAATCCTTTCCCTTTCAGAGACGAAAAACTGTCGGCCGTCTTCACCAACTTCCAAGCCTCCATCCGCTGGCATTTGGGACTGGCCGACCGCAGACGACGCATGACGCAACGCACCGGCTTGCTCGTATTACAGCGGAATATCCGTACTTGGACCGTAGTGCGTACGTGGAGTTGGTATCTTCTATTCGGAAAGATACGCCCACAACTCACCGCCGGAAAAGAGGGACAGGAAGTGGAGAAGCTGGCTGAGAGACTGAAGAAAGCTGAGGAACTGGTGGTTGTAGAAGAAGAGGCCAGGAAACAGACAGAAGTGGAACATGCTAGATTGGTTGAGGAGAAGAATCGACTGTTTGCCGAGTTGGAGTCGTTGAAGGTATGAAAATAGAGAAGCTGGCCGAGGGTTAAGTCGGACTGAAGCCGGGCTTATCCTTAACTTAGCTTAAGTTTCAGACAAACTTAGAGTTGACCTTGGCCCAGGCTTGGGCTTAGGCTTGGGCTTAGTCTTAGGTTTAGGCTTGGGCTTAGGCTTAGGTCTCGGCTTCGGCTTAGGCTTGGGCTTAGCTTCGGCTTTAGCCCAGCTTGCGTCAGGCTTTGGCTTAAGCGTAGGGTTAGCCTACGTTTGCTTCGGCTAAGCTTAGGCTTAGGCTTCGGCTTCGGCTCAGGCTTCGGCTTTGCTTAAGCGTAAAACTTCTGCTTAAGCGTAAAACTTTGACTTCAGGTTGCCCTAACATGTATTAGCTTGTCCATATGGCTTAGGCTTAGGCTTAGGTCGGGCTTAAGCCTAGGCTTACTTGCGGCTTCAGGTTGAGCTTAGCTTAGGCTTGGCTTGGCTTAGCCTCAGACTTATGTAAAGCTCCATTTTTCAGGGATCGGCCAGCGGAACCGAGGAAAAGCTGTCGAAGCTGCAAGCGCTGTGCCACGACTCGAAGAAGCAGCTAGCCGAGTTAGAGGACCAACTTGCGGAGCAAGAAGAAAGAAACGGAGATGTGAGCCGAGCCAGGAAGAAGGTCGAGGCTGATCTCGAGAATCTGCGACGGCAGCTGGATGAAGCGGCAGAGAGGCTTAGGGCTGTTGAGGAGGAGAAGACGGCTAAGGAGCAAGGAATTCGAGCACTACAGGCTGAGATGAGCAATCAGGATGAGCAGGTAGGCTTAAGCTTAGATTTAAGCTTAGCTTAGGCTTGCGATCGGCTTAGATTGAGCTTAGGCCTAGCATAGGCTTAGCTTAGGTTTAGCTTAGGCTTGGACTTAGGCCTAGCTTGCCTCTAGATTCCCAAATAATCACTGCTAGCTTTTCTTCTGTCACTAAAGGGCTGGTCCACCTGATGCCCTACAAAACATTCCTCCTTACAGGTAGCGAAAATCAACCGCGAAAAGAAACAACTCGAAGAAACGAATCGACGCCTCACCGAAGAACTACAATCCGAAGAAGACAAGCAAAACCTCAGTTCGCGCACTAAAGCCAAGATTGAAAGAGCACTCGACGATATTGAAGATGCATTGGAGAGGGAGAAGAGAACAAGAGCAGATATTGAGAAACAGAGAAAGAAAGTGGAAGCCGAATTGGGAAATGTGGTTGAGAGGGTGGATGAAGTGCACAGGATGAGGATTGAGCTGGAAGGAGCATTGAAGCGGAAGGAGGCTGAACATATTGCTGTACAGGGGAAATTGGAAGAAGAACAAGGGCTGGTGGGGAAACTGCAACGGCAAGTGAAGGAGGGGATGGCGAAGATTGGAGAATTGGAGGATGAGGTCGAGGCGGAGAGACAGGTGAGTGGGAGAGAGAGAGAGCGGGCGAGAGAGTATGAGAGGGAGGGATAGAGATCGCGAGATAGAGAGAAAAAGGGCTAGCTAGAGATAGCGATACAGCGAGACCGGAAGAGAGAAATAGGGAGAGTGAGAGAGGGATAGAGCGAGTGATGGAGAGACAGATAGATGGATAGATAGAGAGCGATAGAGAGAGAGAGAGATCGAGAGAGAGGTGTAAAAGGACAGCGACATCATTTTATTTTTTCCAGGCCCGCGCCCGCGCCGAACGCGCAAAAGCCGATGTTCAACGCGAACTTGACGCAGCCGCCGACCGTCTCGATGAAGCCGGAGGAGCCACCACAGCCCAACAGGAAATTAACCGAAAAAGAGAGGCCGAACTCGCGAAGCTTCGCCAGCAATTGGAAGCCCTCAACCAGGCACACACAGAACAAATGGGGGCCATGAAGAAGAAACATGCGGATGGAGTGGCTGCACTGACTGAACAGCTTGAAGGCGCAAATAGAGGGAAGGGGAAGGCTGAGAGGGATCGATTGCAGGCACTGCATGACGTTGATCAGATACAGGCTGATATTGACACGGAGACATCGGCCAGGATGCATAATGAGAAGATGGCGAAGCAGTTGGAGATACAGGTAGGCGAGAGAGAGAAAGAGAAAGAGTGAGATAGAGAGAGAGGGAGAGAGAGATGTATAAAAACGCTCTAACAAGGGAAGGGCACGCCCACAGGGTGGAGTTTGGAAAAACGCTCGCGGCTACCCCCGGGTAATCGACCACGGAGAACACGTTGCCGTTGTCCGATTTTGCTACGGAGGCCTGTGGACAGAGATACAGCACTTCCGGAAAATGATGATTTGCATGCGAAAAATTAGCATTCGAGGGAAGCCTTATTAGGCTCTCCCATTAGTATGGAACCACCAGTTGAATGGCCGAGTGGTAAGCAACTAGCTTGATAGGATTGTGACCAGGGTACGGATCCGCTCACGATTTTTTCGTTTTGCTTTTTGACCACTTTTTTTTGCACAAGTCCAGAACCTTGTCTAAATGTGTCAAAAATAACCCTTGATGCCGTATGAAACGTTTAGCGCACAAAGAAAATTTTTTTTCGAAAAACTTATTTTTCCGATCTGCCGCCCATCCACTTCCTCCACAAGGGGATTGGTAAGGCATAAATCCATACAAATATTCAGATGCACGAGCTCCAGACAAAGGCAGATGAGCAGCAACGACAGCTAGCTGAACTGGCATCGGTTAAGGTAAGCCGCCGATTTCGAGCAGTTCATTATTTAAACCTAGACCTTCCAAACAAATCTCTGCTAGCCTTTTCCCCAAAGTTTCTCTGCTAGCATGCCAAAAATTCAAAAGATTTAAAGATCTTTCAAGGCTCGCCTCGCCGGCTCCAACGTCGACCTCGGCAAACAGATCGAAGACGCTGAGCAGCAACTATCCCAAACGTCTCGTGCACGTGTGCAGCTACAAAGCCAGCTAGAGGAGGCGAGGAGGACGGCAGATGAAGAGACGAGAGAGGGACAACATTATGCAGCACAGGCCAGGGGATATCAATTGGAGGCTGAGCAGCTGAGGGAGCAAATAGCTGAAGAAGCCGAGGGAAGAGATGAACTATTGAAGCAACTGTCGAAGGCCAATGGAGAGATACAGGGGTGGAAAGCGAAATATGAGGGAGAGGAGCTCGTTAAAGGTATGATTCGGTTATTTTAAAGGGGTTTAAAGAGGTTATTACACGTAAAATCAACGAAAAACCTTTTTTGGTTTTTGTGTGGCCAAATAACCCCGGAATTCCAAAAATAAACTGCTAACCCTGCCCAATTTTAGCCGATGAACTCGACGACGTTCGCCGCCGGCAGCAGCAGAAACTGAACGAGCTGCAGGCGACGTACGATCAGGCGATGGCCAAGGTCACATCACTGGAGAAAGCAAAGTCTCGGCTTGGAAATGAGCTAGAAGAAGCACAGGGAGATGTGGAGAGGGCACAGAATTATGTCAGCCAATTGGAGAAGACACAAAAAGGGGCTGATAGACAGATTGATGAATGGAAGAGGAAGGTGGAGGGGATGAATGCCGATCTGGACATTGCACAGAGGGAGGCCAGGTGAGGAGCATGAGCTTAGGAAGTTAATATCACATTTATGCGTAAGCCTAAGCCTAAGCATAAACCTAAACCTAAGCATAAGGCAAAGCGAAGCCTAAGCCAGAACTAATCTAAGCCCTAAGCCTAAACCTAAGCTTAAGTTTAACCTAAACCGACCCTAATCTAAGCCTAAGCCTGAGCCTGAGCCCCAGCCTAAAGCTAAGTCTAAGCCTAAACTTAACCTAAGCTTAAGATAAGCAAAAATTTTAAAGGAACCCGCAAGACAAACTCCAGCAAAATCTTTAACCTTAGAAACGCAGCTACGGACCTTCTAAAAGCCCGCGCAAGTCTGGATGAGCTGACCGCACAGGCCGACGAGTTGAGACGCGAAAATGGCGGAATGGCAATCGAAGTGCGAGATCTGCAACAACAGCTAGCTGACGGCGGACGTTCCGTGCAAGAAATGAATCGTATCGTGAGGACGCTCGAGTTGGAGAAGGAGGAAATGCAGCATGCCGTTGATGAGGCTGAGGCTGCGCTTGAGGCCGAGGAGAGCAAGGTGGGAAGAGGAGCTTTTTGAACTCTTAAACTAAAACGGGCTTGAACGTCTTGAACCCCTTGAACGCCTCTAACTCCTTGAAGTTCTTAACCCCCTTGAGTTACTTGAATTTCTTCAACCGCTCAAACTCTCTAAGCGACCTGAACTCCTCGTCCTAGTTGAAGCGCGTAAACAGCTTGAACTCCTTGAACGGCTCGAACCCTCTAAACTAGCTAAACTCTTTGAGTCGCTTGAACTCCTTGAACTCCTTGAACCTTTTTTCCAGGTTCTCCGCGCCCAAGTCGAAGTCTCCCAAATCCGCGCCGAAATCGAGCGCCGACTTCACGAAAAAGACGACGAGTTCGAGAACACACGACGCAACCACCAACGCGCAATGGAGAGTATGCAACAATCGCTAGAAACAGAGCAGAAGGCAAAGACCGAACTCGCCAGGCTCCGCAAAAAACTTGACGCTGACGTCGGGGAGTTGCAGCTGGCGCTTGAGCAGGCATTGGCCGCCAATGCGGATGCGGCACGGAATTTGGGGAAGCATCAAGAGCAGCTGGTTGAGCTGCAACGACAGACTGAAGATGAACAGCGGGCAAAGGAGGATCTGCGCGAGCAGTATTTCGCGGTGGAGAAGAAGGTGACACTGTTGCAGGTAAGGTTCTCATACGGGATCAAAGTCCAGCTTGCAAGAAATCGATATAACGAACCTAAGTTCAGGCTGAGAAGGAGGAGCTGTCGGTTGCACATGACGCCGCGCAGAGGGCGAGAAGGCAGGCCGACGCGGAAGCCCAGGACGCTAGACAACAAGCTGACGAACTGTCCGCACAGCTTGGCTCGCTGCAAAATGCGAAGCGGAAGTTGGAGGGCGAGGTGCAGGCATTGCATGGGGATTTGGACGAGACGATCAGCGAGTACAGGACGGCTGAGGAGAATGCAACTAGGGCACAGGCTGATGCTCAAAGAATGGCTGAACAACTACGGCAACAGGCGGATCATACAGGTAGAGAGCGAGAGAGAGAGAGAGAGAGAGAGAGAGAGAGAGAGAGAGAGAGCCTAGGAGATCCCGATCCCGAGAGAAAGAGCTACTTTCTAATTTCAGCGGCCCTCGACCGCTCCAAAAAGGCGCTTGAGCAGCAACTGCGGGACCTACAAACCCGCCTTGACGAAGCAGAAGCAGCGGCTCTAAAGGGCGGCAAGAAGGTGGGCGTGGCTTCTCGTACCTTCCATGGTCCTTTAAAACCAACTACCGATCTTCTTAGGTGATCGCCCAGCTCGAGAAGCGCGCCCACGACCTGGAGCTCGAGTTCGAGACGGAGCAGCGGCGATTCCAGGTTAGTTAAAGGGACTGGGAAGAGTGAAAAGCGCCGGTTTTCCCGTGGTCTATTGGTAAGGCTCCTGTTTTTCAAAAATGGTTCTATCCCCTGGTTCTACTCCCATCCGCCAGAATTTCTTGTGTGTTTTTTTGTTTTGTAACGTAAAGCTTTAAATTTTCAGAACGCGAACAAGGAGCTGACGCGCAACGAGCGCCGAGGAAAGGAGCTTCAGTTCCAAATTGAGGAGGACCGGAAGGGGGCCGAGAGGCTGTCGAGCCTTGTCGACAAGCTCCAGGCAAAGATCAAGCATCAGAAAAGGGGCATTGACGAAGCGGTACGTTAAAAAAAGAAGATATTATAAAAAAACGTGCGCCCTGAAAGTTGTGTACAAAGGAGTGTCGCGTAGGCTTGAGGACGCAACGCTCCGCTGTACACCTATGCGCAGTGCCATTTAGACAAAGTTTGAGCTTTAACTGCCCAATTTCAGGAAGAGCAAGCCAGCGCCTCGCTCTCGAAGTACCGCCAAGTGCAGTGCCAGCTCGAAGACGCCGAAGAAAGGGCCGATTCGGCTGAGAACAACCTTTCGAGGATGAGATCCAAAAGCCGCGGCGCCTCTGTGTTGCAGGTAGGTTAGTTCGAGTTGAAGCCTTTATCGACGAGGCCTAACTTCGGCCAAGCCTAAGCTGCGCCTACGCTAAGCATAAGCTAATTCTAACCTAAGTTAAGCTAAGCTAAGCTAAGCCTAAACTAAGCCTAAGCTAAGTCTAAGTTAAGACTACGCTAAGCCTAGGCTAAGGCTACGGTAGTGACGGTAGTGCGTAGCCTCCTCTACGCCCACGCCTACGCAAAATTCCAGGGTTCCGCCTCGGCAGCCGTCATCCGCGCGCCGTCTCGCTCCAAATTTTGAGGTTTCCATGTATTTTCTACTCCTTAAAACTTTCTAATTCTTATTTTTACACTCTTTTTTGTATTTTCTATGTATTTTGTGTTTCTCTGCGTCTCTGCTCTCTATTTCTGCCCCCCAAAAGTGTCAGAACGCCTTCAAAAACAATTTTCTCACATTTATCCAGAATCAGGTGGACAAAAAAATAGCAAATTCGTTGCTTGGAGAATTGTGTGTGTGGGCTTCGCATTTTGCTGGCGTGATTTTTGTTGCGGTGCAATAAACGATAAAAGATTGGTGGTAAAAACGAGAGAGATGAGAGAGGAGCGAGAGACAGCGAGCAACACCCCTCATCCCAACCGCATCATATTCCCCAATTTCCGTTTGCCGATGCGGAACATGTTGTTGAGGTTGTTGTTGTTGCGCTTGAACGCGTGCTCCGGGTCCGACCTGCAATTTTTTTGGTTGTAGTTTGGAGTTATGGGGTAGTGGCGGCAGATGCGAAAAGCTTGGCGGAAAAGCGGAAATGTTGTAAAGCTTTTTACATGATTTAGGTAGGTTTAAAAGTAAAAACAACTTTTTTTGTAAAGAATTCATCATTCATAACTTTAAGTAATTTTCGGATACTCTTAGAATTACAAAAATCACTATTAAAAGTGTATTTATATTTCAAAAAACGCATACTTTTTTAAGTTAATAGCTTTTTTAAGCCTTGTGATATTTAAAGATGCCCTTAAATACTATAAAAAGGCTGCTTAAATCATAATTTTATGCAAAAACGCAGCTTTTATAGCTTATATTTTTTCTAAAGCATTTTATTCTTTTTCTAGGATAGCATTTTAGTTTCGTAATCATTTTTCTACCCTCTAAACCCACCCCGCCCTTGCCAGCCCCTTTAACAAAAGCAAAAAAGTCGGAAAAATTGCCTCTTCACCAACATCTCGGCCCCGTCGACGTTGACGTAATATTGGGCGTACGCGGCCCCGGCCAGCGCAAGCAGTAGCACAGCGTACACGAGCCACCCGCGTGGAGAAGACGCCATCTGACGGGGTCTCTGAATATTTATATTTTTGAAAATTTTAAAAGTGAATAAACAGCAAATAAAGGTACTATGTAACGATATAGAGACAACGTCAGTATCGTCAAAACCAAAATAGAGGAGCAGAAGTTTCCCTAAGAATCTTTGTCAGCTTGTCGGAGCTGAAAGAGGTAGTAAAGGGGTTTTAAAACCACCAAAAATCGTGAGAAAGTAGTTAAAAAGCGCCTGAACCTCCAAAAAATTTTATAGACAATCCAATTTTCCCTAAAAATCTCTGCCAGCTTGCCGGAGGTTCCAATTAGTCTAAAAAGAATTTAAAAACCCAACTTTTCCAGCAAAGCAGAAAATATCAAATTCGAGAAAATGATGTAGTCCACGCGCCGCGCGTAATTCTGCACTTTCGCCGCGTTTTAGTGTCCGGGACGACGGCGTCGCTCTTTCACTAGTAGCTTTTTGCTAGCTCTAACCGGCCAAGAGTGGAATTAGGAGCGAAACGTATGTTTCCGAATAAAGTCGAGATTTCTAATAGTAAGGCTTGACCAGGCCTTTCCCAGCCTCAAGCGCCGCCCAATCTCAGAAGCCAATGCCTCGTGCTCAGCTCCCCCAAAAACAGCCCGCCGAAATACACATTCATATTAATGCTTAACGATACGCGCGGGCGGGCCGAATTACGTAGAAAAAATACGGAAAATAGCCGCCGAGTGGCGCGGGCGATTAGGTGTTGTATACAAAAAGTACCGAGTGGCCGCTATTGGGTTATTTGGGTTTTAGACGCTTTAAAGGGGCCGTTTGAGCAGAATCTAATCAAAAAATGTAACTAGTGCACAATATAGTGTATAAACGACACGCTCCACTTGACGGTTTTACCTAGCGCGCTTTCGGTATTCGATTACGCAATGTTTTTCCAGGATAATTCGAAACGAAATTCTCCGAAATTTCTAAATTTATACATAAACTTTAAATTAAATCTATATAAACTTAAAACCCATGGAAAAATGCATATTTTAAATGAGCATTGATGGGTATCGTAGTCTTTTTGACGCATCCCGCTCGTCAGCCAGCCGCACAAAAGTTGAATTGTCCATAATGGGGGCGCTGTTGGGGCAATTTCTGTGGTGTGGGGGGCGGTGGGGAAATAATTGTTGGAATTAAAGGGGCCCGGGGGCCCGGAGTGCTGCGGAAAATTGCTCGCCAAAAATTGGCATTTAATCGGATGGGCCCCGGGGCAGGCTGGCATATTACGGTCGCGTCGAGACGTCATCTGCAAAGTTTATCCCCCATCCAAAAAGCTATAGCGGGCGGGAGAGGAGCATCTGGAATTAAAGGGACGGAAAGGCAAGATTCTAGGTTTTTTACTATGTATTTTTCTTTTTGAATTTTGCGTCGGGCGCGACCCAGAACGCGTGAAGTCTTTTTCGGCCCTTTAGATTATCTAAAAGAAGTTTAATGGACTCCGCTCCCCCGTGCTGTACAGTGCATACTTGCTAACATTTCAAACGCTACAACAAAAAGTTTATTATACAAAACAAACAAAAAAAAAAACAATAATTTTTTCTCTTCCTTTCCTAGACCTCGCGCATGAAGCCCACTTGCTTCTTCTCTTCCTCCCGCTGACGCTGCAGAGACCTTAAAAATAAAACATGACAAACAATCGGCTACACACTCCATAATCAAAAAATCCAAAAAATTAAACTCACAGGGTATACCGCCGGAAGCGCAGGGCCAGACAGTTGACCTGGCAGGCGATGAACAGGAAGCCCCCGGTCAAGATTGCCGTGCAACAACCTGAAAATTATATTAATGCTAAATGCTATTAAATTCCAAGGCTCAAAAACTATCCCAAACCCTACCTCGTGAATAGGCTTCCCCGCGTGCGCCGGAACTATCACCAAACACCGTCAGCACGACAAAGCCATAGACAGCTACGTGGGAGTTCTGCAAATGGCCTGATTATGCTACGCTTGTTGAAATTACAAAGGCAACAATGAAGAGGTTGATCCACAGTGTCGAAACCGTTTTGCAGCTCAGCGCGGCGAGCACGGACGGCGAAGCGTTGTAGAGAAAGACGGCGGAGAACTGTAAGCCACTCAATATTTATGGTGCGTAAAGTAGCCAAATGACGTGACGGACGCTTCGCCTGGACTTATAATATCGATGCACTTACAAAAAGCCAAATCCTGGGATCGTCGCGGTCTCCCGATGGTCCGAGCAGTAGACAGCCAAGAAGCGTGGAACCCGTCGTGGAGGCCATTAGGGCGAATGCTGTGTAGCCAAGGAGTGCGTCCTATAACAATTTCGTAATAAGCACACAAAAAATTACGTCGATTTACTATGACACCCACCTGTACGGGGATTCCCCAGAAGCGATATTCGTTGTCGGATTTCGAGGGTTTTGAGACAGTTTTCGGCAACATTTTTAATTGAAATCTTAGTTACGACCTTGAGGGAGGTTTGAGGAGAGGGATTGGATGACTCTTTCCCAAACCACGGCCCTTATATACCTGAAACTGACCTGGGTACTTTGTAGTTGTACATCTGCCCGCGTTTGAAGACGCTCTAATGGGTATCTATCCTTTAGTGCGGCGTTGGTGATCTCACCTGGTCAAAGTTGGATAGACGTAATGAGCAAACGGCCGATGCGCAAAGAGAGACGACCATTCCTGAAATAATCTACATAAACTAATTAACAAAGACCCAAAATACAAAATCTATTAGAATACTTACCGGAGCGCGGCGAAACTACCAGATCCCCTCTCATTCCGTCTGATCCACCTGACAAAATGGGCCTCACACTCGGCGTCTTACACGAGGCACTCTCCACCTACCACGACGTCACCAAGGTGCCATTCAGCCATTCAAAATCACCAAATTTCCAGCAATACCGGCGCCAAGTGGCCTACTGCGAGCTCGGGCCGCTCGTCTACTTTGACATCGGCACCCACCGTGGCACCGAGGGCCGCGTTGTCGGTAGGGTCCGCAACCCCTCCCCAGAATTCCCGCCCTTCTAGTGGAACTTCAGCAACAAGCACAGCCCGAGCTCAGCGAACATCTGCTGAAGCTGTGCGCCGGGCAGTACTCGGACACCGGGGCTAAACCTCGCACCTATGCCAACGCGAAAATTGCGGCGATCGACAAGCCGAGCCGTGTGCTGCTCGTCGGTAGCGTTGGCGTGCCAAACTAAATCCAGTTCAGGGAATACAGAGGATGGCGAGCCGACGTTTCACCCGGCGCACGTCGGTGGCGTCGTCGTCGAGAACGCGAGGCAGACGGGCCCCTGCTTCCAGTAAGCGCCCCTGAACCGGAAAAGTCAAGGGACCTTTGTCAGGGACGGCTCTCTGGTGATGCTGCCGTTCTCCTGGAGCTCCCGGCACTTCTCCTCCCTGTTCTACTTCTACACCGGCTCCGCCACCTGGGTCCGCGATGGTGTCGTTGTCGGCCGCATCGTTGAGGGTAGTGCCGAAAAAGTGAACTTATTATTTTGAATTGACAGGCAAAGAGGTCGTGGAAGAGCTGATGGACTATGGCACGGATAGCGGCATTCCGCGACATCCCCTCTACATCCTCGCTTGCGGTCGGCTTTGAAGCACACGACGCCTTAACTTTTAAAGGTAACTTCGAATTAAATTCCTAAATCCTTATTCAGCCAGTTCATGAGCCCGATCTACTCGTCAACACAACCCGCCCTATTGAATACTCGAAACTTGCCATTTATCACCCGGTTGCATTAATGGAATAAACATTGAAGAGTCCCACACGCGCAAAACTACATCCCACAAACATTGGTCGAAAAATATATCCGAAACGCAATTGGTTAGATATACCGTTAATCTTTGTCAAACAGGCCATAATATTCTCTGAACAATTTATTCTTGTAGCCACCACGAAAAAAATACTAGGTAAAAAGAGGAATCAGAATTACATGAAGCAACACGATAACCGATTAGGGAGCTACGGACGCATTTTCTTTTTTGATCTTTTTGCTTCCGGTTTGCCCTCTGCTTTTGCCTCGGCGTCCTTCTTTTGTTTCTCGGCACGGCGCTCGATCAACAATTTTGTGCCGTGTAGCGTCAGCAGGTAATTTCGGTGAGCCGAATCCTCTCGGCGGGCAACGTCAGGATCAACATTCATCGTCAGCTCCTCCGGGATGGAGAAAGGGCGGAATCCCGGTGTTATAATTTGCTTGTACTCGATATTCGTCGGCAGTCCCGCAATGCCGTTATCGGTACCATAATCGAGGATCACGTCATCAATGTCAAACCTGCGGGCAGGGGCAGAGTTCTTATGCTTCCCGTCAGCACGTTTCTTCTTTTGGGGTACGCGTAAGGTGCCACTGCGCAGCTTTGGCAACTGGTACTCTTCATCGCTTTCCTCGTAAATATCAGACTGGTCATCAGAGCCGTAACCACCGCGAAATGGCTTGAATCTGATGATAAATGAGCCGGGCTGTTCACCATCGTCGGGAAGGTCATCATCGGTGTACGGGTTGGGAAGGCATCGGGAATGTTCGTCGGCGACCAAGTCTTTGTCCCCCCATGCGCTTTGGTCGATCCTCGTGCGCACGGTGGCAGTTGGGACAATCGCAAGACTGTGTAACAATGCTTCAGATTTTCGGGTGAACGGTACATCATCAAGTCCAGTTGAGATCTCTGCATGAACTCGGTCATCAACCGCAGCGAACCTCGCAACGGTGCCTGCTGATTCCGAGAATTTCCGAAGGTCAACGTTTGGCTGCGGATCCAATTGTGCACGGATGATATCGGCGTGGTACCTTCGTCTCCAATGCCGCGTTTTCGCACAGTGGTGCCCAGTCTCCAGCTCAGCGTCAGCCTCCAACGTACACTTAGCATGTGCCTGGGTTTGCTCCTCCAAACCATCACGCAATCTCTTTAGCTCGTCGATGTAGTCCTCGATACGCGTTGTTTGAAACCGCGAAAGCAGGCGTCGAGCATCCAAATACTGAAGGGTGACTGGGTCCATTTCATCATAATCCAGCTCGATGTCCGAATAGTCGGTGGAAGCGCCGTCGTCTTCGACGCTGATACACTCGCGGAGTGCCCGGTTGATGGCATTGACAGCCTTTCGTCGTTTTGGTACGCTGGCCACATCGCCTTCCTCAAAAACGACATGTCGCACCGCATCCGGGAGAAGAGGGGCGATGGGTTGTTTGTGAAAGTTGCGCAGCTGCCGCCCGAGTTGAGGGTTGGTCATCTCTTCGCACTCGGGTATAAAGAAATTGAGCGCATCAGCATCTCTCAAGAGAACGACATTCGCGGAAAGCGCCTTCCGCTTTGCTGCTTCCGTGTATCCTTGTCGGGCTTGAAACGGGTCCCGTTCCTCGGCAGGGGGTAGCTCTATTGAGGCTGGCGGCACCATCTTCAGCGCTGTGCTTGTTGTATGACGATCCGAAGTTCTGGCTTCGGCGCAGTTGGTTGTAGCGCAGCTGTTCGCAAACTAAAATTGAGATAGAGTTAACTGACAAAAAAACCCACCATTTATTTGCAATTTGATCTCCGTCAAAGGTGGTCGTATCTACCACTCGCATACAATGGTTGACGGCTGAAAAAAATATATAGGATTAGCGACAAGTAAATAGACGAAAGGATCCGGAAGGACAAACATAACATTAGAAAGATAGGAGTCTCCTGCCGCGCGCAGCGACTATTTTGCGTAATTCTTGAGCCCGCTTGAAATATGACCAATATAATTTTGATCTCCCTTTAAAAGATTGTAGAATTTTACAAGTTAATTCGCAATCTTGCTTGGTTAGTTCATTAGAACGAAAGTCATTAGGTCGAAAATTATTACGCCGACACTTTTGCACCGACGTTCGCGTGAGTCATCGAAAAATCGATTTTGGATGAGTACGCGATAATACAATACTCGGTATAAATCATTGGAAACTCCTCGGAATCATTTTTCTTGAAAGGAACATATTTATTTTTTTCTATTTCTTTTATTGAAAGTTTCATATCCTTTTCATTGTAAATTTTTACTCACTCTTTCATTTACAGGAGCAAGAATGGGCAATATCTTGCGACGACGTTGCCCGCCAGAAGAGCAATTGGAGACAATAGCATGCCATGTCAATTTTTACAAGAAAACCTTGGAGGTTTGTCTTTTTCGTATTATTTACCACAAGTTTTGATTTTCAGGGTCTGCCCGGCCGCCGCCAAACTGCACATCGCCAATCACTGATGCTCATCGTTTTCCTGACAACCACGACGCTCGCCTGGCTGATCCTACACTTCCCCGAGAAGAGCCGCACCCTGCTTAGCGTTTTCCCGGCCGTCATTGGGCTGCTCCTACTGTGGTTGCTGCGAAAAATGGTCAACAGTTACTACAATTACACTGTGGGCAAAACGCAACGTGCCCTCGATTGGGCGATGCACAAGAAGGACGAGACGCTGGAAGAGATCCGCGAGACGAAAACTTTTAAGGTGTGTGGTTTAGCGGATTGGTTGAGCGACGGCCTTTTTTCTGTCCATTATCTATGTCTTTTAGGTGGCATGTGAATTGCTCGAAAAATACGACGACGCCGAGCCGCACTCCGCTGCCAAAGCCAGCAAAACGACTTCAACCACGGACATTCGCACCGAAATCCCGGCAACGACTCCGCAAGGGGTGCATCGTGGTGCGAGTGGCCGGCGTGTGGCTGTTTCTACCCCTATTCGACGCCAGGCCCCGTTACCGATACGACCAATGGTTCGGCAACCGCCATCAATTGTGGAACGGGTACGTCTTGGTCTTAGTGGCTATAATTTCTTTTCCAGTTTATCGACTACTGCCTCGGCGAGGGACCAGGTACAAGAAACGCGCTGATCTGCTCACTATGTCACACTCACAATGGGATGGCGCTGCCTTCAGAGTTTGATTATCTGGCATTTCGATGCTTCAGCTGCAATCATTTAAACCCGGCTCGTAAATTACGACCGAGTCAGCAGTCGTCAGCTAAACCACTACAGGTAGATTTTAGTTGTGAATTGGGAACGATCTGTGGCCCAGGTCTAATGCTTGTTATAGAATTTTGAAAACTGTCGTTTTAGGCTCGTCCCGCGTCGACTCCCTCTTCTCTGACGATTCTACCGGGGGCCCGTGAAATAACTAGTCAAGCCGTGGACGGAGACCAGCGTTCTTCTACGGATAAAACTCCTGAACTCGACGAACTGAGCTCCAAATCCGAAGAACTGGAGCCAGTCGTCAGCACTGAAGAAGTTAGCCGGGCTTGAACATTTTCCTTGATCCGTTTCGCAGTATCCGCATTTTCCTTAGAAATGTTCTGTTCAGATTTTTTGTGAGTATTTTTTTTGCTGTGTTTGAGCTCGTTGTTGTGATGCCAATTGGATGCTCGTATTTCTTGGAAACCTCGATTAATAAATTCAAGCAATGGATGAGCAAGTAAGACCAAGCGGTGAGGAAGCAACCGTACAATACAATACCCTGACAATCATTAAGCAAATAGTTCAACGGACGCGGCGAGCGGCTTTGTCGTGGCGGTGTTGATGGTTAATCTGGTAGCGCTGGTTCATCAGAGCGCCGGTTCGACGTCGTCTGGGCGGATGAGGACGTATGAGAGTTTTGTGTACAGCCTGTAATCGATTTCTTTAGCGTTTGACATGTGCCGTACCTAACCGTCGGCGGGGTAGCACGGAATAGATCGCGTGCCGCGGATGGGCGCTCATTCTGGAATAGAGGCTTAGATGTACCGAAGTTGACAGCTGATGAAGCGATTTTTTCATTACCTCTTGCAACGAGTCAAAAAGCGGCTGACTAACGGCCAAACTCAACACGGCCAGCTTGAAGCGCTTGTTGGTCATCTCCGCGCAGTCCTGTGGCCAGTCGTTCCGCGCCGGCACCAAAAATTCCATCTAAAGATGGATGCACAACAGTATCGTGCTGCATACCGTAAATTGGCTCTTCGCCGCGATCATTCCGTGCACCTGCTTGACGATCGGGAAATGACGGTCCTGTAAGAAAGGTATGTTCTAACGAAAAGGAGCTTGAGATTACTTACCCGGCCCTTGATTGCGTAGGCGACCGGGAACGGATCGAGGTTTTCGAGGACGAACGTCGTGACGACCGGCGAACGAAAGCCGTGCTTCGGGCGGAAAATCAGCCATCTACGATAGGCCTACGATCGGCTTAAAAAAAGCAAAGTACCTGGGGATAATTTTGATTTCGCTGTCGGGGGTCTGGCCCTGCGCCGCACCCGTTGGGTGCACTGAATCCATGCTAGAAGGGTGAGGGTAACGGGTAGAAAAATGACTTTAAATTTCCGCAGTTTTTTCCGTTTCATTCCGGAAAATGCAATTTTCGTATTTAATTTTGTATTCTCCTCCACTGTTTTAGAGAGATACTTCCAATATTTCTGCCCGGTGTTTCGGATCCCGGGAGGGCCGTTCTCAAAACATCTGCGTGGTTATCATTCGCATTGGGGCGGCGAGTCTTCTGTCGATACCTGATCGAAGTTCTGACCTTCCTTTGGCCCTCCGTAAGTCTGTCCTCTGTAAATTTCTAGAGTGCAGCTAAATTATTAGAACCTTTTTCAGGTCAGAATGTCATTCCCAATGTGGATTCGACACGTCGAGGTGGCGATTTGCCCTCCGCCCGTCCACGCATATCAGTACCGCGTGGGGTGTGGTCGCTATGAAGCTAAGGTAACTAATAAAATGCATATTTCTATTATATTTAGCGCGCTTTCATCGTCAACTGTCTGGGGGCAATGCTGAGCGTATGCGCCTGGAGCTACGTTTTCATGGCCCTGGAAATTTACCCCAGCTTCGCCCTGCCGTATGATTGGCCGATCCGGGTCAGCGGTTTTGAGAAGAGGAATACCAAAAAATAAACAAAACCTTTTATGCCCTAATTTCAGTTCTTTGGCCACATGATGCCTCAGCTGCCCCGGATCTTGTGCGGATTTTCGGCATTGTGGACGCTGAAGCCGTCGCTTGCCCAGCTGCATCCACTCGCATACGTAAGTTTGCTCGCTTACCAAAGTCTACATAAATCACTATATTACAGTCGCCAGTTTGAGCACGCAATAAACATGATAAAAATTAGAAAAACTATCAAAGTTTACGACTAAATTTCTAGGCTGTTGCCTCGGCCTACCGCTTCTTGATCCTATTCCTCCATGGGTCAGTTGGTAAATGGATTTTAATGGCAAAATTCAGGCGCAAATTCTGGCATCTCCTCCCGGGCCTCGGCTTTGAGGGATACTCCATTTTCGGTCGGTTCTATGATGATCTAGCTAGATTCATGATTAAACAAAAGAATTATTTTAATTTATTTTTAGCGCTGATTTGCTGCTTGGCGATGATCAATGCGCTGACGTGCGGCTCGGCGATGCATTGCTGGTACTCGCTGTACCGTTGGATTCGGTAGGTTTGGATTTATACAAATCAGTGTAAGGGTTTGGAGAGGTTACAGGTCAAAAAACAAAACATTTGAATTCCAGGGATCGCCAGTTGCGCCGCGAAATGCTGGGCCCAGTGGGCAGCCATTGATGGGTCGAACTTTTTATTCCTTTTTTTACTTCCAAATTTTTGAATTTTGCGACATAGATCTTAATTAATTTTTTTCATTCTTGTCGGTTTAACACGCTACGACAAGCACAATAACGCTATTGGGAGCAGAAAGGGTCGGGCTTTCGGTATGCATTTTATATTGAAGGTCCGGCATGGCAGAGGATTCCATGAATATTTGAGGCCTGAAGCATCCCGTGCTGGTCAACAGCCTTAGATAGATATCTTCATGAGTGCATCTTCGCAAACTTAAATGGCTGTATACCCGTAATTTTTTTACTAAACTAGGCTTTTAGCGTCTGCGAAATCCTTTTTCAGACTTTTCATAATTGTTAACTTTTCTAAAACTTTCAGGATTTTAAAAAGCATCCTGCCAATTTCGTTGTTTCTCATCTTGGCTTTTGGCACTAGCGGAATATTTTGGAGAAGCTAGGAACCACGAATTTCTGGTTGTTTTAAAAAAAATTAAAAAAATTAAATAATAGGTTAAATGCCTTTTCTTTTCTTTCCTTTCTATTATTAATATTAGGAGCCAAGTAGTGTAAGAGCACCAATATTTTAGCGTAAACTCGGTGGCGGGCCCTCCTTTTGCTACGGGCCCCCTCTAACCAGCCAGCTGGCCCCTGCTCATCGATTTGCCGTCGGGGTACTTGTCTCCAACGGCCCCCAGGGGTCCATTCTTTACCTTCGAATAGACATCTACGCAGTCTACGAAAAGCCAGCAATCATATTTCATCGATTATAGCATCTACTATTTTCTATACTAAAACCCCCTTTTACGATAATCCAATTATACCCATGCTCAGCGGACCTGGATAATGACAAACTCCTCGATACGTTACAGCGCGCTGAGGCCCGACGAGCCGGGTAGGTCCAAAAACGGCTCTTCCATGGCCCGAGCTCTTCCAGGGTCCTCCACCAGCGATGAAGTTCGATTTGGGACCGATCCCGATTATTTCAAGTCGGCATTTACGTACGCAAAGTACAATGATCTCGACCGGATGGGCTATCAGGTCCCTCAAAGGTTGGTTTACACAAAAAGTCCTTAGTAAATTAAATATAACAAATACATAAAAACGACCACTTTTGCAGATTCGGAAAATGGGCTAGGAAAAGTGTCGGGCGTTTTACTTATACACCACGAGACACTTGGGAGCAGGAAGATGAGGAAGTAGTGGAGAAACCACTATCCTATATAGGTTCGTCACCCCCCCCCTTTTTTTTTAAACAATAAATCCTTGTTCTAAACGATTCTGAGAGTTCTCTAATTCAGAATACATATTTTTTTTCAGAGTTAATCATCGTCGTCATCGCGGCCATTCTCGCGATAGCAACCATGCCCTTCTCGTTAATTTTTACGCTAAAGGTGAGGCGATACATTCTTAGAAAACTTGAAAAGTCCTGCACTACAAAACATAACCCTCATTTAGCTCGTCGGTCCGACCGAAAAACTGGTGGTGATGCGGTTGGGCCGTGCGATGAAGCCTCGGGGCCCAGGACCGTCTCTGGTATTGCCTTGCATCGATTCTGTCCACCTTGTCGATACACGACTCAACGCATTCTCAGTTCCGCCGTTGAAGGTTCGTCTCAATAGCTTTACAGAATAACCATCCCATTTCAGATTATAACGCAAGACCGCGGTCTCGTAGAACTTGGCGCCACCGTATATCTAAAAGTTCGTGACGTGATGGCGGCAGTTTGCGCCATTCAGGCAAAGCTCCCAAAACATAAAATACAACAAAAATTCTTCCAGGAGCGCGATTCTTCAACCCGAACGCTGGCATCGACGCTTCTCTATCGGCACGTCAGCCAAAAGAGGGTCTGTGACATGAGTCACGCACATCAAAAACGTGAACTTGCTACAGCAGTCAAAGTTTGTGCAAAAAACTACTAAACCAATAGAATTCTAGGAGGAAATGGGCTCCTTCACGCAGCAATACGGAGTGGAAATTACGGAAGTCGAGCTTTCGGAGGTCAAGGTCAGTTCGAATTGTCTTTTTCCAGGTGTTCCAGGTCGAGAAAGCCGGTGAAAACATGGGAATGGCTGCCCTATCAGCAGTCGCCAAGTCGGAAGTCGGCCAACAAATCTGGAGCGTTATCGGGCCGACGCTCGAAGATATCGCGAAAGAGGCACAAGAACAGAAAAAAGTGGGGGGACCCAGGCGAAAAACCTGAAATCTTTTAGGATGAGGATGAATACACTTCTGCGTCCTTGATAGACCTCAGTGGGCTAAATGGAGAAGACACGCTGCCGAAAAAGTTACCACAGCCAACTGGTCCCCAAGTAGATATTACAAAGCTGCTTGCCATAGTAAACCTTGGCATCGACGATTCGCTAACGCACGCGGTTGGCAAGGTACAGAAAATCAACTAAATCTTGAACCCCCGTTCTAGGTCTACCAAATACATTGTGAAGGCCATGAGTCTTTCTACATTGATCTCAAGCATGGGAGCGGCAAGGCGGCTAAGGGCACAATAGAACACCCGTATGTGTAAACATTAACCGGAAATCGAATTCAGGAACGTGGTGCTACACGTGCAAGGTTCGATTCTCAGCGGGCTGCTATCGGGAGCGATCTCGCCCCTGACCGCATACATGAACGGCTCGCTGCGGATAGAGGGTTCGGTGCAGGATGCTACCTCGCTGTCCCACCTGGCTCAACGTGTCTCTCACTTGCTATGAAAAGAAATTTCGATTTCTGGTGCTGGCGTCTATCTTTAGGATGTGTCATAAATACTTCATTTGCATGGGAAATAATTATGAACAGCGAACATCCACCAAAGCAAGAAAATGGTTTCCCAAAATTAGGCTTCGGCGCACGCCACGGGCCGTGTTTTACCGCATAAAATACAACCAGTAATTTTTCGCCACGAGAATGATTTGCCGTTTTTGTAAAAAATTTTGCATGCGCAGAAAAAGAAAGACGGAGTTACATTCAGAGTAGCGTGCACAAGAAGCAATATCACATGGGTTCAAGTGGCCAGAGTTAGCCGTGAAAATGATGCGTAATAATGAATGTGCACAATGAGAGGGCATGGGGGCTTTAGAAGAAAGAATTAGACCTTGGACAGCTGGTTGGAGAGCCAGTCGAGACCTTCGTAGAGACCATGTCCTTGCGTGGCACACGTGGCTTGGATATACCACTAAAATCAATATATAAACAACGGCGGAATCAACAACCTGTCGCGAACGCAAATTATGGAGCCCCAGCTTGTCAGTGAGTTCAGCAGCCGACATGGCATTCGGCAAATCCTAAAAATAGCCTGCATACGCAAGAGAAAATCTGAGCGTACCTGCTTGTTGGCGAACACAAGCAACGTGGCATCACGAAGCTCGTCCTCGTTGAGCATCTTGTGCAACTCTTCCCGCGACTCCTCGATACGCTCGCGATCGTTGGAATCCACCTAAAAAAGAGACAAATCAGCTAATCAATCCAAAACCGGAACAATAATAAGTCTACTCCGAAATGAAAACTTACCACAAAGATCAACCCTTGTGTGTTCTGGAAATAGTGTCGCCAGAGAGGCCTAATCTTGTCCTGACCGCCGACGTCCCAGACGGTGAATGAAATGTTCTTGTACTCAACGGTCTCGACGTTGAATCCTACAAAATAACAAGTTGCATGTTATCAGTTTAATATTTACCAATCGTGGGAATAGTAGTGACAATTTCGCCGAGCTTCAGCTTGTACAGGATCGTCGTCTTTCCGGCGGCGTCGAGTCCGACCATCAGGATACGAACCTAGATCGAAATTAGCAACCCTAATAAAATCACACCTGTTTCTTGCCGAAAAGGCGGTTGAACAGTCCGGAGATAGTCAAGCCCATTCCAAGCCCGTAAACTGAAAAAAAATTAAAATACTATCTGCTTCCGGAACGAGTTTGAAAGTATCAATGAAAGGAAAGAGGGCATGAGCAAGCGATGCGGTGAAGGATGTCACGTCGAACGCTAACGTCACACACGTGTATGGGGGAAATTTCGTTGCAGGACCCGCGGCAGAGGTGCAGTGGGGGGTTTACGATCGGGAGAGCGGGGCATAGGCGATGGGGGGAGGGGTGAATAGACGGAGAATAGAAGCAGGGTTCGGTCGTGGAACTCCATGAAAATGATCGTAATCGAATGTGAGAGATCGAAGACCTTGAAAAATTCTGAAATTTGAGAAAGGCGAAGCAAAGAAAGAAAAATTCGAAAAAGAAAAATGACGGCGTTCCGGGGGCGGACGCTCCTTGGGTGACTTGTTTACGGAAAACCGTCCGTTGGAAACACGCGTAGCTCTTTCGACCCGGATTTTCCTTTTCCGATTTTTGACTTTTGTACAATTATCTTGATTTGAAATTGCAAAAGCAAGATACTCATTTCTGTTCAATTTTCTTCTATATGTCTGTAGGATCACCAAACAGATTATTTTCAGATGGATCCCGGCCATGTTCAAGCGATCAGGGAGATGTACAACGTGACGATTCCCGTTTCCTCTGATTATGCGGCCATTTTCGCGATAGTTGCAGGTATACTCGTTTGGCTGCCTCGGCTTTATGGATATTTTTACGCTATATCCGTCTAGCGGATTCACTTTGACCGTGGGTTTTTTTCCAACCGATTCTATGGTAGGACGCTCTGAGCTCGATTTTTACCTAAAATCAATCTGATATGTTGTTTTTCAAGCTCAGCGCGTCAAACTACTCTAGGATCTTCGAAAAAAAATGTGTAAAACCAAAGTGGCTACTTCTCCGGTTTGAAAATTCCTGGCGGCTTTTCGCGCCGTATTATTCGCATTAAACAGTTTTCCAGGCTTGGTGATCTTCCTCTCGCTGACGGTCACCTACGTCGCTGTCGGCATTTGGAATATGAACCCGGGGCGAGACTCGCTGATCTACCGCCTGACGACGCCACGCACCAAGAAAGACCATTGAAGGGCCCACGGAATCGGTTGGCATTTTCCCATTGCACAAATTTGTCTGTGAATAAACGCTTCACCTCCATAATACCGTAGTTTTATGGACACATCTGCAAGCGCTACCTAACGCGATTGATTACCTCAATGCATATCGGCCCTAAAATGTTGGCGATGGTTCTTGGAGCAGCCGGCTGCGCCCAGTTCAAAAGGGCTCTCCCGGACCTGCCGAGTAGCGTGTAGTGGGGCGTACGCTAGCTGCCCTGACTCTCATCTATTGTCAATAGAAGCCGCCGCTTTTCGCACCTTACGCTTGATTGTCCGTTCAGCGTCAACTTGATAATTTTGAATTTCAGCGGTTCCCCAGCGTTTCAGTATGGGGAAACTTTTATCGAAGATCCATGGCAAGAAGGAGATGCGGATATTGATGCTGGGCTTGGATGCAGCCGGAAAGACAAGTAATCATCCGTTTCTCCTTGATTATTGTCATTTTTAGCGATTCTTTATAAGCTAAAGCTTGGTCAATCGGTGACTACCATTCCGACCGTCGGCTTTAATGTTGAGACGGTGACGCATAAAAAGATCAAGTTTAATGTTTGGGTAAGTCTCTTTTTTACACTGAAAACATGGCCTTTTATAGGACGTGGGTGGCCAAGATAAAATTAGACCACTGTGGAGACACTACTACACTGGCACACAAGCATTGATTTTTGTAGTCGACTCCTCCGATAGAGACAGGTTGTAGTTTCTCTATTTTCAACATTTTTTATAGGATTGATGAAGCGCGACAAGAGCTTCATCGGATAATCAACGATCGTGAGATGAAGACGGCTATCATACTCGTATTCGCGAACAAACAGGATTTGGCAGAATGTAAGGGATCAGCAATTGCAATATATAACTTTTCTTTAGCAATGCGACCACACGAAATACAAGACCGATTGGGTTTGAATCGGATCCGAGATAGGAATTGGTAATTTTTCGGTAGTTGGCGTCGATAGTTTTATAGGATTGTCCAACCATCATGCGCGGCCAGTGGAGAAGGACTACACGAAGGTCTCACATGGTTATCAGATAACTACAAGCCATAATGTCTTTGACTACACTGCCTCCTAGTTGCCGATTGTATAATACGATTATGTTGAACCAAAGACTCTGTACCTCAATGACCTTCTTCAGTTTGTCCCTCAATTACTTCGGCTTCTCTTCCGTGCTTTGATCAAATCTCCATTAATAACCGCTGTGATATCGATCCTTTTTGCACCAAAACGCGTTGCTCTGAGAATAATATGTATTATCCGTGTCGTATTATTTATTTCGTAGGTGCTTATCATTTAGTCCGCAAATGACTGCCAGCCTTTTTCGGGAATACCTTTGTCACACTTCTTCACATAGATATAAATGAATTTACGAGTCCTGGATTTTCCAAGCGTGTACCCCGTGCAGAGCAATATCAGAGCAAAGAACACCCCAAAACAGAATTTTAGTTTCTAGATGGGCGAATCAACGGCAACGAGCGGAGGGACCGCATGGTTTGTCGTCTTATACGCCCGCCCTTCAACGCGAAAGCACAAGAAATGGGAACTAGACGGTTTTATCGAGTGTCCCTCGAACGGCGAATGTTTACTCTGGGATGACGGGAAGCGTAATGTAGTATCCAGGTAATAAATACAACAAGGGCGATTTCCAGCGTGTTGGTCTAATCAGTTCTAAATGTTTGCGTCCACGAGCAAGCGATCAACGCTGGCTTCGTTATCTTTCAAAATTCATAGCAATTTCTCCGAGAGATGAGCTATGATTTTATTTAATTGTTCTAGATCTACCTTGACTCCTGCAGAAATCGCCAACATTCGCGATGGTGACGAATTTGGTTTTGGTGCCTATGAAGTTCAAATCCAAGAGGCGATGGCGGCTCCCAGGTTTGCGAGGAAGTATATTTACATGGGATTTTTAGACCTCCAGTACCAGTAATCAAGCCAGCAACCCCTCAACTCCAACCACTAGCAACGCGGAATCCAGCGAAGCGCCCTCTCGATGACGGGCTGGACCTGAATGCACCTCCAGTAAAGGTATGACGCCGCCTGAAATTTGTTAATCCTTTTTGAAGGCGACTCGCGGCTTCGTCTCCCCATTCGCCAGTGTGCAGGCTAAGGCTAACAATTGGCATTTGGATGAAAATGAGGTACATTTGATAGCTAATTTTGGGAATCCAATTTTAGAAATCTGCGTACATCGAGGGAAGGATTGCGAACAAATTGCGCGAACATCAGAGGGACGGAATTCTGTTTATGTACGAACGGCTGACGGTATTGAAGTTGCTTGAAGCCCAAGTTTGAGTTTTAGAAATGTCCCGGAGGTGCTATTCTGGCTGATGATATGGGGCTGGGGAAGAGCATTCAAACTATTTCGACCTGTCTAGCGTTACTGAAGAACAACGTGAGTGTTTTGAAAGATATTTGTGCACTCCCGAGGGAATGCGTTCCAAAATTTGTTCGAGACACTGTTGGTAGGTCTCGGGGTTAATGCTAACCTCAAACTTGGGTAATTAAACCGAAGCTGTGGAGGGGTGGGTGCTTTTCTCAACTATCCAATGCACAGGCGGGGGTCTTTCGACGGGCAACGACACAACGAGCGATCTCTCCTGGTCTGCGTCTCGTGGAGAGAGGACACTCTCAACAACGCACCCCCTTCCCGCTCGACGTCTCCACTCTCCCCAGTCTCTCTCACCCCAAATGGCGCGTGTACGCGAGACTCCAAGAGACGCAGACAACGAGAGATCGCTCGTTGTGTGGTTGCCCGTCAAAAGACCCCCACCTGTGCATTGGATAGTTGAGAAAAGCACCCACCCCTCCACAGCTTCGGTTTAATTACCCAAGTTTGAGGTTAGCATTAACCCCGAGACCTACCAACAGTGTCTCGAACAAATTTTGGAACGCATTCCCTCGGGAGTGCACAAATCAGAATAAAAGAAGTTAGCGAAATCGCTGCTACACATTGCGGTTTTCAGTCGTTGTCGATCTCGAAGGTTTTGATTGTGGTCCCGTCATCTCTGGTCGCCAATTGGCTGGCCGAATTCAGAAAATGGTTCCCTTATGGCAAATTTCCGGTTTTTTTTTGGCTCTGTGCTGTCCAATGCTTCCAGGCAATCGCAGTCAAGTCGCCAGCCGATTTTTCCACCTATTCCTCTTCCTGCACGGCCTACCCGTTCCTGATCTGCAGCTACGACATGGTTTTACGGTAGAAGCGTCGTTGTAAGCGAGAATGCTTTTACAGGCATCACGGCCGATTGGCGCCTTTGAATTTTGACGTTTTGGTGTGCGACGAGGCGCATCGACTAAAGAACCCGGATGCGAAGCTACGAACTGCGGTTTGTTGAACTTCCCATTACTTAATGTAAAATTTAGTTGGAGTCAATAGGTGCGGAGCGTCGCTTGTTGCTTACCGGAACACCGCTGCAAAACGAGGTATAATTCTCCCCGGCCACTGATCAAAGCCGTATTCAGCTGTGCGAGCTCTATTCCTTGCTCGACTTCACTCAACCGGGCCGACTTGGAACTTCTGCCGAGTTTGCGGCGTTGGTCAAAGAGGTTTGTGTGTTTTATAGTGTGGTAGATGATAGTCGGTCACGGAAGCGTCTTTATTCTTTGGAAAGCAAGAAACATTTTCTATAAAGCATTGCACATTTAAGAGTTAGTAGGGATAGCGGTGAGGAGCAGGGCTTTCACTTCTTAACTTCATTCTTCGCGACGACGACTCCTGAAAGGTCAGTGGTCTTGAGATTTTCACGCATCCTCTTACCGCTGGTATCGATGCAAACGACCGTGTTGGCGGTAAATCCGAGTTCTTCGACCACCTTGGTGCCGTTGGCGCCCTTGATCGGGAAGTGCTCATCGTCAATCCCCTCACCACGGCGAATCGTGTAGCCGTAGATCTGAACCGATGGCGTGAACGTCTACAAGATGCACGCCCACGCTTTCGGTGGGAGAAATGGAGAGGGCAAAGCGGGCCTCGCGGATCAGCTCCAGGAAACGGCCCTTCTTGTCGAATTGGATGATTTTGACGGTGTCCTCCTGCTCGTTGAGCATCACCTGAAGTTGTTTAGTTCATCTACAGATGCGCGTAGTTGCGGATACTTTGACATCAATCTCGCGGACGGTGGGGTTGAAGTCGCGGGGCACATGCTTGTAGGGCGTCTCCGAGTCGTCGACCGTCTGGCTCGTGTCCAGCTCGAGCTTGTCGAAATACTTTGCCTAAACTTTCGACTTTAGATTTCAAATCGACACCAATCACCTTGTCGGTGAACATGGTGCGCAGGGCGCGGACCGTGGCGATCCGGTAGTTGATCATGCAGCTCTCGTTTGGGCAGCGGGGCACCGTGTCTAAAGCAAATGTAGGGATTTCGAGAATATTCCCCCACTCTCCTTCTCGGCCTCGTTGAGCATCGCCAGCAGGCACTTCTCGCACATCTCGTGCTCGCACTCCTCGCTCGATGGCCAGCTCATCAGCGGCTCGTTGTCGCACTCGGCCGAGCCGAGGCAGTTTTGCTGAAAAGGGGGTTCTGGCGATAGAGCCTATATAAAGCCAGAATTTTGCTGCCGTTTTATGGCGTATATTAATAGCCATTTGCCGTTTTTTATTTAAAAACCGTGAAAAGATCCTACTTTCCTGACGTTGCGATACTTTTTCTTGGTCTTTGCCCCGTTCCTCTTGATACACTTCCCCTCAGGGCATCTTCCACCGTTTTGCATCACCTTCTCGAGGCATTCCCGACAGAATTGACCCTAGATTCAAACGGATAGGCGGCCGGAAGTCTTATAATGCCTGGCAGCAAGGCGTCGGGTTCATCTCGTCGGGCTTCTTGTCCTGCTTGCACGGGCCCTCGCACTTCTCGCGCACGTCCTCCTCGTTGAGCATCGCCTCGCAGCCGCTCAACGGGCAAACCTTCTTGCTGGAAACGGTTGGATTTCGGGCGCATTCGTGTAAGCGGCTTTTAATAGGTTAAATTTGGAATAGGTTAAAAATTAGATGTTGAAAAATCTAATTTTTTTACAGCAATTTCCGTTTCAAATAAGACACCATAGTTTTCAGCATGAAAAAACTAAAATAGATTAAAAAATTCCAAAAATTAAATTTATAGAGGTCATTTAGCTGAAATTACATGAAGGAAAACATCTCACAACTTCTTTTTGCACGCTACTATGCCTCCAAAAGCTGTAAACTCACATCTTTGTGTTGGCGTAGACGAAGCACTCGAGACACAGCCGATGCTTGCACACGACGGCGATCATCACCTTCCCGCCGGCGAACGCCATCTTCCGGTTGCAGTCCTATTGATTAAACTATTGAACCACTCCACTTTTTCCGTACATCATTTTCACAGGCGTTGTACAGCACGTCATCGGCCACCCGGATCGGCGAGCAGCAGTTGGCATAGGGACAGGCCTAAAGCCACAGCTTCGTCAGGATATCCCAAAGCCCACAGTGCTCTTTGACGTCTCCTCGTACTTCTTAAGGCATTTCTGGCAGAAATAGTGGAAGCAGGGCAGAATTTGCTGGAGAGGGATTGATTAGCATCCCCGAAAGTGTCTTACCTGAATCTCGTCCCACGGCTGCATCTGGCGGCATATTGCGCACCAGCCGCTCATCAGGGGCTGCGGTACGAAATGACACGAAATATAGGCACCGTGGGTGAGCGGAAAATACTGGGTTTATGCTAATTTCTGATATTTTATTACTTTTTACATGACGCCCGATTTTTCAGGATCGCTGCTCCGAGCTGCTCAGTGACATCATGATCCGCCGCGGCTCCGAGGTCAACGCGAAAGCGCTGCCCCCAAAAAGTGCGCCGATTTTGCGGGTTTAATGTTTTTATTTTTAGCCGAGTACATCCTCTACTGCCGCCCGTCGCAACTCCAGGTGAAGCTTATGCAGGAGCTGTGCGATGATATGATGGCCGATCCACTTGTAAGCGCTTTTTACTTGCTATTAGTTTTCTTTAGACAATCATTATGCATTTGCGGTCAATTGCCAATCATCCGTCTCTGTTTCTCGGCAAAAACCTGGAAGAAGGGACTAGGGTATTTTTCTGTTTAAAAAATTGCAAAACTCATCCGCGGCTATCCACTTCATTGATAATTTTTTTAGCCTCGCATCCAACGGCTCGCCCAGCAATACGCTAGCAAAACTTCTGGATTTGTCGAAAATTCAGGTTGATATTGGAGGCTGCTGTTTTTTTTACTCGATTTTCAGGAAAGCTCGTCGTGTTTGCAAGCCTGCTGGTCGCCTTCGCACAATCCGGAGAGAAGGCTGTGATTTTCAGCAATTTCACGCAGGTGGGTTCTTCTTTTTTTAACCCGAGTGTTATATTCCAGACATTGGACATGCTGGCGTCGTTTTGCCGCAACTTTAACTTTAACGTCGAACGACTGGACGGTCAAGTACCAACGAAGGAGCGACAGGTTTATTTTGCACTTGGGAAGACGCCAGAATGTTAGAAAATTGTCAACCGCTTCAACGATCCGGCGACGCCCGCAAATACCATCTTGCTTGTTTCGACGAAAGCAGGTAATTTTTTGCTTTCATGGATTCTCACAGAAAAATAAAATTTTGACAATCAAATTCGATTTAGGTGGCACCGGCTTGAATCTGATTGGCGCCTCACGCCTAGTGCTTTTTGACTCCGACTGGAATCCGGCAAATGACTTGCAGGTCAGAAAAGGTCTTTTTGACTACACCCTGAATTCCAGGCGATGGCTCGAATTTGGCGCGACGGTCAGAAGAAGTCATGTCATATCTATCGTCTCGTGACTTCGGTCAGTGGCTCGAAAATTTCAACGATATTCTCTCGTTAGGGCACGATCGATGAGAAAATTCTGCAGCGTCAAATCAAGAAGACCGGCTTGCACGCCATCTTTGATATGGAGACGTCGGTGGTGGCGCCCGAATTCCAGGAGGAGGATCTGAAGGACATCTTTGAGGTTGGTCAGATATTTTTGCATTAGCTTTTGTTTAGGTTGAGACAGCGGATGAATCGAACACTCATCGCATAATGGGTTGTCACTGTGAGGGCGATGGGACGACGGCTGAGGAGCGTGACATTGAGGAGGAAGGCGATGGCGACGCCGAGTCCAATGAGAAGGAGAATAAGGCAGACTAAAATAACTATTTGGAAGGCATCCATTTTAGATGTCGATGAGTGAATTATCGAGCTGGCGACACTATTCCTCCACATCTGAAGTGTTTCCGATATTCTTGCAACGCGCCGGCCTTGATCCAGAGGCCCCACCGGCTTCGTTAGCATTCGGCATGCTATTCACATCAAGTTTCTAGTGGTATATCATCGCATGTTCTCTTACTATCTGCATTTGCGGGTTTTTATTGGCGTTTGAGAATAAATAGAAATATTTATCATATTTTTTCAACGTTAGAATACGGGAACGCCTAAGGGGGGAGGGGAGACCCGCGAGCGGAGTGGGGGAATTCTCTGCACCAACATTGTTGAGCTTTTTGTGGAGGGCTTCCCTTTTGGCGAAACACGAAAACCATCTGGCGGGCTAATATCGGAGCTGCGCGGAAACAGGAACGAGTGATAGCACCAAAATGCAAAAATGTGGCAACGCGAGGTGAATTGGCACAGCAATTTGAAAAAAGAAAAGAATGGGTGATATTCTGCGAGGGGAAATGAACGAGTTGAAACAAATGACGAGGCGGAAATAAGCGTGAAAAACTTTGACAAACAACAAACAAACATCACAGATTGTTTCGTGAACACAGGGAGAATGGCACGGAGACAAATCGAATGAATTCGGGGCTGGGTATCATTGGTTGAGCACGACGCCGCGGTACGGTCCTTGCATTTTGAGGTACTAAAAACGGGATCTATCACGTGTAAGAAGCCAATATTACCTGAATGACCAGCGAAGGGCCTCCGGCGGTGATCTCTGGTGGGATTTGGGAGAGCGGGCAGTTCTCGATGCTCATGATCTCCAGCGAGTTGCACAGCGCCAGCTCGAACGGCAGGTTATGCAGGGAGGCGTTGTCGTTGAGGTACAGCGACTTCAAGTTGTCCAGGTGACCTAAAATTATGGTTTTCTATGTTTGCAAGTTTGTCGAAAGAATAGCATGAGTGAAGTAAGAGCGTTAACAAGTGCATTTTTGCCGTACTCACAATCACCGTAAAAATCCGAATACTCACCAATTTCCTCCGGAATCGAAGCAAGGTTGTTCTCGCCGACTCGCAAATCCTGCAGCGATGACATATTTCTGAAAATAAAATTATTTCGTTATTCCAGTCGTTGTTACCCAATGGTACGCGGCAAATTGACGAGCTTGTTGGACTGGACCCAGAGCTTGGTGACGTTGGTGAGGAAGCCGATCTCGCTGGGGATCGTGTCCAGTTCGTTCTCCTCGAGGTCCAGCTCTCGCAGCTTTTTCAGGTTTCCGATCTGGGACGGGAGCTTGCGCAGCTGGTTGTTGCTCAGCACCAGCACCTGGAAAGGCGGGTTGCAATTGCAAATAGAGAAAAATAATGAAATAAAACTAAAAATTTACCTCTAGGTTGACTAGCTTCTCGACATCCTCCGGCAGCACCTTCAATTGATTGGTCGAGAGGCTGAGCTCAGTGATTGAAGTCCAGGTGCCCATATCCAGCGGAAGAGAAGTCAGCTCGTTTTCCTTGAGGTTCAGCTTCATGAGACCCTGAGCCTTGGCAAAGATGCCGATCGGGATCTTTGAGATCTGGTTGTGTTCCATGTTGATGGTGGTGGCAGCGGCAAATTGTTGGGGTCCGCCACCGGGGAATGCATTCAACTCGTTTCGGGATACGTTGACTATCCGCACCGATGGTAGGCAGGTCAACATTCCGTCGGGCAGATTTGAAAGGTGGTTGTTTTCGACGATAAATTCTTCAAGTCGGGTGCAACGATCGAGAGTGGAGGGGAGATGGCGTAGGCGGTTGTATCTCAAGCCCAGTCGCACCAGGTTCGTCAATTTGCCCATGGATTCGGGTAGCGATTCGAGCTCGTTGTGCTGCAGGTCGAGTTGGGTGAGGTGTTGGCAACATCCAATCTCTAAAAAAAATATAAATTTGTAGGTTAAAACATCCGCCAACCTTCTGGAATCGCTTTTATGTGGTTGTAAGAGAGCAGACACACGGATAGGGCGGGGAGCTGACCGATCGAAGGTGGGAGACACTTGATTTTGTTTTCTCGGAGGTCCAGCATCTAAAATTCGAATTTAAAAATCAAAAATTTGGATTTAGTTACCTTTAATTTGGACAATTTTGCGATTTCCTCTCCCACAGACAATATCCGGTTATACCGCAGCCACAGAGTCTCCAGGGAGGCGATTTGGTAGATGACCGGCGGGATCTAAAAATACAATGATTAACACAAAAGGGTCAGGCTGACCTCGGTGAGCTTGTTGTGCCGCAGATCGAGCGTTTCCAGTTGGGTGAGGCAGCTCAACGAGTCGGGCAGCGAGCACAGCGCATTTTCGCTCACGCCAAGTTTCTGGAATTTTGATGGGTTATCGCACGGAAAAAAATTCTCACCTTCAGGTTGACGAGCGCGCCGAGCTCGCTGGGTAACGCGGTCAGCTTGTTTTTGTAGAGGAAGAGCTCGGTGAGCTGGCTGAGATCACGGATTGTCGCCGGGATATTCGTGATCTAAGAAAAGGATTCTAGGCATTTGAAAATAGACTCACATCGTTTTGGCTGAGATCCAATCTGGTGGCGGCGTTGTCGCGGCATTTTTGCAGCTCACGGCTGATGTCCTGGAAAGGTTGGGATGATTTTGATCACGGATTTTAGTTTTAAAACGGATAGCAGATTTAGGCTTTCATTTTTCAGTTTGATTTTTTACGTATAATTTCGGCAACGATTTGAGATATAATTTCAATTACATAATTTAGTAATCAGCTACGCATAAACACCTTTGACGGTCGTCCATCCGGATCCTTTCCGGATCCCTTCTCGTTCATCGAATGCCGATGACGACCCCGAGCGAACGACGACAGTCGCCCGATCATCCCGGGGCTTTTGGAGCGGTGCTCCTTGGCCGACGGGCGGAACTCGAATTCGCCTTTTACAGTGTCACCCATGCCGCGCACGCACGCTGCCAGCAGCGCGTCTGCCACTCGAGCCGACGATCCACCCACGCCCGCCACCTTCGACGACAACCGACCGGCTGCAAAGATTGCTGCTAGCTGCCGTGGGTCACGGGAGGTATGAGCACATGGGAAAGTAGGGAAAATGAGGATAACGGGTAACGGAAAAATCGATATGTCCTACGAGAACTCTATGGAAGATCAATCGATTATATACGTGTTTACCACGATTTTTAGACAGTTTTTCCGGTTTTCCTGATTCAATATACCCAGATTTCAAAACAGCGATAAGAAAACTGCGCCCTGAAAACGCAAAAAATAGTGAAAATCTAACTTTTGCTTATAGACAATGTAAGAACAGTGAAACAGCGCCCGAACTCCAAATTATCAAAAAGCGTCTTGCAGAGATTTCAGAGACAAAAAGCGAGTATTAATAAATATGCATTCGACAAGAATATCCGACTCGATAAAACAGTGTTTAAAAGTCGCAAAACCTTCTAAGATCGTCTAGAAAAACGATAGCCTTTCCGCGAAGGCGGGCTGGCTCGAAAATTACGGCCAGTTATCAATGGTGTTTTCGTATGCGGCGGGCGAGCCGCGGGGGATGATTGGCCAGAACATGACGAGGAGGAGGAGGTGGAGGTGTAGGATGAGGATGAGGATACGGAGCACGAGGATGAGGAGGAGGAGGTGGAGAACCGGCTGTGTGTATTGATTGTGGGTGCGGAATTGTGACCCGGAATGGGCCGGAGAAGTGATAGCGAGGTCCCCCGAGACTTTCTTTTCCATCGCTCCCCGGCGTTTCTTTCGCAAACGGCACAGCCAGCCCCCAACACCACCACCACAACCATCATCCTCCTCTCGCGCTGCCACACGTTCCAGTCAAATCTTCGAAATATCGAGGGAGTGGGGGAGCAAATTGAATTTGTGGGTGTGGATGATCGGAATTTCGCCCATCGGAGGGCGGGGGCACTTTTTAAAACTTGGACTTTTCAGAGGGGGCATACGAAGAAAAGATCTAGCAGCCAAAAATTTTTTAAAGGGGTAAGAACAACCAAAATTGGTTTCTTTCATCGACTAGGCCTTGACAGCTACATAACGCGCCAAATTACGCTTGCCATTAATCGTGCGGGCCAAGCGGCTCGAAATAATAAATAGGCGCTTACGTTGCGACTTTTAAAGGCACTAAATATACGAGGATCGACCTCATTGATCTACTAGATCTCGATAGCTACGTGACGCACCAAATAAGGCCATAGCAATTTTTGACAAACGCGACGCCCTGAAAATGTACGCGTCCTTTGAAATCACACGCAACTGTCGAGACCCAGCTGATGGAAGCGGTCGATTTTATGGTTCTCGGTTCCTTAAAGGGATGCCGACGGCATAGTCAATCGGTTACGCGCGGAAAAGAAAATGTCTCTGCGCCTCTCCCCTGGGCGCGCTCTCTCCCCTGTTGGCTACTTGCCAATTTGTTGATGAGGGGGGATCGACACATGCCGTCGGCAGCCCTTTAAATGGATGGACAGGTCGATTTTTCTACGAATGGTCGCACCCGCTTTTATTTACTTGAGTAATCGATTACGGCCCTTAAATAGTCTTAGGAAAAAGCCCGAAAAATCTATAAAATATCCAGAAATTCAGAAATAAATGACAGCCAGCTGGCCGTCTGCCGACCGTTAAGAGGAGCGTGTGCGGGGATGAGGAGGAGATTGGGTGTGATGTGTGTGTGAGCAGAGGGCAGTTGGAGGGCACACTCCTCACAACAGACACACCGAGCAAGAGAAAGAGGGGAGCACGAGAGACGTGTGGGGAAGAAGAGGAAGGGAGGAGGAGGAGGAGATAGGGATTGAGGATGGGACGGGCAGCCGAATAATCAATCGGGATCTGCGGGCTGCTCCCGGTGCCCCCTATCAGCACCTGGCTCTGTGCGTCTCCACGCTCACTTATTGGATAGGGAGAGAGAGAGAGAGAGAGAGAGAGAGAGAGAGAGAGAGAGAGAGAGAGAGAGAGAGAGAGAGATTGTGGTGAGGCTGACTCAACCCATTCACGCACGCCTCTAACCTCTACCATTGCCAGGACGGCGCAAAACGGAGCTGGGCCCTTTTACAAATAGAAATGCCGGGGAACTGTGATTTTTGGGTGCAGCCTTTTAAAGCTTTTTAGTAGCCTTTTTAGCTTTTTAGTAGTAGCTTTTTTAGTACCATTAATAGCCCTTTTAAAGGGACGGACAAGGCATGGCTTAAGTTTTCCTTCGTTGCGGGGCCCTATAGATGTTGCCGCCACCGCGACACATAACGCACTTGCCGCTTATTGTTAGCAGTCATGAAAAGATCATTACGCAACGGGATTATGGCCGTGTAAATTAAACCCTAGTTTCTGCAGAATTTTGCCCTATTCAGAACCTACTTTCGGAATTGGAAAAGACCATGTTTTAGAAAACACCCAATCGTCCAAAAATCAAGAAAACCAAGCAAACGTGGCTTTTTTTGGTTTCTAAACCCGCGGCCACCAAACGAATCTATACATAACCGAACGCCAGGTCGGCGGCCCGAGAAACGAGCCGAAAACTGCCCCTGAAAGCACCGACCAGGGGGGAACGGCCGGCTTGAGAGCAGGGGGGAAATTGAATTCGGCACAGGGGGAACTAAACTCTCTGCAAAACATCAGCCTGGCCGGGAGATTCGCGCGACGACTATCCCTTTCCAAAACAAAGAGTTTTGGAATTTTGGATTTTGGAATAGATCTTAGAAAAATTTTTACAGCTTAATTTACGTCCCACCTCTCCCCGTATACTTTCGTATTTTTGTTCCTCTTCGTCGAGTCGAGTCGTCGAAGAGTCTTCGAGCACAAAACCCCCTACGAAAACGCCCAAATTAGAAAATGCCCATTAAAAAGCTGGTCTTGGTCGAAAAATTGAAACTCCAAAAAGGGATTTTAGGGTCTTTGACTTATAAAAATAAAGCGGAAACTATGTAAACGTTCCAATTCACGTTTAACACCTAGAACTTCAGAAAAAAACGAATTAACAATGATTTTCCTCCCCGGCAAACAGAACAGTGCCCAAACCGGTATTTACTTTTACGATTACGCATCGAAGACCCCCTAGGGTAAACAATCAACAGAAGGAGCTTCTGAACGCGCGGTCCACTTGGCCCCGTGAAGTGTTGGTATTGTGAGAAATCGGGTGGGCGTTTTTGGCTTTCCAAAAAAAGGTTTGGGGTGCTCTTGAAGCGGGGCCGGGGGTTGCAGTGATGAAGGAGACCGGAAATTCGGTGGGTGGATGGGTGGGCTATCAGTCAGTGTATCTCACGGGCTCTGTTCGTCTCTGTGTGTTTGCGCGCTCATTTTGGGGCGGGCTACCGGAAACGAACAATCTCCCGCCGAATAGATAGATAGATAGAGAGAGAGAGAGAGAGAGAGAGAGAGAGAGAGAGAGAGAGACTGATGGGCTTTGCGCGCAACACAGTGGCAGCACGCTTCATTATGAATGGGGGGAAGCGCAATTCTGGTTTGGAAGGTGAACTTGCCGAGCTCGTTGGGCTGAGCGGAAACGGTACGCGAAGTAAAGGTAAAGAGGTTCTAAGAATTGCACGAATCGCTAGAATTGGGCGGCAGCTTCGTGGCCGCCGCATGGTCAAGCCAAAATGGGTGCCATTAAGACGGCGGCGGTAGATGGGAAGCGGGGCGCGCAGGGGATGGCATTAAGGCTATTTTTTTTGAAACGAAATGAGTGGGCTTAGTGGAGGATCAAATTTTTTCCTACAAAAAAAGAAACGAAAGGCGATCAACAAAGTCATACTAATTCCGCATATCGCAAGGAGTCAGAAGACGGACACTAATTCACCGCTTACTTTCCGGCCTTTTCGCTCCTAAGAAAAAAAGCTTTATCTCACTGGGGGAAAAAAGTTAATAGTATTTTTGACGTGTCATTAGGTGTGCAGCGGCCTCGAGATGGCTGCAAACACATCAGATTTTTCAAAGTCAGTATTTTCGAAATTAAATTTAGGTTACTCTAAAAATCCCAGATACGATTCTTGTTAGGGGCCTAAGTCAGCACCGGAAGTGGAATTCAACCGCCTAGATCACGCTATGCCACGTCCCTAATAATAAACAATAAAAGCGTGGCTAGAAAAATGGGTACGCGGCGCTCCTATGCACGATCGACAGTTCTCAGACGTTGTAATTTGGATTCTATCATCAAATCGCGGGAAGTAATCAAAAAAAATTACCAACTCCTATGCGCCCTAATTCAAAAAAAATCAATCGAAAAATTCGGACGCCATCCAAAACAGCGGATGCGTCCGTTCATGAGTTGACGAGGGCAAGTAGGGGAGGAGGAGGAGGAGATGGGCCTCGGAGGGAAGGGCAAGGCGAGAGTTTGTGCGGGCCGTTTGCCGGCTGGGCCGCTTGGGGCTTCCTGTCAGGGGGAAGCCGCTGAGGGCAACATGGCCTGGCCCTCAGGGCCAACGGCAGAAAAGAGCCCGGGACACTGCAAGGGAGGGCGAGCCCTAGCCCTAGATTGGGGGGCTGATGCCACTGGTCCGGTTGACCGATGCGAAGTTACTCGGGTTGTGCTATAGCTATAAAAAGTAGTTTTTAAAAATGTAATCATTAACGGGGGGCATATTTTAATTTTTAATTTTATAAAGCCGGGATCGAAGTTTTGTACAAATCAAGCATCAAACATCACATTGTTCCGAATTAAATTCTCCATCAAAAGAGCTATTTTTCCAAATCGCGCGAAAACTGTTCTAACAAAAAGTTGCTACAAAATAGAGACTACAGAAAAAATACCGCGAAAAAAACAGCTGCCCGCCAGAGACTAGACACTGAGTGCAGCGACCACCCGGAACTTCTGGGCCTCAAAAATTCAGGGATTCCACGGTGACTAGCTGGACAAGCCGCTTTCCACGCCTTTTCTCGTCAATTATGAATTAAGTCCCGCCCAGGTGCACGGACATAAATTAGCCGGGGGCCCGACAAAAGAAACAGTCAAGAGAAGTTTAGGAAATTTTTGCCTAGCGCGACACTCGACTCCTATGCACAGTTTCCTGCCTCTAACTAAACACCCGTTTTTGGTTTGTTTGATCGGGGCGTGGGAAGCGAATGTGAGGTGTTTTGTTGTGACTGCCGGTGGAATGTGGCTTGAATTTGGTGGGGGTCCACATGCCATGCAGCGGGACACAAGAAAACCGCCCGTCCCCAAGAAGCAGAAAAAAACAGGGGTCAGCGGGGGGAGGTGTGGTCGGCCAGGGGGGTTTTGCGGAAAAGGGAAACCAGGTGGACACGATGGCCACTCGCAGAGGGAGGCTGTGGGCCGGGGGTGCCTTATTGAATTTCCCGACATCAAACTGCCCTCCACCACACACACATACACCCCCGGCCACATCCGATGGCCCTCGGCGATAGAAGAGCTCCGGAATCGAGGCTTCCGCTCATTACGCCGTCGGAGAAGTCATTACGCAGATAGTGAGCATTTCATAGAACTATTCGGTTGATGTCTTTCTCATGTAGAGAAGATCATCTGAGTCGAACGTCTAGAAAAAGGTGCGCAAAACGTAGATTTTCTAAGCAGGTCAAAAGTACAATTTAAGCCAAATCTTGAGCTTACTAGGGAGGTATCTGAACTCGGCATCGAACTTTGAGAAGTTAGATACACCATTCGACGCGCCTTGTCGAGGGGATTCCAAATATGTAATAAAATCAACCAGAGCGTATAACGGTAAAAAGTTATGAGCATTCAAAGTCGACAAAATGGTGAAAAACCGTATCTTTCAAACCCTGTATCATCCCGCGGAATGGAATTTAGCCTAAACTGATTAGTGCTCCTTATTCAACAAAGAAAGCTCTTTCAAACGAGCTATGTTACATACGGCAGCCAAAAATTTCCGTAAAAAAATATTTTTGGAATGCGGCGTAAGGGTTGGGAATGGCCAGCTTGCCGAAGACGTTTCGGGAATTTCGCGTAAAGCCTATGTAAGATAGCTCATTCGAAAGAGAATTTTCTGCTGATCAAGATGTACTGTTCTATTTTTGACAAATTACATGCTTCGAATTCGTACAGAGTCTTAAAAGGGCGGTTTTTGACGATTTTGTCAACTTTCATGTAGAGAGCGTCCAATTCTGGCCTTGTTGCCCGAGGTTATTTTATCATCGCTGGTGCCTTTTAGGTGTCACACAGTCAAGAAAAACTTATTCCCGAATTTGGAAATACAAAAAAAGTAGGAACTGGTCAAAAAGCAAAAAATAAAACTCGTGAGCGGATCCGAACCCTGGTCATACAGCCCAGGGACCCATGCGCACACCACTACGCCACGGGACCGATGCATAGGGTGCGCTGGGAGGGGCTCATATCGCAGCGGCGGCTTTCGGTGCAAAACTTAAAATGCTCATAACTTTTTACGGTTATAGGCTCTGGTTGATTTTATTACATATTTGGAATCCCCTCGACAAGGCGCGTCGAATGGTGTATCTGACTTCTCAAAGTTCGATGCCGAGTTCAGATACCTCCCTAGTTAGGTTTAGCGAAAGCCAGCCTAAGCTTAACTTGAGCCAATCAAGCCGTTTCTTCTACTACCTACAAAATTTTACAGAGTCACATCCCCTATTGCCAATTTCTCATCCGACCCAAAGAAAAACACGATGCTGCATATTGAAGTCCTGTAAGACGAGCGCTAGAAGGAGATGGGTGTGAAGATGGTCATTTCGACGGGCACGGGGGGGCTGCTTGGCGCGGAGATGGCGTTGAAATGAGAATTGGAATGGGGGCTACGGGCCGGGCAAGAGGGGCAGAAGCCGCCGCCGCGTGCCCTCAACCCCCAGCTATTTCCCCCACCACGTTAAGCCGGTGGGGGCCCCTTGGATGGGGCACGCACACATAAACAAAGCTCCACATCGACGGTGGAAGGTAGAGGAGGGTGGGGATGTAGATGGTTAGGGATAAGGTAAAGCTGGGGGTTATTTTGGGATGAAGCTTAAAAATAAAAGAAGGAACTATATCCCTCAGAAATATTATTTTTCTGAATTCCGACCATCTCGTCGAAAAGCCTGGCTGCCGGCCAAGTCATTTTCGGCGAAATGAAGATGACCCCATCCTTCTACCTCTCAACGATTAATTCAAAAATTACTCTAAAAAACGAAGATCAAATTAGACAATCACCTGATGTCGATAATTTTAAAATACCACAAAAAAAACCCTAAAATCATACTTCAAGTGCCGGAAATTACGTCAAAAACTCCCTTCCTGCCAAAAGCTAAAAAAGAGCGTTGCTATTTCAAAAAAAACGATAACTGAGATAAGATAATGCCTAAACTAGCCAAAATTAACTTTTTTTTACCCATAATTTCCCTGCCAAAACTAAAGCACCCACTAATCGAAAGGCATAAGTCGGCAACGTGCCCCGAGGGCCCATCCATTTACCCAAAAGGGGAAATGGAGGAGCATTGGCCCTATATATGGGCCCTCCTGCGAGCAATAGGGGCCCTGCAGGAAGCGAGTGGCCCTGCTCGATGGCCCCACCGAGTCATGACACACACAAATAAACGAACACATGTCAACCATCAGCCATCATCCGACATACACCCCAGGCCATAATATTCGCTCCCTTCAAGGGGTCGGAACGCCCGGAAGGAACCGACGTCATCCGCCATTCTCTTAAACGCCTTCAGGAATGGATGGATGGTGAGGAGAAGAGGCTAGGGATAGGATTTCAGTGTGAAAGGACCGCCCGATAACATCAATCCAAAAGGAAAAGCCGTTTGATTTTTGCCTGCACCGGAAAGTTTAAAGTTGGAAAATACGGGTTCTTTATTATTTGCTCGGAATCCTAATTTTCTTCTTTAGGATACAGCTTTCTAACATCAATAAAATAAGTGGTTCTAAGCTGTTGTTATGATTCCTCAAAGTAAAGCTTAAATTTTTAGACAATACAAAAATCTAGATTTTCGAGCAAAAATGGTCGGGTTTCGAGCAAATATCCAATTTTTATGCATTTTCCAAGCTTTCTAAATCGCCTTCCAGTTGAAGACAGCTAAATTCTACCAATCAAACAGTATTAAAATCCTTAATGTTCCGTTACTGCTATGACCCACCCCTATAGGAAAAATTCCGAACTCTCCGTAAGAAAACAAGAAAAATCCGGAATAATACAGATGACGCGAATTTTCATGCAAATAAAAATAGGGAAGCTAGCCTGACGACTGGCCGCAGTCCGGAAGCGCTATCGGTTAAATAGCGGGGGGGGGGCAGGGGCTAGTCGAGAATTCATGGGCACGGCGCGGTTCCTCCGGCACCAAAAGCCCCCAATTTTCAGTGGTTCGGCCAGCGGGGCTATATCGGCTAGATGAAATCGACGATGTGCGATCCGCGACGCGGGTGGCCATCAGGAAAATTGCTTTCATTAGGGTGGAGTACCAGGGGGGAGGAATGGAAGCGAAGCCGAGGAAAAGTTGTAAGAAAAATGGCGTGGCACGTGGGTGAAGCCATAAAACATGAAAAAACGAAGTAACGATGAGCATTCCCTGATAACCTATCCAACCGAAAGAATATATATAGCGCCAGCCTTATAAAAAACTGCCATCCGATTTTGCTTCTAGTAAACAAAAATCACTAACCCCTTGATGTTTCTTCTTATGCGGTTGCGTGCCTGTGGGTTGCGCCCGTTCCTTGTCCACCTCCATCACGGTCACGCGCTTCGTCGTGGCGGGCGAGCGGCCGAGGAAGGCGCGCTAAAAACGTATTTTACTGGTTTCCTAATAAGCCTTAGCTACATTTCAAGACAAAAACCGTCTAGAAAGCTTTGAAAATTGTCAAATTTGCTCCAAAATAATTTTTATTAGTATTGTTTAGTAAAACTTATAGCGTTCGTCGCGTTTAGGAATAGTAAAAACTGTGCAGAAACCCTTTCTTTATTTATATGTTCTGAAACGTGGTCCTGAAGGGGAAGTTTGCAAGATATATTACCGTATATCTCAAAAAACGCACCCGGTGCGACTCGAAAATGTCGGGCAACGAGCTCTTGGCCGTGTGCACGCGCGAGTTGTGGCTGCGCGCCGAGTGCGGCGGGCCCTCGTGCGGCTGGAGGGAAAATCTAAATCCAGAATTAAGATATGTCCCTATTTGTATAAATACCTTCTCCTCGCACTCTCGATGCCGGCTTGCAATCTCCTTGCAAACCGCCGCGGCCTCTCGGCTTCCGGCCCATGCGAGTCGGTGCCGGCGCTTCGGGCGGAGCTGCTCCCGCTCACGATCGGGTCTTTCTAAAATGGAAAAGTGACTACAGGGTGTCCCAAAAAAATCCCCCTAGCCGGCCGCAGACCTGTCCGATTTTTACGATTTAGGTATCTATCGAAAGCTCTCGGAAAGGCGAGTCCACGTCTCTCCGATTCTTAAAATTTTGAAATTTTTCTATCATCTTTTTTTCACTAATCTTTTTTGCGAAACGTGCGGATTTTCTGATGTTTTTCTGACCAAGGTGTTTTTTACGAAAATCGCAATTTAAGGATTTTTATGCCTTTCCTGGCAGCCCAACGACAGCTCTTTGAAAGCCGTTCGCGAAAACACAGCTTGGATAGCGCTTAAACCGGTTAAACTGCGTTTTGGACGAAAAATCGTGTCCTTTTTGCCTGAAAAATGCCGAAAATCGGGCAAAAAAAATTCCGAAATTTCGAAAATCGGCAATACGTGCTGGACTCGCCTTTTCGAGAGCTTTCGATAGATACCTAAGTCGTAAAAATCGGACAGGTCTGCGGCCGGCTAGGGGGGTTTGGGGCACCCCGTATGCAATTAATTTTAAATTTACCTCGCTTTCCACAGACCGTCTTCTTGTAACGGCCTCCATCTGTAAAAGAGGGTTATTCAAGGTCTCGACAAGCCAGAAAAAGAGAAAAAAGAAAACAAATAAAGGTATTTAGCATTTCCAGAGGGAGCACGAATTTTTTTAGCTGACGATTCTATTTCACTGAGATTGAGACAGGCGTGCTTCTACACTATTTCTACTATGCCTAAACATACAAAGTCGCACATTTTGGTACCGAAAAACTAAAAATCGCGACTTTAGGAAAAACGCGATTTTCAGACAAAATTGCAGGTTTTTAAACATTTATCAAACTTCTAGCTATTTTTCCGCTTAAAATATATAACTAAATTTGTTAAAAATATAGTTAAGTCACCTGTTATACGTTACTATCCATATCTGAACTCATGATAAAAACATTCCGTTGCCCCCTGGAAATACCAGAACCAGAAATCAAGGTCAAAATGATGGAGAACGAATGTAAGAGCGAAGACGGCTCGATTCCAGCCAATATATCGGAGATGAATCACGTTGTGGGCATGGAGGAGGGCTGAGGAGGAGGTGGAGGAGGCCTATCTTCTCGCCCTGGCTGTTGGGGCCCTATTTTGCCCCGTTTATGGTGCAAAAACGATGGGCCTCGCCGATGGCCGGGGCCAGCTGGAGGAGGAGGAATGGGCCCCCGGAAGCATGTATCCGCAAATAATAACTCGTGGACCGGCTTCGTCGAGGTAGGGCCCCACGCTTAGGTATAATGACTTCCTGCTTTTTGAAAGTGTCGCGAAATTGCCGCCAGGGAACCGGCGAGTTTTTTGTTTGAAGAGAGTGATGGCTTGAAGGGGAGCGCAGCGGTCCCAACTAGATGGCCCTGGGGAATTAGGCGCATAAGGAAAACATATTTTCGGTAATAGAATCCAGCTAAAAATTTTTGAAGGGACTGGCAAGATCTAACTATATCTTTTATCCAATCCTAGAATAAAACCGCAGCCGCAACAGGCAACGCGGGCACTGTTTTGTCACAGTGAAGGTGTGCGTGTGCGTGTTGCGGGCCTTGCAAAAATCCATAGCCATGCCTTGCCGTGCACCATAAAAAGAATAATTAAAACCAAAATCTCCGTCTTATAAAATGGGAATGAAAGACGCACGATTCGCACGCTTTTTCACGTTTGCACCGCAACATTTGCTAAGATTTGTAAGATTTTAATACGGGTTGAACGTGTAAACTATATCTAAGAAAGAGAGAAATAGAGCGGCCAGACGATATACTGAAAAACGTATCCTTGCTGGGGATTCAACGGCATTGAGCCGCGGATTCCGGGCGAGCGGATGAAAAGCGCGTTCACGGCGCGAGATTTCCCGGAGGCCGAAAGAAGAAGCGAGGTTGAGGCCCGTGGGAAGGAAGGGCTTCTACGGCACGTATCACAACAACACCACTCTCCCATCCATCGGCTCACCCAGAAAACACGGGTGAGCAAAGCTAATTAGGGCTGTTGGCCCCGCGTGGAATGGTCAGTGTCAAGAAGTGGCAACAAGCATGGGTAAATGAAATGAAAAGGAAGAGCTCTGGAGGTGCTTTTGCTTTATCGGAGAGATTGAAATAAGCTGTTCTTCGGCATTATTCGGGTGACAATTTTTTTGGCTAGCGATCCAATTTTTCTTATATTTTCTTATTATTTATAGAAACTGTTTCGAAATGGTTTTTCCAGTATGCCTAAACGTAAAAACCTTACAAGGGATGACTAGAAATACCAGAATTCAATTCTTGAAAAGTTTTGTAAGTTTTTTATATTTTGCCGCTTAAAATCGAGCTAAACTTCACTAAAAACCCTATCAAATTACTAGCTATGACATTTTTAGCCTTATTACACCAGGAGGAACCCCCCCATAATGCGAAAGAGCCGCTTCAGAGGAGCATCAGCAAATTCTCAATTCAAAATTCACGATTAACGAATGTATGGCGTGAGCGTCAAAAATTAATCTTTCTACCAGCGCCCAAAACCCGCTTCGCGGGCCTTGGGCGCTGGAATGCGGCCTTTGCATGATAAATTTGACTTTCCGATAGCTCGGTGGCCCTGCGGACCCCCCCCCCACCACTTGCGCGCGTGCAACTTGCAAGAATGAGGAAGTTTGTATTTTTTGGAATTATGCAAAGTAGCCCTCCCTGGCGCCGGACACACACACACACAGAGATACACCCCAAAATTATACAAGGTAGGATATACGGGGCAGGTAGTGCGTGCTTGGACCAAATAAGAGCCAGACATATTGACGGGGGGCTGAAGACGAAACGCAGCCTGAAGGAATCCGCCGGGTGCTGCTCAACAATTCCATTAGCGACTCCTCTCTGTTCCCAATTAAGCTAAGTGCCTGCAAAGCACAACTTTTTATATTGAATCGGATCCCTTCTGGCTACTTTAGACACACGGCAAAGGGAGGCTTCTTTTTTTTATGGGCCAACCCGGCGACAATGGAATAGGACTAATTGGGTTTTTAGACGTCATGGCCGACCGGTAAATATTTTATTGCCTTTTCTGCAGTTACTGTGATGTTTGCTGTGTACCGGCGGTGACCTTTGACAAAGATGGTCAACAATAGTAGTCTATTACACCCAATAAAGGAGCCACTAATCGGCAAAAAAATTGACAGGTAGCCAGGAAGGAAAGTATGATTGTACGATAAAATTGGAAGCAAAGTAGTTTTTTAGGCCTACAAGACGCTCTAACCCACGCTTAGTAAGCTGCAAGAGTATGTGAAAGTTTACTAAGATTAGATTTTGTCACGCTAAGTCTAGACTTACGCTAAGCCAAGTTCAGCAATATATGTATATCTGTTTCGGACACTTCGTTGAAGCTTAACGAGCCTAGGATTGAATTCAAAATTAAATAATTTAAGTGGCGCGTCTCATAAGCTCCTCCGCCAAGTCAAGTGCACTAGCTTCCAAAAATGAAGTCTAGACGCCCGCAAACTAAGTCCAGACATCCATGTGCCGGGACAACGGGCAATTGGCTCAATGAGGGTCGGGCGATGACGCCCTAAAAAGATTCAGAATACCCAAAAGAAAATGTAATCTCAAAAGGTTTTTTTTGGCTCAATTCATCAAAAGAGGCGAATTCAAAGAAAAACAAAAGTAGCGCCGGGAACGTGGGAACTAGCAATGCACGACGACGGATCGATCAGAAGACGGGTGGTGGCGCACGAGTAGGAGTCGTCGAATGAGCCGAGAGTACTCCCAAAATGAGACGCCGACCCCCCGGCGGGGTAGCCACCCTCCTCCATTAATTCTCTTCATTTCCCGGAAAGGAGGGGCCCTCCTCCTCGACCACTGCCTTCTTCTTCTTCTTCTTCTTCCAGGCTCGGCGGCGGATGTGGAAGGAGGGGCTGTGGGAGCTCGAATTTGGGCACAAATTGAATGGGTGGCCTGGGGAAGCGGCCGGAGATTAAAGGAGCTCGAGCGGGGATGTGCAGATCCAAAAAATCTAGGCAGTTTGTAAAATTCGAGCGTTCGAGTTAAATGCCTAAATCTATTTTTATATTTTAGTAAGATCTAGAAGTAACCAAAAGGAGCAATGGGCCGTAATGATCGCCGGAGGACGAGGTCGGCCCTAAAAAAGACAAGGATGCGGTGCCAAGGCTGAGAGGTGCCGAGTGCGGGGATTAGAGGCCGCGATGGCCGTGACTACTCGACTGGAATCCATGCCCACCCCCTCCAAGTGCCCATTGTGTCCCACTAAAACCCCCGAGCGGCCCTAAAATATGCAGACAATGGGGCTGCAACGGCACTGACTCATGGGTGTATAAAATAGTAGCAGATGAATAGAATTTACGATGGAGAAGAATAAATATTAATAAAATCAATTTCAGTTCGCAAATGGGGAGAGGGGCAACCAATTTTTCTGGATCTTCGATGATTTTAAAATTTCATTTGATTCGATATAGCTTCTTAAATATGCTCATGTTTTTATAGCATGGAAAAACCATGTTTAAAAATTTTTTTGCATACAAACGCGTAGTCCTCCCGATGATTTATTCCTCCGTGATATCCCATACACGAAAAACAATGAAATTTAGTGGATTCTACAAAACAGTTAATAAATTTCTAAAAAGCCGAATTGCTGCTGCGATTCGATTGCTATTTCTTAGTCAATTTGAAGCGTGCCATCAAGAATGCTTCTCCCAACGACCCCCAAAGCAATGTGATTCGATGCTGGAAACAAAAAACAATACGAGCGTCAATGCCGAGAACCAGCCAGCCACCGTTCCCATGACTTTTTCTGCGGCATGCCCGCCAAAAATGATGGACGCAAATCCGGCCCATTTCCCCTGGAAGGCGCGCCTATTTTTGAAGCGGATTATCCGGGGCCGAGAGCTTCGGCTATAATTTCCGCGCGCTGAAAGGATTTGTCGCCATGGCGGAAAGAGCAAGCCGAAATGCCGTGCACCACGACGTTTCGACGCAAGGGATTAGCCCAACTGCCCCACGGCATTACTGATAGGGTACGGGTGGAACCGCCCAGTTGGAATGCAGGTGAAACGAAAGGCCATCTGAAAAATGAGACTCCACACCCCGCCAACGGGCATATATCATTAGCGCGACGCGAAAGTCATGGGGTATGCCTACCTCAAATTTCAGCACAGCTGAGACCCAAGAAATGTTTGAATGTGAAAAGATCATCTTTGCTAACGTGTGTTTTGTATCAATTCTCAACTTTGCAGCGTCAAACGAAACGTTTATGTTGTGACTACGATAAAAACAATCCTAATTCCCTAACAATCGATTACAAAAAGAAATGAAAAACCCGTCTTCAAAGCGTATGTAGACACATTCACTTCGAAATTCCAATCCAATAAAAAAAAATACAGTGCATTATCCGGTCCTCAACATCTTGGCCGCCTTCTTCTCTGCCAACTCGGCCAATTGCTTCGCCACTGTTCCGCTTCGTTCGGCGAGGAATTGCTTCAGCAGCTCCGGGTCGAGATCTTCTTTTTGGACCTAAAATTTGCTTGAGAAAAGTATAACTGCTATACCTCAATCCCAATCGATCTACTCTGGATGATAATTTTCCGGCAAATTTCTTCCAGCGGAACGCCGACCAAGGCTCGGTCTTTGCTTTTGATTAAGGCTATTTCATAGACGTGCTTCACGCTTATTTTGCCCGCAACCTCGCCTGGAATTAGAAAATTACATATCAATGGTAACAAAATACCGTAGAATTGCCGACCACGTCTTATCCCGGCAGCTTGCTTTAGCAGCCAAGAAGTGGTGGGTGAACAAATTTCCAGGTCATAGGATCGATCTGGCTTGACGTTGATTCGGGTTGGCAGCGGGACACCTAAACGTAAAAAACTATAAAAACCCCAAGCTTAAGTTTAAAACAGTAAAACGAATGCTCACCAGGCTTGATGTGGCCGGTCTCCTTGTTGAACTCCTTGCAAAAATTCGCCACGTTCACGCCGCGCTGTCCGAGTTGTGGGCCAAGTGGTGGTGCCGCTGACGCCATTCCCGCTCTAAAATACATATAAAGAGAAAGTTACAAGACGTACTTGATATGTGTGCGCAACAAAGCGCCGTGGACGACCTTGACGACTTCCTTCTTGCGCACCCTCGTTGCTGCTTTCGTTGCCATGGCTGAAATTAACAAGGTTGCTCATAATAACGTTTCCATTTATCTAAATTTCAATAGAAAAAAATAAGTTTGATAAAAAGTCGAGCAAAATTTAGATTTTGTTAAACGATGTTGTGAGTGCAGCTGTTTTGTGCGTCAATCGGAACGAAACGGAAAGGAGGATCCGCTAACAAAATAAAATATTTTGTAAAATTAAAACAGTTTTACGAAAAGAAGATCAACGGCGATGCGAGCTTTTACGCCCTGGCGGTCCTGGAGCCGTCGATGTTGGTAAAAATGCACCGGTAAGCCATGTTAACTTTATTTTAAAACCGAACTGTGTAGGAGTATTCCACTGGTTATAAGTTCTCTGTAATACCTAGTTTTAAAGCTGAAAGTTTGGGTAACCAGGCTTCAGAGGCTTCAGAGACTCCGCGCTTTGGCGTTGTCAATCCTGGGCCTTAGACCGGGGCCTTAGGCTGTTGGCTGTCTGGGCCCTCCTCACTGCAACCTGCCATCCGCGTCCCAAACCATTGATCTCTCACCACGTTGCTGCTTTTCGTAGCGTATCGCACTAACAATAAGAAATTGCACGGCTTTTCCCCTCATATTACACATTTTATTGCATTAATGGTGTGTATCAGACGCTTCGATTTTAGTGTGCCTGTTTGTTTGCTCATCCACGGGGTTGCGGTGGTCAAACAACGATGTTTGTTTATTTTTACTAAGCTTTTTCTATTTAATTTTGTTATTACATTAATCCAGCATTTGTTGGACCTAACACTGCAAATATGCTACCAGTTCTCTGGTCCCAGAATGCTCTGCACCTACGATTCACCGCAAAAAAACCCCACCCAAACACGGTAATGTGGTAATATCAAATCCGTGACTCGTTTTTGTATCGAATCTGCACATCATCGAGCGCGCTAGCAGCTGGGATAACATTGGCACTGACCGTTTCATTGGAAGGCTTTGTCCATTCAGGGGCTTCACAAATCAATTCTTGTGCCACGTCTGGTCTGTTGTTGCCCCCCCCCACGCCCCTTCCGCTTTGATACAGGCCGGAGGTGTTGGCATTCTCCTGCAATAACTGATGCCGTTCGACGGCTTTTTTCGGAAATTTATCCCTTCTGCCATCCAGCTGAAAGCGCTCTAGGCAATGCGCCAGTTCTTGCTCCCGGTGAATTTGAGTGGGGATAAGGATCGCTTCCTGAAAGGCAGGGCATCTCGGCCGGGATCTAGCCACATCCGCGTCTGCGCTTTCAAAGGTCTAAAGCCTAATCCGTTATTTTTCTATCCCACTCTTAGAAAAAGTTCTAAGTTCCCTGGAAAAACTTCCTGATTTTTTAGAATGAAACTTTAGCCCTAGCTCTTGCAAATTGAAGAACCGTATTGTGTAGTCTGTCATAATTTTGTAATAGCGAATCTTTAGGACTGTATTCTTCCACTGTACCCGTTTTGTGAGGAAAATCAAATTCTAAGTCGGTCAAATTTTTCTTCCGGTTTCCGAAAACGGATCGCAGATATCGCGTTTTATTTTGTCTAGATTTCTCAGAATATAGGGAAGCAAACCATGAAAATTTGATCCATCAACTGTAAAGTCACTTATGGAATCACACACACCTCCAGCCGCCGCCTGTTTTGTTGTTGTTGTGGTTGCTGTTTTCTCTGCCTCTATTAATTATCGCCCGTCTACCCCCTTGCATGCCAGTTTCAGACCGATAATTTCTAACCATCACAGCGACGCGATGAGTGGCCAAGGAAACGACCGCTCTGAGGTATATGATGTTCCTTTACGGCCTCTCGGACTATACGCAAAAGCTTACTAACCCATATTAGCGCATGTGCGGACAAGCGGTGAGGGCGAGCGGAGCATATTTTTGTGTGCATGGCCCTTTGCATGAGATTCTAACGCCTTTGGGAAAATTTTTGCTCATTTTGAGGCTTCAAAATATTGGGATTTTCAATTTGGGAATCGGGAGATACCAGCAGAATGAAGTAGATCTTTTCAGGGGCTCGAAGCAGTGATTTCCAACGCGGTCAAGATGGACGAGTCGACGAAGGAAGAGCTTGTCGCGTTTCGCGCCAGAAAGGTGGCGTTGATCACCGGGATTTCTGGACAGGTTCGTAGAGCACTTTTAAGCCCATTTTTCTTGGAAGTAGCAAAAATTTTATGAAGCATCGGTGTAACGTTCTTTAGGATGGTTCCTATCTTGCCGAGCTTCTTCTTCAGAAGGGTTACCAGGTTCACGGCATCATCCGGCGCTCATCGTCGTTCAACACATCCCGTATCGAGCACCTCTACTCGAACCCGGTCACCCATGACGGTAATACTTTTGCGGGCTTCTTTGTATAATACTCATTTTTTCCGGTGGATCCAAGTTCAACCTTCATTACGGCGATATGACAGACTCGTCGTGCCTCATCAAATTGATCTCAACCATCCAGCCGACCGAGGTCTACCATCTGGCGGCTCAATCGCACGTCAAGGTTCGTTATTTATTGTAAAAAATAAATTAATTTTTATTAATAGGCTTCTCTATTCCGAAATTTCCAATCCTGGAACAATCTCGAAAATTCCCGAAAATTGCCTGGTCCCTATACTAGAGATCGGGATCGGGAAAACAACCCATTTTTAGGTATCTTTTGACCTGCCCGAATACACAGCCGAAGTGGACGCTGTGGGCACGTTGCGTCTTCTTGACGCCATCCACGCCTGCGGGCTGACGAATCGCGTCCGCTTCTACCAGGCCTCCACATCTGAATTGTACGGAAAGGTACAGGAAGTGCCGCAGAAGGAGACGACGCCCTTCTATCCCCGATCCCCGTACGGTAAGTCAGTTTCCCATCTGAAATCGGCTAATAAAGCTAGGCGCTCACGATTTCTAGGTTTTCGTTAATAGCTCCCCCGACAGCGTAATAAATGGGCACTTACAAATTGATTATTGATTGGTTTGAATTGGCTAAATGGCATGGAATGGAATCTCGGATTTAGCCGTAGCCAAGCTGTACGCCTACTGGATTGTGATCAACTACCGTGAAGCCTACGGGATGTTTGCCTGCAATGGTATCCTTTTCAACCACGAATCACCGCGAAGAGGTATGTGAAAAGGGAGATTCTTTTCAAAACAACATTAGGTGAAACCTTTGTGACGAGGAAGATCACTCGCAGTGTCGCCAAAATCAGCCTCGGCCAGCAGGAGTGTCTCGAGTTGGGTAATCTCGACGCGCGCCGTGATTGGGGCCACGCCAAGGAATACGTCGAGGTTGGTGCTACTTGACTGCAGCTAATAGAAATTTCTTAGGGCATGTGGCGAATTCTGCAGCATGACGTCCCGGAGGACTTTGTGATTGCTACCGGCCAATATACGAAAGTGCGCACGTTTGTCGAGATGGCGTTCGCCGAAATTGGGAAAGAGATTGTGTGAGTAAACAAGTCATCCGAATTCTGTTAATTTTCTCCTGAACTCGTTTATCCTAAAACGCAGTTCCGCTAGCTTAACCCGGCCAACAAAGCCGGAAATTCAAATGACGTTAGATAAAAAAACACCCTTTTCCAAAAAAAATGAACGTAGGGCGATGCACACGTTCCGTATCGTTTCAACAAAAACAAACCTTTAAAAAAATCAATATTTTAGTTGGGAAGGCGAAGGCGTCAACGAGGTGGGCAAAGAAAAAGATACCGGCGTCACTCGCATCAAGGTAGACGAACGAATATGCGGAAAAGCAACTTATGAATCTAAAAAAAGACAGATCATCGATAAATTGTAGATCAACCCCAAATACTACCGCCCCACCGAAGTCGAAGAGCTGCTCGGTGACGCGACCAAGGCCAAGCTGAAGCTCGGCTGGGAGCCAAAAACCACCCTCAAGGTATTGATTATCAAGCCAAGCTAAAAAAGCTCTGCCTCTTTCAGGAGCTCGTTTCCGAGATGGTCAAGTGTGACGTCGACTTGATGAGATCGAACCCTATGGCCTAGTCACCAACACAAATTCCATGCCTTAACTCACCAGAACTGTGATTTGACAAATCTTGGGTAACCGTGTTTTTTTGCGTTTGGTTCACTGCGCGCAGCATCCCTGCAAATCATTTTAACCCCGTCCGCTGTAAATGTTGAATATTTTTGTGAATTCACTGGCCAACGATCCCTTATCCCCTAACTTATGCAATCGATTCAAATGTGCAATAAATGTTTTTGGGTGATCTTATCAGTCCGATAGGCTGCTACATCTGCTACATGTCAAAGAGCGCGCGGTGGAATTTTATGAAAAGTGCGACACTGACGCGAGGTAGTGAGTGCTAACGCGCCCAGTATCCTGCAACATTAGCAAACCAACAAGATGCCTGGCCCGTTCTGCTTCACTGCTCTATCCTACAGCCAACTCGAGCTAGTTGTCGGATATTTACAGCCTGACGAGAGAATAAAGTTGCTGAAGACGTCGAAGGACAACAGGTAAGCGCTTCTATACCAAATTGTACATTATCTAATTTGCTAATCGATAAATTTACCCATTTAGGACGCTAGTACGCGACAAAGGCCTGATCCCGAATCGTATAAAGGAATGGCGGCTCGTGGCGGGAAACTGTTCTCAGAAGCGACGAGATGGCGAATTGCGGGTGTTCTCCCGAGAGATTCGAATGACCATCGTCCCTGAAGAATCACCTGGTGTCCATTTGACACGCGGCGAGGTGCTTGTGCGAAAGTAAGTAACTAATTTTGACGCTCTCTTCTAAAACTCCAAAACTTTTGATGTATTTGTTGCATTTACAGGGTGTCCCAAAAAAAACGAACCATCTGGCATTTCGCCGTGTTACATGCAATCGGCCCAAAATTTGGACCAGAGGTGTATCAGACCCTAAATAACAACAATCCTGACTTATAGCCCCGTAGCTATCGTCGTTCTCGAGTTATATCGAAAATTCTGTTTTTTCCCGGAATTCTGAACAGTTTTTTCGGCTATCTTTTTGGACTTTGCATCGATCTGCATCGATTTCCGGCTACGAATCCCTAATTTCGCTTAAGAATTGGGCAATTTTGCGTTGTAAAAATCGCTTAAATCAAAGCTTATTTAATTCATTTTACTCTGGAAAAAATTTCTTAGGGTAAAGAAGGCCTTCCGGATCATTTTCACTTAATGTTTAAGGGGTCTAATTCCGCGAAAACCCTATGAAAAATAGAAAATAAAGTTTGTTTTTGCCATAACTCGAGAACTACTGTAGCTACAGAGCTATAATTCAGGATTGTTGTTATTAAGGGTCTGATACACCTCTGCTTCAAATTTGGGGCCGATTGGATGTAACATGGCGAAATGCCAGATGGTTCGTTTTTTTGGGACACCCTGTAGTTTTCGAAGCGAAAGGAAAAAAATAGTTTCGGAATGTTTATCGTATAGACTGAGATCCGTGGCAAGATTATGAGATCAAAACCCGTTATATAATTCGTTCAAGTACTCCCTGTCGAATCAGCATCTCACAGTCCTGCTGTAGCAAATTGTGAATAGAGTTTGTGGTGAGGGTGATCGTTGTCCCATCCGTCGTTTCGAAGTCTCCATAATCCTGCAGCACCTTCACTTGTACATACAGATCCTCGGGCGGTCGCGTACAAGCCAACAGGTTCATTCCCGAGCCGCCGAATGAGCTCTGGAAGTCGGCGAGGTTTTGGCAGTAGCTGTTGAAGAATTCGAGCTCGCTTTCGTTGAGGTTCGACTTGATTCGGGATGGGATATTGCCGCCGAATTTCCATCGCAGGGCTTTGATTCGGCGGATCCGTTCGTGATGGTAGGCGAGGAGGCATCGATACGCGAATTGTATGGCCTTCGAGCGGACGGTCGTCTCGATGGTGACATTTTGTGCATCGGATCCCGAGAGCTCATTGTTCAGGCGCTGTAGCTGCTCGTACGTCTCGCTGTAGAGTGCATTGATGCCGTTCAGGCAATCCCGGACTTTTTCGCCCTCATAGCTGGGGATGATGTCGCAGTTTCTTCGTAGTTCACGCACCAAATCCAGGCCAATTTCTGCGACGGGCTTTGTGGACATCGATTATCTGAAAAACGGGAATAATTATTTTATTGAGAAGCATACAAGGATAAAATCGAAATGTAGAAACGACAAAAATTCAGTTCCGGCCGAGGCACGAACGAAGTGGAGTCAAGCTCAAATCTAAGGTAAGGCGGAGCTTTAGTTACAAATACGTAATTCTAGGCGCTTTCCACTACCAGACTACTACGACACTGCGCGAATAGCAATGCAGGTGAAACGAGCTCGAGAAATTATCATCGGCTTTGAATATACTGACGTGAGCGAAAGCAACTAAAGCCATCGTTTCGTTTAGAACATAGTGGTTCGAGTGGACGACCGATCCGTGGAATGGGGCGGGCTGCTCGAGCGGTTCAATCGGGAAATGGATGTGAGCTTAATTGCTACTTCCGAGACACGTTTATAGGTGACGGAAATGTTGAGATCGCTTCAGTCTGCTAAGGATTTGAAGTTAGGCACGGCCTACTTGGACAAGTTGGAGCAACTTTCAAATGGCATCAACATATCCTGTCAATCGTGCCACATAGATTATGTAAGTAGCTTAGATCAAAACGGGATACTTGAGGCGTCTACATAGGAAAATGCGCAAAAATATGTATTTTAGGGCATCCAAATGGTCGAGCGAAGTCTGTCTGGTCTGGTGGGTAAAATAAGGATTAACGAGGTATGTTTTTTAGCCAATTTTTCTAAGTTTCTAATCTAACCTCATGCAGTTTGTGAAATCGACGCAATGGACTCCCTACACAGATATTATCGAAAAACTAGTAAGGGCGAATACTGGAACGTTCTCACAACATTGCGCCACAGCAGCTGCCATCTTCTGGACGCTAAAGGTAAAAACTCCCTCCAGAGCTAAAACAGCCATTTAGGCTTTACTATCCGTGCAATCGGCTCTCAAGCGCCGCACCATTTACGAGATCTTGCGTAATGTAAACAAACCGAATCTAGACAGGGCCAGACATCAATTTGAAGAAGCCGAGGTAATTTAATGAGTGTTGATGATTTAATGACTATTACCCAATACATAGAAAAATTAAGTCAATCCCGTCTAGATGATACTCAAAGAACTCGACCCGGGAGCATTTTCGATCCTGGAAGCCGAGTGTGAGGCCCAGCTCTTGCGCGATTGCTTTACAAAATACAAGGTATGTACAAATGAAAGACTCAACGAGACGTTTAGCCAGGCGCCGTGATTTTCCACGTTCGTTTCTTCGCCAATACACGGGTCGGAGGTAGGTCTACCTTCACAAGCAATTTTTAATGGAATTCTAGGACCTAACTACATGCTATCCTGCTATCAACCGGAAAAATCAGCTCATGAAGTCATAGTATCACTTGTGCTGCAACTTGGATGAAGTACAGAACTAAACAGACTTCGTATATTTAATAATTAATGAAAATCTATCAAGTAAAGCGCCTATTGACACCTATGACACCCTTCTGCAACCATTTCCTATACCAACCTCAAGCCAGTTATCCCACCCCTCAAAAAAATTCACGGCCCAAATCGTGCTAATGATGCGCGAACCGTGTAGCGCGTATGTGGCGCTGACGGGGACCTTCCGCGTGCCCTGACGAGATCTGCCAAGGGGCCCTCCCCGTGCGCACACAAACATTGCACCAATCGAGACGATATAAATGCCCGTGAAGCCCTGATATCCAGTCTACCCACATCCAGCTAGCAACATTGCGCATTAGGGTTCATTCCCAATTAACAAACCACGTAGTTTATCTTTTTCAACTAAAATCCGAATTTTAACTTGGTTTCTACGTTAATTAATACATTTTGCTAACCAAAAACAACAAATGTTAAAAATACCTAACTACACCTTTCCATCTTCATTAGCAACATTGCGACATACCCCTCCCGGTATTCATTTAAGGTCCGAATTAATCCATACAAATTCAGCCCTAAATTACAACACCTCCCTTCACCATTATTAACACAGCTAACATTCTTCTCACAATTTATCTAAACCCAAGCTAACGCCAACCATTTCTCACCTCAGATGCACCGCCTCGTCGTAACCCTCGCCATTGTCGGTCTCTGCAAGCAGACCTGCGCAACGCTTTTTGACGTAAGGCAATGGAGCCCGAACTAACAAAAAATTGTGTAGGGCCCAGCCGTATCGGCCGAAGCAACGACATCATCCACTTCCGTAGAAGACACAACCACAGCTTTGGCCCCAATGTCCAGGGCCAAGCGCCAGTGTGGTGGGATGGGTGGATGCTGCGCTGGGATGTGCGGCCAGTGTGGAGGCATGGGCATGTGTGGGCAGGTAGGGAGGGGACCGTTCAAACCGGGGCATGCCCTTGGCGAGACATCAAACTTCAATTGCGGCAACCTCTTAGAGACTGGGGCGTATATTCACAAGATCTAAAAGTATGTCCCGTTTTTTTTAAAAAAAAACCTCACGCTATCTCCAATCTAGGTATGCTGCGCCCAGCAGCCGTCATGCTCTTGCGGAAACCCCGGATGCTCATGCCTTCCGGCCGCTCCCCCGCCTTGCGTCTGTGGAACCCCTTCGTGCTCTTGCACCACTAACACCCAGGTATTTCCAACACCGACTAACGCATCTATCATCCCCTTTAGCTTGTCGCTGTCCAGCAAACATGCTGCACTTGCTGCCGCCCCGTCTGTACCCAGGCTTGCATTCAGGTGAGACAACAAACCGAATAGGTTCAGACAGAAAAATTTAGGGAGGAGGCTGCGGTTGCGGTTGCACCCGTGGAGGCTGCGGCCGCAAGCGTCGCTCTCTGCTCGCCATTGCCGCCGAGGAAGCCGACAAGCAGTAACCTACCCAACTGCCCCGATTATTTATACCCATGCATTACAAGTGTCTGGAAATGCGCTGGTGATAAATTATTGCTTTGCAACGACAGGGTTCCAGCTGCACGCGTAGTCTATAAAACCTTTAATTGGTATCAAGCATCAATGTACACACACCTCAATAAATTATCAACGACACGGCGGTGGTAGGAGACAGAGGAGGGACTGGGCAAACGGAAGAAAAGAATTACCAAAAACCCGGTGAGTTCGCGAAGAGGGAGCGATACGATTGACATTCACAGAAAGATATTCTAACGCTACGAATAGTTGGAATCCCGGCAACTCATCACAGAAAGGCGGCTGACTAAAAACAATTTCCGGTATTAGAATTCACAAAAAAGGCACACTGCGCGGATAAATTAGTGGATAAAGATTGCTTAACGATGGGCGGGGGGTCTTCGGATGCTTAGGAGAGTAGATTGCGAATCTCGCGATGAACGAGGCAGAGGTAGTCGACGTAGGACATGGCGTTCGAAGAGCCGGGCTTGTCCTGAAGGGTATAAATTAGTCTTGGAAAATATCTGTGAATACACAGGGAGTTACTTTCTGGATTTTCATAATACCCAAACCTCCTTCTAGGGAGGCTAACCATGCCCAAGAATTGGACATTTTCAAAATAATCAACATTACTAATGTAAATAGGTACCTCGACAAGGAACTTCCTCATCCATCCCTCGAGCGCATCTTTTTCCTTGATGATGAAGAGCTTGCGGCTTCGGGCGCTTCCCTGAAAATCCAAGATCAGAAACGAACACACAATCAAAAGAAGTTGTAGACAATGTACCAACCACATTCATCAAATCAATGATGCGCCGAAGAGCCCTCGACCTCGCGTTGTCTTTTTCCGGGATCAGATGCTAAAGAAGGAATTCTTCGTCATCAAAGGGACGCTTACGCTTTCAGAGTCGACCAATGTGGCAGCTTGAACACCGAAGACATCCTGCACCCATTCCGCCGGTGTTCCCAGACCGACCCAGATGAACATGCAGATCCCAGTGTCAATGACATAGGTCTAAAAAAATTATAGACAAAAATATCTCTCACCAACCTTGGTATTTTCCATGAATTCCATCGAGGCGCGAACCTGAGCAGGGAGGCCCGGGAGTTCAGACGGATCGTTGATCTGAAAAAAAAATAATTTTGAAGGCTCCCTGAGCGACCAATTCGACCAATAAAACCTAGAAAGCCAATATACTCACCTGAAGTTCCGATACAGCTACAATTCGCGGGTACAGCAAGGAAACGGCATCTTCAACCTTCATTCCGCGAATCGTCTCGATTAGCCAAGCCTTGTCGTCAACCGTCATTTCACTTCCGGCCGCGATGGCATCGTGTTTCAGAATGGAGTTCACGAGACATGGCAGCACTTTCAGCGTCTCTGGCAGAATCAGCTGGCCAAGTGCCGCTTCCGATGAGCACTTTTCACGATAGGCCGCCAGGATCTTGGCCACACGGTTCGTGAGGGACTCGCGCACGTCCTTTTGCCCTTTCTCTCGGTTGATCTCCACGCCTAAAAAGCTGGAGCATCAAAATATTTTACGGAGCTAACCATTTTTGAAGAGGTACGTCGCTAGAACATCCTGATCGGCCACGCGGTAGACTTGATTATAATCCGTGGTGACGGGCAGGCACAGGTTCAAGATACGTAGGCGACGCTGTCCAGAGACGGCGGTGTACAGAACGGCAGCCTAAGAATAAATTAATTGCTCCTGAAAGGACTGTCCTACCTGGATGACGGCCGTCGGGTCGGTAAGTTTATCGTCGTGCTTCAATTCAACAAAGAAGGCCTTGTCCTGATCAATTGAGGCGATCTCCATATCCGTCGTGTTCTCCATGAAGAACGATCCGTAGAACTTGACGGGGCGAATGCCGGCGCTGCTTCGCACCCTCACCATGCAATCGAAGGCGATTTGCCTCGACACATCATGCGCCAAGTCTGTCAGGAAGCGTTGGCTATCCTTGGCTGCCTATACAGTTTATTGGTTAAAGGGATACGGACGGCATAGTCAATCGATTACGCGCTGGAAAGAAAATATCTCTGGGCCTCTCCCCAGGGCGCGCTCTCTGCCCTGTTGGCTACTTGCCAATTTGTTGATGGGGGGGGGGGGGATCGACACATGCCGTCGGCAGCCCTTTAAAGCAGAGCATTAAAAAAAGAATAAGACGTGAAGCCAGCAAACCCACATCAAAGTATTGATATTTGTAGATGGACCCTCCGGTGACAGCCGTCAACTGGCCAATGGTGGCCACATCAATGTAAGCATTGGGGAAGAGGAACATGTCCACAGTACATCCGCCCTTGACGCATTGCTCTCCCAGCTTCGTGTAAAATTCGTTTTGCGGCAGCAAGACTGTCTGAAAACATATGAACATCAAACCGAAAGCAAAAAACCGACCTTTTCCTTTTCCGTGCCCAACACCTTGCGGTCATCTCTATTTTTCAGCTTGCCGGGGGCCTCGAAGCCGGGCAGCGAAGTAGTGAAGATGAACAACTTGCCAGCACGATCCGCCGACTAAATAAAATATACTATTATCGTGAAAATTGTACCTTCAAAGCATCCAAGCCAGCTTGCACCACCGGCCCCAGAATTCCCTCAGTCAACCGGGTCTGCGCGAATAGACGAGGAATTTCAGCCAAAAGAGTGCGAATTGCGTGGACGCCCTAAAATCAGCGTTGAGCGTAGGACGAGATCCTACTTGATCAAAAGGTACGAGTAGCCCATCGACCATGGGCACAAAGGCCTCGGCCACATCGCCGACAATCATCATGCTGGGAGTGGGACTGCTCAGGTCGAAAAAGTGGATGGCCTGGTCGAACGTGGCAATACCAACCCGGACCGTAGAAAGCTCTTGCCCGTATTCCCTGCAAATATATTTTAGCAGAAAAAGATGTGCTTACTTTGGCAACCTATTGAGGATCGTTTCGAGATTCTTGCAGAGCACGTGAAGCATGCCATTTTGGATTGCATTATACGAGACGTCGATCATGAAAATGAAGGCCGGCTCTTTCGGGGCAACGCCGTTCTGGAAATCAGGACAGTTTGGAATGCATGGTTGGCCAACCTTGCAATACTGCTTTGTAGCAACAAATTCGTAGGCGCCTAGGAGCAGCTCGGGACGATATTCGATATCTGTGCGTCGGCCGGTGTGGTCGAGATGAGCAAAATAAGCGTCCTCGACTAAAAACGGCTATATCAACAGCTACAAAAGGTGTTACCTTGAGTGTTAGCGTGGCAGTACGGGCACCGGAATTTGCGGCCACCGTCTTGGAATTCCATGAACGGGCACATGTAAGCCTTGCAGCGCTGGCAACGGATTGGCCCTTGTGGTCCGAGATCAACGATTGGTGGAGCACGCTATAAAGCATGAATTAAGTGGGCAAAAAAAACATCAAATAGAGGAAATTCTAATCTGACAAATAAAATACCTCTCGCGGATCCAAGGCAGCGAACGGGGAAATCGCAACTGCTAGCGGGAGGTGGGAATGCTTCAAGATGTCTCCGACCTGTGGGGCCACATACATCGTCGACCGCATAAAACGCGGGTTCACATTGCCTAAAAGCAATTGGAAAAGTATAGAAAACAGCAACTGAAGCGTACCTTGGTCCTGCGCAAAGAAGTCGGTTGAAACGAGCGGCGGGTGTTCGGCATGGGGGAATCCGGTGGGGAAGAGCCCGGCGCGCACTGCGTCTTCCTCGCGGACGGCAACCTAACATCAATTTTTAGGAGAGCTTCACTTATTATTTTTGGGCTAAGGGCTGGTACGTTGAAAAAGCCATAGGAAAGTGATAGTAAAGTTAATTCGGGTGCAGGTAATAGGGTCTAAATTAATCAATCAGAGAGGGGATACTAAGAGAAACAAGCAAGAAGAACTAGGAGAAAAAGAAAAAAGATACGATTGGATCGCTAAGCCATAATGAAAAAAACTAACCGCACTCGGCATCATCTTGGCGTTGAGCTTTTGCTGTTGTTGCTGCTGAGGCATGCCACCAGGGTAGGGAGCGGCACCAGGAACGCCCTAAAATTTAAAAAATTAAAGTAAAGTAAGTAGAACTAAAACCAATGTCATAATTGAACATACCGGGAAACCGGGAGGCCCAGGCGGACCAGGGGGACCGGGCGGCCCACCAGGTGGTCCGGGATACGGCTGGCCGGCAACATTCTGGAAAACAGGATAATTTAGAAAATAAAACTAAAACAACCATATTCTGCATTCCCTGCTGCATGAAATTCATCTGATTCGGCATCGGTGGGCCGGGCATTCCGGGCGGGAATCCAGGCTAAAAATCAGATATAAAGTAGGCAATGATAACACTTCAAGAGGCTCTATAAAACCTTCAAATCATTACCATTGCTGGAGGACCAGGCTGCGGGTACGGTTGAGCCACTAAATAGGAAATTTTTGGGAGAGTATGGAATTAATACCAGGTGGCTGTTGCGCAGGTTGTTGCGGATAGCCGGCCGAAGGCGCAGGATAAGCATTGGGATAGCCCGAAGCTTGAGGAGCCGGCTAAAATGAACAAGAAAAAAAATTTGAGAATATCAGACTCAGTTACCGGGAATGCGTTCGGAGGCGGAGCGCTAGAAGTCGCAGGAGCCGCTGGGAACGGATTCTGCGGATGTTGGCCGGCTGGTGGCAAGTTGTTCGGAATATTCTAAGGCATAAATGTTTGCAAAATCAAACTTGACGCTACCGGCATAGATGTGGGTGTGGCCGACGGCGCTGGCGGCTTGTAGGCAGCAAACGCACCTAGGAAGGATTAGTTTTTTTCAGCCGGTGGTCAAATTTTGCGATGTGATCATACATTATTCGATGGCGCTTGAAATTCAGAATATGTCTTTATTTTTCCTTCAAAAATCTAGCAAAAAAAACCGCTGAACAAGGTCTTCGATAAAAACGACGATAAAACAAGGCCTTCGATAAAATTCGTTCTTTCGTTCGAAAAAAAATGGCCTCTATTCCTCAAAGACCGATATTGTTCGATAGCTTTTGAAGAGGCTACATTTTTGAGAATTTTACGCTCTAATGAGCTAAACTAGAAGATACTCCTTCTAAGAAGCATTCTACCGAGAAAGTAATTCCTTACCCTCATTCCCGGCAGGCGGACCCTTGGAGAGCTGCGGCTGAAGTTGTTGATGGTGCTGCTAGAAAAGCCTTGCTAAAACTGCGATTCTGCGCTACCTGTTGGGGAGCCTGAGGGGCAGCAGGTTGAGACGGCGGGAATTGAGGAGGGTGAGCAGCTCCGTTTGTCATCTGGGGCTGGGGCGGCGGAAAGCTGCCTGGGTACCCATTTGTCGCCGGAGCTGGAGGCTGGAAGCCAGCTGGCTGTTGAGGATACATCGGAGGTTGGCCGGGAGCAGGGAAGTTCGGGCCTGATCCTGGGAAACTCGACGTGGCCGCCGGCGGGAATTGAGTTGGCTGCGGTGCGCCCGGATGTTGCCTGAAAAAAAACTTATCCTCTAAAAACAAGACATTTTCGATGCGCCAGAAGATACGCAATATATGTTGCCGAAAACTCACGGAAAGTTGTTGTGCATCTGGTAGTTGCCATTGTTGGGCGGCTGCGGAAAGCCAGCTCTGGGCGGCTGTGGAGGAACTGGAGTCGACATCAAGCGGCTCGATGTCCTGGAAGAGTTAATTTTTTATCAGATTTGGTTAGGACGAGCAAAGTAAAAAAGAAAATGGAAAACGACACAAAATGAAAAGTACGTTTGTTCCTCCGAACGGAGTTTGTACAACGGAGTCCCTCGTTGTCCGAATTTCGGAATAATTTCTTTGCTTTCAAAATTTCGCACCAATTTTGTTTCAATTTTTTCTTTTCGAGTTGGATATTTTTTTGGCACGGGACGGTTATATGTTTCAACCCATCGCTGAAATAAAACTCAAAAATATTTTTAGCAATTACCTCAAATTTCGTAGTAAAGTTTCAAAGTACCCCGGCAGCCGCAGACTAAAATCTCGCATTTCCTCTATTTCTCCCGCGCTTCTATAAACTAGGGAAAAGGGCCCCATCCCCCGGGCCTGGCTGAAATCCCGGTCCCACCCGCACCGACATCAATGGTCAGTGGTCTATAAAATTGAATTAAAGGTAGTGGTCGACCAGAAGAGCGATTCACAGATTATACTCGGCTCTAGCTTTCAATTACAATGGCAATTGTGATGTGGAAGGGAACGTTGGGAGAAAAAGAGCGGATTGGGCCACTTGGCGGCAGGGGAATCGCGGTGAGACCGGGTGAGGGGACGGATACAAGGAACGCCCACCGCGCACTATGCATAGACAAAAACAGGGGAGGGAGCGTGTCAACATGGACAGTCCCAGCGGACGGCTTGATCGATAGAGCCCCAAAACCGGACCTGGTCCCCCTATTCGATGAAAAGCTATACTTCAAGCTTTTACTTTGAACTTTGTCTAAATACATTTTTTTAGCTGTATACATTCAACGTTCTGACAAATCAACGAGTATTTTAGCATTGCAAGCCTGAAACAATCGACTTTTCAGGTCCCCGAAAATCAGAAAGATTTAGCTGCAGTCATTTTCCACACTGATAGAATGTATTTACCAGACATGGCAATCGGCCGGGCCGCGCGGCTTTTTCGGCCGCAAAAATTAGAATGCGGCCGGGCCGCGCGGCTTGGCCGCACTTCCGGTGCGGCCGCGGCTTTTGTCCGTTTTGAGGCCGCACGGCGGCCAAGCCGCGCGGCTTTTAAGGCCGCATCCAAATGAGTTTTGAGAACTTCCGGTACGCAAATCCGAGATGTAATGGGTATTTAGCTTGCTAACGAGGAGGATTTATTTTCGACAGCCTTAATTTTCTCATTTCCATTTCCATTTCGCATGAAATTCGCGGATTTTTGGTATGTAGAAGAGCTACTTCCGGTTTGCGGCTTGGCCGCGAAGCCGCGTCCGGAAGTAACTAATTACGGCGGCTCGTAGGGGCCGCGTTTTTTATGGAAATTAGGCCGCGCGGCTCGGCCGATCGGAATTGCCATGTCTGGTATTTACTTATTCTTTACTTCGTGGAGATAACATATTAATTTATCCGCCGATATTTTCGAACCTTGCCCAGAAACAATAACCTCTTTTTGGGTCCCGAAAAATCGCAAATCTATCCAATGCGTTTCAAAGAGCATTAGTCAGCTTTGCCCCTCAAGCCCGGCTGGCGATTTTCCGCGGTTGGCCTCGATTTAGCGCCCTGAGTGTGACTGTAGAGGGGCTATCGGTTCATCGGATCTTGCCCAACCCTTTTTCTCAAAGGAAACTCAATGTGGCTCCTCAGGAACCGTGAGACTCGCAGACAAATTTCGGCTCCCTTCATCCCGGACCGCTATCGCCAACTGACCTTATTGATAGCTTACAACAGCGGCCGTTTGATAGCACGTCGTTTGAGCATTATCTCTGATAACAGCATATCTTTGAGGTCTTTATCCTGTGCCATAACCTTCGCTTTTCCTTGTAATCTCATACTTTTAAAAACAAGTTTTGGCGCTACTTCAGTTTGCTGGCCCCACTTATATTTCGCCAAAACCTCATGTTTCCGGGCTAGTTTTTTGCGCTGATTACGAAAAACGTTTTTCGGAATCAGCGCAAAAAACTAGCCCGGAAACATGAGGTTTTGGCGAAATATAAGTGGGGCCAGCAAACTGAAGTAGTGCCCAAGTTTTGTACAATTTTCAGGCACATGCCATGGACGTGTCTCAGTACACATGCGCCACAACGCCTACCACGGCGGCCACTTCTTCCCTGATGGGGGATACAATGCCCCGGAAGTCGTTGCCAGGCAGGCGCGACAAACAGATGCTGCAGGAGTTTGACCACCACGCACGAGGTTCGACCATTACCGGCGCTCTAACGGCCATTATTATTACACAGTTGACCTTGGTATGCATGCGGGCGAATAATTGCGATTGGTCAGCAAATATGGGCGGAGGGGTGGTAATGGGTAGTTGTTGCGGGCACGCGCGCGTTATTGGGGAGTTGATTGTGTGTCGGTTTTTTGGTTAGGCTCATATAGGCTGAATTTTTCGACGCAGAGGGTGTAAAAGGAGGATCAGTAGGTGCAGGAAGTCGAGTTCTGGACTGTTAGCAGGGGGAAAAAGGAAGTTTCCTTATTTAGTGTATACGTTTAGCAACAAATATTTGGTAGTTTTCCTCGTTTCGAGCTCTCCGATCCCAAAAATTCTATGACAATGTTGTAAAACCTTAAACTATCTGCAACCTTTGGCCATTGTTGGTCAGCTTTGAATGATTTAAATTTTTTTGAAGAAAATGCATAATTTAGATCGAGTTTCTCTACGTAAAACAGCGTAACACACCTGTCAAAACATGGAATAAGTTATAAGACTTCTACGAGAGCATGGGAAGAAAATAAGCCCCCCCCCGCTAACAGATCAGAACCGGAATTCGACTGCTCCGATTATTCATTATTCCCGAATGTCAAAACTTACCAATGGCTATAGCGAAACACATGGCAGCGTTCCTAGCGTCATCCCTGCTGGCACCCACCTGCGGGTGAGAGAACGTCGTAATATTTTGCAAACATGACAGCCCGGATGACATAATTGGGGAGGGATCGGTGGGCAATATGTGTGGTGAGTGTGTGTGTCTATGCGGGAGCACGAGGTCGTTCAAGCGTTCCTCCCCCTGGGTGTAAGCCTGGCCGCTCCGCTGGCCGGGCCTGGGTTGGGATGACAGGCGCGTGCCGGCCGGCCCTCCCTAGTCCAACCCCGGGAGCCCGGGGATGTAAAATGCATTCTCTGCTCCTCGACGCCTGGCGCTCCCTTTGACTCAGCTCCATATTCCTTCTTCGCGACGCCAACTGGTTCCCCCCGAAATCATAGCCCCCCACCTGCCCGAGACGGCGCTCCCTATTATTTGCTCGTTTCGCTACTTTCCTATGGCCGCCCACCCACGCATAAGAACATGAACCGCAAGGACCTGTTATGTGTCAGCTTGGCGACAGATTATTTGGTTCAATATATCCAGGGTTAGTGATGAGTCAGAGTTGCACGTGTTTTTTTATGATGGTCAAGGGGTGTGATCTGAAATAGACTTTTTTCTAACAATTCTTTTTTAGAAATTCGCGTGCAACTTGCTGAACAGTTGAAATGCTTTGGGGAACGGACGGAAACTCAGGTTTGCCACTATCTCTGCCTGCACCTTTCGCTATTTGCAGATCCACATCCTTTCCGAGCTCGAAGAGTATTATCGAAAACGTGGCGAACTAGAAGCGGAACAGTCGCGTCAATTGGACAAATTGGCGAAGGGCATTTTGCAGAAGCATAAGGCGGACAAATCCAGGTGCGCTTTTCCAATTTTTGGATAAACTATTTGCTTCAGACGGGAAGCTTGGCAACAGCACTCGGCTTATACTATCTGGGAGCAAGTCGTCGATGATACAAAAGAAGAGGCCAAGGAGAGGATGAGGATCGGCGAATTCTATTCGAAGGAAGTCACCTCGAGTATCGCACAGCGCTGTGATGACCTCGCTCGGATCAGTAAAAAGGTTCGCGTTTCGATTTTATTCGAATCTTTTGAATTTAGTGTCGAGAAATTGGAACTCTTTCGCATGGCGAAATCATGCGGGTTTTGACCGAATTGCACACTTCTATGAAAACCTACCAGGTACGACCCAGAGCGCTCTACTCACTCACAAATTCATAGATCTGCTATGGCGAAGCCTCGGGCGTCGAGAAAAAGCTGCGGATCGCCGAGGAGGAAGTCAAGAAGTCGGCCATATTTTGTTTGCATTATGCGCGCTATTTTTAGGTCCGAGGAGTCCATTCGAGGAAAATCTGTTACGCGCAAACACAAAAACTTGTTGAAATATCTGGAGAGGGTACGATGACGCTTTTTAATCCTTATCCTTCTTTAGCGTCAAGCAAAATGGAACGAGAAGAAGATCAAGTGGACGAAGGCAAGGAACGAGTACCTGCTTTGCATCAAGGCTGCCAATGCCGCGCTGCATCGCTTTTTCGCTGATGACCTCAGCTACTTGGTTGATTGTATGGACTTGGGCATGGAGTTCTGGCTGCGCCATTTACTTGGTTTGGCATTGTCAGCGCCGCTAATTTATTTTTCGTTTAGACCAAATCATTGCAAGCCGCAAGAAAGTCACGCAAAAGGAGATGGAGTCGTTGGGCGAGCTGGGTACGCGGAAATTGAAGATTTACATGTCTTTTTAGGAACGAAAAAGAGCGCGCTCGATGGAAAGCTGGACAAGAAACGGTTTTTCGAAGCTAACAACTCTGCCTTCATGCTGCCTCGACAGTTTGAATTCCGGTAACCTGTGATTTTTTTGGGTTGATTCCTTGTTTAGACCTCAATTCGGTGACTCGCTTGCGACGGTTTCTGCCGAACAGACAATTGCCAACGAGCTGAAGCAGCGTCAATTGCAAATAACCAAACGGCTTGAGGCGCTACGATTCGAGAGCGATGAGGTTGGCCATTCGAATCTTATCATTCTATCTCGTATAGGTTTGGAAAAGTCTCGAAGCCTCTGAAAAGAAGCTGTTCTTCCTCTACAAAGACCAGGAGCAGGACGTCAACAAATTGAGAAGTGACCTTCTCGTCACTTACCAATATTATCTCAAGGTGCGAATATTTCGTTGCTGATTAGATAGAGACATTTTAGAAATTCGAATACTTCTTGCTGAACGGTAATCTCGTCGAGCGGCTGGAGGCGAGGAATCACTTGATTGGTTCGAAATAATTTCCATGGATGTAATTCCAATTTTAGGAGAAGCCCTCTCTGAACAAGGCGTGGCGGGTGGTAGTCGCAATGGCAGCGAGGCACCCTCAATTGATGGCGAGCGCATTGGCCGCAAAAGAACGCGACGAATTGGTCAGCATCCTGACCGACCCCGTCCCAAGTAAGAAAGTTTTACCATGCGTAAACATTCATTTATAGACTGTTCGGTGGTAGTTTGGAGGAATACGTGGAAATGTCTGGAGAGCCGATCCCATTGATCGTCTCCTCTTCGATAGAATTCTTGGCCAGGTGAGCTACTTTTCGTTGCCTTTATTCTTTTCGAAAATTTCTAAAATCAAGGTATTCCCCTTTTAGATACGCGCTACGGCATCAAGGCTTGTTCCGCATTTCTGGCTCTCAATCCGAGATCAACCGCTTCAAGGAATCCTTTGAATCAGGCACGGATTTCTGTCGAAATTGAAGAAAGCTTTTAGGTGATGACCCCCTCTGCGATTTCCGTGACGCCAGCGAGGCCAACAGCGTGGCGGGCGTGTTGAAGCTTTATCTGCGCGAGCTGCGTGAGCCCCTCTTCCCTATGTACCTATTCGAACAATTCACCGAGTGCTCCATGGCCGAGAACTCCGAAGATTTTGTCAGCAAGGTTCGTTTCTTATACAATATTTTTAAAATTTGAATGTTTTAGACACGGCGTCTACTCGTTTCTTTGCCGACGTCTTCCTTGATTTTGCTGCGAGTTCTCTTCGGTTTCCTCTCCCATTTGTGCGAGTTTGCCGACGAGAACATGATGCAGCCACCGACGTTGGCCATCTGCTTCGGCCCGACCCTGCTGCCAATCCCAGAAGGAAAGGATCAGGTATAATGGACCTCCCTCAGTTCACCCATCTCTTCTAGGTCTTCTACCACAACTATGTCAACGGCTTCGTGCGCGGACTCATCGTCCACCACGAAAAAGTTTTCCCTGGCGAGCATGAGCTACCGGGCCCTGTCTACGACAAATATGCTTTTGACCTCCACAACATGGATTACGTCGATGACGTTGAGGGGTTAGTTTTGCTTACTGTCTACCGATAATATGAACGTTCTAGTGATGACGGTCTTATCAGCGGTGACGACGAAGTTCTGCTTGGTGGTGTCGATGAGCAGGACACAGAGCTCCAAAGAGACAAGGAGAATGGCAACGACTTCAACAACCGCGGATCCGTCTTCTCCAGACAGTCTGTCCCTACTCCCAGCTGTTCGGAGGTAAATATTGTACTGGTTACGAATTATGTCTCTCTTTAGGATACGTCCGTCCGAGATCTCGGTTTTCGGGATGTTTGCCAACAGCTGAAGCTGACGCTAAAGGAAGATTTTCTGCATAGGGGTGGTACACCGACCGAACCATCCCTCCCGCCTAGCTCCCGGTATTTTCGCACCAAAAATATATGATTTTGTTAGATCTTCTGTACGAAGTGCTTTGGAGATCAAATACAACGAGCCTGCTCTTTCGCCCAGGAACAATAACAACATGGGGCCCATTGTAAGTAGCTTTTTGTAGGATTCTGACTAACCCGCTTTTCAGGGAGGAATCCTGACGCGCCCGCCAGTTGTGGCTTCTCTGAGGGACCAGCTAACTCATGCGAACCCGTCAGCGGTGGGGAGCAGCCATTCGGCCAATAAGGTTTTCCCGACGTATGTATATTTTCCAATATCTATGCTTGTTATTGTTCTTTTCAGTGAATTCGACAAGGTCTCCCGCACCTCGATTCGCCTTCAAAAACTCTCGACATTCGACGAGCTGAAGTCTCCCATAGAATCGCCATCCGAGAGACCCGGTGCGAGCAACAACCAGTCACCAGCGGATTCTTACGGAAAGGAGTGCGTTTTTTTTATAGCGTTTTCTGCTCTTTGTTTATCGCTAAAAATTTACTTTTCAGAATCGAGCAGCCGAGCTCTGCCAGCAGTTCCGGTTCTCCTCTGGACAGTCACCCGTCAAACCAAAACACGCCCAGGCGCGGTCACCTTGACGATCCAACCTTCGAACTTGACCGGGCCATCCAATGCCTTCGCACTTAGCACGTGTACATTGCCGTCGATTGTTTCACTTGTTGATGTTTTGGTCTGTCTGGCTGTTTACGGCCCGATAACCCGGGCATTTGACGTATTCTTTACGCGCAGTTATTTTCCCGCTGCTTTAAACTGTCCATATCGACAACTCACGCATGATCGCACGATTCAGTTCTTATTTATTGGCCCGTCTGCCCCTATCCCCGATTATCATGTTGTGACGTTGATTTTAATGATTCGCCATGCTCGCCCCCCTCTAGCACCGGATGATGGCCCTCGGGCTTGTTGCAATATACCCCTCTATTTGGTGACGCATCGCTGAACCGTGACACCCCAGTTCCCATTTTTATGATCTTGGAGCCCCGATCCCAGAAGTACAATATTCCACGTTGAGCTTTTTACAAAAAGGCTGCATAATAATAATAAACGGTACTACTGACTGTTTGCGAAAAATATTGAGTTTGCAATCTTGATAAAGGAGCTGACAGCTTTCGATGAGGTTTTGAAATACACATCGGTATTTTGATAGATGTCAATGCTGAGGGCTCTACGATTTTTGGCGACGAAAGCCGGTGATGCTGGCGGCCCGCAGCATGTACACATCGGAACCGACCGCATCCGCGTGCCCACCGCAACTGCTTCGCAAGAGGCGACGGCAAGGTAAACAGTTACTAGCTTGACGAAGAATATTGTTTTAGTGATAAGCCTGATGGTATGCCGAGTCCTCCACCGGAGGGGTTGTGCTGTGGCCAGGGCTGCCAGAAGTGCGTATGGATAGAATACGGTTGGTTTTTGCACCGGAATTCTGGAACACCGTCTCTGTCTGGATTTACCCTCCGATTTTTTCAGGCAACGAATTGATCGACTACTACCAAGAGCACCCGGACAAAGACGCCAAGCAGCGAATCGAGCACGAGATAAAAGACCCTGTGATGCGGGCATTCGTGATGGCCGAGTTGAAGCCGCGGTTGTAGCCGATCGTGTGCGTGTACGGTGTCGGGGTTGTAGCTTTCGGGTTCTAAGCGTTTTTTGCGTGAGGATTTCTCGAATTTTTATGGCGCGAACCTGATATATCGAAAAATAGCTTCTCACGCTGAAAAACGCTCTCTGTATGTAGGCCTGTATGCAGTTTGACATCTAGTGATTTCACTTACTCGCTCTCGATACGGTGCTATGCTATTGTACTTGCCACCTGTGATTCTGCCATTGTATAGGCTTTTTACTACTAACAACTAATTAGCAATGTATCCATTTCGTAGAACAGTTTTCTTAGCGCATGATATAAAATTGTATCTCTGAAATCCATCGTACACTGCATAATATAAGTGTTTATCGTATCTATTGGACACAACCCCTTCGAGGCAAAATATTTATTAAGCCCTGGGATAATACTTTCATATGATACAAAGATTCCAGGTATTTGTCGTGACGGGTCCATGTAATCGCATTGGCCGGCGGGGGGAGAAGGACGGCTCGAAGAAGAGGCAGCAGCTACTTCCTAAATACGGGTCAAACTGTTAATCCTCCAGCAGCGAAAGGGTGTACTCACGCGGCAAAGGTGACCGGGAGGGTCGTCGCCTTCTGCTCGGCCGGGGCCACCTTCTTGAACACGGCCGCAGGGTCCTTGTCCGCATCATCACACTAAACAAGGAATCCAATGCACACGATAGATGCCCACATTGGCGAACACGATGACGATCTTCTCACCGGCGCCGGCAGCCGTACCGGTGCGCTCGATCTCGATGTTGTGCGCGGCGCCGGCGGCCACGAAAGCGAACACGGGGTTGACCCTAGAGTTTGGTATGGAATATGGGTTTGACGAGGGCTATTTTTAGCAGGGGAACTAAATCGTTTTCTTGAAGCATACGCCCTCAATGAGACTTTCAATTGTTTTGCTCCGTTTTCACCTACTTGTAGATCTGGTTGTTGGAGACCTTGACCTTGACGGCAGCTCGCTTGCCGGTCGTGTTGGTCAGTTTGATCGGCAGCTTGCCGGCCGGCTTCGGGAACTCGATGGTCTTGGGCTCGAGGGTGTAGCCCTGGGCAGCATCAGGGCTAGCAGCGGCCGGAGCGGGACTGGCGGCTGGAGCTGCAGGACTGGCGGCAGCTGGGGCAGCGGGATCGGCTGGGGCTGCAGGAGCACCAGCTGCAGGAGCACCAGCTGCCGGAGCACTAGCTGCCGGGGCCGCTGGCTTGCTAAAAAAAATGTTGAAAATTTTCGATCAGGGCTCATCTACATTCCAGTGCCGGTGGGGACGATGATCGTCTCGGTCTTGAGGGTCTTATCCTTGAAGATGTCCTCGGCCTTGGTGATCTTCTCGTCGGGCGCTTCGTAGTGGACGATCTGGAAAAAGCATGGTGGTGCTCAATTCGTTGTCCGGTACCTCGATGCGGTCCTCCTTGACCGGGGCGGCGATCCTGTTGATGGTGATCTTGTTGTCCTCGTCAGCCTTGGCGATCGAGAACACCGGGTTGATGCTGTAAATTGACTACATCAAGAAATGCTGTCACATAGCCCACCGGTAGATCTTGTTGTCCGAGCACTTCACTTTGTAGGCTCGCCTCTTCCCGACGTTCTTGATGACGAGCACCTGCTCGCCGGCGGCCGCCGTCCATTTCAAGGTGTCCGGCGCGACAGAAGGCTCTACAAACGAAGAAATATGAAATGACGGTCAGCGACTCACTTCCATCATCTTTCTTCTCTTCCTTTTTCTCCTCCTCCTTCTTCTCCTCCTTTTTCTCTTCTTTCTTCTCTTCCTCCTTCTTTTCCTCCTCCTTCTTCTCGCCGTCTTTCTTATCCTCGCCCTCCTTCTTCTCGTCGCCCTCCTTCTTTTCGTCTGTCTTCTCGTCCTTCTTCTCTTCTTTCTTATCATCCGTCTTTTCGTCTTTCTTTTCCTCCTTCTTCTCCTCCTTCTTTTCGTCTTTCTTCTCGTCTTTCTTCTCGTCTTTCTTCTCCTCCTTCTTTTCGTCCTTCTTTTCGTCTTTCTTCTCCTCCTCTTTCTTGTCACCGTCCTTTTTCTCGTCCTGCTCAAGATGTACATTGTAGGTGAAGCTACTATACCTTGGACTTTTCCTTCTTTGAGCCCTCCTTCTTATCACCGTCCTTCTTCTCGTCCTCCTTCTTGCCCTTCTTGCTGCCCTCCTTGCTCTTCTTGGAACCCTCCTTCTTGCTGCCCTCCTTCTTCGAGCCCTCCTTCTTGCTTCCTTCTTTCTTCTTCGAACCTTCTTTTTTACTGCCCTCCTTCTTCTAAAAAAATTAAAAATTAAATAAACCAAGGTTTCCAACCGATCCCTCCTTCTTCTCGTCCTTCTTGGAGCCGGCTTCCTTCTTGGAGCCGCCCTCCTTCTTGCTACCATCCTTCTCTGAAACATTCCAGTTTTAAAAGATTGTTACGTCTTACTCTCATCATCTTTCTTCTCGTCATCCTTCTTCTCATCGTCCTTCTTCTCGTCATCCTTATCGTCCTTCTTGTCGTCTTTCTTGTCCTCCTTCTCCTCCTTCTCCTTCTTGTCGTCCTTCTTCTCATCCTTCTTATCATCTTTCTTGTCGTCCTTTTTCTCGTCGTCCTTCTTGTCATCCTTCTTATCATCGCCTTCCTTCTTGTCATCCTTCTTCTCATCTCCCTCCTTCTTCGCATCATCCTTCTTCGTTTTGTCTCCGGCTTCACCGGCAGGCTTCTGCATCACAGACTGTCCGGGCTTCTTCGCGCCGGCGGCGGCTGCGGCCTTCGGGTCGGCGCCCTTCTTCTTCGAGCCCTTGCATTGGAAGATGGTCAACAACCCGATGGAGATGACGGCGCACCAGTAGAGGATGTAGCTCAACATCTGCAACAAGTTCGGATTGACGGCGATTGTCAGGTAAACTTACTTGTTGAATGACCGACGTTCGATAGAAGGTGCGTTGCGAAAAATGAATGCCAATTCATTGCTGTTGGTTTGATTTATAGTAGAAATCACATTCAATTTGGGACTTGTTTCCGGGGGAGAAGATTTTATTTTAACCTTATGCTAATTAAATATTTTTGTTCTGGGCTGTTAACAGGGGGGTTAGCAAAAGGCGTAATAGTTTTTTTAGTGGTTTTGAATACAAGAAAGTGAAAAAATTTAGGACTTTAAAAATTTTAAACTCTGCAAAAATGTTAATAATCTCTTCAGAAACACTAGGTTATTCGCTGCCCGTGTTCAGCCAGTGACATCATCGCTGCTCGATGACTCAGCGACACTGCGCTGTGTGAGCATGAGGCTTCTGTGTTGCCTCTAGACTATTTGGGAGAAAGAAGGGTCGAGCCCCCGAGCGACAGGATCGACCCACTTCCTCCGCGCCCCCTATCGATCTCGACGAGAAACGAATTTTCTCTATTCTAAATCTTCTATTTTTGGTGCTATAATCTCTCAGATGATAATCCGGGAAGCTATATTGATATTTTTAAATCTTGCCGCCCTAACTCTAGCCAACGAGGCTTTTTCGCCTTGCAACGGTAGTTTTTTTCGGTCCGCTAGATCTTTTCCACTTTAGGAAAATCGCAACTGGGTGGTGTTTGTGACGTGAGCGCCGACTGCGAACACAAGGGCTCGGTATGCTTGCGCGGACGGTGTAGGCAAGTTTGCTTTTTAACTTCCAGGCAAAATAAACAAAAATAATGTCCAAAAATTTGCTACTTTATTCATTTGTAAACGCGATTCAGATGTCACCCTCACTACAACGAGCAGCTTGACGAGAAGGGAAGGAATCCGCGATGCATGCCATGTATTTTATTTATATTGTAATCAGCCCCTTTTAGTGCCCTCCAAAATCGGAGCCGCCTGCACGTCAAAGTGTCGCGAGCCGCTGTTTTGCCGGAATGGTGAATGCCATTGCGTTCAACGGGGTGCCACGTTGATTCAGGGGACCGAGTGTACAACAAGTCGGTATTTTTGTATTTTTTGAGGTTTAGAAAATCGGCCTGTATATGCATATTTTAGCGTCTCGCGTTGGCGATCGGTGTACGCGGCATTACGACTGTACGGCCCCGTTTTCGGCATGCCTAAACTCGACCTGCGTTTGTATCACTGGCACGAAACAGCAAGGTGAATGTAATTTTCTAGTCGTTTTTAGGTGTCAACGGATTTTTTTAATATAACTGGTTCGATAGCGATTTTTTTAAAGGCCAGAATTCTTCAAAATTTTAAATCCCATCGCTTGAGCTAACCTAACCTAATGTATAACCTAAAAACTACGGGCTTCAATGGCAAAATTCCAGGCTCTCGTTGTGTCGCCGCCGCGAATTGCCCATTAGGAGGATTACCTGGGCAGAGTTGCGTTCGAAAAACCAGCCCCCAGATGGCAAGTTTTTCCGACGAGTTCATGCTCACGTCGTTATAGGTCTACAACGTTCCGCCCGATCAGGATAACTGTCCACCCGGCCAGGTAAGTAGTGATGGGCCCGAGCCCTGGATTGTGCTACTCAAATTAGTGTAGATTTATTTAGGCTTGTATCACGCCCGCCGACTCGCCGCTCGGTCATTGTTGCCCCGTGTCATGTCCGTTGTCTTCACATGCTGACACGCATTACAGGTCAGAAGCTTGTTATTTCTTCCAGGGGACGTTTGTATAAGTTTGTAAAAGTTATAAAAAGGTAACAAAAAGTTGAAATCATGGTTTTGGAAACATGTGTCTTGGAAACCGTGCTATTAAATAAAATTTATAAAGCAAAATGTAATATTATTATTTTTAGCATTCCCCTGTTAACTTTTTAGCGTAGTTTTAAAATGCATTAAACCCTTTAATCATTTTTAGCTGCGACCCACTGGCTTCCACAAGCGAACGCTGCCCAAGCGATACCCATTTTTGCCACATGATGTCGGGTAAAAGATAGCATTCACGACTTTGAAACATACTTTTCAGACGGCGGCTTCTCGTTCGCTATCTGTTGTCGTCGGCCGTGCCACGCGATGGCCCCGAATGCCCTGTTCGCCAACAACGCGTGCATCCCGCGCTCGCAGCTCAACGGCGCGTGCTTCTCGGACTCGCAGTGTGGCGGCGGCGAGGGAATGCACTGTGTACAGGTATTGTAATAGTGCCGTCGAAGTAGGGTTGGGAAAAACTATCAAAAGCAAAACACCAAGATACAACAACGATATTTGTTATCTACTAATCTACCGGCTAGGTTAGCGGTGGGAGGACCCACTTTTCCTAGGTTCCCGTAGTGGCGCTATAAAGAAATGTAAAAGATTTTTACGCGTTTTAAGTTTTTGTAGGTTGTAGTTGATAAAATTCTGAAAATTTGCGAAAAAACTTGGCTAGGGTCAAAAATTTTTAAGTTGAATTTTTTAAAAATATCTGCCAACTTTCTAGAAATCAAAAATTGCAAAAACTCTAAGTTGATAATATTTTATTACTGGTCCCTACAAGTCCATTTCGCCAATCTTATATACGCAACAATCAGAGCTCGAAGAGACGGTATACCCGCTCCTCGCCGCCTCATAATGTGCACCGTGGCTATGGCCGGTCGAGGGACGGGCATCATCACCGTAGACGCCAACGTGTCGCCCCAATGCACGTGGGGGCATCGGGGTGTTGATGAAGTACACCCGTATTTCAGGGTCAATGCGAATGCCTGAACGGCTTCCACCCGTCGGTCGACGCCTTGACGCATCCGCTGAAGAATCCGTCGAATGGTTGCACCAGGGATTGTACTAGTGAGGGGTTGAGCCGGGATACGAGTTGTATGAAGGTATTGTTTTTTGGTAATCCTTGATGGTATCTTTTTCAGACCTCCTCCCTGGGTGGTCAATGCTTCATCCAGCAGCAGTGTCCGGCCAGCTCGGGCTGTTATAGGGGACGCTGTCTTTGCAGGCGAGTGAAGCATTTTGCGACCATTCTGAATATTCTAGCGAGGCGAAAATCAAATTTGAGACGGTTAAAAACGCAAAAATAACATCCAAAATACTCTGTTAATTTTTAAATATCATAATTTAACAAATTCTGAAAGTGGATACGGCATCAGGGAAAAATTCTACTGGGGTTTGTATGCTTCAAAATAGCAAAAGTTCCTTTGAGCTGCTAAAACGCAGATTTTAGATGCGGTTTCGAGCAGGTCGGCTCCAAATGTATCCCTCTACCACCCCCATCCACGACGACCGCCGCGCCAAGCAGTAGTATAGAAACCTATCCAAAAATTTAGGGTATTTTAGTCAACATCGTCCCCGGTCTGCCGAAGGGCAACGAGCTGCTGTCGCTGTTCGGCGAGCTGTTCGGCGGCGGTGGCGGCGGGGGCGGCCAGTCCGCCGGCGGTCGATCCCCCATTTCTTCATTCCTAAGGCCAAATTGAACTGAATAAAGTGGTTACTAAAATATCACGATAATACCCGGGCACGCAAGAATTTATGACAATTCGGCATCGATTTGTTCGCCCCCCGGTTTATTGCCGAAATTAACCCCGAAGGAGGCGGAGAAAGGGGAGGCGAGGAGGGCGAGGGTTTTTCCGAGATGAGGGCCGGCGGCTCGGCGGCCTGCTCCCTCGAAACGGGCCCGATAGCCATCTACGGTTGGTGGAGTAAAGGAAGAGAGAGAGAGAGAGAGAGAGAGAGAGAGAGAGAGAGAGAGATCGACAGGTGAGATAAGTCCCGTTAGCCTCGGAGGGAGGCTCGTTGGCTCCCGAAAGGAGGTGTCAAACGCCACCTCTGCTTTTTGTTTTCCGCTCCACCCGTCGGGTCGCGGGCGGTGTACGGTGGGGTGTTTTTGAGAGGGAAAGAGAGAGAGAGAGAGAGAGAGAGAGAGATGGAGTGAGATATGAGTATTCAGAAAACCAAATATAATCATCCATCGCTTTGACAATATTAACCCAGTGCCTTTTTAAAAAGCTGTATAGAATCATAATCTTTATCAAACAAAATCTCTGGCGGTATGCTGGGCCTTATGCACAAATGGGGAGGCGATTTGCAAAGTTTAAACTAAGGGCGAAAAACAGCCTTCAAAATAAATTCACCAGCCGAACGCACAACCAGGGAGGGCTCGATGTGAGGGGGAATTGTTCTTTGTTCAACATGGCTCATAATCACAAGAGACAACGGGCATTTTGGCACTAACAGTCCAATTCTAAACTTCAAATATGATCACAATAGATATTAGAGATAAATGCAAAAAATATAGTACCATTCGATCGATTAGCACCATTTCTTGTCGGGGATTTACAGGGAAAGTGCACTAAACAGGGGGGTCGAAACCTATTGCCGTGCACCAACAAACACCCAGAGCACCCGTGCAATACTAAGAAGAAGAAGAATAAAATGTGAAAAATGCAAAAAGGAGATACGGTAGGTAAGGGGGTTTTTGTGGGGTTTAAAGGGGTCACGGACCCATTGCACTCAAAAAAAAAGGGGGGGCGGATAAAACTTTGGAGGGCGGCGGTTTATCACAAATTTGTAAAGGGACTTGCAGCTAGGTTAGAGAATCTTCTAATTTATTGTGGTTGCTGGGGGTAGAAGAGTGTCGGCTGGTAGCTCTGGTTCATCAGCCCGGCGGAGAACATTGGGTACCGGGCGACCTGCTGAAAAATAAAGATAAAACGTTAATAAAATATTAAAAAAGCAAATAGGAAGAAAGCTATTGACCTCCGGGAGGTGGTGACCATGGCCCGGGTCTAATTCCCAAAAAGCAAAAAAATTGCTCCCGGTGAGGCTCGAACTCACGACCTTCAGATTATGAGACTGACGCGCTGCCTACTGCGCTACGGAAGCGACGGGGAGACGGGTGCGAAGGGGAGTGATAAAGGATCGGGCGCCAGAGAGAAAAATTACCTCAAACGACTTCCAGGCGTTCTCGTCGCCGCGCTTCTTGCCCTTGCTGGTCATCTTCCGATTCCTCGTCTGGATGCCGTCCTTCTTCATGGTGATCGGCCGGGCGACGCCGTGCAGTTTGTAGTAGAGGCCACAGGCGTTGCACACGGGGTCCCCGTTGCCGTTGCGTCGCCAGAGGGTGGTCGTCTCCGTGTGGCAGTTGCGGCAGTGTGTTCCCGTTCGTTTTTGGGCGTTCTGCAAATCCTGGATTATCATAGTTGTGTGCAATTTTTGAGGTGGTTTTGACTTTAAAATTTTTTTTAACCATTTCGGCGATCTCTCGGTTTTAAGGATTTTTTAAATTTAAACTTAATGCTTTTAAACTTTCAGTAGAAAACTTTAAACGTGAACTTAAATAATTCTGTCTTCCAATTTAACTTGATTGAGGGGCAGCTTTTAACTTTGACATACAAACTAGGTAATAGATCAGATTAAACGCCAAAAAATGAGATGTTTCCCACCCCTCGCAACTGCACCAGTACCAGAATTTTTCCTGCAAAACCTCTGCTAGCTCTTCGTACCCTCGATTTCTCGGCGGCCCCTCATCCGACCCTCACGCCGGTCATGAGGAGGGTGAGGTATTGGGGGAGGCTCGGGTTACGGTACGGGACACGGACCTTGACAAATTGGGACGACAAGGCGCCGCCTCGGCCCCAGGTGAGGAGAGGCATCAAATGAAGGAGCACGAGCAAGAGGAGAGGCGATTCGCAGCGGTGATTTATGCGAAAATCGGCTGTCTCTCTCTCCAAGAGGGGCCCACCTCATTGACCGAATTCGATCCGCTACGGTAGATTAGGGGGAAAGAGGGCGTAAGCACCCCACAAGAACACGGCCATTTTTTGCAAGAGTTCAAGCCGCAAGGCGTTGATATAATCTTAATGTGGATGGATGGAGGGCGGAGAGGAGGAAGGATTTGAGCAATTTTTTAAAATGTTCTGGCGTTATATTTAAGTTTTCAAACTAATCGTTCAAAAAAAGAATAAACCCTCGAAATGCAAAGCGTTACTTTAAAAAATACTGGATATCAAAAAGTAATAAATTCGAACTTAACGCCACACACACAACTTAATGAATTTTCTAGTGGTTATAATAAAATAAAATTAATACTTTTAGAAAGAATTAAGGAAAATCCACTAAATCTTAAATATAAGGCGCAATCTACGATTTAATAAGTTTACCAACGTTTAAATAAATTATTAAAATCCTTTCTAAAGCTATACATTATTTTAACAAATTCAGAGCCAAGAAAACAGTATCCCAACCTTAGCATTATCCATCGGTCACTACAAAGCCTCCTCAGCTAGCTATAAAAAATTTAGGGCCCCGGTTCTCGGTATAAACGTTTTGACTGTTGGCCCGCGGAGGGTTGCGTGGGCGAAAATATGAAGGATGGCCGCCCAATTAGAGATGGACGTCCCGCAACCCCAGGAAGGGGCCATCACTCTGTGTCTCTGGCCTTCTCGTGCTCTCTAATCATCGAGGGTCAGGGCCACTGATCATCAATTGGTTGGGTGTGGGGGAGAGGAGGCAATGCCATTGCTCTAGTCAACGGAGGCTATCTATCGACAAATCTCGAGTCCAGGAGGGATAGCCCAGGGGGTTCGAAAGACAAAGCATTGGCCGGACCATTTAGAGGCAGGCGAGCAGAGGTAATTTGGGAGTCGGGCCCGTATTTCAAGCGCTTAAAAATGTTAAAATTAAACTTTCATTTTGTAGTGCGCTATTTGATCTAGAATTAAGAAAATTCTGCGTAAAATTTGCGCTGATTTCGAATTCGATTTCAGAATTTATGGAAAAGTTATATTAGAAAAACTAAATTGTATTTTAGGATGAAAACTGTCCCTGATGCCGGGCAAAATAGTTTTTAACTCCAAGTTCTTCCTATTGAAACGATTCTCAAGACAGATTCAGAATTCTGCACAAGCTGCTGACGAGTTTAATCTAGAAAAATCCAAGATATTGAACATTTAAAAAAACAGAAATCTAGAAGAGACAATTACTAGATACCTTGGTTTCTGCATTAATTAGAGCCAAAACCCAGATTCAACTAAACAACCACTACGCTACAGTACCCACTGCTCACTACCACTCGCTGGTGGGGGCCATAAAGTTGTCTCAGCGCAGGGGCCAGTTGCCCGAGGCTACGCGCTGATGGCCCATAAGTCATGGAGGAGGAGTGGTGGGTGAGGAGGGGAAGGGTGCTGACCGAGATAAGAGATGATGTATAACCCCACTTGGCCAAGCTTCCCAAGTATCACAAAAAACACCCCCTAATTATCGGGCGTGAGAGGCAGCAACTGTCCGCACTTTAGGGGGCAGCGGGTTGCACGAAGCTTTGAGTTATGGAGGCACGAGAGGGGTTGTGGACAGTACGCTACGATACGCTACGTCACGCAATGTTACGCTTAGTTACGGTAGTCCGCTACGTTACGCCACGCGACACTACGGTCTTTGCGTCAGGAAATGCAACGTAGAGTACAGGGCGAAAACATCTACCTTTAGAAAACACCCCGGTGCTCAGAAAATTGCACTGTAAAAAGGTCATTCTGAGAAAATCCTACGTTATGCTACGTTACGCTACGATCAGTTACACTCTGCACTTTGCGACGATAAAATTGAAATCAACAGTAGCTGGGTTTTAGTAAATTAAAAATTTGCTTAGGACCATTATAAGTCACTTAAATTCTCCCTAACTATACCAATTCCACTTACGCACAATACCCTAGGGGTGTGCCAGATGCCAAAAGACAGTTGTCCGCCCATTTTCCGGCCATAATTCTCCCCGGCCACACTTCGCAGTCAAAGCGAAACCCACTGGCGGGCCACCCCTCCGAATTAGCCACTTTACAAAAAGGGCAAACGCCTTTTGATGCACCGCCAACCGCTAAGCGCATCAATTTCCCGCAAGTCGCCCAAAATTTACTCCTAAAGTAGTTTCCCCAGGGGTGCTAGCAGAGGTTTTTCAAGAATAAACCAGTTAGTACGGTAGCATTCATCAAAAGTTTTTATCCAAAACCACAAACCTGTCGTTTCTTGGGCTTTTGCAAGGGGCGGGCGGTGTTGTTCATCTTCTGGTAGAGGCCGCACGCGTTGCAGAGGTAATGTCCCGTACTGTCTCGTCGCCACAGCGGCGTTTGCTTGGCGGCGCAGTTGGCACATTCACGGCCGTCGGTGTTTGCTGGAAATTTCGTGGTTGGAGAGTCGAGTTTGACAAATATAAAAAATTTAACAGAGAAAACTATAAATTACGTATGGTGATGGCATCAATTTCAGATATAGATTGGCAGAAGTCCCTACTTTCCCATTTCCTTAAATGACCTACCAACGTTCCGATTCTTCTGTCGAGAAGCTGACGTCGCGGCGCCGAGGCCGTCAGCAGCGGAGGGGGTGGAGGTGGATAGGGAGCCAGTGGAGGCGTTCGATGCATCGGTTGATGAAGGGGTTGATGGGGTGGCCGTTGCCGGGTACGTCGGCATCCGCGTCAACATATTTCCGTATTGGCAGTAGTCGGCGGACGTGTAGCCCGGATAGGTGGGCATCAAGCCGGGCGTCGTCTGCTGGGCGCCTGGAAAATTGTGATATTACTAATAGTATTAAGTTTAAATTACTTTTTTGTATCTTTTTGAGCAAAATCTTGCGCCTCTAGGGAGTCCATGACCATCTCCTGCCCCGTAATGCCAGAAAATTGCCCAAATGTCCAGGTGTATCATTCGTGCTCGCCATTTTGGGCACTAGGCATTCCAGGGGTGTCAACATTTTCGTAGGGGCATAAAAACGAAGGAAAACCCCGGGGTTAGAGAGGGCGAGCGAGAGAGAGAGAGAGAGAGGCCATTTAGCCGAGAGGTGCCGAGGCAAAGGGCAATTCGCCCGGGTTCCCCAGCGGGTTGGCTGCGACTACGGTAATCCACTTGTCGAGTCGTGGAATCCGGAAAGTAAATAAAGCATTAGATGATATATAAAGGTATAAATAACGGCAATTCTAAACAAAAAAAATTAAAAATCTATGTTTTGTTTTCTTTAGAGCTGAAACGAATAACAATGCCAGACCCATTCATAAACAACTTAAAAGATATACCACAATCTTTAAAAAACGAACCGAACATATCCTGCTGGGCGAACATTTGTGGCGAGATCGACGAGACATCGGTGGGCCAATGCCAGATGTGAAGTGGATGGGTGGTGTCTGGAAAAAATTAGATAAAAAAAATATTTGCAGATTTTTGGGAATTTCTTGGCTTGACCGGGGGGTCAGATTTTGTGGTGGTCGTTTAGCATTTTCGGGGGAGAAATGTGCAAATTCGCCATATGCCATTCGGGAAGGGCGTGGATGACCCGGGGGGTACGCGCTGTTTGCACTTTTCGAGCGATAGCGATCTTCTTGTTTTTGCTCCGGAAACGTGGCCAGGGCCAAAATTTGGGTGGGGGGCGTTGAAATTGCACTTGAACCTAAGCACGAAACAAAGTTATGTACTTTTAGGGTCGAAAAAAGACAGACTCCAAATTCCGCAGCTTTCTAAGCAAAATCCAAGCGCTAAAATCCCCCTGTAAACCCCGGGGCTTCTCCTCTACCCGTTTTGCCCTCCACAAGCGTCATCTGGCACTTTCCGCGCCGCGCCTCGAGGTTACGGATGCGAAACGGAAATTGGGAACCCTGTCGCCGCACAACCCCCACGGCCAGAAGAGGAAGGCCATTCCCGAATATTTCCCCGGCTGGACGCATCATTAGCCCTTCGGCCATTCCATTATGCTACTGCTAACGATGAAGCTGGATCGAGAATAGAAACCTAGCAAAAAATCTGTAGCCCCAAAAATTAGTGATAGCCACAATATTTTCTGATTAGAACTTACAAATGAAAAATAATTCCATTCAATAGTAAGGCTTGTAGAAGCTACTAGAATCCCGACAAAAAAATAACGAGCACCAGTTCTAGCGATTAGTCATCATTCCTAACCCTAGAGGTTGTTTTGACCTTTTCAACGAGCTTCACCCGAGAAATCAATAACCGGGACCCTTGATCCGAAAGCAATAAATAAAAACAACAACCAACCACCGAGGACCAACACGAGAAACATTGCGGAATAATTCTCGGGTAGGATTTCCGGGACTGGATAAGCGCCATTGATTCACAGAGGAGAGATTGGGGATAGTGATAAGATTTCAAGGTTTTTTAGGGTCGGCTGAGCAAAAGGAACGGCCCATCCCTTTTCGTTTGTTTATCAAATGGCAGGGGGAAAGTGTGGGAGGGGCATGAAAAAGATTTTCTGGGGGTTTTTTGGATAAAAAATGATCGAGAAGGGAGCCGGTGCAAAACAAGCAAAGACGAAAAGAACGAGCCAAAAAGCCAGAATATAATTACAAAAATGAGCGTAAATTTTGGAATCAAAAACCTACTATATGGGTCCATCATTTTGTGATTGTAGGCGGCGGCCGTGTAGGAGGGGTATCCAAAAGGATGCATGCCGCCCTTCAACGAGCCGAATATCTGGAAAATTATATATTTACAAGGAATAGCGAAATTAGGAAAACTAAATAAGCAAGATTATCGCATTTTTTTCGCCAAGTTCGAATACTTCAAAAAAAACTCTCATAGAAGCAATTTCCGGCCAAAAAAGGTCAATAGAAAACGCTGATTCGTCAACGGACCACCCGGATGAGCCGGCGGCGCGCGCGCAAAAAAAAAAGTAAAGAAAGGGCGCAGTGGCCAGCCAGGCAGCCAAAGCCAAAATGGGTAGAACAAGACAGCTGTGAAGCCATTAAGGGGGCTGGGAAGAGAACCGAGGCCCGAAAGTGGGCATCTGTTCGTTTCACCCGAAATGACCGTTCGACGGGGTTTTCAAAGTGGCTGGCTGGCCGAGGGGGAGGACAAAGTGGCTGGGGTGGGACTGTACAGGGTGGGTCAAAAAAAAAAAGCCAACTTTGCACCATATTATCTCGCGAACGGTAGAGAATCGAAGGTACGTTACCATGCCAGAATGCTTAACTATGCTGGGAATGAAGATTTAACACAAGTTGATTTTTTCGATTTTTGAGTACGCAACTGTACTATTGACGCTGGTTACGACCGAAAATTGTGCGTTCTTGAACGGGTGGTGGGAAAATTCTGATTTTTGGCCCAAAAATCGTTGGCATTTGTAGAAAAACAATCGCCCAACATTAGAATTTTTTAAGCTCCAGTTCTTTTTTTACAAGCAAAACAAATTTCGCTATTTTGTATCTTTCGACATTTTAATTCGCAACTCGCTTCAAATACGCTGCCCATGGCTGATTTTTTGCAGATGGTGTCTCCGAATGATAATCTTTAGCACAACACCAAATTTTAACTGATTCTATGGTATTTTAATATTGCTTGCTAAAACGTGCCCCAGAGGGATACTGTAGTTTTCGTTTTTCGCGTTTTTCTTTTTATTGTAAGCTGCGATTTCGCTTAAAATTTTATCATTGGTAAACACCAGTAAGGGTCACCTATTGGCTAAATTTCGTGAAGTTCTAGCCATACACCTTCCCAAAATATGCAAAAAACTTATTTTTGAATTTAGCCACGGAAATTTCTAAATATTTTGATGCATCGGACTAAAAACTACTATTATTTGTTTTCCCAAAAGATCGAAACGTTTCTATGGTGAAAAGAACGAGAAAACGACGATTTTCTGTTTTCTACCGTAACCCGCCTGGAGCGCGTTTTAGCATGCCAAGACAAAATGCCATAAAATGCCAATTTTTCTATTCTAGACTGTTCACTGGGCGATTGTAAGAGCACCTACAAAAAATTACTTGATTCCTGTGGCAAATGACAAAGTTATGAGGGAAAGTGGAAAACCCTCCTCGGGGCCCGATTCTGGACCCGAGGCCCCGGGCCGAAAATCGAATTTTTGAAAATGAAAAAGTCATCGGATTTTCGTGGATATAATTAAAGCACGCATCGAACTGTGGATAAGAGCAGAATACTGGAATGATCTGGCTAAAGTTAATGGTTAACCTTGATTTAAAACCCGAAAATAACGTTTCTGAAAAGCTGACTTTGGGGCGCTCTTCTAAATTCGTTTGCCATGAAAAGGTTTTGTATTTGCATGGGTTCTAGTTGATTTCCCAAGCTTGATCTATGCCAGAAAAGTCGGGGCTACTAGAGCTTCGAGAATTTTTTTACGTCGCCTGGAATTCGGGTATATTTGGGCTCTTCATGAATTTCTTTTGAGAGATTGGATGGCCCAATAAATTTGTAAATATAATTTTAGAACGCGCCCATTAAGTAGTATTAAATAAAATTATGACAATAATTCTAGCCGCGCAATTGAATTTTATAGACTGGCACCAAGGTCTGCGAAATAGCACGAACCAACCGTTTTGGAGGCGCTAAAAAGCAACCTTCCAAAGGGGTACGGTAGCTAGAAATTGTCTATATGATAGATGGACGCCAGTCCTACACAACTAAGCAAAACAAACACCGAAATTCTATCTGCAATTTTAGAAATATTTTTCCAAAGTTCAGTTTCGTGACCTCGAAAGAATCCATGACCAGGGGGTCGTCGAAAAACTCAAAAATCCGCGGATTTGAAAATCTTTTTTGATATTTTTGCGGGATTGTATCGAGCCTATAGACATGCTAAAACAGCATATTTTGAGGTTTCCACCATAGGTTTTTGTAATATTCGACATTTACGAAATTTCTCCATATTAAATTTGAGCATGCTATAACTTGCCAACCAGACCTTCGAAAATTCCAAAATTCCGGAAGTGCGTAGGGGCAGCCTATAGGTACTCACACTGTAAAAACTAGAAGCATTCGACCACCAGCAATCCCAAAAAATGCAAACGAAGTTTTGCCGGAACGCACATTTTTCGGGTGTCATTTGTATTGATACGTCGCCAAAAATCGAAAAAAACAAGTTTTGTTAAATCTTCATTCCCAGCATATTTAAGCATTCTGGCATGGTAACGTACCTTCGATTCTCTACCGTTCGCGAGATAATATGGCGCAAAGTTGGCTTTTTTTTTTTGACCCACCCTGTAGAGGGTTGAGGAAAAGTTTCGGGTGCCAGGGAAAAGAGGGAGAGAGAAACTTTGAAGCGACCTCCAGGTAGAGACAGCGCTTGGGAATACGGTAACGATCGGTTGGGTTCGAAAATTGATGCGAAAATTTTGAAAAGAAGGAATTTTTGTGTTTAGCGCTAAGAAGAAAGATCTGAAAATTACTGCACAGTTTCTAAACCCAGATTAATAACTAGAATCCGCAACGAACGATTAAACTATAGTTTTCCAAAAATTCCGAGCAACCGATCTCTTTATCCCATCGAAAAGTGCGTTAAGATAGCCAAAAAATGAGGCGAACGCCCCGAAAAGAAATCCAGTAATTGCTTTTTCTAAACTAGACTAGAACTAAGGCTTATCGTTTAGATTCTAAGCTTAAAACTAAATGCCTAAAATCCACAAAGAACTTTTAAACTAAAGTTTTACCAAAAACTCTAGTCCCTTCTCCCTTTTTCTTCCACTGATCAGTGTGCTAAAATGTGCGCCTCTGTTCGGCCGGTGATAACCCCCGAAGGCTCCCGTCGTGAAAGGGAAAGGACCAAGGCCGTTCTATCGCCACTACCGTATCCCATTCCCCAGGTACGCACCGCGTCATCCACAATCTCCGGCGGCTGCACATCGTGGGACAGGTCGTTGCCCGCCGCGGCGAACAGTTTCTGAACCAAAAAAATAAATATTTTTCGATATAACATACCACATCTTGGCCGCCCATATCCTGCTGCTCGGCTTCGGGGCTAATCGACGGCTCCTCGAGGCTCAGCGCCCCGAGCTGTACCTAGGATGGGGAGGTAGCAAAAAAAAGAGGAAGAGTTTTGACATGAGAAAACGTTCGATGTTAAAAACCACTCACCTGGCCGGGATACATGAAGCTGGCCTGGTCGCCGGGTGGCTGGGGCGGCTGGTGGACTTCGGCGTACGGCTCCTTCGTCTCGTAGTGGTTTGTCATGCCTGCAAAAAATTAGGAAAATGCGAAAATAGCAAGAGTTCATTTTTCTCGGCGATGAGCAAACATTTCGGGGGAGTCGCTGAAAATTCTGGGAAGGAGGCGGAGGAAAAGGAGATGTTTCATAATCGAGGCGAGGGGGTCCGTGGGCTTTGGAAATTTGGATTTTCCCGCAAGGAATCCCTCAAAAAAAAATGCGGAAACGATGTAAAGGTGGTGGATATAGATTGTTCAAAAAATATCGGGAGAATTTGAAGAGATTAAAAGCTGTAGTTGAGGTAGTTGATGATCTCGAACAACTTGAAAAGCTAGATAAAGCTTGAGAAACCAGCTATAAAAGCTCGCGATTTCCAGGCGGCAAAAAGCCGAAAAATTGAAAGAGGGATTACTAAAATCAAAGCAGAAAAGAAACAAAACCATCCAAGCCAAGCGGAAATTGCAAAAAAAAGACAAAGAACACAAAGCTCCTATACAGGGTGTGCAAAAAAAAAAAGACCACAGTTTGGGTCGAAATATCTCGCGAACGGTAGAGAATCGAAGGTACGTTACCATGCCAGAATGCTTAAATATGCTGGGTATGAAGATTTAACACAACTTGATTTTTTCGATTTTTGAGTACGAAACTGTACTATTGACGCTGGTTACGACCGAAAATTGTGCGTTCTTGAACGGGAGGTGGGAAAATTCTGATTTTTGGCCTAAAAATAGTATAAATTTGTAAAAATGTAATGACAAAATCTTAGAATTTATCGAGGTCAATTTCATTTTTTAAAAGCAAAACAATTTTCGCGATTTTGCGTTATTTTTGTTCTTTGAGTCATAACTCGCTTATAACTCGCTGCCTATGGCTGATATTTTGTCAATGACCTATCCAAATATTAATCTCGGATTCCACACCAAATTCCACCACAATCTATGGTATTTTTGTATTGCTTGCTAAAGCGTGCCCCAGCGGGGTACTGTAGGTTTCGTTTTTCCCGCTTTTCTCGGGGCCCCTAGCTTCGATTCGGCTAAAATTTTCTGGGTTGTTAGGCAATAAGTAGGGGCACCTTACTGCCAAATACGAGAGCGTACTATCCACAAGCATTCAAGAAAAAGATTAAAAACAGATTTTTTAATTCTGCGGCAGAATTTTGTAAATTTCTTGGTCAATTGGTCCAAAAACTGCTACTATTGGTTTTACGAAAAGATCGAAGCGATTCCATGGCAAAAACACCACGAAAATCGCGAATTTCGGTTTTCTACAGTAACCCCCGTGGAGCGCGTTTTAGCATGCCATCACAAAATTCCATAAAGTGACGATTTTTCTATTCGAGGGCCTTCTAGAGTTGATTCTAAGATAGCCTGTGAAAAATGACTGATTTTGGATGGTAAATAACAAAGTTACGAGGCCAAGTGCAAAACAGAGCCAGAGAGCCGATTTTTGGTCCGAGTAGCCGGGGTCAATTTTCGAATTTTTAAAAATAAAAAAACCAGCTGGGTCTTATGGATACGATTATAGCTTTGATGTTATTATCTACGCACGCCAAATTTCGAGGCAATCTGATTCATGATTATGGTGACTTTCAGCTCAAAATCGAAGATCACCCTATTCCAAAATCGAAGTTTAGAAATCTTCTTAAAATTTTTGCGACGTCAAATTGTTTGAATCTTTGCATAGTTTTATTCAACTGATGGCACTGACTTATTGCTCAAAATATCCCTACGACTCCACCTTCCAAAATTTTTTTACGCAACCTCGAATTCGGTTTATTTCGGGTTTTGATGAATTTTCCTGGCGCCAACGGCTGGTTAAAAAGATTCATGAATCAGGCTTTAGGATGCGCTATTCAAATTATATCAGATAAAAATAAAACGATAATTTTCACAGCGCGACTAAATTTTATAAAATGGTGACAATATTCGGAAAAAAGCACGAACGAACCGTTTTGTAGGCCCTAAAAGACGCCCTTCCAAAGGAGTACGGTAGCTCGAAATTTCGTAGATGATAGATCAACCCCAGAACTACATAGCTAAGAAAAAAAGCAGCTGAGGCCCCTTTGGCAATCTAGAAATATTTTTCCAAAGTTGGGTTTCGAGACCTGGAAAAATCCATGACCAGGGGGTCGTTGAAAAACTCGAAAATTCGTTGATCTCAAAAAATTCTTTAATATGTTTATGCGATTGTGTCAAGCCCGTAGGTATTCCACAACAACTGATTTTGAGGTTTTCGCCATAGGTTTTTTCACGATTAAAAATTTACGAAATTTCTCCATACAAAATTTCATTCCTCTCTAAATTTTCAACCAGACCCTCAAAAATTCTTAAATTTTGTAGGTACATATCTGCTGCCTATATTAACTTATTTAATAAAAATTAGAGCCCAGCCACCACAGGAAATTGAGAAAAATGCAAATGAAGTTTTGCCGGAACGCACAGTTTTCGGGTGTCATTTGTATGGGTACGTAGCCAAAAATCGAAAAAATCAAGTTGTGTTAAATCTTCATACCCAGCATATTTAAGCATTCTGACATGGCAACGCACCTTCGATTCTCTACCGTTTGCGAGTTATTTCGACCCAAACTGTGGTCTTTTTTTTTTGCACACCCTGTACACTCCCCCAATTCACCCACCTCATCTCCATCCACCAACCGCAGTTGATCAGGGCCCAAGGCCCAAACCAAAGGCCAAGAAGGCCCCAAGAATCGGCATGCCGTCAGCCGGACTGTGGCGGAATGGCATGAGGGTGGTAGAAAAGAGGGGAGGAGGGAGGGGCTTTGTGTCTCGACCCGACGACGGCTATCAGATGGGATGGACACGACAGATAGGAAATGGGGGGTGAGGACGATAAGGAAAAGCCCGAGACCAACCCGATGATCGCCCACGATAACTGCTAGGGGGATGGGTGTCTTCTATGAGGCACACGATGCCCCTCGAAAACGGTGGGGCGGAGGAGGGGAGCAAGGGAGGTGGAGAAGAAGGTGGACGAGGCCCAGGACACGCCCACCATCAAACACACACCCAACCGACCAATTGGCTCTCCACTCCCCCTTCTCTTTGCCACCACCAGCCCCCAACGATACCTGAGGGCATTAAAGTATCGTGGAAGTGGGGCGGGTTTAACAATAGAAAAAATAATAACCAGATCGAAATTTTTCAAAACAAAAAACAGGTTTGGAAGGCAATTAAAAACAAGTGTTGATCGTATTTTAACTTTAAAACAGCTGATTTTACCTATAAAGTTGACTTTAATACCCTAAATTACGATTTCGGCTACAGTATTATACAGTTTCGTCTCGTTTAGAAGCCTAAATTACCTAAATTTAGAAAACTACAAACTCCGGGAATACCTGGACCACAAAATCGGAACCAGATTTGTGAAAAAATCCAAAAATCAGTAATGATTTGGCTAGTAAAGAAAGGCACCACCCTCAAATTGGCAAGAATCAGCAAAAACATCTTTTCCAGTTTAAGTTATACAAACCCCACCCGTGGTAATTTACAACCTATACAACCCGTTGCAAAATCCCGAAAACGTATCGATCTTTATGAACTCGGCACTTTTAGGTCAACGAAAGTGCAACAGGAAGTGGTGGTCATACCCCCAAAAGATGCGATCAAGCCCCCGGCTTCAGCCCCCTAAAAACACAGCCCTGATCTAATCGGCTAGGATAAGATCTTTGCAGTAGATCTATCGAACCTGGTATAACAAAAATTTAGAACCTCTAAAATCCCCCCGAAAACCATGACCCTATCGGCTCTCGAAGAGGAGCGAATAATCTAGATACCACAACCCCCTGGTGTCGCTATAAGATTAGGATCGGAAAACATTCAGCGACCAGTCCGGAATGAACAATCTTCAAAAAGTGACCGCAATTATTTTGCGGGGTCCGGCAGGGGACTGATGACTGTACGGGAGAGGAGAGGAAGGGCGACGGCTCCGTGGCTAAAGCCATGGCTTTTGGGTGGGGGCAAGTGTGTAAAGTGGCCGCAGAAAACATTTCCTCGCCGAAGAGCGGCGTTTCTCGCACAACTCAATGGCGCTCTTCCGGCTGGAGGTCGATTAGATCTGCTTATAGGTATTTTGGAGCGTAGGGTTTGTGGTATTTAGGGGTTTACTTTGTAGATGAAATTGATAGTAATAAAAAGCAATACATTCGCTGCAAAAAACCCAGTTATAGCTAGACAATTTCACGAAAAACCCCTCAGGGCGTAAAGCATGCTGATGGATTTCCTTAGCTACCAATTCCTACGAATTTTGACGTCCCGCGATACGCAACGCGCACGCGCTTGATCGCGTTAGTAGGCTGATCGCGTACAGCGGCGACGGAAAATCTATAATGAATTCAGAACCGGCAAGATCCATATTGTAACTTCTAGCCATAACTACAAAAAGCCCTTATTTACGGACATTTCGTCTCGCAAATCAAAACAACCCGACAGCGGCCGTCATCTTAAAGCGGAAGCGGGCCCAATCAAAGAGGATTTTCAGCCAGGAAGTGATACCTACTATCTGGCGGATATCCCCCGGGCGCTTCCACCCTCCGCGAAACGCCGGGTGTACGGTGGAAGCCGGTGGTCGGCCGAGATTTGGCTACCCCCGGGCATTCTCCTCCAAATGGTAGGTGATATATCCCCTATAAGAGGCGCGGGTGCCTTATAACCTGCTAATTGGCTGTGTCGGCGTTATCAAAAGTCCACCGGTCACACTTTACACGCCCACCGTTCGCGCCCTCGGGCTATATTTCGCGGCCTTTCATTTGGGTGGGCGCTGAGGGCAAGAAGAATAGCCCGTTTAAATGGTGAGGTATCAGCTGGTTGTTTAGGGGGACCGTCAAGGTCTAGTTACGTTTAATTATAGGAAAAGGACATTTTTCTATCAAGTTGGACGTGATACGTGCGTTTTCAAAGATCTGTCATTACGGCATTCTAGTAGTGTACCGATACAAAACGGCACTGGACTGTTAGCGGGGGGGGGGGTAGCTTTTAGCAAGGAGGAAAACTTTTTTCTCCGCCTACCTATCGGTGAATAATCAGTAGTGTATTTTCATAATTTTTCAGTAGTTTTTGATTGCTAGAAAGTTACAAAAAATGTATTAATTTTATTTTAAGATTTTGAAAATTCGAAAGTTTTTACGGTTTTTTCGTCATTTTTCATAAATTTTTGTTCAAGTCAAACATTTTTATAGGGTTGTTATGGACTTTTTATATAAATACTGTGTAAATTGCGATAAAAATAGTTTATATTTTGCTATAAGTTTTCCGCTTGCGATCCCAGCTAGATGATTTCTGCGATAAAATCCGCTAAAGGTATCAAAAACGCGGATCGCAAAAACCGCGCTCTCACCCCTCGCTAGTGGTTGTGCGGCGCAGGGCCCGCGGGCTACATGCGCGTCGCGGAAGTTCTTTCATGGCTCGACACGGGCCGGGATGTAGCCCGAATGTGGCCGGCGGGCATTTAGCACGATTGGCGTGCCAATCGGGCAGCCCCGGGGTATAAACTGTCCGTTTTGGAGACGGACGTACATGGACATCTACCAGACATGAAGACCGATGACATGATGTCGTTGCCTGGGATAATGATACTTACTTGGAAGTGGGTGAATGAGAAAGGAATAAGAAAAAACTAGCAAGTCAACTTTCCTCTTGACCGTTAGCGGGGACCAGCCTAGTAGTACAAACTTGTATACTTTTTTAGTTTTTTGGTACTCGACTGTTAGCAGGGGGGGGGTTTTCAGGGGGATACTAATTTTTCCCGGTAATCCTGTCACAAAATAACATAACAAAATATAAAACATTTTCCACAAGTTTTTCTCTATAAAAAGCTCATCAAAAAGATTTTTATAACTTTCCAGCAATCAAAAACTTCCAAAAACATTATAAAATACACGATTTTATTGGCATATAGGTATCGACGGGGAAAAAATTAGTCCCCCCCCCCCTCCGCTAACAGTCCAGTACCGTAATTTTTGTTGTAATCTCTGATCAGGAAAAGGTTTAAATCCTTTGCAAATTAGAGATATAGAGCCATTTTTAGCCTAACAACCGGTTATTTTTTTAAAGCTATGACGGTTCTAAAACTTGAAAAAACTGGGCCGCAAACCGAGCCAATGACCGGGCCCACCGTATGGTTTGTTTAGGGTCAAAAGTCGACCCGAGGGCCCCACCCGGGGCCCTCGAGGGACCCCGTGGCGGGTAATTGAGTCGATGCGCGGCCGAGGTGTCCCTAAATGGCCGGGATCCAAACAGATAAGCGGCCTCCAGGGACCGCCGGCTTCCTATTCTTCTACCGTAGTCCTCATCCAACACTTTTAATTGAACGGGCCACTCGACCGGAAACATTGGGCGCGTCAGATTCGTCGCGGGAGGTTAATTGGATTGCCCGGATTTTCTAGGGTACTGTAGGTGTACGTTACGCTATTTTAGCGATTGATTAGCTGAAAAACTTTCAGTTTTCAGGTTAAAAAAGCTTAAAAAAGCTGACTTTTTTGCGCTAAAAAGAACCTACTGACGAAGGATCCTGCCCATATTCTCACCTCAAAACCTTTGATTTTACAGCATTTTAGTGGTTTTTCTACATTTTCAGCTTATCTAGTTTAAGTCCAGGAATTAACCCAAAACTTCTACTGTATAGAAGGAGGAGAAATTAGAAAGCATTAAAAAAATCCGGAATTTTCTGATCTAACTAGTCTCGTCTCAAAAACAAGAACAAACCAGTTACCCGATAGTTGCCAATTCGAAAATCCCCCCCAGCTGACTCGTCCCGATTTGAGGGTCGCCGGTTATTGCCCCGGGAATTAGCATATCGTCTGCCAGCCGGGCCCAGGATTTGAGCGCCGGGCCCCCAGCGCGGGCTTCAGGGCCCATAGCTCATCACATTGGACCGGCTCATTGCCCCCGAAAAGGGGGGAACAGTTGGCGGGGGCCTGAATGGGTGAAGCGGCTGGGAAAACCCTACCGATTTTCTTTATGCCTATATAATTCTACCAAAACGAAGTACTAATTGTGAGAAACCAGGTTGGACAGGTCGAGCTGGCACTGGACTGTTAGCGGGCGGGGGGGGTTGCCAGGGAAAAACCAATTTTTTCAATAATCCTGTGCGGCCTTATAACAAATATACACCATTTTACACAGTTTTAGTTGTAAAAATCTCTTAGACATTTATGAAAATGCTCGTTTTCGACTTTTTGGAACCGGACTGTTAGCAGGGAAACGAATTTTTCCCAGTAATTCTGTACGGTCCTATAACAAACCACAAACATTTTTTTATGGCGTTTTACTCAGTTTTTATACACAGAAACTCATAGACATTTAGAATTTTTTTTTTAAAAAGGTCAAAATTTCAATTTTTCAAAACTGTTTACCACATTTTTGTAACTTTCTAACAGTCAAAAACTACGAGAAAATTAAAAATGCACCATTTATTATTAACAGGTAGGTATGGTCGGAAAAGCCAAAAAATTGGTTCCCCCCGCTAACAGTTCAGTACCGCCGACCTGTAACTTCTGACTTCAACAATCCCGCCCAGGTTCCCCCACACTTTTGCTACCGTCCTCAAATATCTACAGAGCGGGGCGCCTTTTTCGGAGTTGACCGGCCTTCCTCGCACCGCCGGCACGACGTGAGGGAATGTGGAGCGGATAGTGACACGTGTGACATAGCGGAGGGCAGATATACATCGAAGCAGGACACGGCCCTCTTCCAAACCTCCTATTCCGCCCTCCGCACCAGCAACCACCCCAAGCGCCCACCGAATAACGAGCTCCCGGCTTGGAGCGAGGCGAAAATAGGGGCTGAAATTATTGGCTACAATTGGCTATGAGATGAAGGCGCTTTCAAAATACGGCTTTGGACTGTTAGCGGGGGGACTAATTTTTTTTTGCTTCTATACCTACCTGTTAAAAGTAAATAGTGCATTTTATAATGTCTTACAGCGTTTTTGATGGCTAGAAAGCTACAAAAATATTGTAAAAGTTTTTGAAAATTCAAAAAAATTTGGGCTTTTGTTGTCATTTTTCATACCTTTTTGAACAAACGGTCAAAATCCGAAATTTTTAACGTTTTTGATGAGCTTTTTATAACTAAAAACTGTGTAAAATTCTATAAAAACGGTTTAGGTTTTATTAGAGGGCCATACAGGATTACTGGGAGAAATTGGTTTGCCCCTGCTAACAATCCGGTACTGGATATCCAGTACCACATTTTCTTCCACACTTTTCGACAGGTTCAACACCCAGCCAATCGGCCAACGTCAAATTTTCAAGGCTCTCATTCCCAATTGGCCCATCGCCAATCCAAGAATCGTTTGTCAAGCTTCGCCCTGGGGTGTCTGAAGTTGCGGGGGGGGATGCGGCAGCTGGAGGGCTGTCACCAGGGGGGCCCATAGATGCAAATCCTCGTCTTCGGGCCCTGAAAGGCGAAGGCTTCTTCTCGCTCCCTGGGGGACACTCATATCCACCGGCTATGGCCCATTCACAGCTCGTTCGCACAATCACAGCCCCGCAGATCCCTGGGGGCATCCCAGGGCGGGGGTCGGCTATGAAATGCGCGCGTGGATACGGTGTCCGGCCAATCAACCCGAAATAAAAACAAACCAAGGCCGAATTCGACGTTGCGACACCGTCCGCCACTGCATGGTGGCCCTAAAAATCTCAAAAACACGCCCTGAGGCTCGGTAAGGCACCAACCAAACCTGCCCTTGCCCCAATCATAAATCAGCAGTGTTGCGAGTAGCTACAGTCATAAACGCGACCCACCCCCACCCAATTATCAAATGCCCCCGGGCAATCAGACAACGAGTAAGTCGATCAACCCTTCCACAAAAAAATGCCTTTTTACTTGCAATTACGACTAGGGATGAGAGCTGCAGACGAAGGTCGAAGGCTTTCTGATGGTACGAGGGGTTAGAAACTCACGACCAAAATTTAGTTTTTGATTTTCCTAAATTTAGAGGACACAGGCTCGAGGTCTTAGATATTTCCTTTTTTCAGAGAAAAACCTCGCTCTCAAGAGTGCCCTCAAATTCAACAAAACAAATGCCCAAAGAAAAAAAATAATAGAAAACTTCATTTATAGACGGAAGTCTATTGGCCTATCGACTTGGGAACCCATCTTCCGATTGGGATCACCGTAACTCGGGTCATTATTTCCCGGCGTTCGAGTTGCAGGTTCCGATTTCCTCGTTCCCCTGCTTTTTATGACCGACGTACTCGTTTTCGACCTCGCCCCGAACGGTAAATGGGTTGCCAAACCGGAAAATTCAAATCGACTTACACAATGAAAATTCCACTGGTGCTCTTCATCTTGAATCGAAGAACAACAACACGTGTCTCGAATTGTGCATGTTGAGAACGGGCCGACTCTCGCTGCCATCACTCTGCTCAGATGTTATCTGGGCATCGGTGGGTAAACCCGGATGGATGCCTAAAAGGTGTCGCCGCCGCCCTCGCAAGGTCCAGGCGGCACCTCAGCTCGCCGGCTCGAGGCCAAGGCTGTCAATCATAAACGTTTCCATCCACTCCAATTAAATAAGGTGCTAGCCTTCTAGCCCACCAGGGATCCACGCGTGAATCACCACGGAACCAAAGCTACTGAAAAAATCGCCAGGTCTGAACGCCGTATCTTTAAAATAGCAGCACATTTTCCGAAAATTTATTCTTAAAAATTTTATGAACTAACGTGGCCATCCAATCACAATGCGGAGCTCCTAGGCCATGTAGGAATGGTCTAGTTGGGGGAAAAGAGACGGACATTCATATCAGAAGAGTGATCACATTATAAAGATCGGGGCTGAACACACACGTAATTAATTTTTGGGCTATTAACAGAAAGCAAACAAAAAACTAATAAGGAAGGTAAAATAGCGACCTTACGTGCCGGAATTTCTAGTCGAACCAATGGGCGGCAGCACCAGCACCGCGAGCCGGTGGGCGGCGAGAGAGGTTGTTGTCGCCAACTGAAAAAAGGACGAGCTCATACTACCTCCAAACAAAAGCAGGTTATGAAAAAAGTGTGGAAACTAACAAGAGTTAGATGTACGCGCAGCAGCGTTGCTGTTTGGCGGTTGAGCACGATGGTCTCTGGCACCAAAGCTGCGACCACCTCCGTCACGCCGGTTGTACGAGCCTCCATCTTTGGCCGATCCGGGCATATTTCCACGTGCAGCCTGAAAAAAAACAAGTTAGTCGCGTAATCCGTAAAAATGCACCGTTACTGATAAACAACGAAGGATCAGTCGCAACACAATAACTTGAACGCACCTCTTCAAGGAAAGCGGGCACTTCCTGGTTCGACTCGACAATCAAATTCATCAAGTCGCGAGCGAGGCGCACATTGCGGCTTGAGAAGAAAGATGTGGCTAGTCCGACGTTTCCGGCACGACCAGTACGCCCAATACGATGAACGTATTCGTCGATATCACCCGGCAAATCGTAGTTGATCACATGCTTGACGTTTGGAATATCCAAGCCACGAGCCGCAACGGCGGTCGCCACCATAATCGGGGCTCGACCAGAGCTAAAAATTATTTTTTTGGAAGGCCTTGCAATCAAACAATTACCGGAAAGTGATGAGGTTTTCTTCACGAGTGACCTGTGGCAAATCTCCATGAATCGGAACAGCATTGTAGCTGGAGCGCTCCAAGAAATAGCTGAGATCGTTTGCGTTACGCTTCGTTTCGACGAAAACGACCGTCAGCGCATTCGGGTCTGCAAAGCATGTTTCACAAGAGAGTCTGCAAAGTCCTTACCTTGTGCATCCAGAAGATCCATGAGGAATTCGCGCTTCTCAGCATCATTGACAAATAGAATCTGAAACGATACGTTAGACGCAAATAAAATAAAAAGCAACCTTTTGCTGGATGTTTTCAGAAGTGGAGCCCACACGTCCAACGGCCAGAAATACATAGTCTGGCAAGAGGAAATCCTGCGCGAGGACCTAAATATATACAAATTCTACCAACGGACCGATTATTTTCAACCTGAATATCCTTAGCGAACGTGGCCGAAAACATTGCAGTAACACGTTCGCCCCGTTGTGGCATGCCCGAACGTTGAACGATCTAAACAAAAGTATATTGAAGGAGACCAGACAACCTGGCGGATTTGTGGCTCGAAACCCATATCAAGCATACGATCAGCCTCATCGAGGATAAGATTCCGGCAACCTTCGAGTCCAATCCAGCCCTGTTCCAAGATGTCTATGAGACGTCCCGGAGTCGCAATCAGCACGTGACAGCCGAGCTAAAACCATAATAAAATAGCAAAGGTTTCGCGGACCCGGAGCTTGTTGATTTGTTCGCGGTAGTTCTCTTTACCCCCGTAAAGAACGCAGATACGAAGCGGGGTCCGGTACGAGAATTTACAAGCCTCATTATAAATCTAAAGTGCCTTGATGTACCCTCAATCAGCAAAAATGCCTGCAACGCCAGCTCCCGAGTCGGAGCGATCACGAGGGCCGCAGGAAAGTGCTGGCGGCGATGAGAATGGGTGGTGCTTGCCGGCAACAGCGCTGACGGACCACCCTGAGACGAACAAACTTTTGAAGAAATGGCCGTAAATTATACCTGCAGGATACTGTGAATAACCGGCACGAGAAAAGCAGCCGTTTTGCCGGACCCGGTCTGGGCGCACGACATAAGATCCAAGCCTGCCATGATAGCCGGGATGGAATGCCTGCGAAAAATAGATAAGAGCTGTCGCTTTTTACTTTTGTACAGGAGTCGGTCGTGTGTAGCCAGTTAGTGTGATATTCTCCATCACCCATGGATGCAGGGCAAGTTCGTCAAACTGTAAAAAGGCGTTGGCGAACTTGAAACTTAAAATTACCGAATGAATTGGATCGGGAACACTGCCGCCAGTGGCTTCAACAGGAATCTCCTCGTACTTGTCGAAATTAATGCCAGAGCCGGCGTGTGCGAAAACTTCAGCCTCGTATTGTGTATCGCGGGGCCCCTGTACAGTCCAAGCCCGCTCCACCGCTGCGCTGCCATCGCCGGAAGCACCACGACCTTGACCACTAAAACACTAATAAAGTTGTCGACTAAAAGTCATACGGTCTATCAAAGAAGCTTCCGCGGCGATCCTTCTGCGGTGTGCCACCATAACCAGAGTCCGGGCGCTGGTAGTCCCTAAAAATCTGGGTAAAGAAAGCCGACAACAAAACCTGTCGTTCCGAGACGGCGGTCGACTGTCCTTGGTGTTGCCGTAGCTGCCATAATTACCACGTTGGCCTCCTAAAAAATCTGTGAAGCTCAAAAAACCAAAGCTACCTCCATAGCGTCCGCTTGAGTAGCGAGGGCTGGAGTGCGAAGCGTGCGTTGAAGTAGTGGAATCCACTTCTGCAGCTCCTTCAGGTAGCCCGCGACGATGGGGCGGCACGTAGACACTCTTTTTCGGAGCTCCTTCCACTTGCGACATCTCCGTAATTGTAGTAACGGTTTATCTGAAGTCTGTTTCGAAAGCCGGGCGTCAGAGGTGTGAGGTGCAATAAAAAGACCAGAGCAAGGAGGCTTAAAAAATTGATAGATTAGGATTGAACGGAGAGTTCATTTGCCATAGAAAAGAAAGAATTCATTTCTCGAAGCCTAAAATGAGGGTTCAATTTGCTATTGGAACCTTGAAAAGATTGGTCGTAGACGATCATAAAGCGAAATGTGTGAAAATGAGGGTGTAGTACTTCTTGAAACATTGACGCCGGCGTCCTGCGAAGAATCTACAAAAACAACGTATCAAGCGGAAGGAGTCTTGCAACGGAACGTTCTTGAAAACATTTTTTTTGTGAAAATAAGTTGACTTCGTCTTGTATCGGATTTTTCTCTTTCCAACGTTGACGCCAGGCCTAATTTTGAAAGGCTTGTTTTGAGTATTTTTGATTCGACATTGGCCAATTCCTTTTGCTCAAGATGTTCTAGTGGTGACGAAGTTAACGGCTGATGATTTCTTTCTCGAGTAAACCCTCGTCGTTTTTCAAAGCTGCATATATGCTGTAATTATTAAATCACCGTTTCAGCCCTTAAATCGCTCCATTGCCATGGCTACGTTTGAGACGGACGGTTGGGACGACATCAGAACTGCGACTAACATCGATGATGTCACGAATCAAATGGATAGAGTATCTATTCAACTAGATGACGCAGGTAAGCAAGCATTTGTGATAATTATGCTTTAGCAGTCGGCCGACCGCATACGAACTTTCGCGATCAATTTGGAGTCATCGAACGGGATGGCGGTTGTTTTGGTACTTTAATGAACACACGTTTGCACTACTTTATATCTCTAGCATCCAAACGACTTGTCGAGGAATATGTCGAGCGGTTCGCGGGTAAAAGCTTCGTGGTGGGATGTGCCTACGACCTCTACAGCGATATGTTCCTTATGGCCACAAGAAGCAATGTAAGTTTTAAATTATGGTGTTTACTTTGCTTAGATTTCTTACAAAGACGGAATCGAGCGCCCATTCCCCGCAACAATACCTTTGTCGGATAGAAGTATCTATGAAGCCGACAAGGACGATACATTAAACGGCCCCACAGACGTCGCTATTTTGGAGGCGGGCTCCGAATACGCGGCCGTGTGCGGAAACAGGATTATCCGCTTGATGTACTCAAACGAAGTCGGCAAGGAGGGGTTCCAAGCAACAGACATTATGAGTAGAGCCTGTGGTCGTTCACAATTTCGAGGTACATAACCTTTCTTTTCATAATATTGATATAGGGATCGCTGCTGATTCGACGCAACGCCTCTTATTTACTTATTCGTTTGTCGAGCGACAAATTCTTTGTATCGATGCTGATGGTTTGGATAAGGTGAGTAAATTGTTTCAAGCCAAATGTTTTCCGAATTGCTTCAGGTGATCTCAGCGATAGGGTATTTACCCGTACCAGAAACGCCCATGCGGTTTGGAAGCGTGTGCTTTATGGCCTACAACCCTACGAAACGAATGCTAGTCACATCGGATCTCGGCTTCGGAAAGCGTATGCTTTATCGATGTGCAAAATCTTTGTTTTTAGGAGAAGGACGTGGAAACCTCAACCGTGCACTTATCAGAACCTTTACGCTCTCCGAGAGCCGACAACTCGAGAAGAGTGGCGAGTACTTTGTCCCGGGTGCTCCCCCAAGGAATGTGACGCCAGGCTTTATTCAATATAGCTCGGGAATCCTGGTTTGCGATTCGGTTCAAATAATGATGCACTTCGTTAGGTTGACAATGAGGGCTGGATAGTAATTGGAGACGCGGACCGAGGGACTCTTCATGTGGGTCATTATTACCGCTTTATTTTACCATCAATTTAGTTGTTTGACGAACAGTTGCGGCCCAAATGCGTCGTCACGTTGCCGAGCGGCAAGCATGAACATAGGAAGCCATACATTACGGGAATCGCTCTTTCGGCTACCCACGCGGCCATCGCCAGTTCCAGTACACGACAAGTGCATTTTTACAGCTTTCAGGTAGTTTCTGGCTGTTTTGAAAAGTTCTTCTTTAGAATAGCTAGTCACGGACTTCAATGGCCTGCCTCCACATGGGTTCGCACTGCACCATCCGCTTTGCCTATTTTTATCTACTAGATCATCACTGTTTTTATTTTAATTGTGCCTTTACTTATTATACAATTGTTTTAATGCCATATAAAGATTTATTGAAAATGCAACAACCGAAAAAGCACAAACAAATCGGAGGATGTTAAAGGGACGCGCAAAAGATAGTTAGCAACAACGAAAATCCTTTTTTTCCGAAAAATGCTCTGATTTACAGCTTGAGCGCAAGTGCAGTACCACGCGAGACTAAGATAAGGGCCGTAAAGCAGGGCGTCTAGATATGTCGCGAGTGGTATTCTTTCAGAATGGTATGAAGATGAGGGAATCCCTCTCGGATGGTCGCCAATATTGCCCAGATCACTGTCATCAGTCTAATATCAGCCTCGGTTGACGCAAGCCATGTTGCCTGAAATCATAGCGCCTGCCGTTGACAACTTACTCGAAAGTGGTTTTCCTGAAAATACGATGCTATTGGCGTGACACGTGCAAGCGGATCTTCTTCTTTTCTGATAACATATTCCTCCTTGGTAAATAAGCAGCCAGTCATCAGCAACAATGAACTGCAGGGCACTTGCTCGTGGGTAACGCTAAATACGGGGATCATTGAGGCTAGATTCGAGTTGCCGAGCAATATTTGGTTACCAGGCTCAAAGAGAGGCTGACTATTTGATGATCTTAGAAGACTAAGCTTACTAACCTGCACTTGTCGAGAACATCTCCAGCCGAATGGATGTCGACCCTCGGTCCAACGTCAATAAACTCGTAGATTTTCAAGCCTAAAGAGCATTGTAGCCATTTTTTTAGATTACCAGAAAGCGGATGCCTGACTCTGGCCGGCCCATCATCCTCGTTCAATTCGACCGACAGTACCCGCTTGGCCCCCTCCATCAGCACGATCTCCTCGGGCGTTAGGGTGGCACGCATGATCTGAAATAGCTGTCTGTTAGAATTCTTACGCCTAAAAATTCAATTCACGCCTCTTTCTCAAAAAGCGACAGAGTTTCTAAAAATCTTAACTATACTACTTTCCATAAAAACACAGAATTTCATGATTTAACATATCGGATGCTACTAAAATTTCCCTCCCACGTAGCGTATAAGATGGACCAGCGGCTTCCAATCGAGATCACCGAAACTCGCGCTCCCGGATGGCCCTGAACGTCGACCCAGCGACCGCCACGTTCCCTGCCGCCGGAGGGAACGCCAAGCACAGTCTCATCTCGCTGGCCGATACGCGACTTGCCTTCAAGGTATATTCAAGCACTACCGATTATCAAGGGCACATGGCGATTCAGGTGAAGTCATCGAACAACGAGTGCTACCGCGTGCGCCCCGTCTACGGATTTATCGGATCCAAGGCCACCGTCGTGCTCGACATCATGCGAATGGCCGGCCCGCCCAAGGAGGATAAATTCGTCATTCAGTGGGCTGAGGCAAGCGCTTTTCAGAGTAAAACTCTGCTAACAAAAAAATTAGCTTCAAACTCGAAATCAATTAAAATCCCTTGAAACGTCGCCCAATTTCAGGTTCCCGAGGAGGAGACCGACCCGATGGCGCCGTTCAAGGCTGGCGCCCAGGCCGGCGAGGTCATCCTCCCCACGAAAGCCGAATAGAGGAGCACCGTTGAGCAGCGGAGCCGTGTGCCCATATAATTCATATCTCTTCGTCGAGCTAGAACGCCCTATCGCTTTGCACTGAATAAACTTTGTGCCCTTCTTACTTGTATTGCTTGAAATTACGCAAAAAAACGATCGAGTCGTGCGACACGCAACAGTACAAGCATGAACGGCTAAATTCAAGTATACGGTCACCTAGTCAAACCCAAACTTTGTATATATAGAAATGTTCAGCTCGACGAACTGGTTCAGGATCAGTTGAAAAAACGATTGGGAAACACTTCTGGAGCGAGATATAGGGGTCCAAAGTTTGAACACCAAAAGGGCCAAAAAGGCCCATTTCCTTTGGATATTTCGCTCTAATACACTCAAACTTTACCTAAAAATAAGGCTTCGTGCCACTCGGGGGCCTAGTCGCTTCGGATGGGCGCGAGCTCGTACAGGGTTTCGAAATGGGGGCGCCAAGGCCGGCGAAGCGGCCGGGGGCGCCCCTATTTCGGAAGAGTGGAGCGGCAGCCCATCCGAAGCGACGGCCCACCTTGCCTGACAATGTGAAAAACCTCACCGTTACCTTTATTTTACATTAATAGCGTTAAAAACGCTTAAAAATTCACACCCAATACAGCTAAACAACGAAGCTCCAGGGCGAAGGCCGGCTACGACATAATTCAAATGACGCAGCGACGTAACAAGTAGCATAACGTACTATCTTGTTTGCCAATAATTTGTGCATATAATAAATTCTTAGCAAAATAAAAGTTTTAACTTTTCATTTGTATTTTATCGTTTTCAGCGTACTTTTTTACCCAGGTCCCGAAATGTTGGTGTTTCCCGGATGAATTTCACCAAAATTTGCTTTTATCTCGAGAATCTGAAGTCATGGGTAATAAACTAGCTCATTTTCAGAATCAGCATAAAAAATAGTCTATTTTGGGTACCCTAGCAGCCCCGGATGTGGCAAAACAGCACGTAAATCCTCAAGGTTGATGCGCGAAAATCGGGCCTTTTTCAGAACGGAAGATTTCATGGATCGAATTGGCCGTTTTTATGCTCAAAAATCCGCGATAATTTGTTCTCTAAAATAAATCATGAAAAGGTTGATGAAAAACGAGTTTTAAAGAGATTTTTAATTATTTCTAACTTTTACTAGCATTTTTCGCCCCTTCTCGGAGCCCCCAGACCCGACCAAACCCTTTTACCCTAATGCCGTGACCCAATGACCGTAGCCCAGCCCCCTTTTGCCCCACGTAATCGCACCAGAAAATCCGCCCAGCGATAATACGACACAATCCGTTTACGAACTCCGTAATGAGTGTACTTGGACTTCGTTGCAGGTTTAAGTAAGGCTGTAGGGGCTGTGAATTATAAACAAGTGTTATTGCAAAGGTACGTACGAATACAGACTACACCGCTCCGTAAAAAGGAGTGTCGCGTAGCCGGAACTTTCCGAAAACTGAGTTTCAAACCTTCATAACTTTCTTTATACATTTTTCCCAATGATTCTTTCAACAGATATCGGCTCTGCTCGACGAGCTGCACATTTCTATGCATAAAACATGCCTGTTTGGATAGGTGACCGTGTACCTAACTAGCTAAATTTGGACCCCTATATCTCGCTCCAGAAGTGTTTCCCAATAGTTTTTTCAACTGATCCTGAACCAGCTCTTCGAGCTGAACATTTCTATATATAAATAAGTTGGGTTTGGCTAGGTGACCGTATACTTAAATTTTCCCGCATGAACTACGTATGCGACCGTCCTAACTTCACGCAAAATAACGACGAAGCTCCCGTAGTTGGTCTTTATATATTTGTGCACTCCCAGGGGGAATGCGTTCCAAAATTTGTTCGAGACACTGTCGGTAGGTCTCGGGGTTAATGCTAACCTCAAACTTGGGTAATTAAACCGAAGCTGTGGTGGGGTGGGTGCCTTTCTCAACTATCCAATGCACAGCTGGGGGTCTTTTGACGGGCAACCACACAACAAGCGGTCTCTGGTTGTCTGCGTCTTGTGGAGAGACGTGTCTCCCAAAAACACTCCCCCTTTCCGCTTTGCGTCTCCGCTCTCCCCAATCTCTCTCACCCCATTGCTCAGTGTACGTGACACTACACGAGACGGAGACAACGAGAGATCGCTCGTTGTGTGGCTGCCCGTCAAATGACCCCCATCTGTGCATTGGATAGTTGAGAAAAGCACCCACCCCACCACAGCTTCGGTTTAATTACCCAAGTTTGAGGTTAGCATTAACCCCGAGACCTACCAACAGTGTCTCGAACAAATTTTGGAACGCATTCCCTCGGGAGTGCACAAATAGCTTTCAAAAAATAGGGGGGAAACGTCCGCATGAAAGAAGAGGATAGTCATGTCCTAGCCTAGGCAACGAACAACGTAGTAATAACGGGTTTTTAAAGCTCTAGTCTAGTCTTTTATATCCAAAGCTAAGGTCCCACAATCTCATCTTCTATTTAACGGCAAGAATAGAAAAACCCAATTTAGCAACCCACTTTTGTACTTGAAGCGTTGACAATGTCAAAGTCGATCGGGTGAAAATTCACAGCATTTCGGAGCACGTACTGTTGACAGGCCTCTTCTATCTGCACGGGGGGAAAGATAACGAAGCGTACGTTCCTGAAAACTCGTACCTGTACGATATCCACAACTTTGATGTCCACACATTCGACGTGATCGAGCACTCCGACGTGGTCAAGACGCGCCAGTTGTGGTGCGATAGCGGCAGAAAATCTCCTGAAAGAAGTTTTTAATTGATACTAACAAACTACCTGTCTCCGATAGCGCTAGCCTTAAATTAAAAATTACCTAGCTGTCCGAGAAATCTGGCCGGTGATTGAGGTTCGCCGGTCGGACATCTTGCTAGCAGCCTTGCGATGAGTATTCACTTCAATACTCGCGAATCGGCGCCCTGAATCTGATTGCGAGTGGTGCCGAGGTCCAAGTGAATCGATGGGTCGAAGCGGGCGAACAGCCTCTGTCCTGCTCCCACGCCGAATTGACGGCGATCGGCCACATGAAAACGTCCGGCCCCGACCAACCAACCGTCGTTTTACGGTTTTCACCCCTGAAAAAGTTGCACACCCGCAATAGCGACTACTCGTTATGGCGCGCTGCACGCCCCCGCCTATTAGCGGCCAGAAAAAAAATGGAGCGATACCTGGGGTCGGATCATCTCGTTAACGACAAGTTGTAAAAGAAAAGCCCCGGTCGTTCTTGGTTATTGGTTAAATGGTATTAGTGGAATTTCCAAAAATAGGAAGCCAACAGGCGTGGCGAGCCAACGCGAGATTTGGTACTTATCAAGTTGGGGGGGGGGGGGGGCCACTTTGGGTACATATTAGGAGACACTTTTTTATCGCTTTTTCGACTCTTTCTGGGGTAGTTTTTACGCTGAGTGGAAATAGAGCCGCAACAGCATGCGAAACGGTTGGGTTTATCCAGAAAAACAGTGTAAAAATTTATTAACAAAAGGTGCACTTATGCGCAATTTTAGGCTTGCCGCATTGTCAGGCAAGGTGGGCCGTCGCTTCGGATGGGCTGCCGCTCCACTCTTTCGAAATCAGGGCGCCTGGGCGCTACGCGCTCCTCGGGCGCCCCGATTTCGAAACCCTGTACGAGCTCGCACCCATCCGAAGCGACTAGGCCCCGGGTGGCACGAAGCCTTAATTTTAGGCTCAAATTGGGTGTAAGCATTTCTAAATCTTAAAAACGTTTAGATAATTGTGTTTTACTACGCTGATTTTGTTATATCAGAAACCAGCACGAAAAACTAGCCTAGAAAGACTCAAAAAGTCGAAAACCAAAGTGGCCCCCCCCAACTTGATAAGTGCCCGAGATTTTGTGCCGAAAACAGCGAAGGTATCTGGAAGATATTTCAGGGGCTAAATTTAACTGGTACTGGGGTGTTTTATTGCTTAGAACTTCTAGGTAAACCTTGCCGTACCTTCTCTGAGGCTCCGGTAAGTAAAGAGAGCCCGGGCTTAGCCTTTTGTCGAAAACAGTTGGTCAAAAAGTATAGAAACTTTACATTACACAAAAAAGTTCTGAGCGAAAATGTAATTTTCTGTCTTTATTTTCTCTTTATTATTTACCCGATTTTTAGGTTCAAAACGGTGATCGGTACGCACGATACAAATGACGGTCATCTGAAGCAACGGAAAATCGGCTTGCCTTCTTTTTTTCTTTTCGGCAATTTTCAATTTGTTCTTGCAGGCTAATATTTTATTGTTTTCAGGCAATGACCCAACACTTACCGATCAAAGTGACATCTTCAAACCGTGAAGTATTCACCATCAAGTATGAAGTGGCACGCCTGTCCGGCCTCATCACCACCGTTCTCCAGGATTTGCATTACGGCGAAGAGGAATATGACGGCCAACAACCCATCCCGCTACCAACCATCAACTCGGCGATCCTCATCAAGGTTTGCACCCCCGCGCACTATTTTATTTCTTCTAGGTGATCGCCTGGTGCGAATACCACAAGAACGACAATACTCAAGCGCACCGTCCTTCTCGGGAGCTCTCGGCTTGGGACGCCGAATTCATGGAGATCGACCATAATACGTTGTTTGAGCTTTTTTCGGTATGTGTTTATAACTTGTGCCAAATTTTAGATATCCGCTCTGACATTGATTATACTTGTTATAGGCGGCCTCCTACCTCGAAATCAAGAACCTAGAAGATTTGACATGTCGCTCGATCGGCAACATGATGCGCGGGAAAACCGCTGATGAAATCCTCGCCGGTTTAGGCGTTGGAGCAGAATAATTTTAAATTTGATTCTATTATCGCTTGTACATTGTATGACTTTAGTTGCTTCCTATGTTGCTTTTTCGAACTGATATTAACTGGTGTGTTTGTTTGTGGATAAAAGCTGTTTGAATGGTGGTACGTTACGAAACTGGGTTGCTGCCCCATTGATTTTCTGGTGGATTTGAAAGTGGTGGCTTCCCCTGTGGAACTGCGGGGACATCGTAATTGTTAATCCGGTCGGTACAAGCCGATTCATCGCAGCCAAGAAGGCCCGACACCTCTTCAGGCTCGCGAATCTCTTCTCTCGCCATCAATATAGCCCGCCCGAGCCCCAATCCTTCCCCCCTGCACGCGACGCGGGGCTCTCGCGCCAGCGTTCGAATAATTCCGCTGTTTGACTGACGGAAATTCAACTTTGTATCAGCGCGCCAGCCGGCAGCAAAAAAACAAACCGGCGTATTGATTGCAGCAGCCCGCACCTCGTTCGCCTTGGTGAGAGCATATAGCCTCTTCGCTTTTGTTTCCTCTCATTTCACGGGAGTATTGATTGATGACGCCCCTCAAACACTTGCCTCCGAAAATGCAATCTTATTTCGGGAACTTTCAATTTATTTCAACCGTACCGATTTTTCACTTTTGCCTTTAAGTCCGTACCTTTCCTTTCAAGCCTTCCAAAGGTTTTTTGGTGAAAATTATAAGTTTATTTCCAGATGTCTAATGCTATGGAGACCAATGTGGAGGAGAGCGAAACTGGCTCCCTTTACCCAATCGCTGTCCTGATCGACGAGCTCCGTAATGAAGATGTGCAGCTTCGTCTCAATTCGATTCGGAAACTCAGCACCATCGCCCTTGCTCTGGGCGTCGAACGAACTCGTACCGAGCTGATCCAGTTCCTCACCGGTACATATTGCTTAGAAATAACTCTCACAAAAAGCTGTCATTCGTGGCTCATGTGTATTTTTAGATACCATCTACGACGAAGATGAGGTTTTACTCGTTTTGGCTGAACAACTCGGCAACTTCACTCCCCTTGTATGTTCGCGGAATCATTGTTTTACTTATTTTTTAGGTCGGCGGGCCCGATTATGTTCACGTCCTCATCCAACCTTTGGAGAACCTGGCCACCGTTGAGGAGACCGTTGTCCGCGATAAGGTATTTTTCTAACGTCTTCCCCAAGATTTTATTCTCTAAGGCTGTCGAGTCCCTGCGAAAAATCGCCGAGAAGCACAGCAGCGCCTCCCTCGAAGAACACTTCATCCCCATGGTCCGACGCCTTGCAAACGGTATTAATTGGCTGTCGAAATCCATACTTTTTTTTCAAGGCGATTGGTTCACCTCCCGTTCCTCGGCATGCGGCCTCTTCAGCGTTTGCTATCCCCGTGTCAGCCCAGCCATCAAGACTGAGCTGAGGACGTGAGTGAATGTATTAGTTCCACTTATCCAAATTAAGTATGTACCGTCAGCTATGCCGTGACGATACTCCAATGGTGCGCCGAGCTGCGGCCGGCAAAATGGGTGAAATTGCTAAGGTACAGGAGACTGGGCTTATACAATTAAAATTATGTCCAGGTGCTCGAAAAAGATGTGCTGCTGGAAGATTTTAATCAGATGTTCCGTGATCTTGTAGAGGATGAACAGGTACTACATTCGTCGCAGTTTTTACGCAGTTTTAGGACTCCGTTCGCCTGCTAATGGTTGATGCTTGCATCTCCATGTCCTCCGTCATCCCCAAGGCCGACATGGTTCGCCTGGTCAAGCCGGCGTTGCACAGCCTCATCGACGATAAGAGCTGGCGCGTCCGCTACATGGTTGCCGAGAAATTCGTTGAGGTATTACCCGAAACTTTTCCACAAAACCTTCTGTTTAGCTTCAAACAGCCTTGGGTGGTATGGATGAGGCATCCGCCAACGAGCTTATCAACTACTTCACCGGCTTGCTGAAGGACCCAGAAGGCGAAGTGCGCGGCTCGGCCGCTCAGCGCATCGAAGGCTTCTGCAAGGCACTCCCTGAGAGTGTCCGTGAGAAGACCATCATCGACAACATCCTCCCGGTCATCAAGGAGCTGGTCTCTGATCCAAACCAGGTAAGAGCCTTCTGGACGCGGCTCAAATCATAACTTTTTTAGCACGTGAAGGGTGAACTCGCCTCGGTCATCATGGGTCTTGCTCCGCTGGTCGGCAAGCAAGTGACCGAATCTAGCCTGCTCCCCATCTATACCGCCATGCTTCGTGATTCGACGGCTGAAGTGCGCTTGAATATTATTTCTTCCCTCAACAAGGTAGTTTTACAGAAATTTTTATTGGTGTTTCCTGTATTGCGCATTTGTTGCGCCCTCTTCTGCTTACATTTGCGTACGTTCCAGGTGAGCGACGTTATCGGCTCGAGCGCAATGCGCGATGAAGTGCTTCCGGCCGTCATCGAACTCGGTGAAGATGGAAAATGGCGTGTTCGCCTAGCACTGGTCACTCTCATGCCCCTCCTTGCCCAACAACTGGTGAGCTTTTTTTGTAACACCTATAGCCTCCTCTCTTAGGGTCGCGAGTTCTTCGAAGAGAAGCTACTCCCGCTCTGCGTCTCCTGGCTGACCGATCATGGTATCTTTTTTGGATTTGTTCCGAAACTTTCCTTTTTTCAGTGCACGCCATTCGCGAAGCCGCTTCTGCCACCTTGAAGGAGTTGACGCAAACATTTGGAGGGGAATGGGCCGCGAACGTGTTGATTCCCAAGGTAGGCCCCTGCCCACCTTTGAAACATTGTTCTTTAGGCTCTGTCGCTTTCAAAAGACAACAACTACCTGCACCGTCAAACGGCGCTGTCGTTGCTCACCGGACTGAGTGAGGCCGTCGGAGCCGACCAGACTGTTTCAGAGATCCTGCCCATCATCAAACAGGTATGGCGTTTGATTGTCCATCGGATTAATTCACCCACCCTAGATGGCCAGCGATAGTGTGCCCAACGTTCGTTTCAACGTCGCCAAATGTTTGGTCCGAGTTGGCAAGATTGTGAATACATCGTGAGTTGATATTCCGTGCCATTGACCAAACTTTTTCAGCGTGCAACAAGGCGACATCAAGCAGGCCCTGACTCAGCTCTGCAACGACCCCGATTTCGATGTCCGTTTCTTCGCCGATGAATCTCGTGTGGCGCTCAGCCTTTAGGACGAAAACTTGTTTACCAAGGTGAACTTGAGCCGTTTCCTTAAACCATTACTTCTGACTTCTCCGTTTAATTTTGATTTGGATATTGGATCTCAAAGTGAATAAGTCAACCATGTGCGCCTAGTGTATCATTTGTTCATTTCGTTTTTGGAAATCTTGACCGTGTGTTTTTAATCAATAAAATATATTTATCCGAGTTCTTCAATGGCACTATCAAGCAAAACAACAACGATTCACAAAACCTAATCTAAACACTAGAGCTACATAAATGAGTGTCATTCCCATTGTACTATCTGGAACTTTCGTTTTCCCCAACAGATCAGCGTGAGATCATCCGTTCCCTTCAATAAAATAGTTTCGAACTTTATCTTTTCTTCAGGCTCCGTCTTGCGAACACCGTTGACCTAAAGCGGAAGTAGGATAGTAATGCGCAACCTTACTTTAAAAGCCCCAGTCTTCATCAAATTGTGGGCTGGTTTGTTGTCTGTCCGCGTCTTGAAGGCCAGTTCAGCAAAAGAGCCGACAGAATCCCGGTTTAATCGTGTGGTAGTGCCGAACAGCCGAAGTATATCATCGCGGCTCAGGGTTTCCAAAGTGTTGATGTCTCCTAAAATGGGTTAGCCTCTACTTATATACCTGGAAGATACCTTGATATAAAGCCCGAGAGCAGGCTTCGGCCTTTTCGAGCCCTGCATTGCCGTGAACGAGGGTCGTCATTTCTTGGGCTAGTCTACTCTGTGCATGCCATTGTCCCAGTTTCCCTCGGTGCTCGTCGAGTATTGCGACTAGCTATATAGAAGTCGAGTCATGATGTTTCTGGTTTCAACATTACCTCATCATAATTTTTCAACGTAAACATTGGAAAAAGCCGCTCAACGTCATTGTCGGGGAGTTGACGCCAGAATTGGTAAAAATGGAAGGCGGACGTCCTCAAAAGAGTGGAAATGTATTGGAGAGGTGGAAAAATACCTTTTATCGGATAGCCAGACCGAGGCTCCTGTGGATTTTCCTAGTTTATTCCCGGCGGCGTCCGTCACGAGCGGCATCGTAATGCCACCTGTGAATCGCCCCGTACGTTTCTTCACAAAATGGGCGCCCAGGTCCAGGTGGCCCAATTGATCCGAGCCGCCTATCTGAAAGGGAATTGCTTATAAACCTATTCAGTGTAATACACACCTGGAAATGGCACTTGTATCGCTCTACCAATTGCAGCCAATCAATGGCCTGCAGCGTCTGGTAGCTGAACTCGGTGAAACTGATGCCATCGTTGTCGACGTCACCCTCCATTCGTGCTTTCACGGCACCCGTCCGCAACATGGCACCCACACGAAATTCCCGGCAGACACGCAAATAGTCGATGGCGTTCATCTGAAAACGTAGAATTGAATTTAACTCAATGGACTTATTATGCACAAAGTCGTTTTGTTAAAAGTCACCTGGCCAAACCATTGAGCGTTGTCCAAAATTTCGATGCGACTCGAGCCGGGCTGCGATTCCGCAAAATTTGAGCATATCCCGTCTAACAGGCCGATAATCGAGTTGGCATGGCTGCGGATCCTTTCTTTGGCCATTTCAGTGCGTTCTGAAACAAATCTATTGCTGTTGGAAGAAGATATGCCAATTTAAATTATTCCGACAAAGACGGCGAAGAATCTCACCACTTGTCCTTCCACTCGGATCCCCAACGGCCGCAGTGGCCCCTCCGACCAACACTTTCACGGTGCATCCAAATTGTGCCGCGCGCAGCAGATTGTTCAGCACCAACAAGTTGCCAATGTGCAAGCTGTCGGCCGTAGGATCGAAACCCGCATATAGCACAGGTGGAAGGTTCCTGAAATTAAGGTTTCATCACAGACGTACACCAATCTCACCCCAAAACTGTCGTGTACTTCTCGTCAAGAATGCCGCCGGGGAATGAGGCCGAGATGAGGTTTCGACGGTGCAGCTCCTTCAAATAGTTGACGAGTGGTTTTCGTAACGGCCGGGTGCATCGCATTGAGCGCCTATAATGTGTATCTATTCATTTCGCAAAATTAAAAATCAACCGAAGAAAACAACAGCAAAAAAACGATCCAATCACATCGATTTTTCAAAGCATGAACTTGTCGAACGGGTCGTCGCCTTCAAGTTTCCGCATTGCAAACGGGAGCAGATCACCGGCGCGACGTGCGCGTATCCCTTGATAGAAATTGCGGTGTTTCTTGGTGAGGGTGAAACGTTGGACGCCGTTGAATGCCGTGCAAACATCACAGGTAGAATGCTTGGCCGAGTGAGAGGCCTGCAGTATGCGTTCTCCTGGCAATGAGCCGGGTGCTCGGCTGCCTTTTTCAAGAATCACGTACGAAATGGAGCCTTCATCTGTGTTATCATTGTGACGGCCTTGTGTCTTGCCGTCAGCGCGTACAGCTTCCCATCGGATAGGGGCAAGACATTTGCCGTCAATCTGCTTTGGGCAGCCCATATCGTGGGGGCATGGCGCGAATATGAAGCCCGGATCCATCGCGGTCGGCAAGGCGAAATCAGCCGGCAGTTTCGCTTTGATCAATTCCAGGCGTTCATACTCCGATAATCGGCCATCATGTAGCAACCGATCCATCGCCTCGTCCAGAAAATTGTGCTCGGCCAGTAAGCGTCTGGTCGCTTCCAAATCGAGAGCTTGCCCTTCCGTTACGACAAAGTCTCGAGCCGTTAGGATGGATTCGAATGCGTCACGTTTCGAATCCTCAATCAACACCAGGAATCTGTTGGTTCGTTGCCAGAGTTGCCGCAGCAATTCCAAACGCGCCTCATTAGATCCGACCTCACTTAACGTCCGATGCGCGATGACCAGATCGTAGGTTGTCTGCAAAGAGGGCAAGAAGTGACGCCGGACATTCACATTTGGATGTATGAGACCGTTCGGGTGAACCATTGATTCGTCACGCATCAAATCAACGGCCAGCCTTGTCATCGCATCCGAAGCGTCGACCAGCAGATATTCATCAACATCAAGCCCAAACGCGTCGTGTACCGCCCAGAAGCCCGCTCCAGTGCCGCAGCCAAAGTCGAGAACGGTCTTTGGTGAGAAACCGTCTGCACGCGCGAATTCCGCAATAACTCGGGAAATTTCCGCATAATTTGGCGCGAGTCTGGCTAGGGCGTAAACGACGGCATCGTGTTCCTTGTTCACATCGAGCGGTGCCCACTTATAATCAGCCTTCCTCAGCAATTTATCAGATTGCCGTTTAATCTTCACCTCATCCGCCTCCGATTCCAACTGATCACCAGAGATGCGTTCATCCTCGGCTTTGCGGCGCAGCTCCTTCTTCAACTGCATACGTATCCCTTTCAGCATCTCGCTAGACGCCGGAAAACGACGATGCTTTAGCCTTTCGAATAGCTGATCGGCCTCGTTCTGCAGCTGCTTCGGGTTAATCTCGGTGGCCAGTAGGGCGTTCCGCAGACCTGGCACTGCCTGCGCGGGCAAACGGTGTAGTCGCTCTCCGGCGGGTGATCTCCTCGATTTGATGCTAGCCATTTCGTATAGAGATTTAGTCGCCGTCGCAGCGTTCATCGACTTTACTTCTTTAATTGCGGGTCGTTTGGCCGGCTCAACGATTTCCTTAGGGTCTATCTGACTGGCTGATGCGGAGGCTGTGAATCGAGCCACACATTGTAACGGTCGCCGTGTCAGCATCCTGAAATGAAAGATATATTTTACGATAATTAGAGAAGGTATAAATAGAAAAAGACATTTTTCTCTAGGGCCGCTAAGCAGAAAGGTGGGGCTAATCTTGTACTTTTTCAACCTTTTTAGAGGCAATAAAACTGTATTTATCTTTTTAACCTATTACGTAAGGCAAAAAATAAGTTTGTAGTTTGGGCATGGCGCGACGGTAAAGGAAGCCGCATCCATGCAATAGGAAGGAGCAGTGACCAAGAGTACCCGGGCCGCAAGGGTGTTGTTGTTTTCAGGATCCATCAAAGCTGTTTTCTTTGTTTTTCTCCCATCGAAGCAATTTATCGATCGGTAGCAAATCAGTGGGCGATGCGATAAATGACGGCGGGATGGGGGTCAGGGTGGTTTGGCGGTGGTGGTCGATCAGGTTGAGAAGTTCTTTCGTTCTAAAGTTAAGAAATTAACCTGCGGAATCCACCTGGAGACGCCGTTAGCCCACCAATTAAGCTTCGTCACTGGGGGTTTGCGGCAGCATTTTGAGCAGCTCTGGAGAGTAGTAGGGCCGCTGGCGCTTTTCCTCGATGCTGTTTAATATTTCTAACAGCTCGTCCCAGTGTTTCTAAAAATAGATTTTCCGGTTTTCTCTAAGCCGGCTTTCTCTGATATTAAAAAAAGAAGAAAGGAACCGTTTCTAGGCTTTTTGACTATTCCGAGGCCTAAAAACTGTAGATCTTGGTTTCCGGATATAGAAAATGCCGAAAATCGCCGGTTTTCAGAAACAATTTCAGACGTTTTGCGAACGAACATTTATCAAAAGACATGTCTCGACGTATAGGTATGAAATTTTTGCGAAATTTTTTGTGATGACCTTCTTAATCTTCTACTAATCGAATAGAATAAACGCGCACCATAAGGTAGTCCTTCTTTGGGTGCTGCTCTTGCAGTAGTGCCGGGGGCGTGTGAGCCCGATGCGCCGGGTACTGAGCATTTAGATACTTGTGAGCCTAAAACCTGAAGGCTCAGGGTTAAAAGGCGGTGGCTGACCAGAGCCACTTCGGCCTTCAGCACTTTCTCGTTGTTGACGTAGACGATGTAGGGGCTCGCGCTGACGAAGCAGAACTCGCCCGCGTAGTAGGTGTTCACGCTCTGCCCGTGCAGCAGTACCTCGCAGGCGACGGCCAGATTTGGGTGCACCTGGAAATTGGGTCGTGCATGCGGGTATTCGGCTCAAGTATAGTACCTTGTTTTTTTGTCTGACTTTGCTGAAAAGCCTGCGGTCTAATTTTTTATGTTTCCGTTGATATTTTCGACTCGCATTGATTTTTTTCTTGTTCGCCAGAACTAGAAAAAATTTTTGGTCCATTTTAAAGCCCTGTTGTCCTGCTTATAGACCTCAAAAGTTTTATTTACCGAACTTTTACCAACTTTAGGCACGAAAAAGCGCACTAGTAAACGTTTCGGGTACTGATTAATCTGCCAATTCTACTATGCCTCCCAAGCCAAAGCCTTGATTTTCTCTGTAATGCTTACCGACCGTATACTTTGACTGCCGCTCACATTCCGGACACGCGTGCGCCTCGACTTCCCAGACGTGCGTCCAGTGGGGCGAGGCATCGCGGTATCCTATACCATCGTATTATTGTAGCCACTTCAAGCCTCTGTACCCAGTAGACGAAGCGCGTTCGCGTACGGGGTGGTCTGCGGCGGGAGGGTGCTTCGGTTCCCCCAACCGCGGCTACGCATCTAGTCGATTAGGGAAACATTGAATACACAGAATCCACCTACCGTACGCGATCCGAATATGGGGGAGACAGTATCCATCCGGCCGGCACTTCATTTGGGGAGGCTAATCTCCATTGTTGCCGCGATGCTAATTTTGGAACCAAGTTGTGGAGTGACATTTTTGTTTTTAAAGGCACAGTCGCGTACCAAAACGCATTTGAATTCCTATTTCGGTATTTCGGTATTTCGGTGTTTTGGTGTTTTGGATTTCGGTGTTTTCGGGATTTTGAGTTCGTATGGTTTTTTGGATGTCATTTTTGAGATTCGTTGTTTTGCTAATCGGAATTATGGTATTTCGAAAAAGTACGGTAGAGTGTGCGGAGTAGCGCCTCGTACTCGAATTTTTGAAAACCTGAGGCTCGACTGTTCCCATTCACCTGTTGCCCCCAAGTCCTTTTTTGCAATTTTGATGGATACATACGATTTCTTATCGAACATTTTTCTATACCCTATTTGACGAGGCTAAATTTTTCGCGCACGGCCTTTTACTCCGCGACGGATCACGCCGCACCCGTTGCGTGTCGCGCGCGGAAAACTCTAAATTCCAAATTCCAAACTATTCAGTCAATCCGCCCCTGAACGTGCTCCTTGCCCCGATTTAATTCTGGCTGTTCCGTTTCGCTCGAAATACGGTTACATGGTTTCCCGGCACCGGACGCTATGAATAATTCGAATTCTCATCTCGGCCTGTTCAAAGACGACCCTGTATCGCCTTTAATTGGAATTCTATGTATATATCGTCCTGGGCATGCCATGGCGTTTTCTCTCCTTCTGATGAATTGGCCTCATCTCCAGGCGCGCATCATTCTGGCCCCGAACCAATACCCCCGCCGGGCCCATTTTCCAATTTTGGGGCCCGTGAGTGGATGATGTGGTTTAAAAGGGAAGAGGGGAGATTTCTTTGTGGAAGATGTGTTTGTGTTTCTCGTAAAGTAACCTTTAATGCATAACTATGTGCTAAGGGTTGACAAGGGTACATTAAAGGCTGCGTTTTTGAGATCGATTGATCGCGGGGTAGTCCATCTTGCACAACCGGGCGAAATCGCTCTGGGGGTGCGCTTTTCAGCATGCTTTCCCAGACAAAAAAATCATAGGCTAGGACGCAAAATTAATCAGTTTTTTAACTGCCATCTTGTTAGCGGCGAACGCCTTTGCTGCGAAGGGCAGTCGCGCGGTTTAGCTCCCAGAAAAAGTCCGTCCGTGGTCCCCAGCGTGTAATTTGGCCGCTGCTAATTTCCAATTTCTATTCTCACACACGTCCGCCTGCTAATTGTTCCTCCAGTTACCGTACACCTGGGCCACTTCCCCATCCGCATAATTTCCTCAACATTTCCGTAGGTATGCGGGAATGGTATCTCTCGGTGGTTGCCGTGGGTGATGGTGTGGCCTGGGGGGTAGTCGGTGTTTCCGGCTAATCCGGGCCCATATTCCGGGCAATTGGAGGGGCCGGCCCTCTGTCCTGAGGCGCCCCGAGGAGTGAGATCAGCTGAGAGCCAGCCAGCCATCCGCCCTTTTCACCCTTCCCCCCTCCCGCCGGTCCCTCAACCCACGCTGCGTCTCTATCTCCCGCCGGTGCTGTCGTCCGGATTCTCTCGTACTCCTTGTGGGTCACCCCCCTCCGCGAGGTATTCTTAGACGGTGCGCTAACATAAAGAAAATATATACATCTAATTGGAATTAGGAAAATAGGAAAATGGGTTCTTTCCGATTCTCGGTGGGGGGTTTTTTCTTCGGATCCAATTTTTGAAATATGAATAGTCGGAGCGTTTCTAAATGGTTTTTTACTATTCCTGAACGTGAAAATGTTACATTTTTTTGTTAAAAAATATCAAGGTATCGATTTTCCGACCAACGCCGCGGATTTTCTTTACCAAAATTTCGACTTTTACACAAAATAAAACAAATAAATCCCCCCGATAATGCACAAGAGCCGAAAAATAGTTATGATAGCTGAAGAGCTTTACGAGCTCAATAGGTTTGGAAGTAAGGATTATAAAATTTTGAGTTTATAACTCTTCTTCCAAAGCTATTCGCTCGGAAATCTTAAAAAAATTAGGGCCCTTATGAGTTAACACAATTAACTAACTTTAACTAAATTTTCGCAAATTTTAACTACTTACAAACCCTCGCAAAATCATTTCAATTTTTGGCTAGATTTTGATTTGGCCATTCTCATTTTTAGCTCTTTAGCCAGCACTATGTGTCTGTGGTGGTAGGCGAACCGGTTGGCCGCGACAAAGAATCCACCCCGTCTACCCCCCATTCCCCTCCAAAATTCCCTCTATCTCTCGCCGACTAGAGAGCAGCGCCCCTCTCTGTCGGTTCCGGAGGGCTCCTCTCCACTGCGGGCTGTCGGCTTTTCCCTCCACCCCCCGTCTGTTCATTGAAATGTCTGCAGGACCACCCCCGCCGCACTCCCTCGCCCCTCACCCTCTCAGCCCTCCACAATCTCCCCACTCTCTCATCCCCCACCTCTTACCACGAAGATACGACGGTCGCGCGCTTTCTGCGTCACGCCCTACCGCCTTGCCGTCGTTGGCAACTTTCTGACCTTTGGGCCCTCGGGGTGGGGAAGTTCGGTTGAATTCTAGAATTGAGGGGTTTATGGAGGGCTAAAGGTTCTTGTGGATCTAAACTGACTTTATTAGGTCTTTTGACACGCTATAACTATTTTCCTTTCTTCTTTTAAGGGCTATTCACTGCCTTTTTTGGAAGTAATTACCAATGATAACTCTTTTTCTAGGTCAAACCGAGTGCCATGAAATGACGAAGCGCCGTGCGAAGAAGAAGAAGGAACCGGTGATCCGGAAAACAGCGGTAAGTCGCATCCTTCAGTCAGAATTACCATGTAAAGGTTTAATCCAATACACTTCAAAGACTAAAAAACAGTTTCCGAATTGAGAACAACACAAACGTTTAGACCAATACCGAGATATTGAAGCCAGTCGTAAAGGTCGTGCAAAAGCCGGTGGTGGTAGAAGAACAGCCCGGACCGTCTCACCGACATGCGCCCAGGCCGACGACCTCCCAGAGGCAGCCGGAGGGCGCAAAGGAGAAGCCAAAGTCCGGAAGATCCGGCAAAAGACCGTCGCGAAAGCGCCAGATTATCATCCTGAAGGAGGTCAAGCTCCGCCGTACGCCGAAACGGCCTCCCGTCACTGTCAAGCGCCCGCCGGCCAAGAAACCACCTCGATTGGCGTGGAGTGACCTGCTTGAGGGTGATGATGAAGAAGAGCCAGGCGATGGTCAACAACCGTAAGTTGCAAACTTTATTGATTGTTGAGCCAAGAATCTTTTGGTATTAATTTGTTGATTACAGATCGACATCACAAGCTGCGCAGGTGTTTTCCGGGATTCTCTATCAGGGTGGTACGTTTCTTTAACTTAATTTGTACATAAGTTTTGTAGATACGCCTCCCGATGAGGAGTTCTTCACCAATGGTTATTCTAACGAGGTTTTTGGATGCGTACGCTGCTATGTAGGTCTATTTACGATTTTTATAGTTTTAGTCGGAATACCACATTAAACAAGATTGATTTACAGGACTGCGGTACACACTTCAACCGCAATGTCATTCACATCCATGCCCCATCGCCCGATTCTGGAGACTCCGGGGTGAGTAACAACCCAAAAAAGCACCACCTCTCTCTCAGATGTCGATAGCCGAACTGTCGGAGAACTACGTCAAGGAGGCGGTGCCGATGAAATCGGCGCTGAAGAAGAAGCCCGACAAGGACGCGCCCGAGAAGCCAAAGTGCAAGAAGGCGACCGTCTTCCTGACGCCGCCGCCCGAGCGAGAGGCCGCTGCCCCGGCGCCCAAGAGCAAGAAAAGTTCACCGGCAAAGGTGAGATGCGGTTAAAAGATTATTGTTTTCTTAGGAACGGCATAAGCCTTCTCCACCTTCGACCTCGGCGGCCGACAGGGAGCTGCAGCGAGCCACCTCAAAAATCGAGCGCGCAAAGGCGAAATATCAGAATTATTTGGAGGCTAAGTAAGCGATGCAGTTTTTTGTTAAAATTGTTTTATTAGGGCATCGGCACCTACTGGCGACAGTCCGGAGCTGCCTACATCATCGCCGGTTCCACAGGGGGCATCTCCAGAGCAGCTGAAAGTAAAATTGAGAATATTATTGTCGAAATATCATATGAATAGCTTGGGAAATGTTTATTATTGCTTATTAATTAAGTTAGAAACTATGTACTAGAGAATCAAATGTCTCAAAAATCCTAAAAACTATATTTTTCAGCTCACGGATCACATCTTCAACCCAAGGGACCCGGATTTGCCTTCTTTGGAGGAACTGGTACGTCTATATTATACTTTATTAAATTTTATATAGTATAGCTTTATATAACGCTTAAAATACCTACTTTTAGAATCGACAACGCCTCAGCAACGAAACTATCAGCGACCGCACCTCGCCCCTAATCGACCCCGACGATGCGTCAACCCCGAAAAATGGAGCCCCGAAATCCGTGGACTCAACGTAGGCCCATCCCCGCTATCCCCTTTCATCCATCTGTTTTGTTTAGTACGTCTAGCCTGAGGACGCTGATGCGCATAGGAGATTTTGTCAAAAGTCTCTTCCCCGCTGAAAAAAAGTTGGTTCTATTAACTTCTAACGCTGTCTTGACTGCACCCTGTCTAGCAGCTTTACTCTGTACTCAGGAAATAGGCGGAGTTTTTTTTTTGAGAAATGTGGCGGGATTTTTTATGTCAAAAATCCGGACAAGGAGTGGTTTTTGGGTGATGGTGGTGTGTGTGGCAAAGCTGATTTGTTAGAGCTACAAATTCCGAACAAATCCCAGCTGTAAAAAAACTGCGGAACAAAAACCGTCTTTCATATTTTCTAAAGCCCTCGCTTAACAAAAGTCTGAATTTGAAAAGCTTTTTTCTCTAAGCCCGTCGCTTTTTTCAAGCTGTATCAAATGAGCTTTACAGCCTCATCTAAAACTCCTTCTAAGCCTACTATTCTCAAAAAAACCGCGTTGGTCCATCACCAAACATCCTCCCTTTTTACTAAAACCCACTTCCAGAGCACGAAGGCCCATCTACGATGAAAATAATGTCGGCAGCACACCAAATCCAACCGAGAACAACTCCCTGGCTTCTGATCGAGATCGCGCATCTGATGACGGAAGTGAAGCGTCCATCAGCCGATCCCGGACCCGCAACCAAATCCAACAGCAGCGCGTCGATCGGGGCATCATCGAGCGCGTGCCCGAAATTCTGGCGAATTTGGCCCAGCAGCGGGCCACCGAGGAGGACGATGAGGAAAGAGAACGTCAGCGAGAAGCTCAGACCAATGAGCCAATGCCATTGGCTGCACAGCAATCCGCAGAACGGGTCATTGTACACAAGCGGAAACGGGATCAGTCTAGCGATGAGGAGGTGATAGATGTGACGTCGACATCGCCTGAGCCCGTCCGGGCTCGCCAAGTCGAGATGGTGGTCGAGCACGCGCCAAAAAGAAGTCGAAGGCGGGTAGAGAATTCGGGGCCCTCGCCAGGGCCTTTCCGCACAAAAGCTGAGATGAAGCAGCTGCCGCCGCCACAGAAGAAATCCGTCTATGATTTGCCGCCGATTCGTTTTGATGTAGGTTAATCAACGTGTAGTTTACTAGAATGGCACGTGTTACGTGGTCCAATTTCGACTCAGAGGCTCGATCCAGATTAATCAAAACTTTTTTATTTTTTCCAGGAAATTGGACTTTTGAGCTCCCTCTAAAAACCCGCAATTTCAGGAGGATGATGATTCGCGCGACAGCAACAGCACAATGCCCATGTATGAGACGCCGTACATCGAGCTGCAACAACTCGACGAGCAGGCCCCTCCACCTCTCGAGCAGCCCGCCACAAAGATCGCCTCGGACTCCTCGTCAGGCTTCGCCTCTGGTGGGCTGGTCGAAGGTTAATTTTTGTCGTGTTGTGCAGACGTTTCGACCTGTTTTTCACATTTCATCAAGAACCCCTCGATTCAGATGACAACGACGAGGCAATGCCGATATTATTCGCGCAAACGTACGACGACTCTGCGCAATTGCCGCGTCTTGAACGACCTGAGACTCCACCGACAGTTGGGGATGCCCTGAACGAGCCGATGACGTCGACCGCCTTCCAACCCATCATCAGGGTCCCGCCACGGCATTTACACTTGGGGGTAATAATTCCAAATCATCATCTTTTTAAGAAACAGAGATGGCGTGGAAAGTGCTAGTTTATTAGCGGGCTGCTTTTCTTTATAAAAACAGTGCAATTTCACCTATTACGCTCCTTTTAGAGAAAAAGTTCTTCTAACATTTCTTAGTACTTTTTGTTAATCTGAAACGACTAAAAACTATATTTAACTTCGTTCTCAATTTATTTTATGTATTTAGCAAGCGCCGTACATTGCCGTACCAAAGTTACAACAGAAGCCGGCGGCAGCAACGAGGGTACGAGCGACGAATCGGCAGCCAGCGTATGGATTTTCTTCTAGTGAAAAAATTTTGGTTTAGGAAGCCCAAAGCTGCGCCTCGCACGATCACCCAACAACTCGCCGCCCAAGCGACCCACCAAATCCATCAACCCGTGGCGATGCACCACGCGGCCCCGGTCATCCAGAAGCCCAGCCCGATCCACCCGCACCAGCAACATCAACTTCAGCAACAGCGGGCTCTTCAGCAGGTAGGCGAGCATGTGAAATACAGAATACCTAAAATCGTGGGGCAATCGATAACTACTAGATATAAGTAGGAACGTAATAACGACGTTTTGGTCAGTTTTTAGTAAAATTTAGCTATATTTCAAGTGGAAAACCGGTTTAGAAACCTAATTTTTGTCGGAAATCGGCGTTTTTGTTAATTTACAAAGTTTACGTTTAGGACGAGTGAAAAATATCATATAAACACTCCTTACATGTAATAGAAAAATGTCATTCTAAGGAAAACATGCCCCCGGAAAATGTTAAAAAACCAAAGACTAACAATAGTGAAAATAATGACAATAGGTTTTTCAGGTGAACAACGGGCAACCCTTCTTCCAAGCGCCCACTGTATTCCGGACAGCAAATCGGATGGCTGCACCAACAAGTAAGTACCAAAAACCAAAACTAAAAGACATTGTTTTTTCAGCTCAACCCCTCCACATCCCGATGAGCCGCCCTCACTCCGTCCTCGCCCAACAGCTCAGCCGTCCCTCCTCCGTCATGCAGGCTCAAATGATGGAACGTCAAAACCCAACGATGACCACTCATGCCATCCCCTCTAATCGTCCCCCCTCGGTGTTGCCCCATCAGATGGTGGAACGCCCCGGATCGGCGATGGCTACGCATCTAATGACCGTGAACCGACCATCCGCCGTACTCCCACATCAACTGCCCGGCCATCGACCTGGCTCCGTCATGGGCCATCCCTATCATCAACATCTACTCCCCGTCAGCCGGCCCACCTCCACCATGATGTCCCCACAACATCAGCATCAACAGACTGCACATAATATGCATCAGCGTGCACCCGCCGTATCCCCTCAAAGTCATGTGCAGAGGATACGGGTCATAGGGAAAGATGGTCAGGAATTCCGGCATGACATTCCGCCCGCAACGCCGCGACTGCAAAACGTCCACGCTGGCCCGATGGTGGGTGATTTTTAATGGTTTTATTTCGAAAATAGCCAGTTAAAACCGTTTTAAACGCTCTTTTTAGCAAATGGTACAACAGCCACGACTTCAGCCACCGGTCACCAACATGATGCCGATCAGCCAACCCGTGCCACAACAACAACAGCCACAACAGCAGCACGCCCCGACGGCAATCCCTGCAAACCATTATTTTTGTAAGTTCCACTCATCCAAAACACTCAATTTCCGCTTTTTAGATCTCCCTGACCAATTCGGCTTCCAGCCGCCAGGAATGCATTGGCCGGCATTCACCCAAGATTTTGCCGGTCCACAATCGGTACCTATCACTTGAACAATCCTTTAAAATACTTTTAGGGTATCCTCACGGCACCCACAGCTCGTCTATTACAGGAACCGGTACCGGTGCGCCAGGAATAGGCCCCACCACCGCCGATCCATCCCATTTTATGGGTCCAAGATTCTGTGATCACTAGCCATCATGACATAGCTTTGGCCGCTACTTACCCGGCGCAATACACCACCATCCCTTCTTTCCATACATATCTGCTGTATTTGTTGTACTTTATAAATCCCCCTGTAGTTGCCATTTCAATCAATTTAACAATATCCCGTGGGTGCCCGCGAATTCCATGCTAATCTTTCACCACCCTGACTTTCATCATATACGGCTTTTCCCCCGTCCCCCTTCTAGAGCTCATTTGCGAATGGGATAAACGTTCCCCGTACCACAAATTTTGATGATGGGTTTGGCGTGTTTTTATTTAGACAAAATTGGGTTCGCTTCGAGATCGGTATTTGCTTTCTTCTTCTTCTTCAAATGCCTTACAGGTAAACCGTTGGGGAACAATTTAATGCTGTGATTTCTCCGAGCTTGAGCCGGGAAACAAGTAGAAGGCTCGATTTTAGATTTAGCCCTCTAAAACTCACTAATTAACTTTTAACCAAAATGAAGCCATTTTCCTACAAAAACAATATCGATCCCCCTACCCGCTTACGAGCTTCCCCCTATCCCCCGTTTGGCTTTATACCCCACCACCCTTTGTAAATTTCACATTGTAGCACATACACGGCCGTCTGTCTTAGCAACCGATACTGGTGCATCATATGATTTGTGCATAAACTATCATCGTCGTTTTGAAATAAAGGTTGATTACGTCTTGCTTTCCTATACGAACAGATTTACCGCCTTACTGCTGGCAACGATTTTCTGGACTGTTGATGCGTGATTGTGCAAAGTCTGCTCAAGGGTAATTCTTTGCGCAAGATGTTCTATATTAGTGTTGCAACGGGACATCTGTTTATTATGAAACTATAGCCGTGATGTTGCCAATTTGCGCATATAATCCAGCGCCAATGCCGCGTTTTCGTCACTGACCACCGTTGAGCTGAAATTTATTATCATTTATCGTAAAAAAGCATTAATTTTAATATATTGATTTTTTTATCAGTACCCGTTTACGTTAGTTTACTAATTACGTCATTGGTCGCTAAGCGTACTTGCTTTTGCCAATAAAATTTGTAGCGTACGTTTCATCCCCCGCTTTTTCTTTTTGTATTTTTCGAAAGTTCTTATTCTTTGCTCCTTATCCTGGCTTCTTTACGTGCTAATAGAACTATTTTCAGGCTGCCCTACGCCTCTTGGTGCAACTCCAAGGAATTCAAATAGGAGTGCGAAGGTGGGATTCATTTTTGTAACACTTTATACATTATCTTCTTTTAGATGGATCGCCTGACCCGGAAGCAACAGGACTGCTTGCAAAACTTCATCGGGTTCACGAATGCTGATAAGGAGACGGCGATGGCTTGCTTGATGAACAACCAATGGCATGTCGAGCGGGCCGCCGATTATTATTACCAAAACGTCGGCACCTTGACGCGACAGCTTCGCCAGACCGGACGCCCGGGAGGTTCGCCAGGGAAGGAACTTTTCCAAAAGTACGCCAACAAGCCCCAGGATGGACTTGGACCCGAACGCATTGGCCCGCATGGCGTCACGGACCTGCTCCATGATCTGCGGTTGGAAGCGACAAACCGGCGTGTCCTGATCCTCGCCTGGGTTATGAAAGCGAAAACGCAGTGCGAATTCAGTCAAGACGAGTGGCTGACCGGCTTCTCGGAAATGAACATCACGACAATCAACGAGCTCGCTGCGTATCTGGGCAAATTGGACAAGGAGATGGAGACGGATCGGTCCAAATATCGGCAACTCTACCAATTCGCCTTTGTTTATGGCAAACCGGAGCGGCAGCGCAGCATGGAAACAGATACGGCGCTTGCCTATTGGCACATCCTGTTCCACGACCGTTACGTGCTCTTCGATCAGTTCGAGCGATATTTGAAGGAAAGGGACACCAAGGTCATCACTCGAGATGTTTGGAACCTGGTATTCGAGTTCCTGGAGAAGATTAACCCGGATCTCTCTAACTACGATGATGATGGCGCCTGGCCGACCCTGCTCGACAATTTCGTCGATTATTTGCGAAATGAGCGCGCCGCTGCCGCCTGAATTCGATGCCCGATGCTTCCTCATTTGATCTGCTCCTCAATGTGCTCTCGGTGAGCTTTTTGCCTTTTTGATTTGTCATTCAATCGTGGTATTCGCAAGGGCTGTACATTTTCGGGGATTTGGCACTAACTTTAACGAATCCGCTTACGGGCCCTGTATAAAGTCCCCTTCCCTCAAATGTACTGTCTTTGTTAGCGCTTCCGGGTATTCGGGTGTCCGCCCGTCAGCGGATTTTTTCTTCCTTTCTTGTCCCTTATCCTGGTTAGCATTGCCTTCGGCTCCCATTGGCGAACTATTCTCGACCGAAAAAGGTTTCATAAATTTTTCTTATTCTAACTTCAAACGTAGAATAGTTCACCATATGGGAGTGCCTGATTTCCGTTACTTTAGCCTAAAATGTTTGTTGTTCGTGCCAAAAATATAGTGATGTTATTATCAAATTGTCCCCAAACATTCAGCTCATTGGAATGCGCAAATAAATAAAACTAAATATACTTGTTTGACCTACCAAGTGCACCAGTAACATGTAAGCAACGCCAATTCCGGGTGATACAGTGGTAATATATAGGAAAATAGATTTAGTAGAAAAAGGCAAAGCAGTTGATTGACCTAAAATCGATATAAATGGTTTAGTAGTTTGTTCTTACATTGTGAGTTCGCACTTCCTCGTTGTAGGTGGTCCCATCCGTTTTTAATAGCTTCGATAGCTCAGCTTCGCTCATAATTTGGTCGTAGCCCTTCATATGAGAATCGAGCAGGCAGAGTAATTGGCCTATATTCAGCTCTTTGATGCGATGCTCAATGTTTCTCAAATCCATCCCATTTCGCTCGGCGTCGATTAGCCAATCCGAAAAACTTTTAAAGCTCTTCCGGTCCAGAAGCCCGACAATTAGTGCCATCATCGAATTTTCGTCAATCCTGATTGTTTATTAGCCATGATCTTGCTTGTTTCACCTGACGGCTTTTCGTTCGCCAAGCCGGAACTCGAACGAGGAACCAGATGTGGACACGGCGATTCCGAAGCGAGATTGTTCGTAAAAGCGGTTCAAAAGTTCCAAGGCTGTCACCGAAACCATCTGAAATTATTTCAGCCGCTGAAGGTTAGGTGCCCCTATACCTTTGGTAAATGAGAATAGCAGCGTATCTGCCTTGGTTCGAGGACCTTTCTTTGCATTTCCAGCACCTCTTCGACCCCATCGTAACCCTTAGCAGCTATTGGTAGCAGGGTGTGGCCCGTAATTTGGGCGCCCATCGCATTTAGCAACGCGATTTGGGGGTGACTTTGGACGGATTGTGCTCTAAAATTTTCGCTATGAGTTTTCGAAATTCATTCATTAGCTTTGCGTTAGTTTCTTTTGTTCTCCATTCTCCGACCTAATCTGTCGCACGCTTCGGACAGCATTTGCAGGGCGTTGGCCGTCCCGATAGACTAGGATGGCCGCGGCGACCATCCCAGTTCGCCCGTGACCCGCATGGCAATGAATCGCAATCTTCCCTAGAAAGAAGGCGCGTCCTGCTGCACTGAGATTCCCACACTAACCCAGTGAAAGCTGGTAGGTGGCCACCTGGACGATGTCTAGGATTGTGTTTGTGGTGCACGCTTCGAAGTCGGGCAGTGGGTAGTTGAAATAGGAAACTGGAATTTTAAAGGGGTCGTAGCCGAGTTTTAGGCCTACTTTTGTTCTTCATAAACCATTCTGGATCGTATGTGAACCCAGACGCCAAAATTCCGGGTCCGCAATGGGCATGTTCGCCTGGTTCTTCTAAATTGAACACTGCACAGATGCCTTCCCTAAAACAGGATATTGAAATAGGAATTAGCCGGTCACCTTTGGAAGTTCTCGATCAACTCGTGTTCCTCGAAATGGGCACGCAGCGGCCGGGACATGGCAAGGATTTCTGGCGTTACCCTGGGGAAAATGTTAATGTACAAAATTTGTTGGTAGCTATTTTCGGGTGGCACTGTCCCTTTAAAAGTCATCCGGGGCACCCAAAAACAAATACATGCTTTAGAATCTCGCTTACCAGTCCGAGTAGAGGCTTAGGATGGCCTGGTTGGGCAGGCTAGCATCTCTTGGCACGCAGTATTTGCATGTTGGGCCATGGCAGTACATGCGACATTTTAGGTCACCGGGCGTAGCTTTGATTATTGCGGTCCGGAGGAGGGAATACGTTGGTTTGGCTGAAAATTTGGGTTTCGAGCGGTGGATGGGGTGTCTGGCTAGACAGCGCGACTCGATCTCCCGCTCTAACCGGCCGGAAAATTATTACCCCCCTATTAAATTCGATATCAGTATCCATTTAAGCCATTGCAAACCTTCACAGAAAATTGTAAAAATCCAACAAATTAGCTAGCTGACCCCGATCCATTGGAATTTGGCTCATCGCCGCTTCTAATATTCAAGGGTTTCAGCTGGCCAGCAACTTCACCGCTAAATATAGGGCATTCAGAGATTAGTGTAGTAATCAGGGGATATGGCTCGAATCCAATGGGATAATTCCGGAGACGCCGTCTTCAGGCCCCACTTTCTTCTACCCTTCACCCCCTTTCGGCACGTCGTCATGGCAATGTTTTTTGTGGACTTCGCTCGGGTGCTCTGAAACGGAAATGCTCTCCTTTTTCGGCCCCAATATACCGAACCTTGAAGCCGAGAGTTCATTGTTAGAGTATCAGCCTGAAATAGATATCCGTGTGTGCAAAATCGTGTAGGGAACGTTAGACTTTATCAACACAATCGTGTTTAGCTATTGAAAACGTATAAATGCGAACCGTAAGAAAAGGAGTGGGGGAACCGGTATTACAAAGAAGGGGCCATGGAAAGTAAGCAAACGTCTCAACAAGGAACAAGTGACGGTGCTACGGGGGTGTTCATTTTCTAACAAAGTTCTGCTAACTTTTGAACAAATGGTTTAGATCCCGCGATAGACAATTCGATAGGCCATGAGCAATTGGGGGGGGAATTAGAATAAAAACGGTGTCGGACCATCGAGCGCAACCCGACAAACATAGACAACTTGGCTGAAACCGTCAATTCCATATTTTTCATTTTGTGAGTACTTTTCGCGCCGCAATGGCGAACGCTTTGCGTCGGAATTCGTTTGCTGGGCGCAAGCTGTTTGTCTAATAAGGAGTGCAACGAGTAGGGAAAAGGAATGGGGAGAGCAATTAGGGGGTTAGATAAATTGAATATTCTATCCGAAAATGAAAGAGGCTAGATGGGGGAGACGTCCGACATTGGAGGGGCATTGGCTATTGCCTTTCCGGTCCTGAATTAAAGGGCGAAGGCTTGGAAGATAGCCATCACACCAGCGGAGAGCAGACCTAGAAATGGGATTTGCTGAAAAAATGCTGCATAACGATACCTGCAACGGGCAGGGTGACGAGCCAGGACAGTGTGATATTCCTGAAGGTGTGCCAATGAACGGGATGGCTCGCTTGAACCAGTCCGACAGCCACAACGGCACCGACCTGAAAGAGACTTGTCTAAAGCAACCCACAAAGTTGCTCACCTTGCATTGGGTGGAAGAGATAGGAATGCCGAATTTCGAAGCAATCAACACCGTGACGGCGGCACCGAATTCGATGGCGAATCCACTGGCCGGGGTGATCTTGGTGAGGTTCTCGCCAACGGTGTAGATGACACGATGTCCGAGCAGCCACAGGCCGAGGCACATTCCACCAGCGCCATACAACAGCCAGTACCTAAAATAATGTGTGTTTTTGTGATGGAGAAGGAGAGAATAGGATTTGCAACTCAGTCTTTCATAAAAAGTTTACCATGGTGTCGTGCCGATCTGGGTAGACGAGCCCTCGATATAAATGGCGTGCAGTGAAACGAGTGGTGCGATGGCGTTGCTGACATCATTTCCACCATGGGCAAAACCGCCAAAGCAGGCAGTGGTGATCTGGAGCAGCGAGAAGAGATGCGAAACCGATGGATCCTCGGGCTTGTTGCTGCGGAAGAACGCCTCCACCGATGAAGCCGGAGCCACAGAGTTTTGGCCTGGAACTGTTGAGATTGAGAACAGAATGGTTAATTTTACCATGAATATTGCCGGATGTAACAGGCTCTGTCTTGACGGCTGTTGGATTGCCATTAATTTGTAGGCCACTTTCCGAGACACCATTTTCGTAAGCGAGCAGTCCTTGCGGTGGTGGGGTGCCTAAATACGGTACATTTGTCAAAAGGACATTTGCTACTTGAGGCCAAGGGGCCCAGCTCGACCAGATGCGCGCTCGAAGAGCTAGCTAAACGGAAGAGTGCGGGCTTGGAAAAGGGCTTACCGAGCAGTTGCTTACGCAGACGCGGCACGTAGAAAAACGTTAGAAGCAGTGAGATCACCGCACTGGCCGCAATCGAAACCAGCAGGCAATGCAAAGCGGATACGTGCTCGAGACCGAATGCTATAAAAAATAGACTTATGCGGAAAACAAACGGCTACCTTTGCCCTCATAAATAACAGCAAAAATATTGACAGTCATGCAAACCCCGTAGATCCATGGCAACGCATGGAATCCAGCTTGTAGAGGGCGCTTCTAAAAATAATTGTCATCAGGGAAAGCTAAACGTACACGGCGCAGGATTAGATGATCGATTATCACATAGAAGAAGACAGCCGTCAAGCCAGCGAATAAGGGTGAGACCACCCAGGAGGCAACTAAAGAAACTGGTTGAGAGAAAAACACTGGAGACGCACAAATTCGCAGGATCTGTTCGACGCGGATCCCGGCCTTTCCACGGAGCAGTAGAGAGAACCCGATGGTGGCACCGACAATTGAATGTGTCGTGGAGACGGGCAGCTTGAAGAAGGTCGCGAGTAACATCCAGGCACCACAACCTGAAATTAAAAAAGCTTTTCTATTTCTTCCCTCGATTTCCAGACCGTACCTAACTCAGGACCCGGACCAATTTTTTGCACCTGTCACTGTCTACTAAATTGCATTTTCCAAAAATAGCTGTTCATCGAGCGGTTCAGTTCGCAGGTGGAAAGTGCGTCTACGTTAGTGCAAACAGAAAGAGCGCCCACATGAAATCAGCCAGCCCCCAATTATTTACTTGTCACTTTGGCGCCATCGTCTAATCGAATCCATCAAGCCTCTCAAGCCCGAATTTTGTCACCGATTTTTCGCCGAGAAATTCATAACACAGAGTTCCTTTTAATCGGGCCTGTTTTGTCTCCCGGGCAATTAATAGAGGGCTGGAGCGTTTTTAATCAGCGAGATCAAAAAGATAAAGTGCTTGGCTTTGCGTCTTCTGTCCCAATGTGAAAATGTCCCTGTCAAATTGGCAAAATTACCAGTGAGTACGGAGATCTGTCCGAGCATGAGCTCCTTCTCGGCTCCGCTGTAAATCTCGGGATCGATGACTCCTTTCCGCATTGTGTCCGTGACGCTGTGACCTGGAACGAGGCACCCGTCTCTCAGCTGTCTCAGGGCCCCGCGGGCGACGGCTGGCAATACGCCACAAAACACCAACCTAGCAGTACGGCACCCAGCGTTTCGAAGATACTGGCCAACACGTACGCGGTGTAGAGGGTTACCACCTATAGTCAGGTGTCAAGAATAAGGCAAAAATAGGATACCTTGCTACCGACACTCGTACCAAATGAGTTAGCCGTATCGTTGGCGCCAATAGCGAAGGCGAGGATGAAAGCGATGATGGCGCCGCCGACGAGGAAGGGCAACATCATGGACTGGAAGCCCTCCAATGGGGCCATGGTCACAAGGGCTGACTCCTGAAAATAAATTCAGTAAAATAAAAAGATTAAATGCATTAAACGCTTTGAAAAAAGACTTACCGACATCCTTCACCGGAATAGCGCGGTATTCCTCTCCGAAGACAAGCGGTGGCTGTGGGCTGTGTTCGCGAATGGGTGGACACCCGCGGGGTGTGGATGCGAGTGGCGACGACCAGTTGAAAGATTTTCGCGGCACTGAAAACCGAGTGTTGTGGCGGCTTGAAACAAGTGAGCACTTCCGAAACGAAGCTCAGTGGGCGGCGAAGAGATAAGGAGATGTGATCACGGGGACAATGGGAAAACAATGCGTCAAGAAGCGATATGGAGATAAAGCCTGGGACCGGAAGGAATGGAGGAGCCTTACCAGCAATGTCCGGCGGCAAAAAGGCCGATTGGCGACGGGGTCTGCGCCAACTGACGTAGCTGGAGGGGCAGATTGGCGGAGGGGAGGCCGAACAGCCTGGGTCCAATGGCAGAAACCGATTCGCCAATCACTAACCAACTGGAGAGGAAATGATTTCTTGGGCATTTCCGGGGGGGAGACAAAATGTTTGCCGTCGGATCGAATCTTTCAATAAAAAGAATGGAAGTTTTTCTAAACTGTTTTTACTATTTCTAAACGCAAGAAGTCTGCAAATTTTCGTACAAAATCCGAGAAATCTACATTTTTCGACCAAACAGTGCAGATTAGACAACTTCTTACGTTTTCCAAATAGCTTTTGCACTAAATGAGCCGCCCAATTTGTGCAGACCGTTTTATCGCCCATACGCCACTGGCCGTGTTTTTTAACCAGCTAAGGCTTGATGTCATATTCCGGAAAAAGTGAAGCTTTTGAAGGGCCAAGCCGTCCAGCCGTCCATCTCGCGCACACAAAAGCCCCCAATTTTCCCCCCAAAAGCCTCGGCTACGCAATGGATAGGGCGTGGCGGCGAAGGGTCATGATGGAGAATCATTTATTTTCCACCCCAAACCCAAGTAATCGTCGTCGGCGCCAAAGCGCCCGCGGAAATGATGGGAGACTAGAAAGATCTGCATTACATAAATAACAAAGCCGTTTGCCATAGTTTAACGGTGGGAAAGAAGAGGGCACCACAGTATCCCCGCCCAAAACAGTGCCAAAAGAGGCGGTGCGGGCTTTTCGAATGTGGACCATCGCTGACTCATCGGCCCCGCGAAGCCAATCCAATCATCGCGACTGTCTGGCCGTCGAAAAGCCATGAGAAGATCAGAGGGCAAGCCGTCCGCCGATGGCCGTTACAGATAGCGGTCGGCGGAAACCGCCGCCAATGGCCATTCAAAATGGCCGAACTGCCATCGGAAGGACGATGGTTTTGCCGATGGTTTTGCCCAAGGACAGTTGTCTAGGGGGATTGATCTGTTTACAGGCACGTCCAAAACCCAGCTGGCCTCTGGGACGGGCATAAGGGAAAATGGTATTTCGTCAGACGTAAGAACGGCTTGGGCCAACATCGGAAAGGGTTGCCGCGAATTCCCCCAATTCGGCCCCAAACCCACCAGAACGCGGGGAAAATCAAATCAGCCAGACTCCTCGAAATTTTCGAGGGATTTTACATCGAGGGAGGAGTGGGAGCATCAAAAAAAAAAGAAAATATCGCGAAAATGATTCCGGCGGCCCACAAGCCGTTTTTAGCGTTGTGAGGCTTCGAGAGGACCATCTGAATCTTTGTAGAATTTTGGGTGGATCCAGAATTTTCGAAAAAGCCGTCTGGGAAGTGCAAAACTATTTTAAGTAAAAGATAATCTGAGCTTCTTTGGGGGCTTTTGGCACTAAAACTCTCAAATTAACTATCCTCTAAATATCAAACAACAAGGTGCAAAAAATTCTGAATTTTCTACCAAGGTGGTCCCGTAAGAAAACAGAAAATATATGAACCCGCTAGTGACAAAATTTGGCGAAAACACCACTGGAAAAGGTGCTATTTGCTTCGCCATAGCAATAACACCTCAAAAACCCAAAAATCCTGCGATTTCATCATGTCTAAAAAACGAGGAAAATAAGGAGAACCGGGGGGAACCCTAGGGCGCCGAATCGGGCGGGTGGTACTGTAACATTGCCCGTGCCGACCCTATTCCGCCCGTTTCGCGGGGATCGGCACGCAGAAAGCGGCGCGGGGGAAAGCGCGCGAATGAGGAGGAGCTGGTGGAAGGAGGGGGACCGCTGCGGGGGGAGTTTTCAGGCCTTTTTGGTGACGGGCCACGGCTGGGATATTGGGGGGCTTGTCGCGGACAGAAGGGAGGAGGGGCCCAAGCCCTCTACCCTCACCCTCTACACTCTCATCCACCCGGGCTTCTCCTCTGTCTCGCCCATTTTGAACACTCACCACAGCAGGGGAGAGGACCTCTTTTCCTCCCCTCTAGCCTCCACGACCCTCTCAGCCCCCCAACCACATCAAATTCATTTATGAGAGGAGGAGGTGATGAAACGGGGCCAAGAGACCAGGGGACATTTAGAAAACGTTCAGGGGGAAGCCAAAATAGCACCGGAAAAATCGGGCTTCGAGGGGACTGGGCAAAATCGCGAGGTGCCAAAGTTTATGAAATGGGCAAAATTTTAGTAGGAGGTCCGTGGATAACATTTTAAAGCTAAAAAGGCTAAGAATAAGAATAAATCCTACTTTCCAAAAATAAAATTTTGAAAAAATCCCATTTTCACCCCACTTTCCCTAATAACAAAAAAATATCTTATGAATCGAAAATCCCCGTGTCGTCCCCGACGGCAAAATGAGATTCTGGCCGCTGGGGGCCCCGAATAAGAGAAAGAAAATGAGACGCGCCCAGTAGGGGGGAATCTGCCCCGCGGGGGTGGACCAGGCCATAAAAAAGCAAGGGGGCCCCCTCGAGGGCAAAAAGGGTCTTTTCGAAATGCCCGCGTCGGGGCGAGCCCATTCTCCTCGTTGAGCCTGGTTTCCTTTAATATATTTCCTGGACATCCATAGCCCGGATGTGTCGGTTATATTGGGGGCGGCACAGGGCCCCGGTAGAGAATAATGGCCTGTAAAAGCGGTGCGGACAAGCTGCCAAAAACAAGCTGCTTCAACGGATCGGCCCGACCGTTTCGTGACTGTTTATCGGAATACCGAAACGGATCAGGAATTTCGACAAGTCCAGTCAATGACAAGCCTAGTTTGATAGTTCGGGCCTTGTCATTGACTGGATTCAGAATCTAGACATGCTATTCTAGGTACTAGACTGTTAGCAGGGGTGGGGGTGGTTTAGCAAGAGAGAAAACTACCTTTTCCTTGTGATCCTGCAAAGTCATAAGAGCAAAATATAAACTATTTTTGTAGCATTTTACACATTTTTAGATATAAAAAGCTTAAAATATTTTTTGTAACTTTGTCGCAAAGAAAAACTGCTAAAAACATTATCACAACACACTATTTATTATTAACAGGTACGACAGACGGAGAAACAAAAATTAGTCCCCCCGCTAACAGTCCAGTACCCCATTCTCCAGAGCTGCAAAAGAGCTAGAGTTCGTTCAGCTAATCAAAATTTCGAGGTTGTAAAAATTCGAGACAAATTCGCGAATTCGAAAATTCTATATTCTGACGGCTCACCCGTTTCGCGCCTTAAATCGAGACAAATTGAGTGCGGGGGGGCTTCACGTGAAAGCGCGGGGCGCTTGAGTGCTATGCGTCTTTAGTCTTTCAGCAAACAGACGAGTGATTCGAGGCGTAGAAGAACGCCCGGGCTGAAAATTACGGAAACGGGACCGGTGAGGCATCAGTTTACCCGGGGCACAGTTCCGTAACTCGGAGAAGGTGGAGAATGAGACACAAAGAGAAAAAGATAGAAAGAATCGGGCTCAACAGCCCTGCTGTGTCTGGGGGGAAATAAGGAAAGCAAAAGGAGGGCTGACGTTCAAGCCGTGTTGGCGGGATTTTGGGGCCCAGAGAGGGCCAAGAGAGGGCCCAGACCCACCCCACACAAGCCTGGGCACCTCCGGGGAAAAAGGTCAACTCTACACCACCCGCTTCCCTCGACCCTCCTCGAGTTCGGCTCCTCCACACATGAGAAATGGAATCGATCCGTTAAAACACGACAAAACGTCATTCGGAAAAGCCTATGATACAGCTAAAAGAGTTTCAAATATTAAACTAACAGGGAGACAATAAAAAAAATTAGTTCTTGAGTATTTCCCGGGTGGCTAATTTTCCTCAGGATCCGAGTAGGAGATCGACGAAGTGCTGGAAACTATTTTTTTACAATTCTTAGAAATCAAAACAAACAAATTTTGATGAAAACTTCACAAAAATTCCGATTTTTCGACCAAAACGTCAAATTTCCATATTTTTTCGATGTTTTCTAAATGGATTTGCCATTTAAAATACTGATCAAGGTTACTTGATTAAAATACTTGTTACGCTAAAAGACTTACTTACAACGTTACTGGGCATACGTGAATCTATAGGAAAATTCTGATCCTCCCCCTGGTAATACCAAAGTTCCAAAAACACTTCATCGCGTCAAACTGCAAGAACAACGCATCCTTCAGACCCTAGAAAACTTAGATCCTACAAGCACGAGTTTCACAAACTAAATTTTGACAAGACAAAATCTCCATCTACGTAAGATGCATAAAACATCATAACTTCTAGCTTCAATGGCGAATTCTGCCCCGTCACTCGCAGCATTTTATGGGATACGGTTTGTCCTTTTATAATACTAAATTTCGCGGCTTCAGATGAGTCGCGAGAAGGCAGATCCCAGTGAGAAGCCAAAGGGCGACCTCAAATCACTGGTGGTTGAGCCGACGGAAGTGCTCTTCCCTCGCAACGCCGGCTTCAACATTGTCATCCTCAAAAACAACGGGCCGAAGGCGATCGCTTTTAAGGTATCCACATCTTGTTTCGGGGACTCTTGCTTTCTTCAGGTTGGTTCGACGGAACCGTCGACGTATCTCTGCAAGCCGAAGGCCGCCATCTTGGAGCCAAACATCTCATGCCCGCTCGAGATTGCCAGAACGCCTGGGAAAACGCAGCTAAAAGTCTGTAATTTAGGGGAAATGAATTGATTAACTGCTACTACTACGTAATTTATTTATATTATTTTACGCATAACAACAAAATTTAGGACGAGCGTCTGGTCGTGCGTTACGTCGAGATTGATGGGGATTACAACGATGAAAAAGAGATGACGAAGGCGTTCACGGTAATTACCGTACCTCCACGCGACGTCGACAAGTGATACTCTTTCAGGCGCTCCAGAAGAGCGGCAACGGCAACGTGTTCGTCATCCTGAAAACGAGGGACCCGCCCAAATAATACCCTCTACTTGAAACGCTTATTCAATTCAATGTTTATATATGAAAAACCTGATTGCCATATTAATAAAGGATATTACGATTGCCGTATTTTTCTGAAATTTTCTAGTCGGCGCTTACTGAAATCATTTTCCTCGATTTACATCGTCGATCAACATCAGCGAATACCAAGCGAACAGCAGCTTCATTTTAACAAAGATCTGCTTTCTTAATTGCTTGTGCTAGATGAAGGTATGCTTCCGAGAATGTAGCGTCCATTTTTAGCGATCGTCAAAAGAAGAATATACGGGCGGCGCCCTTTACGAGAAGACGTTGAGCAACTATTGTAAGGCTTGAGAACTTTTTGAAGTTTCAAGCTCAGCGGCCACGGATTGGCACTTCGTCGCCCAAGTGGTCCTCATCTTTGTTGCCTATCTGGCGTTCGATTGTGGCCGATGTGTCTCCAATCACTTCTTTTTCACAAAACAGGTACGATTACTGATTTCGTTCTTTATTTTTGTTCAGATGGACTCAAACTCTACGAGTTGCGCCGGGGAAATTGTGTCCAGCATCGCTAATATTCCAAGAGAGCATTGGGCCGATGATGTGCGTTGATTTAATTCTTTGAAAAAATACCCTTTCTCTTACCTCTTACCTCTTTTAGCTCACGGGCAAAACGACCAGCAAGGCCAACGTGAAACGGTTCACATCACTGACGGTTAGCTAACTTTTTGCGCCAACACAACCCAATTTTCAGATTTTCAATGTTCTATGTGCCTATGGCTCCCTGTTCTCCTTGGTATTCTATGTTGGCCGTCGGTATGCTTCTAACATCTTTACAAATCTCACTTTTTCAGACTCGGCTTCTCCTGGTACCTCTGCTGCAGCGCCTCTATCGCCGGCATGGGCTGCATCATGATCGTCATCTACAAGGTGTACTCTGTCTTGATTTCCGGCTTCTTCTTCAACCTTAGCGAAAAGGTGGAACTGTCATGCTAAAAGTAGAAGCATCTTGTAGGCCTTCCAAATTACATTGTGCGTGCTGGCAGCGGAGTGTGGGCCCCGGAAAGTTCGAGATGCTGTTATACTGGTCATCGCCGTAGCGAGCGCCCTTGGTAATTCGCCAGCCTCTGGATTGCAAGCTCTACAGCTCGCCTCTTCGCTGCTGTTCCACTGGTCATGCTCGATACAAATCGTCTGGAGTTCATTGCATTGATCGGTGGATATGCTGTTTTGATGATTGCATCTGGAATGTGAGTTATCAAGACGTTATATGAACCTCTTCAGCCTCTGCGATGACTCGATCATCTCGTTGATTTTCTGCGAAAAGCCGCTTGTCTTGACGGCAGTCATTGATAATCTCAACAAGCGGAATAGAGGTTCCGCCAAAATCCATATCTATATCAATTTTTAGGGGCCGAGGTGAATTCGGAGAAATTCTACAAGGAGATCCTCTACACTGGCATTATCATTGAACCCGCCACGACGCACGGCATCGTAGCCAAGGTATAGTTTTTCGATTTTATTTTTGTTTTGTTTCCCTAAATTCCTAACCCTCCGAAGCGCAACTTCCTAACTTTGCAGATGCTGAAGAACAGCGCCTGGATCCGCCACTATCTCTTCGTATATTTGGCTTAGTAAGCTTGATCTAGCATCTTCTTCGACCCGAAAAACCATTCAGTGTTCTTGCGCCCCGTCACCACAATGAAGAACTCCTCAGCTTCACCGCCGTCAACTTTATAGGAGTACACCCAAAAACAGTTTGTCCTTGCCCGTCACGACTTCAATGTTCTTCTCCAGGACGCCCATATGCTCGACGCGACCCTGAACGTACTTGGAGTGCTGCTTTTCGCCTCCATCTTCGCTTTGTAAGTTCGAAGAGATGGGAAAATCTTTACGAATAGGATTGGCCGGCACAGAACGGTGCATGCCGCCCTTCTCGGGCTCGTTGCGGGTCATCTTATGTTGGTGTGGCCGGCCGACCTGAAGCCCGTAGCCGGATGTGATGGCATCGAACACCCTGCCATCTTATCGTGTATGCCCTTTTTTACGATATATTGTGGACCTATATAATTGTGAGGCTACCCTCGAATTTTTAGCCACCGTCATGAACGTCATCTACTTGACCACTGAAATCGTCATGGAAGGAGCGATGAATGTATGAAAAGAAGATTCTATCCCTATCAACCCCTTTCAGATAATTTTCGCGACGACTTTCGTGGAGATTGCCGAACGCGTTCCCATCCGTCCGCGCCTCGCCGTCGTCGCCGTCGTGTTGACTTCCGCCATGCCACTACATTTCCTTCTCGCTACCCTTGAGCTGCACCTGGTAAGCGACCCAAGTCTCCCTCGGCACCAAATTCAGTCAAAAATCCACAACGGTTCGACGCTCTACTATCATGCTGGTCGCGCGATCCTTTGGGCGTTTCTTTATTTCCTCTACAATGCTTTCCGCGATGCGCCTCAGGTAAGGGCAAAAGAGTAGTCCAATTAAATATAACATAGGCAACGATTACTCTCGACGATCACTTGATTGCGTTCGGCTCTCGCAGCGGCAACAGGGAGCATTTTGTTCAGCAACAAGCGCTGCACACCGAATCTGAGGTCTTTGACGTCCAGTTGGCCCAAAGATAATTGATTTAGTTAGACCTGCACACCGCCGGGCGAGATACGGACTTGGCTCACGGATAATAATTAACCTCCCCCATTTCTCGCGTATCTATTGTGAATGCTCGTGAAACAATAAACTTTCTTTTCGCAGATGTCTGAGCACCGCAGACATACATGTTTTTTTATCAACTATAATAATTTTGCTGTGGTGTCTGTCAGTCTGTCTGTCTGAAGCCAACTATAACTCGAAGGGGAAAGGAGCCAGAGCTTAGCTCTCTTCGGATTCGGATAGAGCATGGTCAGAAACCCCTTAAATGATCAAAACATTATAAAAAAGTTTTCGTTTAAATAAAAATAATTAACTTTGAAAGTGGCGCCTTAATAAAACGAGTGGGGGCCCTCTCCCCGGGAGGCCACGCCCCCTTTCTCTTCGCCCCTGTTCCCCAGGCCCTTTCCCGCGCCCAGATGCCTTTTTTGAGTTATTTTAATACTTTTTAATATGTTTTAATTATGTTAATTCGTTATTTAAATCATTTAAAGTGTCGGGATGGAATCTAAGTAGTTTTTTAAGGGGGTTTCGTCTATGGCGGGTATCTGAAGCCATCAGGAAGGTATTTAGGTAGTTTTTGAAGGGGATTTCAGCCATGGGGCGTATCTGAAGCCATCGGGAAGGTATTTAGGTAGTTTTTGAAGGGGATTTCAGCCATGGGGGGTATCTGAAGCCATCAGGAAGGTATTTAGGTAGTTTTTGAAGGGGATTTCAGCCATGGGGGGTATCTGAAGCCATCAGGAAGGTATTTTGGTAGTTTTTGAAGGGGATTTCAGCCATGGGGGGTATCTGAAGCCAACGGGAAAGTATTTTGGTAGTTTTTGAAGGGGATTTCAGCCATGGGGGGTATCTGAAGCAATCGGGAAGGTATGTAGGTAGTTTTTGAAGGGGATTTCAGCCATGGGGGGTATCTGAAGCCATCAGGAAGGTATTTAGGTAGTTTTTGAAGGGGATTTCAGCCATGGGGGGTATCTGAAGCCATCAGGAAGGTATCTAAGTAGATTAGGTATCTAAGTTTTTGCAAGATATCGAACTTTAGGTATTTGAGGCGATCAGCGTGGGTACTGATGAAAGTAGAGATTTAATGTGGTGGCGTAGAACATGGAGGGTAGCCCGAAGGCCAGCCGATTGCAGTCGCGAAGCGGCTGTAATCGGCTGGTTTTTAAAGGGTTACCGACGGCATAGTCAATCGGTTACGCGCGGAAAAGAAAATGTCTTTGCGCCTCTCCCCTGGGCGCGCTCTCTGCCCTGTTGGCTACTTGCCAATTTGTTGATGAGGGGGGATCGACACATGCCGTCGGCAGTCCTTTAAGGAAATGTAGACGCGTAGATATTTTCTAAGTGAAAAATAGTGCCAAGAGAAAATTTTATTTTTTAAATTAAAAAACCTCCCCCGAAGCTTCCGTCAAAATACTCTCAACGTTGCAAGTCATCGCGCCTATCCTGTGTCCTATACCGTAACCATAAGGCCCGGCAGGCAAACGTCCGATTTTTCGCACAGTTTTCCAGTTCTTTTCCTCGTTGAATTTTTAAAATGACAAATAAATCAGTTGCTTACAGTCGCTCTCAATCAATGGATTCTCCCAACCATGCCGTCTTGCCCTCTCTTGACGTTTTCTGGGACCAAAGCCCTGGCCCCGACGAGCACGTTGAAGATTTCATCCCCGGTACCTTTCCCTTTTTAGCACCAATTCCAAATTTAGACCGTGAGGCCCCAATCCCGATCCACCAACTGCTTGAAACCGTGGAGGTGACGAGGCGTGGACCGGTTTCGCCATACCTGACACCAAGTATCAGCGTTTTGAAATTCGTCGTATTTTTGCACTTAGATTCGATGGTCAGCTACGGCAGCGGATCGCGTCCAACCTCTTCGCTGAGCAACCATTCCGACATGTGGAGGGAAAGGGCTCCAAAGCCTTTGGCTTCGGTTAGCGCCAACATGTTTCGGGGAAACCGTCGGCAGCGCAATTTTTGTGAAAAGGTACATTTCGTATTTGTCTCCCCTATTGATTTTTCTAGATGGATCCGCAGATGCGCCATCCAGAGTGGTTGAACCCGGCAAGTTTCGACTTGACAGAAGTACTTCATGATGGGTTGCTGGAGATGTTCGCCAAGGACAAGATAGGATGCAAGTAAGTTCAGTTTCGTCAGGTTATTCCTCTTTTTCTAGGATGCTCCAAGATAACTTCCCTTCTCCTGGCCCACTGAAGCGTGCGCTTTACCTCTACATCCGCAACACACCGGGATTGTTCTTGGTAACTACATTCTTTTATTAAAATGTGCTTCAGTCGATTTCCCGCGACGTGTTCGCCAACTTTTTTGCGCAACAGATGATCAAGAACGCTGATGAGCTCGAGATGCAGCTGTGGATCATTGGCGCGCTCGCCGGTCACATTCGTGAATTGTGCGTCAATCGCTATGCCTGCCGCGTGGTACAAGTTGCCTTCGAGGTATGATTCAATCAGCTTCCTCTATTCTTGCTTAGGTAATGCCATTGGAGCCTCGATGCGCAATGTTGGAAGAGCTTTCTCGCTCGAACTGTCTTCACATGGCCATGGATTTGAACGCGAATCATGTCGTGCAGAAGATCATGGAGGTGTTTGACCTCGATCGCTGGGCATTTATCATCGAGCAACTGGTCAACGATTGCAGCCTTTTCTTCAAGTGCATCGAAAGCAAATATGGGTGCCGCGTAGTACAACTCGCCGTCGACAAGTTGGCACAGTTCGCCGAAGATGCTGTCTTGCGGGGGCGTGCGGCCAGCAGCAGCAGTCGGGTAAGACTCTCTCCTGTGCATGATTTTGATTTTTAGGCTGCTCATGAGCTGCTCGAACGCGTGCTGGTCATCATCCATGCCAACTGTGAGCGTCTCACTTCCAACGAGTTCGCCAACTACATCGTCCAGCATGTCATCTCTGTGCCATTCCTCGAATACCATAGGAACAAAGTCATCGAAGAATGCCTTCTGTAAGATAATTTTGACTTGCGGCAATCTTTATTTAGGCAGAACATCCTGTCGTTCTCTCAAGAGAAATATGCTTCGCATGTGATCGAGAAGTGCCTTCAACACGCTTCACCGCCGTACTTGTTCCTGATGGCTGAAGAGATCTTCGATGGCTACCAACCGCATCCAGAGACGAACGAAGAATGCCTCGAGATACTGCTCTTCCATCAGTACGGAAACTACGTCATCCAGCGTCTGCTTTATATCTGCATCGACTGGTTGTCCATCGTGGAGGGAATGTGAGTTTGTTTGCCCTGATCGTTTCGTTACTTTCTGAATTTGCTATCATGACTTTTTATTCCCTTTTTTAGAAAAGAAGGAAAGTTGCTGTACCCGGAGCGCATGACGGCATGGGCTTATCGATTGGAGGAGCTGATCGACAAGAACATGACGACACTGAGCAAGTACTCTTCGGGCAAGAAAATTGCCGCCATCCTGCAAGATTATCGCCAAAAGCATCCGCGTCGCCAATGAACTGTGTAGGCTACATTTGTTGCTTGATTGTTATTCTATTTGTTATCTAATGCTTACCCGACTAACCTTCCCCGCCCCTTGCTTTCCTTCTGTGCCTTGTTACTTTGTCACTTTGTGTGTTTGTCAAATGTAAAATTGTCGTTCTAATGCTCGCTCTCACTTTTTACGATAAAGTCTTTGACTAGTCAGCTGGTTCCGACAAGGCTCGCTATTGACAGGCATATTATCGTGATCTTCGCTAGAGGTTGAGTTTGGGGATCTGTTCGACAATACAGGTGTAGTTGGCAGTTTTACGCATATGGGACTTCTCAAGCCCAGGATGTTCCCGTTTTTACTAATTTTGAGAACTAACAAATTTTGATTTTCCTGAACGAATCTTCGCTCTTGCAAATCTTTTGTCTTTCTATCTGTATGGACTCGATTTCCACGGCGCTTCAAATGACCCTCTGATGGGGAAGGTGGCTCGCAAAGAATTTTCCCAAAAAAATGCCTAGATTTTCAACAAAAATTATATTTTCCTTTTCCGCGTAGAATTATGGAATTATGTTAGAAATGTTGGCTTGTTTCAGATGTCATTGCTCAAGGTCCCTGAAGGGCGTTGGTCAAACGTCCAACTGGAGGGCATCGATTTCCAGGATGAAAATTTCGCTTCGCTAGTCTGTTTTGAGGTAATGGTGATTTATGCGCTCTAAAGCAGTTCTCAGGAATACCTTCCTGAGGGCTTCGAACCAGAACCACAGCCAAAAAAGCAAAAGAAGAAGCAAAAGGTTGTGCAGCCGACCGCTTCGACCGAAGTGACTGAAGAGGAGTCAAAGGAAGAATCAACAAGCGAAGAGAAACAAAAGAACAAGAAAAAGAAGCCGAAGAAAAAGAAAAGAAAGCTCGATGGTGTGGAAGAAACTGAAGCGCCCAAATCGAAGCAGGTAATTATAAACAACGTTTAGCGCCACCCCTGTGTATTTAGCCGAAGCTGAAGAAACCATCGTCCCTGGAAGGCACAAAAATGGAGGCCGTTGACGTGGCTGTTGAAGAGGCGTTGGGAGAAGTGCCGGACCCGGAAGTTCAAGGTTTTTTCTCCTATTGGGTGAACATTGTTTTTAGATCCGGAAACATCAGTAGCCGCAGTAAATGGATGGCATGAATTTTACCTACCGGAGGAGATTGTTCGATCATTGGCGGATATGGGGTGAGAGGAAAGTCCTTTTAAGACTTTATTGGTTTAGATTTGAGACACCAACGGAAATTCAAAGGCTTGTGCTCCCGAGCGCCGTTCGGGATCGCCTCGATATCCTCGGCGCTGCTGAAACAGTAACTTTGACTACTGCTTATTTTCTAAGCCTTCTTAGGGATCTGGAAAAACCCTTGCCTATGCTATCCCGGCGATTTGCAGACTTTTGGAGGACGGCGATGTATCAGGTTGCTGGTCAACTTCCTTTGAAACATATATTTAGATGACGAGAAGGTGGGCCCACGAGTGTTGATCCTTGCGCCGACCCGTGAATTGGTTGTTCAAGTGCGGAAACAAGTGGATCTGTTGCTGAAGAATACGAAATTCAGGGTTACTAATAATATCACCACGTATGTTCCGCTTTAGGCTATGTCTATCGTCGGCGGGTTGGCCCAGCAGAAGCAAGAGCGGCTCCTACGCAATAAGCCTGATATATTGGTTGCGACGCCGGGTCGTCTTTGGGCCCTGATTGAAGAGGTATGAAATGTTAGTGCTACGACCAGCTTTATTTAGTCTGACGCGTCCAAGTTCCTGGCGGATATGTCCATGATGCGAGCCTTGATCATCGATGAGACCGATCGTATGGTTGAGAAGGGGCATTTCGAAGAGCTCGAGCATATCTTGAATCATGTCAGAAAGTTTGTTTTTTAGTTTTTCTGGAAACCTAAGCATTTTTAGATCGGCCACCGAAAAACTGCAAACATTCGTTTTCTCGGCGACTCTGACCTACGTCCATCCAGCCCAGAAGCGAGCCGACGATAGCAAGAGCCGTGATCTGACACCTGTCGAGAAATTGAGTAGGTTTTTTATAAGTATTTTTACTAATGCTGTAATTTAGAGCGGCTGATCGAGATTACCGGTCTGCGTGACCAGCGTAAGGTGATCGATATTACACGCGAATTCGGAACGGCCGAGAAACTGGTGGAGACCCGGATGAACTGTGATGGGCTTCTGGAAAAGGCAAGTTGCCTTAACGTTCATCAATGGCTTTTTTAGGATCTCACTGTCCTCTACTTATTACACCGGTATCGCGGCAGAACATTGATTTTTACCAACTCTATTGATGCTTCTCGGTTCGTCCTCAGCCTCGTTCTCATTATTTTTTATAATTTAGACGTTTCTACGGAATTCTGACAAAGCTGAATTTCACGCCGGCACCGATGCTTCTCCATGCTCGCATGCAACAGCGACAACGTCTGAAGAATCTGGAGCGTTTTGCAGGTAAATAGTTTTTTGGGTTGGCTTATTCGGTCTTTAGAAAATCCTCACTCCGTTCTGCTCGCAACCGATGTGGCGGCTCGTGGTCTCGATATCAAGGGCATCGAGCACGTTATTCACTACCAAGTCCCAAAAACAGCCGAGGTATGCGTATGAGGGGTTTCATTATATCTTGGTCAATTCTAGATTTACATTCATCGGTCTGGTCGCACAGCACGAGCATCGCAAACCGGACTGACCGTGTTGCTAGTGGATGGCCAAGATGCAGTATTTTATCGGCGGATTTGTAAAAATCTTAATCGAGGTACGATCTATTTGAGGCTAAATATTTTCTTTTAGAAAAGGACCTACCCTTGTTCCCAATCGACGCTCCGGAACTATTCAGCGCGCTGCGCCCTCGGGTCAAGTTGGCTGCTGAACTGGACTCTATCTTGCATCGGCGGAAGAAGGTGAATTAAATTACCCATACATAAAATAGGTTTAGATAAGAAGCAAGGAAAACTGGTTCATCAAAGCAGCTGAAGAAGCGGATTTGGAATTGGACGATCTAGGGTATTGCCCCTTTGAATTGACATGCTTTCCTTTAGTTCTCGTGAATCCGAGGCAAATGAGATCCAGATCCATGAACTGGCCAGGGAAGAAAAATCGAAGCACTCCGAGTTGAGAGCGGCGCTAGCCCAACCATTGCCTTCCATCGAAAGAAAATCTTCACTGGCAAGTTTTGGTTTATAAATCCAATTAACCCGCGTTTTAGAAATCTCGCTACATCACCCCGGAGCTGTCGAAAATTTACGAAAAACAAGCGACTACTGATGCGCTAGTCACTTTGCAAGAGGAAAAAACGGTAGGCTATAATTGAATTGAGGAAGTATTGGGCTTTTAGGCGAGCGGCGACCAAAAGAAGAAGAAGCTCATGCGCAAATTGCTGAATACGAGAGACGTCACACATGTGAACAGGAAGAATCGCAAGCACAAATAGTTGTTTTTGTTTTGTTTTTGTTGGTTTTGTTGTTATTGTTGAGCATTGATAAATATTTTACGATTTGTTTTTTAGGTTTTGGACTCAGGTTTACACACCTGGAATATTGGATTGACTGTGCGTTTCTTGCTAGCAAAAGTATATTTTAGGTAATCAATGGCCGCCCACAAAACGTTCATCATCAAACGCCGGTTGGCCAAGGCCGCCAAGCAGAACCGTCCACTCCCGCAATGGGCTCGGCTGAAGACTGGCAATAAGGTGACTTCCCCTTATTCGGCATCAATTTGTCTTTGCAGATCAAGTACAACGCCAAGCGCCGTCACTGGAGGCGCACCAAGCTGAAGCTCTAAAGCCCGATGCCACTTCATGGATGTCCGTCTGTTGCTTCATGAATTTGCTCCTTGTTGATAAATCTACTCTGTTTTGTTGAGGGCTGTCAGCCGCATGTTCTCGCCGTTTATTACATTTAACACAAATTAGGTTTCTAAGTTAACAGATGTGGGCAGCCCGTTCGTCTCGTTGCACCTTCGCTTGGTTGATGAGGCTGTATGGGCCTAAACATGTTCGAATATTTGTTGGGTTGGAAGCCTTACCCCAGCGAGAGTCTGGCAGGAAGTAGTGACGGAATCTTCCTTGCGCACCAAACGCGTAGCTGGCCAGCGAGAGGTAGAAGAATATGCTGCCGAGACCCGCAGCCATCGTGTATAGAGCGAGCGTGCCCAGAGCAAATCGATTTGTCAGTGAATAGATGGTGAGGCTGAGCCAAATAATCTGAATATCTTGCTAGCGAAATTCGCGGTTTAGCCTACACAAACAAAATTTGGGGTAATGTAGGCCCAAAGCCATATGAGGTAGCGCGTAGTCCAAAATTCTCGGTACTTGCCGTACATTGTCTGTAAGTGAGGCGGGTAGAAGAATTCGTCATTTGTTGCGGACCTTTAGGTTAATCCGGAACCGTTCCGAGCCGTACACCCAGCTGACCGCCACGCATTCCATGATGGCGATTACCGGCACGATCCAAGCGACAACGAAGTTCACCCAGAATGTGGCGATATTCTAGATCAGGGCTCTGGGGTTCTGGGGCTTGAACTTACAGAGAATGCAGTGGCGCGCACTAAGCCAAGCACGATGAACGACAGGATGACCTGGTTGCAATACTTCATCGTCCACGGGCTCCCCTATTGCTTTTTGGAAATAAAGTTGCCGATTCGCACCTCACTGAACCCGGATAGATTGCGCAAGATGTGATGCAGGGTGACGAGTCGCAGGGCCATCGCAACGTACGGTATTTGGATGAGTGTGAGGATGACGGCCAAGACCACGGCCATCACCCGGAAGAGCCCAGAATACTGGACCGACTGTAAGTGCTAATAAAAAAGGCCGAAAAATTCCTCTACTCGCAGGAAAGCGAAGAAGAATGGTTGTCGCGACCATAGCCCGTCCCAGATGCCTAAAAGCGGTGGCTAGCTGGGGCGGCTTGAATCTTACGCAGCGGCACGCCCGTGTACGCCATATTGAGGGTGGGCACGACGATGCCGAATGAGAGGAGCACCAGCCCGAGGGTGATGCTGAGCATGGAGTAGGCGACACTGAAGAGAGACAAGTGATGATTCTATTGAAGCGCCCACCTAGCACCGCGGTAGTGGAACGGCATCTGCGCCGCGAATATTGTCATTGTTCCATCGCAAACACCGAGGATTTCCAGCGACTAAAAAGGGTTGTCAGATTATTCTATTTTAGTTATTTGCTACACGTATATAGGTCAACATCGTAAACTCGAATGAAAGGGTGAGGGCAAAAGGAAAGTTTTGGGCAGTAAGAAAGTATGTTTGTCGCTACTGGCTTTAAAATAACGGTAAGAGTTTACTTTACCCCCCACAGCCGAAGGGTCTCAAAGTTGTCGGTATTTTCGCTTATTTTGTCGGGATTTTTGAAACGCCATTCGATAGAGCGTCGAAAAATATACCAAGAGTTTTAATTTGAGCCTACAATCCTACCTTATATAATTTTGGAGTGTAACTGTGTGTGTGTGTGTGTGTGTGTGTGTGTGTGTGGATGTCACTTTCGAGGCCCGATTTGAGGGCCTTCCCGTGTCCAAAACGCCTCAATTCTCCGCCACCCGGGGGAATCGACCCTTCTGTTTCCGATGGCGTTCTCAGAATTTCGATAAAATACAAGTTTACAAAGTTAAAGCCGGTTTTATTGATTTTTGGGAGTCCAGGCAGGTTAATTTGCATAATGTGAAAAAATACAAATTTCCTCATTCTTGCAAGTTGCACTCGCGCGTTTGGTCGGGACAGGGAAGGGGGTCCGAAGGACCCGAGCTATCAGAAAGTCAAACTTTTCATGCAAAGGCCGCATTCCAGCGCCCAAGGCCCGCGAAGCGGGTTTTGGGCGCTGGTAATCCTACTATATATAAAAAAATAGTGTTTGTGTGTGTGTGTGTGCCACTTTGCATGCAACTTCCGTCAGCGTGTTCCAGTAGTATCTCAAGAAGGGGGGTAGTTAGGGGTATATTTTATACCTCAGTAGGTGCGTAATGATCTTGGGATGACTGCACACTAATAACATTTTCAAAAATTAGCTGTTTTCGATGTTAAAATTAAGTTTTTGTTGAAAAATCGAGAACCCTTTTTGTTAGGAAACCATTAGCATAGACCGGAAGTCACGGTAACCTATATAAGGGAAGAGGGGCCGCGTTTCTGATTTTTTGTCATCGAAAATCGCGAGAATTATGTAAAGTGAAGAATATCATGGGATCAGACCGGGCCAGGGTTGAAAAGTCGCGAAGCGGCTTTTCAACCCTGGTGTAAAATAAAAAAGTTATAGCCAAAAACTTCCGGCTGGGGGTAAAGTAAACCGTAGCCAAAATAACATTGCCACTTACATAAAACAGGGCCCACGACCACGTGGATGGATCAAGCAGCAGCAGCACATTGTTGTTGAGCCTGAAATTGGCGGGCAGACCGCCGCCACGCGTGCTCGCCTGGCCGACCACGACGATGCCGATGAGGACGGCCATGAAGGCCAACAACAGCACGAAGGATATCTGAAGAAATCGCACATAATCATACTGGCGGCCTACCACTACAGCCGTCTGCTGACGAAGATGAGCGAGGCGTAGCGACACCAGCAATATGGCCAGCAACACGAAGCAGCACTGTTGAGTAGTTATTTATATAGCTGCCGGCTCACATGTAATCCGTACTCGCCGAGGTCCTCGCGCAAGCGGATGACATGGTCCAGACGGGGCACCGGTGCGTAGTTGGTGTAGAGACGACCCTCGGATGAAGCGTAGAGGTCGGATGGCATAGAAGTGAGCTGAATATTTTTTAGGCCTTGGAACAGATTTCTATTCTAGGGGATTTATTTCAAGTCGCAAATTTCAAGAAGCTGTCTTCAACTCACATTTATGCACTTGCCCGGGACGACGGCGATCTCACCGGTTTTACATTCAAGCGCAGCAGCGCAATCTAAAAACTCGGGTAAAGTACCACATCACATCCCTTACAAATTCCACGGCCCTCGCAGGTCGGGATGATTTGCCCGCCGATGATGACGGAGAGGAGCTCGTGGAGGAGGTGGAGCATCGGGCTCGGGTCCACCCGGCATACGGCCATTCGAAGCAGACGCACGGCGAACATCAGGTAGGATACCACTGAATTATTGGTAAGCGACTAATTTTTGGTCTATTCCCATCCTTTTGACTAATCAATTCTTCGAATCGAAACAGAAAAACACTTTCTAAAATGTTTTTTACTATGCCTAACCGTAAAATCTTTACAAAATTTTATTGGACATTAGCTTTAAAAATAAATTTGTTTACAATTTTTTTTAGATGCTTTTCTACCCCAAATATGGTTCTAATCCAAGAAAACTAGCAATCTCTCCTAATACGTTACTCAAAGAAAAAAAAATAGTATTTCATGAACAGACTGGTGCCAAACCTTTAAAGAACGGCGCCAGCCTGGCGAAAACGACCACCGGATCCCGCGACGTGAACTGCCCGAGCGCCATCTCGAGCACCACCATCGGCGCGGCAACGAAGATGTAGCATAGAAGGAACGGTATCAAGAACCAATCTAAAAAAGGAGCCGTGAAAACTCAACACAACTCACAGCCGCCAAACTCGTTGGCCGCCACCGGGAGCTCGAGTAGACGCTGGGCCGAGAAGCAGCACGACCAGAAGAGCATCGTGAAGTTTAGCTAAAAACGGCCAATATTTCACGTAATTTGCCCGGATTACGAAAGACTACGCACATCTCGCATCGCATCAAAGTGCAGCACGTTTTTGGTGAATTTGACGTGCTGGAAAATAGTGATTTTAGTGTACAAAGTAGCCAACCGTTTCGGTGCCGACGGACACCCCGTCGACGTCCTCGCGGGCAAAGCGTGGCGGGCGAGTTGTCATCTCGCCCTCTTCCGTCTGCGCTGCATTGTTTGAGCTGACGTCGTCATCAACTAGGGGAAAAGATTTTCAACTGTTAAAAGAAGAATTTTAGTGTCAATTCCCAATTTTTATTATCTAAAAGCTTTTAGCCATTTTCTTAGAAGAAAACTATTCAAAACGTATGCATAGTTACGGCATATGCTAGTTACCCCCCCCCCCTCCCCCCGCTAACGGCCCAGTACTGATTATCCTACGCACCTCGATATTTCTCACGCTGCTCCCGACTGGCCATCCGTAGCGCCAGCTCCTTTTGAATCTCCAGGATTCGGCGTTGTTTCGGGTAATCCTCGATCGAGGCGCTGCTACAAATGTTCGGGTTGACAAAAAGCCACAGTAAAACTTATCGTATTCCCAAAGGTTGATAACTACGTATTTTCGTTTCTCTTTTAATTTGACCTTATCACGCGGTTCAAAGAAAAAACCCCCACTCGCCGGCAGTCGACGACGCAGCCGGCACCGATCCATCCCTCGCTTTAGCCATGCCACCCCTATAACAGCAGATGAAGCCCAACGAGGATACCACCTGATAAAAAGCGCCTAAAAATAAGTCTTTTAGGCCGTGTGTACGGTTGTGATTCTCTGTAACTAAATTTCTTACCATTTTTGCATTTAAATTTTGTTTGTAAATCACGATCAGCAGAAGCTTGAATTTGTGTCGCTCTCGAGCTTCAGAGCTATCGACATTTTATTCCTTTGGTAGCCAAATCGGTGGAGATCAACAAAACGCGAAATGAAGGAATGAGTTATACATGTATAGTTGACTAGATTCTTTAATCAGAGTCGTCCGAGTCCTCGGATCGCTGCTTTCCCTTCCGCCGTGCCTAAATCAAAATAATTTCTGTGTGATGGAAGCTTACAGTTGGTGCCGCTCCAGCAGAAAGCCTTGTATTCTCGTCATCAGCCTGAAAATCATAACTGCCATTGTTTCGGGACCTACCCGGGAATTCTCGCGACTATTCGAGTCCTCGGCGTCTTTCGTTACTTTGCTGCGCTCTGATTTTGGTACGGTGTTCGTCAGTTTTTTCCACAAATTCTCCAGAATGATGGAGTCATTGTAGATCTCGCACCCGTCAATATTGTAGCGCTATGATTGGTTTGGTGACTGGTGATGGCTGTCCGCCTACCCTCGCATTTTCACAAAGTAAGAAGACGTCATCGGCCATTTCCTCAATGCTACTGTACCTTCCGGTATCGATCTTCTTCCGAATTCGAACAAAGTCCATCGGCCTTTCGATAACCTGGCGGGAAGTTTGGTTTGTTTAGAAAAAATAGTTACGGCGTAATAGTCCGGTAGATCTCGGCGGGATGGGAGCTCGATAAAGGGTTCGGCCAGTTCCTTGCCATCACTCGTTACAAATTCTGTAGTAGCGGTGTACGCCTAAAGTAGAATTTTCCTAAAGCACCTCTGACTTCTCTTACCGTATTCAGCGCATTAATGATCTCTGCAGACGGCTTCTTCTTCTTTTTGCTTGTACCCGGTTCCTCTTCAAAGTCCTCATCTCGCTTTCTTTTTCCTCGAGATTTCTTTGGTGTTTCCATTTGTTCTTCGTCATCATCATCGTCTATAGCATCGTCGTATTGTCGAAGCCAATCCCGATCAGACATTGAGTCGATTGAGTAGTCCACCTAAATCATAAAGCCGAAATTATTGCCATACACTTTACTCTACCTGTCTCTTCCGTCGTCCCCGGCCCACATCATCGATCTGAACAGGCTGTATCCCCTCGCGCTCAATTCGTTCCATCTCGTCGAAATGTTCGGCCGCTTTCAAGATGTCTTCCGGAATCTCATTCATCTCCAGAAGACGCGGTTTTCTGAAGAACCAGTCAATCTCAACTAGCTCGTACTCACCGATGCAATTGATTAGCCTCCTCACGTCTGCGGTCGATGTCGAGATTTTGGAATAGCTGGAACTCCTCCTCGGACCTAATACCATGCTATTTCATGAAATAACGAATCGACCCACCGGCAGATCAACTGATTGATCATTTCATCATCCGGGATCTCGTCCTCATCATCATCCTCTTGCTCCTGGCTAAATTTGAAAGTCTCAAAAGATAATGAAGTAAAAACCTGATAATTTGCTCTAGGAATTCGCGTCGCTCGGCTCCGGTGGAACGCTGATTGAACTTTCCAGCCTGGATGACCTTCTCGTCGACGTTCAGCTTGTATCTGTAATTTTCAGTTGTAGCTCGCTCGAAAGCGTTACCTAGCAGCAGCGAGAATCTTTTCCTCAACCGAACAAGCGGTAATCAATCGCAACACGCGGACCTCCTTCTTTTGCCCGATTCGATGAGCTCGATCTTGCGCTTGCATGTCCTTGAAGAAACAAAAGTGGTGATTGTTAATGAGTGTTTTTTTCAAACCTGATGGGGATTCCAATCAGAATCGAAAATGATGACAGTGTCCGCTGTCTGTAGATTCAGCCCAAGACCGCCTGCCCTCGTCGACAGCATAAAGAGAAAGTATTCCGATCCTTCCGCGTTGTATTGCTAAATCAATGATTTTTGTGCTCTAGCTTTTCGAAACCTTTAGCAGATCTCCGCGCTCATCGGGCTTCGTGCTTCCATCAAGTCGCAAGTACTTCCATCCTAAAACGCCATCAACTAAATTGCGGGTCTCGACAACTACCTCTATAATTGAAAAAGTCTTCCAGAATCGTCATCAAGCTCGTCATTTGGCAGAAAATAAGACAACGATGCCCGGTAGCCTTCAATTTGGGCAGAATTCTGTCCAACAGCTCAAATTTGCCGCCAACACGGACCAGATCTTGGCTGAAGAGATAAAGCGATGAAATACATGAATGAATTTCTTACTTGGAGACCTCTTGTACTTTCCAGAAGTTTTTACAGCTGTCTTCGACGGTTTGGAAGAGGAACGGATGGTTGCACAACTTTCTAAGATGAACAACGGTGTTCATCAGCGCCCGTCCACCTTGCTAAACGAGCAAGATTTTCATTAGATCCAACCCCCCCGCCTGACACCCACCTGTTGTTTTGTGTCGATGAGCAGACCCTTTTGCATATGCTGGTACAGCACTTTTTGCAGAGCTGACATGTCGCACTTGATGACATATTCTGTCTTGTCAGGAAGCTGAGACTCGACCTGGAATTTTTGGAATAAGAAAATGAGGGGACAGCTTGCCTCCTTTTTCAGCCGGCGCAGCAGGAAGGGGCGCAGCACTTTATGTAGGCGCCGGATTATTAGCATGGTCTCTTCCTGGTTCAGCTCCACTTTCTCGCCACTCGTGGCGAAGGGCGCGTTGAACCACTGTTCGAACGTCACGCACGAACTGAAAACTTGAGATGACGTTAATTAATTAATTTTTGAGGTATTTCTGGCACTGCCTTTTGGGCTCACCTGAAAATCGAGGGCAGCAGGAAGTTCAGCAACGCCCACAGCTCTGGCAACTTATTCTGCAGCGGCGTGCCGGTGAGCAACACACGGTGTTGGGCGTGGAAGAATCCGTTCAGAATGAGTGTCAACTTGTTGTTGTGGTTCTTCATCCGATGGCCCTCGTCGATGATCATGTACTTCCAACGGATCTTTCCCAACGAAGCCTTCTCGCGCAGCACATAGTCATATGTGGTCAAGAGGACGTTGAATGCCGCCTTTTTGACCTGCCCGTCCAGACGGCGACGCGCGTCTTTATCTCCCTAAAGATTGGGTCAAACTCTTTAAAAAAATTTACCTTGTAAATGATGCACTTCACGTGCGGTGCCCATTTCTCGAACTCGAGTTGCCAATTTGAAATCGTGGATAGCGGTACGATCACGAGGAACGGGCCGTTGTTGTTCTTGATCTCCATTAGGTAGGTGATCAACGCGACGGTTTGAATCGTCTTGCCCAAGCCCATTTCGTCGGCCAAAATACCGTTGAGATTGTTATTATACAGCGAGACAAGCCATTCAAGTCCCTAGATCCAAGATTAAATTAGGCTAAAAAGTCTGACCTTAATTTGGTAGGGCTTCAACTTCAACGTGTCATCGCCCCCTCCCATAGTTGAGTGCTGGTGGTTAATGATTTCCTTGGTCCGATGAGCAGTTGCATAGTAGTCAGCCATTTGCTTTTTCGTTTTTGGATCGTACTCATCCTCTTCATTTCGCGCCTAGATTGAGAATTTCCCATTTCGAGAGTTCACCCTACCTTCTCAAGGATTTTTCTGGCTTTCTCCTCTTCCGTCAGCCCCTCCATCTCATCATCGACGGTTTCTTTCTTTTCTTCTTTCACCTCTTCCTCCTCGTCGTTATCACTCTCCTCAGAAGCTCCATCCCGGGGCACAATCTGATTTTTAAGTAAACCCAAATTATCCTTCAATCTACCTCGTGCCCAGGATGTGTTTCTAGCCACGTGTCGACATCATCGGCACTGGGACATTCTTCTGGAGGCAACAAATTACCAGTTTCGAGGTGCCGAATATGGACGTGCATTTCACCCTCTTCTAAAAAAACCATATTTGGTAAATTTTGCGATCATACTGTTCTGATCGATGCGCGTCTGCTCCTTTTTCTTCCTCTTTTCTGCATTCTGGTGTTGTCTAACCAGGCTCGTCAAGCTGCCGACGTATTCATCCGTCTGTTGTAGAAGCAGCACTAAGCGTTTGTCCTAAATTTTAATATTTATGATCTTGAAAACTGCCTGACCTTCTTTTCGTCAAGCAGTTGTCGATATCCTTCTTCATCTTCCTGCATAAGCTTCTGCATACGCAACTTTTCGTTTTTGATCTCATCCTTCTTCTTCTCTCGCTCGCTGTTCAGGATATAATTTTCCACAGCTCTCCTGGCAGTTTTCCTCTAAAGAAGGGTGGCCTAATTCTCACTGGACATACCTTTAGTAAATTGTTTCGGTGGAATTCCTTAAACTCTCGGCCATGCTGGAGAATTTCGTTCAGGAAAACTGTGTGCTTCTGACGCCGCTTTCGTTCCGCTTCCACCTAGGATATATTTCCTTAGCTTCTCCGGAAGTCCAAACCTTTTGTTGCTTCTCAAGCTTCTCAGTGACGCGCGCCTCGCGATGGGTCTGCCGTTTTATTCGCCGATAAGCAAACGGATTTACTGAAGTCTCGAGGAGAGATTCCCGTTTGTAGCTGCCTATGGCCTCGCCACGAACCTAATAAAATTCATGACAAAAAGACTGCTATCACCTGGGCCTGCAAGCTTGCCAACCGCAAGGAGCGCAGCTCAATATCGCACTTTAGCTTCAGTTCCGCTGGTAGATCATCCGGCAAGTTGCTCAGCTCCTGTATGCGAAGTTGCATGCGATTATGGATCCTAAGAGAGTTTCCAAATTCAAGAATTTGTTTACCGCTCTTCTCGCTCCTTATACATTGCGTTGGGGTCAATGCCGCAAGACACCGGTAACGTTGTGGCACGATTTGTAGTCCTTTTAACATGAACTTGAAGCACCCACATCAGGTCGTACGGGAGGCGGGTTCCATTTTCCCCTAATTTTGAACATATTAAGTAGTTGTATTTCATGTTACCTTCCATGGGATAGGCGAAAGGATCGGGTAGAAGCGTCGTAGGCTTGCTTTTGGACGTTGTGGCCTGTGAGAGCAGTTCGGCAGGAAGAGGCTCATTCTTTGCCAATAATCGATATATTTTAACCTGTGTCTCATTGACAGATTTCGCATATTTACTCAACCTGGGCTCGAAGTTGTTCAATTTGATCAGGAACTAAGGAAGGGGCATCGGAAGAAGCCTCCTCTGCAAGAGGATATCAAGCTTGTCTTTCATTTTTGGGGCTACCTGTTGTTTGTGCGGCCGAGACTGCGGCATTTCCCGGCTCTTCCGCTTTTCCAATAGGGTTGTCGACACGAGCAATGGCCACCTCGTTTGGGGACAATCTGGATGCCCCTTCGGATGGCGGTGGCGGCTGCCCGATGCTGGCCATATAAGGCTAGAATTCTCGTGATGTTGTCCAGAATTATTTTAATCGAGATTTGAAAGAAAATACAACCCAATGCCGAAAAAGTAGACCGAACAAGCTTCAACTTTATCGATGAAGCGCGACTCAACGTGCGAAGTGTTTTTTAGCAAACAAGCTTTTGTGCAATACGATACTTTCCACAGTTTGCGTTTCACCACTTCTCCGGTGTTCCGATTTTCAACCGATCGGTGGTATTTTTATTTTTGCTACGTCGATCATCGACTGTAACTCTAGTTAAATAGTTTTAAATACAACGAACAACCTATTATTTATTATCAAAGCAAACTTGATCAAGATACTATCCGCCGGAAAGGTGGCGTAATCATTTAGCCAGAAACCTTTCTCACGCGCTCCCATCGACACACAGTCTCTCGGGCAGTCGTTCGGTTGCTATGGGTGTCTTCCTCTTGTCGATCGTACGCTAATCCCTGGACTCTGGCCCGTTCCCGACTAGACCCCATTCCTACCCTCATTCTTACCTCCTATAATGGCTCCAAAGAAGTTACCCCTCGTATTCAAATAAAATGAACGGCAATATAATGAAAGTCTTTTCAATTTTGTGCCGGACAAAATTTATTTATTTAGGGCAACTGTTGACTTGCTTTTTATCATGGCCCTCTATTTTTTTCCCATCACAGCATTTTTTGCAGTATAACCCAAGTTTCCCAGGTTGGAAAAATGGAATGGTCTTTGTAGCTCTATCCTGGATTTGCTGCCCGTGAACTGTTTTTCAGTTTCTGTTCATCAAATTTCGAGACAAGTAATCTTTTTTTCAGGTAGACCGCTGAAATGGACGGTAGCGCTGAATCTAACGCTGCTTCGACTTATGTCGGTATGCTTATTTGCCTCTTCGGAGTAACTTACTTGCAGAGATTGGCCGACAGTTCGTGCAGCATTATTACACCATGCTGGCCGAGCGTCCAAATGATGCCCATCGTTACTATGGCGATAAGTCGATCCTGACCCATAATGGCAAATGGGCCATCGGTTCTGAGGTACAATTTCAAACTTGGGGAAAATAATTTCTTTAGGATATTCAAAAGGCCATCGATGATTCCAAGTTCCATGATAGCAAATTTCGCATTTACTCCATCAAGGTAAGCAATCTTGCGTTGCGAGAAGAATATAAATCTTCGTAGGGCGCGCCTACCCTGGCCAACGGAGTTGCGATCCAAGTAGTTGGTGAAATTTCGACCGCGGACACCGGCTTGCGCAAGTTCTCGCAGACATTTGTGCTCGGTCAGCAGATCACCAACAAATTTTACATTTTCAACGATATCTTCACCTTCTCGGACCAGGTTTTGTTGTTTGGATGGGATCATGGGTGTGTTTTAGCTGTTCGGCAAGGAAAGCGAGTCTGCCGAGGCTACCTCCACCCCGGCTCCGCTGCCTGAAACGAAACTGAACGGCCACACGCGCACGCCACAGAAGGTTTTTTGAAAACACGTACTATCAACTTTTTTTTAGAAGGAACAGCAACTCACCGTCGATAATGAACGCCATCAAGGTGCTCTTCAATCCCTACATTTACACCAGTTTTAGAATTGCCTTCGCCAATCAACTCTGGACCGAAAACTCCGAATGCGAAGAAGGTACCTGAGCGGTCGCACGACAAGCAGCGAGGAGAACCGCCATGCGACCCCGCCCCGCCGAAGCAGCAGGTCCAGCAGCAAGCGCCGCCGCCACAGCAACAGCAACAACAACCCGTCCAGCCAGCGGTTCCTGCGCAGCCCCGAAGCTGGGCCGCGATCGCTGGTCACAACTCTAGCACCGCTCCCACCAACCCGGCACCTGTCGCCGCCCCTACTCGCGGTACGTGTGCATTATCAAGTTCAAATTCGTTTAGCTATTACGCGCCCGACCAACTCGCTGCCGAACTCGCAGCCTACACCGCACGCGAAGCAGGACGAAGAGTCTCGCACTCTCCATGTCAAGAACATCGGCTACCAAAAGGAAAAGCTGAGTGATGAGGATGTGAGCGCGGCTACCGCGGAAATCATCAGCTACTTCAGCGGTAAGCTATAATTTTCTAAGACGATTCTCTCGTTTAGAGTTCGGTCCTGTTGACAGTTTCAAGTTCCCCATTTCTAACTTCGGGGCCCAGCGGCGTTCCGACCTATATGGTTTCTTGGTGATGAAGTTGGAGGCGGACGCACAGAAAATCCTCGAAGCGGCCGGCAAAACCGAAGGAGTTAGTTCGGGAACGTTTTCTCAATCGGATTTTAGGCCGTTCCTCGCGGTCTGAAGGTGGATGTTCCATCTTTCAACTTCTCCGGTGAAATTTTCGTGGATCGCGGCAGGCGTACCAATGACAACCGTGGACGAGGAGGCTATGCCCGCGGCGGCTCATTCAGAGGCGGCCCCCGAGCACCGGGCGCCCACCGTGGAAACTTCCGCGGAAACCATATGCAGTGAGCGCCCCCCTCCCTCTTCGCCCTTCTCAATTTCTACCCTGTGAACACTTTTTGTCGGAGTCCTTTGAAATGTAAAATTAAGCATCTGTTTCTTCCAATTCCTAAAGTTGTTTTTGGGAAACTGAGTCCAGATTGGCTCCCCAATTTTTGTGCTGAATTGTCTCTCTTGCAAGGATTTCATCCTGGTAGTCAATCTGTTGATACGGTGAACATACGGATAATGATCTCGCACAGACTTCAGCTCCACAAACCGCTGTTTACAATAAATTTTATACGTTATTGTTTCGTGAAACGCCTCATGTACCGTGATTCACACCGCATTCTATCGCTGAACGAACAACAGATCAAACAAGTTTCTTAGGCAATGGACGCCTACGACATTGATGATTTTGATGACGTACCTGCGGACATATTGCCGTAAGAGGCCGATTTATTAGAAAAGCTTTATATTAGGGAAACGGAGGATGATTTTGGCTCCGTTGGCCCTGGGCTGAGTATCAATCAAATGCGTTCGTTTAAAGAGTAAGGCTTTCGAACTAGTTGTAACGGTATGTTCTAGTGGTAATTCGTACGCTAACCACTCTCAAGGGCTATCGGAATTGCCGGAAAGCTTGGATGTTGAGATGCCAGAAAGGTATTTTACTATAGACGAGGGTGAGGGTATTTGTTCAGCCAAAATGCATCGCGAGTTCCCGATGAAGCTGTTCAGACGGTGAGTTTCCGAGATCTTAGACAAATATCTGTTCTTACAGCAGAATCCTGCACAAGATGCCCTCAACAAAGAATCTACCCAGATCTATTACGATCAATTCCCTCCCGATGACATTTATGTCCACCCAATCGGTAATGGCTTCTAGAAACAACAAGACAATGGGTTGTTTTTAGACTGGCATATGCGTGTTCCTGATTATGCCGAGCGCTTTCGCGAGCAGAAACTCAATCAGCTCCGTATTGCCGAAGCGGCGGATCGGCTTGCTAAACGAATCGAGGAGGTGCCCATACAGTAGTTTTCTTTGAATATATTTGTAGTATCGGGTGCTACACCAAGCGGAAGCTCATCGAGAGATTTATGGCGAAGGTCATCTTCAGTTTGAAACATCCGCGTTGAGGATGAGATTGAAAGATGCCTCTAAAGCCGAGGTGGATTCGGTGGCCTTTTTGAGAAACTTATTTAGATAATGAAAGAACCGCCGGTGGACGGTACGCCATGGATGGGAGTTACGGCGGTTAACAGGGACGGGAATCGCTCTAGGTGATCCCAACCTTCGTTTTATTACCATCTTTTTAGGTTGTACCTTCGGAATCTACCGAGATGGCTGACTCGCTTTACTTCGAAAGAGCAGAATTCTGATGTCAGAAAGCAGCTTTTCAATGTCACAGCTGTGGAAAAACTGCGGACAGATGTGCTTCGGCTACGGTTACATTACATGCGATTTTTCCTTACCCTCATTTTTAGAACAACACGCAGAGAAGAAGAGCAAACGGCAGAGCGATTGGCTTCGAGCGACTCGGTTGCCTCGCAGCAGCCCCTTGAAGAGACCAGTGCTGAAAGCAGCCTTTGGGTTGACAAGTACAAGCCAACGGCCTATGTGGATCTACTTTCGGACGAGGTAAAAAAACGTTTCGAATTCGCTGAAATTCTCGTCTAGGGCACCAACAGACTTGCTCTTTCCTGGCTACGTCTTTGGGACGAATGTGTCTTCGGACAGAAGGCGCCTTCAGTGCATCGTTTTCGCCAAAAGGAACAAGAGATGTTGGAAGTCGAAGCTACCGCTCCTCACCGTCCGGTACATAAGGTGGGAATTTTAACCACCGCCAAGACGGTATCATTAGATCCTGCTGCTAGCTGGAAATGCGGGTGTGGGCAAGACTACGCTCGCTACCATACTTGTGAAGCATTCCGGCTACGGATTTGTCCATGTTAACGCCAGTGATTCTCGGTATGTGTTGTGTGGGATATGGAAAATTGTTTTTAGGAATACCTCGGATCTGGAACGCCTATTGCATTCGGTATCCGGGACTAAGCGCACGGTGGCCGGAACCGAAAGGCCTCAAGTTCTCCTGTTGGATGAGGTATTACAGTTTGTGTACCGAGAACGTGTCGTTTCAGATAGATGGAGCCCCCGGTGAGGCCATCAATTGGCTTTGCAAGGCAATTTCGGCAACTGGAAAAAAGGCGTTGAAGAGGCCGGTCATCGCGATTTGTAACACTCTGTAAGCTTACTTGCAAGCGACTAGTGAAACGTTTTTTAGGTATTCGCCTAATCTTCGGGAGTTGAGGCAACACGCTCTTGTTTTGACGGTCAACAAGACAAATGAGAGGCTTCTTTTTACACGGCTCGAAAGGGTCTGTTAATGAGAACAAGGATTCCTAATTTATATTTTAGATCGCAGAAACGGAGAAGCTGCGCATTGAGAATGCAGCTCTAGAGAAATTGGTGGAATGCACAGAGGGAGACGTTCGATTATCGGTCAGTTTCTTTATCCGTTACGGTACAAGTTCGGCTATTATCCATCGTGAAAAGCTTTCCCTCGTTTAATTAACACTATAAATATAACATTGGTGATTGAATGCTTTTTTAGGTGAACACGCTGCAATTCCTTGGTCAAACTACCCGTCGCGACCAAGAAATCATCACCGAGGAGGACGTGACCAAGGTATGACCATCTGCTTTTGTTATTTCTTCGATTGTTTAGGCTTGTACACGCTTCTCAAATGGGAACGCCTCATTGTTTGACTGTTGGTCGAGCCTTCTGGATTCGACTCGTCATCACGACCGGTATTTGATGCCACGTACCTATATATAAAGTTTCCAGTCGTGGCGCTTTGACGGCTGATGCTGCTCGTGTTTCGACAATCGAGCACACATGGATGTTGAGCCGGGATCAGAAGGATCGTTTCGTCGTTGGGCTGCATAACAACTACACGCGGTAAGCTCTCATCACTTGAGCTGATACAGCTTTCCTTAGGCACCATCCCCCGTTGCCACTCAACAAGCTCCGTCCGGCATCTGATTGCTTTGTGTTCTATGATCTCCTGAACACCTCGATCTTGGTAAGTTCGGATCAATCAACTTTAAATTGGTTTCAGAAAAAGCAAGATTGGTCGCTCGCCAAGTATTTCTACGACTTCTACGTGCCGCTACATTTTCTGCTGACCACACATTCGAAGCTTCAGCTTGCTTACCCACAGACGGATGCCAATTGCGTGGCGAAGCTACGCACAAATACGGTTAGAGCCTTTACGATGGCCACGATCTCCATTTGTAGGACTGTGTCTCGTCGATCCGACCTCAATCCACGCTGACGCATAGCGCACAATTGGTAACGGAGGTGCTGCCGTATCTTCTGGAGATTGCGCAGCCAGCCATTCCAAAGGTACTTAGAGTTCCATGGCTTTTTACCTCACGGGAGGCCGACTTTGGATCTAATTGATGTGTTTTTACTAGCATATTCTTTTTAGGGAGCGGCCGCGGTATTGGCAGTCCGAAACAACAAGCTTTTGCTGCGCATCGCAACCGTTATGGACAGCTTTGGCCTAAATTTCAAACCGTGCCGCGTGCAAGGCCGTGTCCAGGAAACCCAATGGCTTTATTCACCGTAATTTTCGACAAGCATCTGAACGTCAGCTGGTTTAGGCCTATTGACGTCTTGTGCCTCTTCGGGATACCCGGTTCAAGCCATAAATTTGTCGTCAACTCACTGCGTGAAGAGATTGCCAGGATGGTAAGCTACCACACTTGAAGGTCCATTTATGCATTTAATTTTCCAGATAGAGGCTAGAACATGGAGGCTTGCTGATGAGGACTTCGACAAAGAAAACACCCCAGCAAACGGCGCCCCCAAAGAGGATACCCGGAAGCGAAAATGGGCGGTGGCACTGGGAAATAATGTCCCACTGGTGAAGGCCTACCTTTCTTCTCTAGCTAATTTATTTTTAGGCTTCCAAGAAACCTTCGGCCTCGACCGGCATCCAATTCGTACACAAGCCCTGCCCCTACAACCCGGTGAAAACAAGCGTTACCCTACGACAATTTCTCAACATTGATAATTAATCCTAGCATATACCCTCGTTCTGTGATTCGCCTACTGTCATTACGGTTGTCCCTTCCTCACTTTTGTAACTTGATCTCGTTGCCTTCTACCGATGCTCAAAACAAATAAATGTGCTTACAATCGGAAAAAGAGCTTGTTGGCATTCCATTAGTACCACAAAATACCCTTGGATTCGACAGCAATAGGTTTTCGATAGCTCGGATGTTGACAGCGCTCAAGCGCGCGAGGTTTCTAGATGGAACGAGGGTTTTAGGGAGACGAAGAAAGGTTAGCTTTGTAGGGCATACGGTTGCCGTTTTTGCGGGGTTTTATGGCCAGCCACTGTGATGAAGGACTATTCAGAGTCACAGCGCCACGAATGAAGATTTGGCGAGTCTTCCGAGCACGGCTTCTAACATTCGAAACATTGGAATCATCGCTCATATTGATGCGGGCAAGACGACGGTCACCGAGAAGTTTTTGTACTTGACAGGTAGAATTCAGAGTTGAATAGACCGCGATTTAGGTATGACCAGCTCAGCGGGAAACGTCGATTCGGGAACGACAGTAACTGATTTTCTGGACATGGAGCGAGAAAGAGGTAGTTTTATTTAATCCACTCCGGAAGCCGAGCTTCTAGGAATCACGATCCAATCGGCGGCTGTTCATTTTGAGTGGCTCGGGAATAGGATCAACCTGGTAGATACGCCGGGACATGTCGATTTCACCATCGAAGTGGAGCGGTAGTGGATTTTAGACAAATTGTGACGCGCTTTTAGTTCGATGCGCGTTATGGACGGTGTTGTTGTCATTCTGGATGGAGCCGTCGGCGTACAGGTATGCGTAAAAAACACTAGCATTAGTTTTTAGGCCCAAACCCTTACCGTCTGGCGGCAGGCGGGAAAATTTGGCCTCCCAGCAGTATTTTTCCTGAACAAGTTGGACAAGAAGACGGCCAACTTCCAAAAGGCCTACGATTCGATCCAACAGAAACTGGGGCTGAAAGGTATTTTCACTATTGCATAATATATTCCTTTGTAGCCATCCTCACCACGGGAATCGTCACCGATCAGTCGGGAAAGATTGATAAAATCGTTGATTTGTTAACGGGAAAATCTTTGGACTTGTTGCAAACTAACGCGAAGTGGGAAAAGATTAAGGTTTGATGACCAGAGCTATTAAAATCGACTCATGCTCAGGGAAATGACAATCGACTGCTCGACATTTATAATCAACAGCGCGAGGAGATGCTGTATGCAGTCGCCGACTGTGACAAGCCCTTTGCTTCCTATTTCCTCGATAAAATCGAGGGCAAGGCCTCAAAAATAACACAGGAGGAATTGTTGAAAAGTTTGCATCCTTCACTCTAATATTAATATACCTCTTGGAGCGTTACGCAGAGTCACCCTTGAAAGAACAGGAAGTGTTTTGAGCTGCGGCACAGCTCTAAGGTTGGTAAACCGTTTAGATTAAGTCCATATTTTTTATAGATGTAGCGCAAGTGTGATCCCGCTGCTCGATTCGGTCGTGTCGTTCCTCCCCAGCCCGGAAGAAAAGGATTCGTACTCAAAATTATTTGGCGACAAGCTGAGCGCTTTGGTTTTCAAGGTGGAAAATTTAAAATTAGTGATAAAACGGTGATCTAGATTCAAAATGACAAAAAGAAGGGACAGTTAAATTACGTTCGCGTCTACACGGGAGCCCTTCGAAATAATTCGCATGTTTTCAACTCGACGCGAGGGGAGCAAGAAGGTCCTATCAAGGTGACTTTATTTCCGCATCGATTATTGTTCTTAGTTGTTCATCCCGTATAGTGATGATTTGACACCAACGGCTGAAGTGACCACCGGTAATATAGCTGTCGTTTCCGGGCTTCACCAGACGAGGAGTGGGGACACGTTATTAGGATCGTATGCCAATTCACTCTCCTTAAATCCCCCGGATTTAGAGAGGCAATTGGTTGGGACGCCGCCTCCAAATATTCCGCCGATGTCGGGAAGGAAGCGAGAAAAACATCCCCGTAAAGTCAAAGTTCCCCTAAAAATGGATATTTTAGGGCCAGCGTGATTCGACAGGCGAAATCCGAAAAAGATTCCATCATCTTGTCTGGTGGGTTTTGGTGGCTAATATCACCGTATCGCCCTAGGTATCGAATCCCCGGACCCAGTATATTACTGCAGCATCGAGCCACCGACCTCAGCGGCACAACACGAATTTTCCAGAGCCCTCCGCGAGCTGTGCGTCGAGGATCCGTCGATTAGAGTCCGGGAAAGCAAAGAAACTGGCCAAACGGTGAGTGTCTTTGGTTGCTGGCTTATGCTTTTCCAGATCCTGGAGGCCATGGGAGAACTGCACCTCGAGGTCATCAAGGATCGCCTTCTGCGTGGATATGGCTTGTCGGTGTTTCTTGGACCTCTTCAGGTACATACATGCTCATTTTAATTGACATCTTTAGGTTGCCTACCGGGAGATGTTGCGAGACGAAATTGTTCACACTGCCACGGTAGAAGAGAGCTTTGACGGGCGCATGCATTCCGCCTCTTTGACTATGCGCGTCAATCCTGAATCCGATGCCCAAAAATTCAAGCAGGTGGGGTTTGGTTTCTAACAAACAGTTGTTTCCACATCGAAATACGACATTATCACCTAAACACGACAGCTTGTAAGGAATTTTGGTCTTTCAGGTCACTTTAAAGCTGCCGGCGGATGCTGTAGCCCCCCCGTGCTGCTTGGGTGACGGCCATCAATGAGGGTTGCCATAACGCGCTGCACAGCGGCCCGATTCTTGGATTTCCGGTATCATTATTATGTGAAATTACTATATTTTCTTTATTCCAGATCTCCAACGTGTCGATATCACTAGAAGGGATCGTGGTTAGTGGCGGCCGAATCAAGGTCCCGATCTGTAAGCACCATCGATTTCGACAATATATCCGCTTCAGTATCGGCCTGCGCGCATCGGTGCGTCAGCGAAGCACTCGTGAAGGCCGGGGCCAGATTGGCCGAGCCGGTCATGCGGATCGAAGTTATGATCCAGGTGCATAGCACCCATTCCTAGGAAAAACTTGGAAATTTTTAGGGCGCCAGTTCGGATTATAGCACCCAGCCCCTACAGCAAGAACTCGTTAATCGACGAGGGCAGATCACAGAAATCGTGACTGATGGTGAGTCTACAATTTCTTTGTTTTTTTTGCCGTGCGAATCTTCGCACTAATTATTCACGTTTTTTAGGTCAGCGATTCGTCACCATTCACTGCTTGCTGCCGTTGGCCGAAATGACTGGACTGGCCACAACCATCCGGACATTATCGTCAGGCCTTGCATCGTTGCATGCCGAGGTGAGCCTCTCCTTCCGCTCCGTCAATACCTCGTTTCAGGTGGCGGAATATCAATTGCTGACGGAATATGAACAATCCCAGGTCGCCGCCAAAATACGAGGATGCCCATAAAAAATAGTTCGCTTGTTTTCCCGCAGTTTTGTAAATAGGTCCAATAGTTCATACATAGATTCTGTTGTAGTATTTGTTGCTTGACCACGTGCATACTTTTTTGCTTTCCGCTTTTGCTCAATTTCCCGAACGTTGTGATGGCGTTTATTACTGTTGTTCGATGTATATAAATGGTTCTTGATGACCAGAGAGAGAAAGACTTCACACATTTGGGCTTCATCCCTGTTGACAGTTTTCTAGACGGTTCTAATTACGGAAATGCGCGGAATTTGGTATGATGGCGGAATGACGCTGCTTCCTTATCTCCGATTTTCCGCAAAAATCAAGCTAAATACGCGGCCGGCGGACAGGCGTCAGATTTTTCACCACGTGGCTTCGCAACACACGTGTTCTCCGTTTGTTCATGCTCTCTTTTTTGCCATTTAGTGCCTTTGTTGACCGCCTCGGCGAGGGGGGAAAGCCCTATCTAACCTTGTGGCCCATCGCCTTCTCCCTCCCCGCTTGTCCCGCTCTCTACTTTTCCCATCTCAAAAAATGCACGTTCGGCTGATTGGGCCTGTGATCTCTCGGCCTCACTTGCTGCTTTTTCGGGCCCTGCCCTTGAGGATCACCTCATGCTTTCGCTGAATGTTGCAAAATTTTGGTCTACGAAATCTAAGCATTTACTTTCTTTTTTTTTTCTAAAATTCTTTGAACTTTTCGAAAATTATGTTCATTTAGGATGACCGTCAACGTGGTTCGCCTCTCGCGCATGTCGAGAGAGACACTTCGGCGTCATTCTCAGTAATTTCCAAAGTTCGAATAGAGCTCTTCTTTTTAGATATGTTGGAAAAGGGACCCCGACGCTCGGAATTCGGCGCGAAACGATTAACGCTTGGGAGAGGAGAGCGCCGCTCGCCCCGGTTCACGTCAAGAAGTTGACGAAGAAGGGTGTCCGCGTTCTGATCCAGCCCAGCAATCGTCGTGCTTATCCCATCCAGGTTTATCACCTGAAAAAACTATATGCAACTTCTAGAATTACATCGCTGCTGGTGCAATCGTGAAGGAGGACCTTAGTGAGGCTCAGTTGATCATTTCGGTGAAGCAGGTCAATTTCTTGTCGGAAATTCGATAATTTTTCTCTAGGTCCCGATTGATCAGCTGATCCCCGACAAGACTTATGCGTTTTTCTCGCACACCATCAAGGCCCAGCAGGACAACATGGAGATGTTGGATACGATCCTGCAGCGGGTAGTTTGCCAATTTCTGAACTATCAATTTGTTTAGAAAATCCGGCTCATCGACTACGAGAAGATCTGTGATGAGCGTGGCAAGAGGAAAGTGATGTTCGGCAAATGGGCTGGATATGCCGGCTTTATCGATATTTTGCACGGACTTGGGCTGCGTCTTTTGGCACTTGGTAAGTCCGCCGCCCTGATCGAAACCCGAATTTTTAGGTCATCACACTCCATTTTTGCATCTCGGGCTTGCTCACAACTACTCCGATAGCCACATGGCCGTCAATGCCATCCGGGATATCGGCTATGAGATCGCCCTAAATAAGATGCCGCGGTAATTAATTTGCTCGTTGTTTTACGAAATTCTAGTTCCCTCGGACCACTGATCTTTGTCTTCACCGGCTCCGGAAATGTGTCACAAGGAGCTCAAGAGCTGTTTGAACACTTGCCCCATGAGTTTGTTGATGTTGCCACGCTGCCAAAGGTTGCGCAGAAAGGAAGTGAGGAATTGAAAATAAGTATTGAATTTTATTCCTTTAGGCCTGAACAAAGTCTATGGTTGCGTTGTTACCCGTGCTGATCATATGGTCCCGAAACACGGTGGTGTCTACAATAAGCAAGAATTTGAAGAGAATCCGGAGCTCTATACTTCAAAGTTTGCCACCGAGGTTCGTAATGGAATTGTTCAAGTATTTTTTTTCTTTAGATTGCTCCCTACGCTTCCGTGATCATCAACGGCGTCTACTGGGGTGTGAACACGCCGCGTCTCATGACCATTCCAGATGCTAAGAACCTGCTGACGCCTATCCAAAAGGTTTTCTGGCGTCGCCTACCACTTAATTTTTGTTTTAGTACGATGCCCCTGGTACCCCGACCCTGCCCCACCGTCTGATCGCTCTGTGCGACATTTCCGCTGACCCAGGAGGCTCGATCGAGTTCATGACCGAATGTACAACCATCGACAAGCCCTTCACGATTTACGACGCCGATTTCAACAAGAGCACGGATAGGTAAGCGCTGTTCCTCCTGTCCTCTCGGAACCTGGGCCCTCTTCTCGAACCACAGACTTTTTCCAGCTTTGCTGCCTCGTCTGGCTGTCTCGTGTGTTCCATCGACAATATGCCCGCCCAGATGCCCGTTGAGGCGACTGAGCAGTTCGGAAACCTGCTCTTCCCATATGTTATTGATATGGTAATCCAAATATCGGACAGACTGACCATAATATCTTTTTTTCAGCTGAACTGCGCTACCGACATGCCCCTCGATCGCCTTCAATGCGCGCCAGAAGTCAAGCGGGCCATCATTACGGATTCTGGGGAACTGACGCCGGATTACGAATACATTGATGATTTGCGGAAGCAGAAGGCTGCGTTCGTTTTCTTCGAAAGTTCCTTGAACCCGATTTTAGACAATCGCTACACAAGGCTCGTGCTGTTGGCACAAATGACAAGAAGGTGTTACTCCTGGGTGCTGGGATGGTCGCCGGTCCCGTAGCCGATTTCTACTCGCGCCAATCAAATGTAGCCCAAAATTGAATATCTATGGGTCTTTTAGGTGTTGCTTACTGTCGCCACCGAATCACAAGCCGATGGGCAGAAGCTCTGCGTCGCCCCCAATATTTCCAATATTGTGGTTGACGTGAACACGGAGCAAGATATCTTGTCCAACCTTATCAAGTAAGCCACAATTTATAGATATCAAACTTTGATTAGGGAACACGATCTGGTTGTCTCCTTGCTACCCTTCACTTTCCACCCGGCTGTCGCGAAGATGTGCATCAAGCACGGGTATGGTTTTTGTGCGCCCCAGTAATTCTTTTTTAGGCGTAACATGTGTACGTCGAGCTACGTGTCGCCCGAACTCCAGGAACTGCACAAAGCGTAAGAATTTTGCAACTGATTGGTAAGCCGATTTAGTGCCCGTGATGCTGGCGTGACGATCATGAACGAGAGTGGACTTGATCCGGGAATTGATCATATGTTGGCTATGGAGTGCTTCGACCGGGCTCACGACCACGGCGGCAAGGTAAAGGAGGAGATTTGCTCCAGTTATTTTTTTTAGGTGACGTCATTCGTTTCGTTCTGCGGCGGACTCCCAGCCCCCGAATGCTCGGACAACCCGCTTCGCTACAAGTTTAGCTGGTCGCCCAAGGGTGTCCTCATGGCCCTTTTGAACCCGGCTCGTTATCTTATGGACGGAAAGGTAAGATTTTTTTAGAGCTTGAATAACTCCTTACAGATTGTGGACATCAAGCCGGGGAAGGTGGTCGACAACTTGTACCCCATCGACTTCATGCCCGGTTTCAACCTGATCGGCTTCCCGAACCGTGACTCCACCAAGTAGAACAGCATTTTGGTGATCAGCCTCCTCTTTTAGATACGCTGACATCTACGGCTTGGGCCCAGAGTGCAAGACGTTACTCCGCGGGACCCTGCGTTTCAAGGTATGAGACCGTGCAATATTTGTACTTTTTGCTTAGGGCTTCGTTGAGACGGCAAAGGCTCTCGATGCGGTCGGCCTGCTAAATTCCAACAGCCAAGAGGTGTTCAACTCCAAGATGGGGCCGGACCTTACCTGGGTACGTGACTGGATAATTACCATCTATCCGAGGTTTAGAAAGAACTATTGGCCAGCCTGCTGAACCAGCCACAAGATATTTTCCCTGAATCGCTGCACCACATTGCTGCTGAACACATTGGAAAGGGCAATAAGGATGGCCTGCGTTCATTGGTCGAGCTTGGGCTGTTCTCGGATGTCGTCGCGGAACGACACGGATCAGCCATCGACACGCTTGCTCCTTACTTGGCTAAGGTAATTTTTGCTTGTTACTAAATATTTTCCTAGGTCCTTGCTTTCAAAGAAAATGAGCGGGATCTGGTTTTGCTCAACCACGATATCGGCGTACAGCTTCCGGGTGGCACTCAGGAGAAACATAGGTATGATTTTCTTGAAAGATTTGCCCGCATTCTTTGCCTGTGACCCCCATTATCACGGACAACCTCGCCATTCTTCTAGAATCAGCCTTGTGGCATACGGCGGCGAAAACGGGTTCTCGGCAATGGCTCGTACAGTGGGCTACACCTGTGCAATCGTCTCTCATATGATCCTTGAAGGTGGGTGCTTACTTTTTGCCCGCGCCCCCATCTTTTCCTTGCTATTAAGGCCTTCTTGCTGGCGGGCGGATAATGGCTTGCCTTTTTGCAGGTGAGATCCAAAGGGAGGGCGTGCTGCGGCCGGTCACCAAAGAAGTCTACCGCCCGGTGCTGAAACGTCTCGCCGACTTTGGCATCACGGCCACGCACACAACCACGTTTGTCGCTTTGCCAGTTCGATTTCGGCTTTTCAGGAAATCGCCGATGTCGATCTAACGCGGCAAATGTGGTCCAGTTTCGTCGTGAAGGAAAACTTCTAAAGCTAGCCCCGAATTCTTATGAATTTTACGAAATTACCTTATCGAATTGCCTTTCTCAACATGCCTTTTCCGGTTGTTCAACCTCTCTCAGATTGTGCATTACTCGGATCTTCGATCACGTACGCGCCTCCCCGTGACCATAATACCTACGTCTTTGTAGCCATAATTGTTTGTTGTTTTAGGAGAGTTGAATAAATTTTAGCCGTTCTTTCCCACTTCTGTTGGCAATACATTCGAGGATGAGAGTGTCTGTAGGTTTGTATGAATGAAGTGTTTGCGATCGTGTGTGAGGCACAAGCGTTTGTTAAATAGTTTACTGCCTCTAAGGGGTGCCTTCGCGCATTTCTGCACGCGGCTCCGACAGGTAGATGGTTTAGCGGCGAGTTCCGTCCTCGAAGAAGACTCCTCCATCGATGGCGCAGTACTTGGGGCAGATACCCTTCTCTCCGGCGGCTCCGGCCTGTCCAGGCTGGCCAGGGGCTCCCGGGTTTCCGTCGGCTCCGGGCTGACCATCGGGTCCGTTGGGTCCCTTCGGTCCAGGCTGGCCGGGGGCTCCGTCTTGTCCGGGCTGTCCAGGGGGTCCGGGAGGTCCCTGAGGTCCGGGCTCTCCAGGCTGTCCAGGCTCTCCGGGGATGAGCGGCTCGCTGACGGCGGGGGCTCCGGGCTCTCCAGGTGCTCCAGGGGCTCCAGGGTTTCCGGGAGGTCCTAGAAAATGGTATGGTTATTTTTACAAGCCGGTAGACGATAAAGGCGTGATTTTCTCTTATAAAAGAATGATGGCTCACCAGGGGGTCCCTTGGGTCCAGGCTGGCCGGGGGCGGCATCGTTTCCGGGCTGTCCGGGCTGTCCAGGGGCTCCAGCATCTCCGGGGGGTCCAGGAGGTCCAGGGGGGCCGGGGGGTCCCTGTGGGCAAGGCTTGCATGGGGGCGGGGTGACCGGCTCGCAAGGCTGCTGTGGCGGGCGTCCAGGGTTTCCGGGGAGTCCAGGGGCTCCGGGCTGGAAACGGAGCGAGTTGCGGGATTTTGCTGGGGGTGTTTACCTTTCCGGGGCGTCCAGGCTTTCCGGGAGCTCCGGCGGCTCCAGCGGGTCCAGGGAGGCAGCACGAGTCGCAAGAGCCTCCAGCAGAGCCGGAGCCTCCGACGGCGGCGTCACCACCGTATCCGGATTGACGGGCGGTACGGTTGCCGGTGGGCAGGTTCTTCAGGTGGTTGACCTGAAAGAAAGAGATGTTTTTATTTTTACTTTATAGGGATTTTTAAAATTAAGGCTAGCTCCAGATGACGCCAAGCCGATCATCTACTGTATGTCGACTCCCCATTGTCCTACAGGGATGTAAAGTATACCAAAATATTCGTCCTGCTCTGGTGAGTATTTTGGTATAGCTTACAACACTGTTTGCCAATTGCAAGCCAAGATACCGCAGATGCAGCTAGTTTAGTCAGAATCACAAAAGATAATTTATCCTCTACTTTATAGCATTTAAAAGATAGTAAAGCTTAATAAAACCAAACCACCCACCTCGCTCCAGATATCCTTGGCGGATCCCTTGCAGAAAGTGATCTCATTCTGCATGGAGCGCTTGACGTGGTGCACATAGTTGTACACCATCGGCAGCGTCACGCATACCGACAGCACGGCGACCACCGAGAAGGTGACGGCCGAGTAGGCGACGAAACGGTAGGCTTTGATGCGAGTCTCGAGGTCCATCGTTGATGGAGGGGAGTGAGGGCGCTGGGGTAGTGCTCTCTCTGAAGCTCCCCCCTTCCCTGATGCTTATATACCCCGTGTAGACCGGTCTGTGCCAAGTGCCAGGGAACTGAAAATGGGCGCCCCGCCCTGAGGGGGGAGAAAGAGCGGGACGTTCGGCCTTGCCTGCCGGAGGGAAAGATTGTCGCGGCGTGACTGCGAGTCCGATACGACAACGGATCTCTCGTCGAAGCCCTTCGCCTTCTCCTTCTTGTTCTTCTTCGCCATGGGGTCAATGAGCTGAAAAACGTGTGGCGGCAGCCGGAGAATTTTGAGACAACCAATGGTGATCACAGCCCAGTGGCAACTCGGAATTGGAGGGAAAAGGCCCTTTTGTCTCGGCATGTTTCATTCTTTGCAACTTGACTATGATATGGGGATGCCCTTGTAATGTACATCAAGCAGGGGTAGACCAGAAAATTTGCTTCTTTAGTATTTCCGGGGGATCCGAATTTTTGCTAGAAGTTGAGAAATACAAAGTAACGTTATAGCAAGTATTTTACCATCCATTTTAGCGAAATCTAGTTATAGTTTAACTGAAAAAACTGTTTCGAAAGCTTTCAAAAACGACCAAAAAATGGACATTTTGATCGACAGTATCGATTTTTCCATCTATTTTTCAAAACGGAAGTTCTAAAGTTCTTACGCATAGAAACGCTAAAAACAATTAAGAAACACTGCCCTATTCATATTAGCAAAACTGGAGTCTAAGCAAACAATTCCAATACCCTCCCTTGCCAGAAATCTGTATCGATTCCTCATATCCTACAGTTTATTAGACAAAAAATATCATCTCAAAAATGCCATCACGAAGTGAGACGGGTGCCATATATTATACCCATGGGTCGACACGATCAGTATTAGTTTAAGAGCGATATAATGAGCAACATTAGTGATCACAAAATTGATAGAGATCGAAGGAATGCTTGAATCTCGTCATAAGTTCCAGGGTCAGTGGCTTGCAGGGCGTCCATTGCAGCACGATTCTTGTGTAGTCGCACCGTGGTCGAGACCATCCACAATGGTGACCCAACCGGATACGGAGTTGCTTCGGGCCACGCAGAACTAAATATGATACAGCTATAGACAATATCCACTAACTTGTCGGTAAAGCCCTGTCGAGGCGGGTATTCGTTTTGTCGGTGGTCGTTGTTAGCAGCGTACGATGGCCTGTAATCATCATTACATAAGGATATCAGATGCCTACCTGGGTCTCTCATAATGGGGGAGGGCGGCCGATGACGCCTCCGTGTCATAGGTGTCCACATGCCGGCCATTTCCCGATTCAACCGGCGAGTTCTAAACGCATTTAAAAATCAATAAATATAGCTATACGGTTCGGGAGGATGCGTAAGTGACGGAAGTCGGCTGAAAACCAGAGGGCACATTCCTTTGTTCGGCGGGCCTTTCATTTTTCCGCGGCCGGGCGGCCGATGGTGGCATCGGAATCCTCAAAACTCAAATAAAGACACAAAAGCAGGACGAACGTTTCTTTGAACAAGTCGAAATCCATTGTGTTGACGGCGGCTTCGTGTTTGTTTATATCTTCCGGACTATGATAGGGCGATATGCACCACCCGTCGTCATATACCTAAAAACGGAATTCTGTTGATAGCCATTGCCTACCACATTGAGCATCGCCGAAAATCCATGTGAAAAATACTTGGCGAATATCTCGTCTCTGTCAATGACAACGCAGTTCAATGCCTTGCAGTAGAGCTCGTTTTTGGCATAGCCGCTCGGTCGAATCAGTCTGCACGACGTCTAAATAATATTTATCGTTTCATAACAAATTTCACCTTTATCCTGTCTTTTTCGAGCGTAAAATAGGGCAGCTGCTCTTCTTGGGCTTGTCGGTCCGTTGCCATTATGCATCCGGACACACGGTCGCTAAAAAAGGAAAATAGTCGAAAGTAAGAAACTAAGGAAGCAGCGAAGGTTGTTCCTGTAAAACGTACCCATCTGTAAGAACGAAATACCATTGACCGACCGATTTGAAGTGACCGGCGAAGTTTCTGCTGTAAATGAACCATTATTGAACTAATCGAATTCCTATGAAAAGACGTTTCAAAAAACTGACCAAGAACAATGGACTTTCCGCCCGCGGCCCGTGTCCCACATGTACGTGTTGCCGCTAGTATCGGGCTTCTCGAGGAGAACGGCAGGGTTCCCAGGTGGAAGTGACCTGACCATCGGGCTGAAAATACAATATGGCAAGGCAGACATGACAAGAGAAGCGTCAAGAAATAAAAAAAAGGCAAAAATGGAGTCCGAAAAAAGCACTGATTTCTTATCGACTGAAAAGTTTCCAATAATTTTCCAAGCTGAAATGAAAATTTTCAAGTAAAACGTAAAAAGAACGATTATGTTGTAAAGTAAGTTCGTGAAGCATAATATTATTGTTTATATAGATAACAAAACTTTAAGATTTTATCAATCGTTGAAAACTAATGCTTATGTGATATAATTTTCAGGTTTGTGCTATCGACCCAATACTTTGTTGCTTATCAGGCGTGACACATCGATCCCTCGGCTATTTTCGCGATGAAAAACCTACCACGGCGTTGGCGTCGAATCAGGCTGCGGCTGATTGATGGGTGCAGCCGCTTCAACGATAACGGAAACTAAATACTTTCCCGTTTTGCGCATTTTCAGACCTTACCAAAATGTTCAGCGTGCTGCATGGAAGGCGCAGAACTACACGCCGCTGTCTCGACTTTCTTGCCGCCCTTCTTTTTGGGCTTCAAATGGCTTTAGTGTAATGTTATTGTTCAACTTACTGCCTCTCGTCCAGGGATGTGGCCAATCACCCAGATCGGATAATTAACGTTGTCCGGTTTGGCCAAGAGATAGATGTAGGCTTTGAAGAGGGCACGGGGGTCCTCTGAATTGCAAATTGTGGGCTCCCGATCGCGGGACAAAATCGATACGACCCTTAGTCACCGCCACTTGCAAAAAAAATTGGCCGGCAATTGCCGGGTATAGGAAGGGGGGGGGTTTCTATGCCAACTCCAGGTCGCGTAAGCCAAAATGCTAAAGCCTAACTGCGAAATTTTCGAAAATAAAAGTCATAGTAATGCTAGTTAGTAAAAGTAAATGTTATTTAGTAAAACGACGCCATTTGCATTGTTGATAACTTTTCCTACCTTGTTTTTCTGGATTCTTGATCATGTGATGGATATCAAAAACATTCTGGTAGAAGAAGTGCTCAGCGTCTCCACTTTCATACTTCCACACAAGCTCATCTCTAACCTTTTGGTTAGTATTGGACCACTTCAAGAGTGTCTCCACCTAAAAGTTTGTTTATTAAAAAGCCCGTTCAACGATCCACAAGCCTCTGAGGTAAAAATAAAAAGGTCTGCAACTTACAACTATCAGCGGTTTGCCCTTGACCATCACAGTTGTGCATTTAAAGCCCCGGTCTGTTAATAACATTTTTCCGACCCGCTTCACCACAGTGGCACGAGTCCTCGTTTCCGTCCCTCTCAAAAAATTTCTGAAAAAGAGAGGATTCCATTAATTTTTCTCTAAACCCACGATGTATTCGCCCAATATATCGCTCCCACGATCAGCTCGTCAGCAGTTTGATAATGAAATGTGGGATCATATCCCTCGACTGGAATAATCGGGAAACAACTCTTTGCCGATGAGGCGAAGAAATGAAAGTCGTCATGAACACCCAAATACAGCACAAAAGCGTTGAAAACGGTGCTGGGCCCCTCGTCAACCCTCTGAAACATGAAATCTTAAGCCGCGCTTCTTGAGCTTACGTGTAGATGTTCAACTTGTTGCTTCGGGAACCATCTGACATCCTTGTTAGGTCGTAGAGTTGGTTCAAAATCCAAGACAAGCTGATAATCCCTCTAAAGACAGGAATTGGATTGTCTGTCCTTTATATATAATATAGCATACCGCCGGCTGTACGGGAAGAGCATCCGCGGGTTCCGATGTATTCTGCTCGGGAGAAGGTGTGTACTGAAAATAATTTTAATAATGGTGAATTAAGACGAAAATCCCCCAAAAAAACTTACGCATCTCTCCGTGTCAGAAGAATCCGAGTCCATTATTAACTTCTATAGGCCAGGCACCTCTATAAAATTTACTGGAAAAGCTATTACCGAATGTATATTTTATTTATAAACGTTAAAAACGGGCGAAATCAGACTGGACTCATATCAAACGGTTTACATTTTGATTACACTAATATTGGTGCGCCTAACATGTATTTTGTAGTCAACTGGCAAATAGCCAAGTGCTGTTTTTTCTCGCGTAATCATTTGTCCGGCTTGAAAAAAGGCGGAAAATAAATGAGAAGAAGCCAAAGAGAGGAAGAAAGCTAAAAATAATACAAATAAACAAATACAAATCTTAAATGTAAAACTGCCCGAAGGCAGAATAATGCATAATGTATAACAAATACGGGTAAAATAAACAAAAGTACTAATATACGCTGATTCAGGGAGTGAATCTATATTTACATCCTAATTTAAATACTAGCTATCTTAAAAGCGGATATCCGGCGGGTAATGCATATGTGCCTGATACAAAAAGAAAATTGCGATGCCGTCGATCATATGAAGACGTCTTCTTCATATGGCACATGAAGAAGAGGACTGGTTCCACGGTCTGCTCCCCCGGTGAGTCCTTTTCTCGTATGCTAATTTTGTTTTTAGGGAAGACCTGGCCATCCTGCTCCGGAACCCAGGGGACTACCTGCTGCGCATCAGCCAAGTGAAGCCCACCGAGGAGCGCAAGCTCATCCTGAGCCTCGCGTACATCAACGACAAGAAATCGGCGGTAAGAATATTGGTGCTATTCTGCTGTTTTATCTGGGCTTAGGCTAGGCTTGGCTTTGTCCAAGGCTAGCTTAGGTCTAGAATGGCTTGGTTTAACCGCAAAAAACTCGAAAAAATATCCTGTTTGAATGCTAAAAGATAATCTACATCTTTTCGTTTAGCTATCGGATGTGGCCGGACACTCGGCGGGCCTGAAGCGGAACACAGCGCCACCACCCCAGCAGCCGCCTCCGCCACCCCCACACCATCCACCGGGCGGCCTCTCTGGAGAAGCAAGGGACGGCATCAAGCGCAGGAAGCACAAGAAGCGAGCCGGAGGATCCATGGAAGGAGGGCGAGCCGATCGGCCTCGTCCACCTGCCCAGCCTGATGCGACAGCCACCACGATGGCCGGTGCCAACACGACCACTGCCGCTGTACCCACCGTCATCCGCAATCTGACGACCACCGCCACCACAGCCACCACCCTCAACACCGTGCACACGCAAATGGAGGAGCCGAGAGTTGCGGTGAGAGGTTTTGACTTTTAATGCTAAATTTTATATTTATATATTTAAACGTAATGTATTATTGCTATTATTATTTCGGATTCGCCCAAGAACAATAATTTTCAGTTGGGCCACTACATCATCGTCAAAGAAAAAGACCCGCCCAACCACTACACCATCGACAACACGCTGAAGGGAGAGACGGTGAGGGATCTCGTGGAGAACTACCGCACGCGAAGGATCCCGCTGAAGAAGGAGGTGAAGAATTGGGATGACTATTTTATGGATTGGAATATGGATTAAACATCCTTATTTAAAAAATTTAAAATTTTCAAAGGTCGATCGAAAGTTTAAAAATGAAACTAAATTCAGGTGCCGAACACCCTCCTCGTCACCCCCGTCACTCGCGCACCCTGGGAGCTCCGGCACGAGCACGTCAAAACCGAGACGAAACTCGGAGAAGGTATTATAATAATTTCTTTGTTTTAAAAATTATGCTTTTTTAGGTGCATTCGGCGACGTCTACTCGGGAAAGTTGAAGATGCACGACGGCGCCGAAATCGAGGTCGCCGTCAAGCTCGCCCACTCGCAAGCCATGGACAAGGAAAAGGTAGCATTATTTTATTTTTTAAAAATCAAATTTTATGTTTCCAGATCAAGGAGCTGATGAAAGAAGCACGGTTGATGAGGAATTTCGCTCACCCAAACGTCGTCCGGATCTATGGGGTCGCCGTCGAGAAGGAGCCGCTGATGATCGTCATGGAATTGGTAAGAATTTGAAAAGCTAGCGATATATTTCAATTTAGGTCGATGGAAACGCGCTCGACAAATTCCTGAAGCTCAACGGCGACAAGCTCGAGCGGGTCGACAAGCTGGCGATGATTTTGGTGGGAAAACATTGCAATTAATTGAAAAATTGTAATTGATAATGTGTAATTTTTAAAATGTAATCGGTAATTGAAAAATTTATTTTTTTTAGGATGCGGCGTGGGGCATCGAGTACCTCCACCACAAGAAGATCATCCACCGCGATATCGCCTCCCGCAACTGCCTAGTCGCGAACAGTCTCTTCGGCAGACTTGTGAAGATCTCGGACTTCGGGTTGTCAAGGGAAGGCGACGAGTACTGCCTGAAGAAAGCGCGCAAGATTGCCATCAAGGTTTGACTGCCAGTTTTTTTGCCCCTTACTTTCCTATTTTAGTGGCTCTCGCCGGAGACGCTGACGACCTTCATCTTCACGCGCAGAAGTGATGTGTGGGCGTACGGCGTATTGAGTGGGTCGATTTGATCTGATAAACTAACGGCTGTTTAGTATGGGAGATCTACGCGAACGGAGAAGAGCCGTACCCCGGCGTCTCGGTGCCCGCCTCGAAACAGATGGTGTTGAGCGGCCAACGACCGGTTTTCCCCGAAGGCACCCCTCCCGAAGTCGTGAGCCTCGTCACCGCCGACATCTGGGAGGTCAACGTCGAGAAGCGCATCACGATGACGGCGGTGGGTTTTGGAAATTTGTATTCGAACCACTTTGCTTTTTTCTAATTTAACTATCTTTTTCTAGATCGCACTGAAGCTGGAAGCCCTCACGCAGCGCAGCCCACCCGACCAGCAGAACTCGGTGCGGAAATGTGCAGCAACCGCCCCATCGCCCGCGAACGGCCCTCTCCACCCGGCCCACCCAGTTCCACATCAGCAATTGAGGCAAGCGCCAACCAAGTTCCTGCCCAACCCGCCGCACCCGGAAAAGGTAATTTTTTCATTGCAGAAATCTCAATAATTTTTTTCTAGAACGCGCGACACAAGGCTACCCGCGCCCCGAAGCAACCCGCCAATCCAGCCATCGCCAACTCGGGCCATCGTCACAAATGAGACGACGACTCTTCAACGAAATCTGCCAAAGTTAAACCATTAATGCATGAACTTGATTTGTCTTGAAATGTGCTTACAGGATGTCAATGTTTTAAATGGAATAAAGTGTGTTTGACGACGTTTTTATTGTCCACCCAGTTGAGCCAGCGGATGTCCGCTTTTGAGATGCATTGACGGTGCTTTGTGGTTACTCTGCCTTTTGAGCCTTCGTTGGGGACCGCTTCTTGATGTAGGCGTTGTAGAAGAACTCGGAGAAGAGGTACAAATAGATCACGTACATCACGCCGCCGATCGCCAACACATTCCAGCTGAAAAGAGAGTGGCTTGCAGAAAAGGTTACGGTTTTTTCGAGACAGTCGTATTTGCTAGGAAATCGGGCGATCAGCCGGCCGCCCTCATGTTTCCCCCGGTGCGATAAGCGGCGCGCAAAAGGTCACCCAAAAAAGGCGCCAATAAATCGGGGGCGGTGGTGCCATAAGCGGGTTATCCGCCGACAAAAACTGTTGTTGAGATGGATCCGTTATTGACATGTACCCAGATTTAGTATGCCCTACCTGGCGTCGCAAGCGCGGCTCTCGGTGTACTTCATCACGATGGCGTGCCCAAAGATCCAGCAGCTGATGACGAACTGAAAACGATGTTCTGCCACTGCTTCGCCTTGCTAACCTGGACAATTTGGATGGTCGTGATGAACTTGGCGAGTGGCCTCGGCAGCTGAATCTTGAGTGCTCGGATGCCGAAATAGCTGAAAATGGCGGCTGAAATGCAGGGATTGGTTGACTCACGTGTACATGACGGTGTGGACAGTCAAGTTCAGCGCCAGCGACCATCTAGCCCATGCTTGCATCTCACTAAAGGTTATTGCTTTATTTAGAGAAAGTTTTTTTGGAAGGCGGATAAGGGTTTGCAGGAATTTGTGTTACCTGTAGGTGAGCTCGGCGTAGACAAAGGTGAGCGCGTGGTGGAACCAGTGCATGAAGATGACCGGTCGCTTGCGCAGCACCAGGAAAGCAGTGTCACCCAACTCGGGCAGCTTGCTCATCACAAACATCCATCCCCAGAAGCCGGTCGACGGGTCCGTGTAGTAGGTGTGGTTGTCGCAGTACGACGCGACGAAGCCGTGGTTCTTCCACACGCCCAACAATTCTGGCACCAACTTGAAGGCGGCCACGCCGGAAAAGGCGGCAAAGATCTAAAAGTTCTTGTTGAAGAAAAAGCTCCGATAGTTTACTCACAAAATTCCAGATGGCTAGCGTGTTGTCGAGCTTGAACTCTTTCAAGTTTTTCATTATTTTTTGGCCGAAATAAATTGCCAACAAATAGCCGACGGCGATCTAGACATAATTTGTTTCATGTTTTAGGCTATTCACCTACTTTATAAGAAAGAGGAACAAAGTAGCCCATGTACTGTTTCGTCTTCTCCACGTCCCATTCGCCCAGGAAGACATCTAGGAAGCCCACGTCGGCGGTCATCGCTAAAAGTAAGGGTGAGCTATATTTTTTGGTTTTTTAAGGAATTGAGATCGAGCATGGAAGTATGGAATCAAGTGAGCAACGGTATAGAAGTTCGAGTTACGGTATTTCCTCTAATAGAAGCTTCACCCCAGGTGCAATCGGCTAAATTCTGAGTCCCTCGAAAAAGAGTTCCTTTTTGTGTATTTTCGAAGTAGTTCAGGGCAGTTTTAAATGGTGAAAACGGAAGGAATTTGTCAGAACCGATCATTGCCCTAGAATATCGTTATTTCGGCCGATCCGAAAAATCGAAGCTATCCCTCGATTAATTCATGTAAAAAATATGCCCTGGCTTTATATTCGAGGAAATACGGTATCGAAAATCGGTTCAAGCTTATCAACAGTGTGGCGATAACCAGGCTAATACGGTGTTCACCACCGAGGGTCTAGCGGGTTCAGCCCCATGAATGGGCGTGCAGAAATACCGGCGCGGGGTTGATGGACGGGGTATCGGCCCAGTGGGGTTGGGCTGGTAGTGATCGCGCAGAGCGAGGGCTCGGGCCACCACCACCGCCCCTTGGCTCACGCCATTCGGTGGGGCGAGGGGCGGCCCATCAGCACACTCGTCCCGAGAGGACACAGAGACTGTGCACCACCACTAGGGGCAAAGGCCACCTCAACACCGTCCACTCTCTTTCTCCCATTTCCTGCCCCGGTCGACACCTTCAAAGATATGACCCGGCTTCTGATAAGCCCATCGTAATTATTGGAGGAGGCCCTTTTGGTGAGGACAGCCGGGTGGTGTGAACGGGCTAAAGGGATCGTGCCCGCAGGAAATCAGCACTTGATGTATGGGGATGCGGTGCATTGGTGTTTGCATTCCAGGTGGTACGGCTGCTAGCGAAGGGAAATACTGGGTTCTTGGACCCAATGATCAAATATACGTGATTTAGGCAGTCTTTTGCGCAGCTTTTTTAAAGTTCAGCAAGTTCATAAAAATTCTAAATGTCTAAAACATCTGTTTAATACTTTTTAGCTATCAAAAATGATGAAAACGCTGGAGAAATACTCGATAAAACGCCAGAAATTTTTCCTTCCCAGCTAGCTTCTACTGGCTACCCCCCCCCGCCGCTAATAGTCCAGTACCGAAATTAGTTTACTTCTGCGTCGAGATATCGTATCCTAGATCTCGGAAAAGGGAGCATGAACAAAATTGGCCCCTCGGAATAGCTGATAAATAGCGATCAAGCTTCGGCGATAGGCTGACTGACATATGTAGTGCCGGCCGAGCTTTTCTTCTGGAAGCTATAAAATATGTTGGTAACAAGGGAAAAAGGTAAGAAAAATTCTAAGGTTCGCTAAATCTATTATTAATCCGTTGCTGCTAAATCAAAACGTAATTTACTAATGAAAGGACGGACCTGTTGCGTTTTGTGGTGGTGCACCGCTGTTGACTAGAAACTTTTGAGTCACCTCCGGCCGGCGCGTTTTCGAGGGCATATCGATTTGATTTTTAGGTGTCCAGCATTAATGGGTTAATCAAGAAAAGTCTTGTTCAAAGATACTTCCACTTCTAGCGAGGGTTTACTCGATAGTCTAGCATTTCCAGGGGTGCCTTCCATAATAAAAACTGCGTATTCTTTCGGGATCCATGCCCTAAATTAAGGTAGCAGAAATTATTAAATTTAGTAATTTTTTATTTCTTGAAAATCCTCATTTTAGATAGTACTCTTCCAAAATACGGTTCGTCACGGAAAGCTTCTTGCTACAAGGTGTCCGAAATACCGTGTTTCACCCATTTTTCTGGTAATATGAAATTTATATAAAAGAGGGATCTTATTGAATTTAGTGTTTTTCATCTCTTCGGAATTCGACAGTACTTTCTTTCCAAAATACGGGTGAAGCTGGCAAAGCGTGTTGCTAAAATGTGTTCTGAATACCGTGTCCCACCCTTCGGCGTCTGCCGCCCTGATATTAGCGGTGTTGGAGAATTGCGCAGGTGCCTGGCAACTGCTTTTCTTGTCGGCGAGCTATTCGCCCGGGGATTTTGTTGGCGAGTCCGGTGGGTTCTCCTCCGGCGTGCGTGTGGGGGGTCTTTTCCTCTCTTCCCAGCACCCCACCCCAATCGATCGCCCGAAGAAATAAGGGTGGCTCGGAACGTTCGTCAGACCCGCGTGTTCAGTTTTCAGCCTTCCCAAATTGGCTGATGACCCCTGCAATCATTTCGCGAGCATTCCAACATGATATTTCCCTGTTTTTGTCGGTAATTAGCAAATGTCACAGGTTTTACACGGTTCGCACGGCAGCCTTCCCCAAGTGAACCTTGTATAATAATAATGCCATAATTATTAAGCCAACTATGCATTGATATAGCGCTGTTAGTAATATAATGTATCAGAGCAGATGTTTTATACGTATAATTAGCTATTTTAGGGTCAAAATACTTATGGCTATGTTTATTATTACAATCATGCGATACATTTGCTCATTTACCGTTTCTAAACCTTGTATCCGATACCTCGTGTCACCTCGGCTAGCAATTCTCGATCGAAAGTCTTCTGCTGTTTTTATTTCCTTTTCTTCTCTAGTTCCACCCAGATCTTATAATTTTGCCATTTTCAGCCAGCAGTCTGTCAGCTCGCCAATCAAGATGGCGAGTGCGCTGCCGCGCCGGATAATCAAGGAGACACAGAGGTTGATGCAGGATCCTGTTCAAGGAATCGCCGCCACACCTGACGACAATAATGCTAGGTTGGTGATTTTTAACTTGTCCGGTTTGCCACATAAAATTTTCAAAACTATTTTTTATCCACCGATTGTTCTGGTGGATCCCCCAAATTCAAGATTTCTCGCGAATTACTAATCTTTTTGTTTCAGGTACTTTCATGTGAGCATCACGGGTCCCGAAGATTCCCCTTTTGCCGGTGGCGAGTTCAAGCTCGAGCTGTTTTTGCCTGAAGAATACCCGATGGCGGCCCCCAAGGTTTGGCAATTCTTGGCAATCTCATCTTTGCTTTAGGTGCGGTTTATGACCAAGATCTACCATCCAAACATCGACAAGTTGGGGAGGATTTGCCTGGACATTTTGAAAGGTTGGTTCTTCGGCTGGGTTCTCAACCAGTAATGATAGATAAGTGGTCGCCAGCCCTGCAAATTCGAACAGTGCTCTTGTCGATCCAGGCTCTTCTCTCTGCACCGAACCCGGAGGTTGGCTATTTTAATGCATACCGTTAGGCTAGATTCTGTTTGTTCGAACCGGCTTTAGCAATAACCTCGAAATTGGATGCTGAATACGCGTGATCCATTTCTAGGCAAAAATTCACAATATGAAGACGTAATTCGCAAAGAGCAACACTTTCTATAAATTTTTCTAGTTGCTTTTTTTCAGGATCCCTTGGCGGCTGACGTCGCGGAGCAATGGAAGACGAATGAAGCAGAGGCCATCCGCACAGCTCGCGAATGGACCCGTTTGTACGCCCGGCCCTGATCCTTATGAAGCTTTTAGTCATTTACTTGAACTCTAATCCATTACGGTCATTTCATTTGTCTACTGTGTTTTCGCCCCGATGTTTCTGTTGTTTTCCCGTGTCCATCGAGCTCTTTGGTCGTTTGTGCGATGTGGTTTCATAAAAGTCTTTAAATTTTTATTGTGACCGGCGATTCATTCACTCGACATGCCGAGTTTTGAGCATTGTATATCGAATATCACAGTCATTTAATCTCGGCTGGGGGTGGCTGGATGTTCAACGGGCTTTCCGAACGCGCACAACCAGTCCGATGTAGCCCATCGTGTAGATGACAACGACGCCTAGGGGCATGACAGCGAGATTGAAGAGGAGGTTGTCTTTTGAGAAGTTCAGCGAGCGAATCACCTGTAATTTTTTATGCCGTAGTATGATGCACCGTTACCTCATCCCCGTTGTGCAGACATTTGGCGTCGGATACATTGCGCTCAATGGCACGGTTGCTGCCCATAACGCATGGAATGTGGCTGTAGATGGGGTTTGACCACTCGTTGACGATCAACGCCTCGTACGCGTAGCGGAACCTAAGGGGTTCCATGTCTTGAAATGGCGCTCTTCGCTACCACGACAGATATTGGATCCATCGGCTCCAGTCTGGCATCACGGACACGTTGGTGAAGATGCCGCCGGTCAACGAGAACAGGGTCAACACCGGGCCAGATACGGCAATGGCGATCGAATAGGATGGGGTTACCTGAGTCACGGTTTGCTATGCTTTTGTGAAACAAACCGAACAAATCATGATGCCGAGACTGGCCGAGCTCAACTCGACGAGCAGCCCGACGAACAGGGTCAACATGAAACGGGTGATGCTAGCCGAGAAGCCGATGAACCAGTAGGAGATGGACACGAAGAGGATGCCATCGATCGAGAAGATTGGCACGTATGAGAGTAGCTAGGGGGTTTATATGTTATTTTTAATGGTTTGCACTACCCGAGCCACGTAGTAGGCGGATGTCGGGAAGATCCCATCGTGATATTCGCGAATGAGCAGCGGAAAGTCGCCGGGCAGATAGGATTGAATGCCTAAGAAACTTGTTGATGGGGCTGGGAATGGTAATCTACCGTAAAGTGTAGCATACGTCAACTCGGAGATGTAGTAGAACAGGCTGCCCTTTAGGTTTTGGACGCCGTTCTGCAGTATTGGGAGCAAGGTGCGAATTGTCTTTTACCTGGGTGGTGAAGTATTTCCAGTGTTGGTAGTAGAGCAACCCGAGGAACAACCCCATGAAGGCCTTCTGCGCGAATTTCGCGGCGACCACGGAGGGGGTGCGGTAGTTGTCGATCAAGTAGCTTTAAGAGGCGTTAATTTAAGTTTGAGCGTTATTTTTTATCTTTTTTTTTCATTCCGAAGCGTAAAAACTTTACAAACTTTTGTCAACAAAATACAAAAATATAGCTTTTCGACCAAAATTTCAAGATTTTAAAAGTTTTTCTACAAATGTTCCACGTTTCGGTAGTTAATTTTGCGCGAAAAACCCCACCGCTTCCACAAGGCGAAAAAGAGGATGATGAGGCCGGGCGGTGGGATAGCGTGTAGCTGACGCGGCCGAGCGGCCTCCTCGATTTGTGCGTCGCACAGCTGCTTGTACTCGGACTTGGCGAACGCGTCGCAGATCTTGGTGCCGCGCTCGCGCGAATCTTTCGGGTGATCCGGGTTGAAGGCAAGGGTCTAGGAAAGGTATTAAAGGGGTAATATATAATATTACGTTGATGAAAAAGTTGGCCGGGTTGGTGCGCTCGGGCAACAGGTAGCCGGCCGATCCGAAGAAATGGACGGCGTTCAGCGGAGAGCCGATGAAGGCGATTCGGCCCTGGCATAGGAAGACAACCTAAGAAATGGGAAAGGGGTTCTGTTTCGTTAGCGGGGGGGGGGATTTGGTCGAAACCTCACAATTTGTGAAGTAGAGTTTTCGATTCACCTTGTCAAAAATCTCGAACGTCTCGGCGTTGGGCTGGTGAATGGTGCAGACGACGGTCATCCCGTTCGCGGCCAGCATTTCGAGGCGCTGAATTCAGTTTTGGAGCGCATTTTAGCAAGTGATACGCACCTTGACGACAACGGCCGACATGTGAGAGTCAAGTCCAGTTGTCGGCTCGTCGCAGAACAGCAGCGGGGGCTGCTTCAGCAATACCGTCGCAAAAGCCAACCGCTTCAGCTCGCCACCGCTGATTCCCTGCAGCAAGAATACATAGCTTCCCCGGGAATGTGAATTTCTCACTTTTTTCACGCCTGGTGTGCCGATCCGCGAGCCGCGCGCATTGTCGAGCAGCATCGAGCGCATCACCTAAAAGATGTTGGTGAGGTGAGCCAGTTAGGGTTGTAGTAATGTTTCCGGCTTGGCATTAAGGTCTTTAATAGTTTCCAATAACCAAAAATTACAAAAAAGGCTGAGGGGCGGTTTTAACCTTTTTTGGCTCATTGTCTACCACTTTTCATATATTTTCGACTAAAATTACATACATTTTTAACGTTTAGGCTAATTTGCTGAATTATTTTGCTGTTTTTATACTTAAAAACAGCGTAACATTTGCAAAACTAGACTGTATTTTGGCCAAATTCTATGAAAAGGGGGGGGGGGGCGGGATTAGTGAGAAAAACTAGTTTCCCAGGCAAAACCCCCACCGCTAACAGCGCAATACCGTTTCACCTTATGAACATGGTCTAGTATTAAAAAAATACCTCTTCAACCCGTCGGGCCCGCTGCCGGGCGTCCATGGTGCCGGAAAGGCGCATCAGGGCTTGGATCGTGAGATGTTCTTCCACCTATATTCACGTTTATACATAGAAAAGAAGCCACCTACAGTGAGTGTGCCGAGGAACAGATCTTCCTGCTGCACATAGCCACAAACACCCGTCATGGCCGAGCCGAGCTCTTGCCCGTTCGCGTAGACGCCGCCCTGAAGGAGATCAACGTTTTTGGAAGGCCAATTGATCTACAAACTCCAGAAATAACCGGTGCTGGACTGTTAGCGGGGGAGATTTTCGTGCCAAATCCCCCCTAACAGACCAGAACCAATCAACCATTAACCATTACCCGAATCTGCAACCCCTTCGTGTTACGCCGCAGCAGCGTGTTGAGCAGCGTCGTTTTGCCGGCACCACTAAAAGAGCTAGAAATATTTTTGAAATTCGGCCTCGCCTAGCCCCCATCAATGCGCATAGCTCGCCGGGGTTGACGACGCCCGAGACGCCCTCCAAGAGCGGCCTCCCCTTGGCGGTGCGCACGTAGATGTTCTTCCAGTGGAGCGTCACGTGCTGCTTCTCGGCGTCGCACATTTTTGGGGTACTGTGATCTGTGATTTTTCCTGCTTATTGTTGCCGAAGGTTAAGTCAAAAATTCTTTATTATTATGATAATCTCTGCATAATGGAAATATCGGGGGGGAGGGGCATGAAATGAGGGTCCAACAACGAAAGGAGGCGATGAGCAAGCGGTTGCGGCTGACAAATGGAAGATTCGGGGCGGCTTTTGGAAAACGCGGCGTCGATTTTGAAGGGTTTACAATTGTTATCAATTTAAAAAATTGCAAAAATAATGGCATTTTTGCGAGGCGGTTTCTAAGCTTCACAACACGCATCTACATCGGGGATTGGTGGGTACAGGGAATATTATTTACGCTAAACAACAGTTTTATATTTATTTGAGCAGCGCGTAGCCGGCTAGCGCGACCAGTGGCGCGAAGAAGGTGATCGAGGAGGCGTCTGAAATGTTTAGTATTCTACTTTTGCGAATCCGGGCCCAATTTGACACAAAAATGAAGAAAACCGGGAGACTTTCATCAATCTTTGACAAAAAACCAAATTTCCGAAAATTTTAAAAGGTTTTTATTGTTTCTATTGTCAAAAAGAACGTAAAAACTACATGATCTTCACAGCAAAAAGTTATAATTGATAGGCTAGTTTTCGCATCTGAAAAATTGCTAGATTAAAGTGACAACGTACCGTTACATCCCATCTTGTCGTTACACTGGTTGATGGTTCGGGACACGCCGGTCGAGCCCTGAATCAAATTATCATTATTTTTCATACGTTTATTTGTATTTCATGCTTCTAAACTGATCGTGCAATCTACCTTGCTGTTCTTGTTCACCAAGTTCTCGCCGGTGTAGGCGCACTCGCGGATAAGGGTGTAAACGGCTGAAATGGTTTTTTAAAACTTTAAACATCTCAACTTTCGATGCTTACAAGATCTTATAAAGATCTATGTTGTAAACAGGACTACACTAGCGCACCAACGTACGCTAATGTGAAACTTCGCATATACTTTCAGGGATCAAAAAGACCAACTTCTTTCGTCAAATTTTCTCATAAAAACCGTAAGTTTTTCCAACTTTTTCTTACTATTCCTAAATGTAGAAAAACTCAGGATTTTCCAAGAAAAGTACAAAAAAATAGATTTTTCGAGCAAAGAGATTTTGGACTAAGATTTTAGTTTTAGTTAGTTTCTATATGATTTTTCAACCGGGAATTAGTTGTATTTTACGAAAAACACTATGTATTACTAATACCCCCCATAATTCCAAAGCTCCGCTCATTATTAATAGAGAAATCCCGACAAACCTCCGACGTGCTGATCCGTTTTCCGGCATCCAATCGGCTTGTGCGCCTTGCCGCCGATCGACTTTGAGGGGCAAACTAAACGTTTTTCGCGTGAGAGTTCCACTTTATTAACCAAAGAAAAAGACCAAAAATACGATAAATCAGACATACCTTTCAGGAACGCCTCATAATCGTCGACGCACTTTGACGTCTGATCGGAATTGCATTGGTAACACCTGGAATCGGTTGTAAATTCGATAGATTGCGGGAACAGCTTCTACAAAAAACCTAAACTAACCGGAAAGCATCAGCCGACACGACGACGCAGAAGGCGAACAGGCAGAGTAGCAATCGCATTGTCAACCTGCAAAATCTGGAAATTAGGATAAAACCGGTGTAAAAAAACCGATCAAAACATGAAATTGCTCCCAAAGAAAAATAAAAGAATAAAGAAAAAGATGTGGCTAAAAATATACTTCTTTTTTTTCTTGCTAAATCTGTTTTGCGCGTAAGACTGAAGCGGATGGGCCCTCGAGCGGCCCGTGAATGGATTAATGAGAAGCGTGCACTTGTCGACAAAGAAAATTGAACGGGCTTGAAGTGTCGTCGTGCTTTTGGTTCCTTGCCAAAACGTATCCCGGGGATTTTTTGGTATGAAAATCAATGTGAGAAGCCGGAGCGCATGAATTTTAGAGTCGGCGTTTTCAGCTCTATTCAGCGCATGGGCCCAGTCATTGGCCATTTATTTCGGCGTTCGTCACACGAAAAAAAAGAGGTTTTTTAGGGTAAAAAAAGAGAAAAACATCTTCTGCACCGGATTCTAACCGAAAACAGGCTAATTATCTTTTTTGGAAAGGAAAAGGAGTACAATTAAAAGTTTTTTGTAGTTTTGACAGAAAAACAGCCCGCTCAGGCCGGGTTTGAATAAAAAGAGAAGGGAAATCAAAATATATCGAAGTTTCGGCTCAGGTTTCAGTTCTCAAAGATATCGACATTTTTGTTATTTTGTCGGGATTTTCTCGATGCCACGCGATAGAGCGTCCAAAATATATTAGGAGTTTATTTTTTATTTACAGCTCAACGTATGCTAATAAAAATATGGCAAAAACGAAAATAACACATTACAAAAAGTTGCGACTATAGCACGCCGACACAATTGTACCTAGCAAATTGGCCATCTCCGACGCGCCGCTAAATCCCCGTTAGTAGCCGACCAATATGCTAACTTCCCCTCCTAACCCAAGTAAATATTTGACCCGGACCCCCGCGACAGCCCCTAACCATACAGCCGGCAACAACTTCCGGTAAGCATAATTTGGTGGCGGTGCGCGAAAGATGGCCCAATAATCGGCCACATAAAAACCAGTCAAGTGAAGAATGAGGATATACCTCGGATTTTAGGTTGTTTTGAGGGCAATGAAGCCTGGTGGGCGGTAAGGTATAAGTGGGGATCCAGGGGCAGCTCTTATAAGGGATCTATGCAAACAGGCAATGGCAAATATTCGAAAGGGTCTAGAGGAGGAGGGGTAGATGAATGTGTAGATCCATCCCTTTGAGGGATGATGGCAGGGATGCTTGGGGAAAATAAAGGTTAAAAGGTTACGAATTCGATTGCCTTTTCCTCTCAATGTTTTCTTTTGAATTTGAATTTAAAAGGAAACACAATGGTTCCTTTTCGCCTGGAATTTAAAATTTTACCAAGTTTTTAAATGGTTTCCCGCTTGAAATAGCGCTACAGATAAGCGATAAAAATACTTTTTAGTACATTTCTAGGTATATCGATATATAGATCGATTTTTCGACCAAAAAAAGGGCAGTTTCCGATAAAACTTTACAATTTCTAAGCTATTTTCCGAGGTATTTATAGAGTTTTTGCTTGTAATCAAGCTACAGAGAATGAAATAAACAATAAAAATACTTTCTATAAATTTCTAGACATATATGGACATAAAGAAAAAAATTCGGCTGGAATTATGACAATCCAGCTCAAATTTTACTCTTAACGATAATTTTTTGCTACTAAACGACTAGACGTCCTAACAAACATCAATTACTTCGAAAAATCATCTTCAACATACCAAATATAGTTTCAAAGTAAGCAAGAGCCGTAGGTGTCACTACCACAAGTGTCGAGCACCCGAATTTCCGCTACACTCAAAATTATCGAAGCGCAAAACGGGGTGTGTATGTGAGCACCGTAAAGTGTTGCGTTGCCCGAGTCAGTGAAGGGTGGACAACACGATTTTGGGGGGCGGGGGACCGTTGCCTGGCCGGGGTATGTTTCTGCTCGATTTGCCTCGATCCGCGCGCGTCGAGAGAGTGGCACAGAAAGTGACTATGGCTGAGAGAAAAGATTTCCGAAATCAAGGTCGCTTTTCCGTGTCTTTGCCATTTTTTGGGGAGGCGCACATCAACACCCACCGAGCATCGATCCTAAATCGGAGATACGGCCATTTCGGGCGGGTCGGGGGTGAAAAAAATGGCCATTTTAAGGGGCAGCGGGCAGCAGTAACGGAATTGGGTTTAATTGAATGCACAAAAATAGTTGTGGAAACTTTTGGAAGTGAAAAAACTTTCGGAAAAATCAGCACGAATTTTCAATCACTGCTGGCCAAATCGAGCTTTATTCTAGTGCTCAAAAAACCTATTTTCGACGAAAATATTTTGTATCTCAATGAGTTAGACGCTTGAAGTCCAGAAAGAATTTTACATCTGTTCAGAATCAACGGCAAAATCCATTTAGGGCCCTTTCTGGTCGGTTTTCGTTAACTAAAAACGCACTGACCCCAGGGCTATAGAAGATTCTAACCGAGATAGGTTATCTCCAGTCCAATAAACCACATTGTCGATATATAAGAATGAAATTTAACCCGGAGTTTTTAAAAAAGCGCGCGACATAGTTTTTCTGCAGAAATAAGTGCACTTTTCAGTTTTTCGCCTCACCAAAAACCTCAACCTTTGTTTGCACATCGTCTTAATTAACCCAACGATCCCTAGCGAACGATACAAGGTAAATAGATGCGTGAAAAAAACTCGAAAACTACGAACTAAAGTAGAATTCAGAATATTCTCGGATGGGCAGTGGGGGTCGAGGGGGCAAATGGCCCCCAGGCCATCCATCCCCATGACACCAAAAGACGACTTTCAGACCGGGGGGCGCAAGTCGACGGGCCTTTTCGGCCACTTATATATATTTCGGGGGTCGGGGGCCCTTCTCTCGCCGGGGCCCCGGGGCGATATAAAAAGTTTGACACGTTTATTGGGGGCTCACTTGCGCTGAAGCGGGCTTAGAAAACCTTTAGGTGGCTAAGAAAAAACGAAAGATTAGATGCTAAAATTATAATAGAGTCCAAAAAGCAGAAATAAATCGAAAGCTGCACGAAAGTGCCAAAAAGGGGGCTTTTAAAGGTGTCGAATACCTACAAATTACGAAAAATACAGAGAAAAATTTTAACTAAATTTAAGACGCGGAAATCAATCAAAAACGGAGCAGGAAAAAGTGCAAAATGAGCTAGATCGTTCCAAATTACAACAAAACCCTCGTAGAAAAATAAAAGCCCAAAAATGGACTAAAAAAATGCTTAGTCCGTTAGCAAGGAAACTAGGAAAAATATATTTAAAAGTTTTAGTCAAGCCTGGTAATAAGAAATCGATCAAAAACATCGCGCAAATAGTGGTAAAACAAGCTTAAAATGCCTCAGCCGCCCATTTAAAAGTTAGGCTTAACTGCAGGAAGCAGAAATAGATAAAATCACAGAAAAAAAATGCCTTACAAGCATCGGAATTATATTTAAAAGTTATAATAAAGTCCGGAAACAAGTAACAAATCAAAAACAACAGAAAAAGTGCTAAAGTGTGCATGGACGTGGCAGCAGGGCGATGGGAGATGACAGATTCCCCCCACGGGCGGTGTGCCCCTCACTTCGGTTCGGATAACAAGCCCGGCTCGTTACAGCGCCCCACAGCACCAACCCAGCAAAAAAATGCAAAAGAGAAAGCCCGGAGCACATGCAGGGGCTCATGCTCCCCTCTAGAGGAGCTCGAGACATGCAAACCAACCGGGGTTTGGCCTCAGCAAAAAATAAACAGCCGGGCGGTGGCATGTGGGGCTGGGGTGGGATGACAAAGTGGCACGGGGATTAGGCCCGGGATTGATCGTTGCTTTCCGGGGGCTTTCCATTTTAAGAGATTTTCGGGCCATTGCGAAAGGTAATTTGTTTTTATAAACAAATATTAAAGAAATAACGATTGCTTACGCATGGTAAATGAGTAAACGTCGGAAATCGCAGACTTGAGGAAAGCGTTAAATATAGGCTAACTACTGTAAGCTCACTTTGAAAACGTGATTTAAAAGAAGAACGTGGGCGTGATCCAGATCCGGCTTGATTCACTTTTTAAAACCTTGAAATGAACTGATTACGCCACGTAAAACGTTTGGTATCGAAAATTTTAGAGAGAAGAAAATTTCTTGTTTCAATTTTAATAGAAACCAGCGCCCAAAACCCGCTTCGCGGGCCTTGGGCGCTGGAATGTGGCCTTTGCATGAGAAATTTGACTTCCTGATAGCTCGGGTCCTTCGGACCCCCTCCCCCCCGTCCGACCACACGCGCGCGTGCAACTTGCAAGAATGAGGAAATTTGTATTTTCTCGCATTATGCAAATTAACCCCTCAGGAACCCCCAAAAATGAATAAAACCGGCCTTAACTTTGTAAACTTGTATTTTATCGAAATTCTGAAAACGCCATCGGAAACAGAAGGGTCGATTCCCCCTAGTGACGGAGAATTGGGACGTTTTGGACACGGGAAGGCCCTCAAATCGGGCCTCGAAACTGACATCCACACACACACACAAAGATACACGCCAAAATTATATAAGGTAGGATTATTCGGGTTTAGTCGATTACGTCATTTAAAAGCATTTAAAAGATGCCAATCAAAGATTCAGCGTGGGATTAGGCGTGCCTCCAAAGCTTTTCCAAGGCCAACGGGGAGTAGAGCCCAACACAAAAAAACGAAAATCGAACGAGAGTCCGAGAGCGCGACTGGGGGGGAATGAGGTTGGGAGGAGAAGAACCGAATTGCCCCTTCAAAGGCATCCAGACAGCCCTCCTCTTTTTGTGTTGAGAAGCCAAAAAGCTTTTCCGAAACAGGGGGCGAGAAGTGTGGCAACAAAATTGAGTACATTTCGTTGCGACACACGTTCGAGCTGTTTTTCGTGGGCGGGAGAAATCATCGAATTCGCACTGGATTCTCGGCTGCAGGGGCTCTTTAAAGGGACTGGGAAGTAGGAAAATCGGCCCCCGGTTTTGGCAGGATGTCGGCATATACTTATGGCTGCCCCAAAAGAAGCTGATGCTCCGTTTTAAAGGGACCGGCAAGGCAAAATTCTTATAGATTTTTGGCGGCTGCCTTTTTCCTATTTTTCGGCCTTGTCATCTCGTCGGGATTTAATTACGCAATGGAATGGTAAGTTGGATCCTTGCGTGTTGTGCGCTGTAAAATCAATATGCAATTCATAGCCGGCTAAATCTATAGTAATTCCGGACTTGCGAATCCCTTTAAAGCCATCAAAGTAAATTTGAGGCGTCATTTGGCGCGGCGCGTAGCTTTAAAATCAATAAATAATAAAACTACAGTACAAAGAGCTTGCGAAAAAGCGTCCAAAGGAATCCTATGTGGCCTACCCATGGGCAACGCTGCGCTCCACTGGACACGATCATCCATTGGCGTAACCGTTTTAGCTTTTGTTTGTGTTTTTTTGCCATTCAAAAGCTTTTGTTTCATGTTTCTTTTACAGTGATTTAATAGGAGCATCAATTAGCTTTATTCTGATATGGTCACGAAAAAAACGGAGGGGAGACAACATGTACAATCGAAGGAAATGGTGTAAGCAATAAGAGGAGGACATCTACTCTTAATCAATGATACCCGGCATCAAGATCGAGGAAATTCATAGCGGCGAAAAAAGGGTCAGCGGCAAGCAAGTTTTTGGGGTGGGTTTTTTGGTTTAATGGTGATGGTGATCGGGGAAGCCGCCGTGCTTTTCGATCTGAAAATTAATGAGGTTATTTTTCTTTTCTAAATCCCGTTTTTCAGTAGTTTTTTCTTATAGAATAGTTACGATTCCGTTACTACGCATTCCACGACTTATAGGAAAAAAATTAAGTCGCCCCCCCGATAATGCGAAAGAACAAAAACTTCAGTTATTTGGTTTAAAATCCAGTTCACGCCCCGCGGATTCTTATGCTTGAAAGCTATCAAAAAGTGCGTTTTTCTTCGAAATATTTCGAGTATTTTCTATAACTCGCCTGTCGCTTGATGACCTCATCGGCGACGGTCTTCCGGTCGTACACCCAGCCGAGGGCGGCAAACGTGTCGATGAGCAATCGGGTCCAGTTTAGCTTCAGCGAGTACTCCGACGCGCGGTAATCCTGTAAGGGTTATTGTTTCGGGTTTTGCGCGCGATTTTCGTTCTCGAACATTTAAAAGTCGCCCTCACTACCGTACCTGGGGGAAAGTGTGGTGGAAGTTGTGTCCGCCCTCGCCGACAGCGACCATCGTGGTCCACATCGACTCGACGGAGGTGATGTTCCGGTCGTAGGGCTTGTAGCCGACGTAGTGGGCGAACGAATTGACGCACCTACAATAAAAATGTTTATTACTTAACACGATAAATTTACCTTTTATTATATTTACCATATATATTTTCTAATTAAATTTAAGATTAATCACCGTACCAAGTGGCGTGCAGCGTCCAGCAGTAGCGGAACAGGGCGGCCGTCGTGTAGGCGACCATGGCCGACTCGCCCCAGAAATAGACGGGGATGGCGGTGGGGAGGAGGAAGCAGAAGACGGCCACCATCGGCAAGTAGTATCTGGAAAGGAAGAGGTTATATTTGCAGCCGCTAATCCCGGAGATTCGTCGAAAAAACTTACTTTCTCTGGAAGGCGCAGACGGGGTCCTCGTAGAGATCGCTCAGGTCGAGCTTTCCTCCATTCTGCTTGACTTGAGGGTGCTTCTTCACGAGCAGCCATCCCATGTGCGCGAAGAAGAAGCCTGAAAAATGAGAATCATAAGGCCATAAAACGCGATTTGATAGCGAATAGCTAAATCTTAAACGACGCTCACCGCGACGAGTGTTATGCGGATCGGCATCCGTGTCGGTCCACTTGTGATGGCAACGGTGGTCGCGTGCCCACTCGATAATGTCATTCTAAAATCGTTATATTAAACGTATAATCTAACGTTGAATAAAGTAATAAAGTAGCATAAGTATTAAATCATCCTTTTCAAATATAAAAATCTATTAATGCTCACCTGGAATGCCATCGTCTGGCAAATCATCAGAATCACTCGTGCTGGCAGGGTGGCTTTGTAGGAGCGATGGGCCCAGAGGCGATGAGCGCCGGCGGTGATGCCGACTCCAGAGAACACCCACAGACCGAACGCTGAAAAGAGATTTTTAGGTCCATAAATATTTGTTTGTTTTGTTTATTTGTGGAATTTATGTACTATAATAAACGAAATTCTCCATTTTTACACAATAACAATCGATTAAAAACGTACTCCACGCAACGGTGGCCCATCGCGCCGCGGTGAACATGTGGTACACGCCGGCGAACGCGCCAACGTGAAGGACGACGAACAACGCGACGTTCCGCCAAACGATTGTACCATCGTATTTGATCTGGAAAAAATAAAAAATAAATACATTTTTTACGATAACGTTTCATATGCCTTCCAACAGCTCGGAAAAAATAACAAACATTTTTTAAAATCGTATACCTTTTTGCTCTCCTCCTGGAGCCGGACCATCTCCTCGAGGTCGGCGGAGAGGAATTGGTCGCTGATCGCCTTCTCCCGCTCGATCTTCTCCTTGTTCTTGGAGGCGTACGTCTTCGTGACGACCGTCATTTTGTAGTTAGGGTAACCCGAGTCTGGAAATGGCGGTGTAAAATGGAAAAGAGGGAAATACAGAAAAGGAGGAAATGGAGAATGTTTTGTTATAATTGAGGGGAAGAAGAAGAGAGAGAGAGAGAGAGAGAGAGAGAGAGAGAGAGAGCGAGGGATAGATAGATAGATAGATAGAGGTAGTAAAAATTCAGGGCATGTGTGCGAGCGGGAGTGAGAGAGAACGAGTTAGTGAGTGCGAGAGAGGGCGGGAGAGAGTCGGTTAGTGAGCGAAAGAGACAGACAGGCAGCTATGGATAGAGAAACAACCCCATAAAAAGCCCCAGAAACCAACATTAAAAAAAAAATAGAAGAGGAGATACATTTATTTCGACAAAAAGCCTTTATGCTTTTTAGCGAAAAGGCCAAGCAAAAAGCTCAAATGAAAACTAAAAGAAAATCTTTAAAAAATAAGAATAAACCCAACCCCAAAGAAACTTTAAAAGTGAAGAGCCTCAGATACGGTGGTGTGATAGTTGTTGTATGGATAGGTCAAAGGGGGTGGACCATTTGGACCCCTCCTCCCCCCAGCCACAGCTCGAATGAGGTGGCGTGATCCTGGATAGCGGGTCAGTCACCCACCCAGCAGACGCCGCGCTCCACTAGCAAACCGCGTGAAAAAGGCGAAAGAAGGGAAAAGGGCACAAGAAACGAATGTTTATACACACAATTTACAGGCGCTGCTCCGGGGAAAGAGAAAGATAAAAACGAAACGAATATGTACTTTCGGAATTTCAAAAGAGAAATCATGCGATTTTACCAGACCCGTAGTGTTATTTACAATAAAGATAAAAACCGGTATTACAGAAAGGAAACATGCGAGTTTCGGAAGCCTTGGAAAGTTAGCTTTTAAAAGTACTCATAATTTTTAGAATTCAGGCGTTTTGAGCTTGGTCTAAACCCATTATCTGGTGTAGAATTTTCCGCTGATTCCGAATCTGCCTTCAGAATTTGTCGAACCACCATATTTAAGAAATTACAAAGTGTTTCGGCTTTGGAAATGCCGTTTTTCTTCGATAAAAATTCGTTACATACGTCAGAACTTTTCAAAAAAAATAGCTGTTCCGAAAATTCTGAAGCCAGCTCCAGCCAGCGCAAATTTCTGAAGCAAAAGGGCGCTAAAATGAAACAATTTAAGCATGGAATCGTTAGAGAATAAGAAATAAGGCTAAGCATAACATTCGAAAAAAAGCTTAAACCTAGTAAACCGAGCTCTAAAACACTTTTCTGATCCCCTAACGATGAGCACCAGTGGAAAAAATAGGGCTTTGAACTCTAAGAATCCTTAGAAAAAGCGGGGACCAACCTAGAAACCCCGGGTAGGTTCCCGAGCGGACCGTTCATCGCGAGATAACCGGCCGGGTCTTTTATGCGGAACCCTCGGGTGGAATGGCTACGGGTCGTAGGGCATTTCATCCCCTCCAAGATCACCCCATGCAATTGACGCCCCATCTCTCGGAAAACGGTAATCTCTATCCCTGACACTCTCTCGCCATCCTTGCTTTGCGGGCGAGACCACGAAAACACGTAGCTGTTCTTCCTGTTGCTTCGGCTACAATTCCCCGTGAATCGGAGCAGCAGATAGTGCGCGTAAACAGCAACAAATCTTGCAAGCTATCAAGCTAATTCGACGTTCGGGTACTGTACTTTTAGCAGGGGGAACCGAATTTTCCCCAAGTTATTGCATACGCCCCTATAATAATCACATCAAAAACCATTTTTATAGCATTTTACGCCGTTTTTAGATGCACAGAGTTCATCAAGATTGTGAAAATTATCGAATATTTTGGAATTTTTGGTAAAAACGTACGAAAAATGACCAAAATAAGCTCTTTTCGGATTTTCAAAAAATTCCTAAAAATTTTTTCAGAATTTTGCAAATAAACAGATACTTTAGGAAGTTTGTTTTAGATAGTTTACGCGTTGATTCCTCCTATTGAAGATTGGCATCGGTTTGCAAGTTTTAAGCTTACGGAGCTTTTTAGAGAGTTTTTACTCAAGGTTTCTAGTTTTGTGGCGAATGGCTGACCAAAAGATCAACACCACCACCCCAGCCCGTCACAATTTTGCCCCGCTTTCCCCCTCGAACTCCCCGCGATTCTGTAGCGTAGCAGGGCAATGCAACGCCGCGTTTTTTCACGGCAATTTGTTTATCGCTTCTCCGATGCCGCCCGCTATCTGTTGCCCCGATTTCTAGGCAAGATGCCTTGGGTAGGCGTTCTTTTCGCAAAAATCTCCATGCAAAAGGGCGCTAGCACGATTCGGCACACGGTTCGGAGACCAGATTAAGCTAGCAAAAATCAGAGAATCCCTTGGACCATGGACGGAAAGTCGAGGACGTCATTTCAGACAAAGAAAACAAGAAAACTAGTGCTCCAAAATCCACTCACAAAACTATAAATCAACGTGAAAACACGTCTAAGATGTTTTTAGACTTTTGCGCGTCATTCTCGGCGTCTAAAACTACCCTTTTTATAGAAATTTCCTTCGAAATACCTTTTACCTACCCTTTTTAGCGTTTAAAAAATTTTAGCGCGCCCTTTCTGTCGTATAAAACGGGCGACATTTCGAAGAAAATGCCTCGAAAAACTATCCTTAAACTTAAAAACCTCTAGCGCGTCATTTCCCCATTCCTTCCGGTCAGAAACCCATTTCTTTCTGGAAGCCTCCACGCGCCGACGGTGTCGGTTCATTTTTTGCGCGCCCTTTGTCCTGAGATAAGATTTACAACGGCTGGCCCCGCGAATTTCTTGCAGCACTGTTAAAACAGCTGATCCTCGCAAAGATCAGGGGACAATCGGGCAAAGGGCGCACACGAAACGGGGCGTCGCTTGTAGCCTGATGTAGCTGGAGGCCACCGGGAGGTGAGCAACAATTTCCGGCCGGGCTATGAAATGGGTGCCGGGACTTTGATTGTTTGTGGGGGCTACGCGACTTTCCTCAGCACGGTATGGGGGCTGATTGTGGGTGTGCTAAAGTACGCGCTCGGGTGTTTTGCAGCGGTTCAGCTTATCGGATACGAAATGGGGTTCTTGTGCGTGCTTCTTCTATAGGCCAAACAAAGCTGTAGCTTTACCGTACCAAGGCGTTAAAGGGAAGTGCAAGGCTGTGGATCTCATGTGGTTTTCTCCGCGCCGCGACGCGTTAACAGTGCGTGCCTGCCCCTTTAAAAGATAACTGGTTCGAAAGAGAGAAGACGGATTGAGAGGGATGGAAAGGGAGGGTGAGAGAGAGAGAGAGAGAGAGAGCGAGCGAGAGTGAGAGAGAGTGAGAGCGTGAGTGAGAGAGTGAGAGAGAGAGAGAGCGCGTTAGAGAGAGCGACAGAAGGTGAGAGAGTCACTGAATCAAAGAATTGCTGTCAGACTTCCCCATTTAAACCTGCTAACCTATAAGATTTTACCTTATTCCCAAAAAATCTGCTAGCTTGCCGGTCACCGCAACGAGGCAAAGCTGTAGGAAATGCACAGGGACAAAATTGATAGGCCTTGCCCGTTGCTTTAAAAGACGACTACGTTAGGCTCCGTTTACCGCGCTTACCCTCCTACTCCTACCTTTTTCGGGTAGGGCCCATATTTGGTGAAGAAGCCGTCGTTGTGTGTGGACAGTATTTTTGTGTACTCTACCAATATGTCCCCCAGCGCGCAGCCAGTCGTCAATACCGCGCCCCCGCTTCTGCGCTGCCGGTTGACAAATAGCCTTGAGGGGGTGGAGAGATCAAGCTTATGGCTGTCGTGCTTCTTCTTGCTACCTTTTTTGGAGGTTCCCAGTATGCTGTGGTTGGTAGTCTGTAGTTCAAGTTCTATAATTTGAGATCGTAATCGATTACGAGGTCTAATTGTCGCCTTTTTGTCCGATAATTTAACGTGGGCGTAGTTGAAGGTGTTACGCTCAAATTTCGTGTTTATGCCTTGCGGTAAGCTAATCTGTACTTTGTAGTCACCATAATTTCACTGCGTAATCGGTTGCCTCGCAAATTTATGACCATTTATTACAACAACGAAAATATACAAAAATGGCTTCCAAACAAGGACACGTGTCTGCAATGATGGTGGTGGTGAAAAGGGAGGAATTCAAGTATCGTGGCGGCTAACTGAAGGCGCATTAATGGTATTAATGATATTAAAGTGTAATAGTATTAAAATTAATGGGATTAATATTAGTAAACTACAATAGTTGGTATTAATAGTGTGGGGTTGACCAGAAGACCGTGATTTTTGGCGGAGGAACTTCACGCTAAGTGGGAGATGTTCCGAGCTAGAGGGGCGCGCACACGGTACGGGTGTACAGGGTACGGCCGCGTAGCCGGGGGGCCCCTTGATGTCGGCGTTATACACAGTGGAGGGGGACGGCGACGAGGTGTCGCTGGGTCAATTACGGTAATCAAAGAAGTGTATAATCGGAAAAAATAAGTTTTTAAAGGGACAGGCAAGTCACAGTTATAGATTTTCGGGTTTTTTTTGCGTCTCTAGAGATTTTTCGACACGCTAACAAAACGTACGTGCGTACGTAGTGACGCACACGCAGCGCAGACGCAACGCGCGTGTTAACCTTTCCACCGCGCAATCGATTACGACAGCTTCAAGCCGTACCTTGCGCGTTGCGGGTTTCGGCGCGGAAAAATCCATAGCCACCCTTTCTCGTCCCTTTAAAAAAATAGCAAAAAAGTGGAATATTAAGGCACACATCAGGTTTGTCTCGTCGACAAGACTCGTTTACGGTAGGGGGAATTATATCGCGTAATAAATGCAAATAAGGCACAAAATACACGGTAAAAAGGCACAAAATAAATAATATACAGGCACTGAATGTTTTCTGCTGTGTACACAATAAGGCACTTGTCGTGATCCACGTCTCATATAAGGCAACACATACACACAAAATGGGGTACGGTAGCTGGGGCACCAAATAGGGTGCCAAATGCCAAAACTTTCGAGCTGAAAGTGGTCAACGTTATCCGGGGGGTTTAAAGGGATGGGCAAGGCGTGGCTATGGATTTTTTGGACAAAGAGTCTGAGCTAAGGCTAAGCCAACCCTAAGCTTAAGCCTAAAACTTAAAGAGATGAGGACGGCATCTGTTGAACCCCCCTTGGGAAGGGGAGGTTCAACAGGTCCCGCGGCGATCTCGCGCGAGAGAGGGCTCACAGGGGAGAGGCGCAGAGACATTTTCTTTCCCTCGCGTAATCGATTGACTTATGCCGCCCCTATCTCTTTAAGCCTAAGTCTAAGCCAAGCCTAACCCTAAGCTAAGCCTAAGCGACGGCCAGCCTAAGCCAAACTTAAGCCTAAGTCTAAGCCAAGTCTAAGCCAAGTCTAAGCCAAGCCTAAGCTAAGCTTAAGCCAAGCCAAGCCAAGCCAAAGCCTCAGCCTAAGCATTCCTTCTGAAGTTCTAAGCCGCGTTACTGGCGTACCGTAATCCGCTGCCTTACCCTCCCCTTTAAAGGTACCGGGAGCCCAGGGTCCATACAAACACGTAAAGTACGTATTGATACTATGGACACAGGAACAATGGCGCCTTTTAAAACCCCAGGGTCAAATATACTGAAAATATACAAAAACAACAAAGTACAAAACGGTACAAAAAACGGTTCCCGTCAAGAATTTGGAGGGGACTCGTGAATGATTGGCATGAGGAGGAGGGGTAAGTAATTACGTGAGTTAAGTAACTTTAAAGGGATGTTGAAGGCGAAAAATGGTCATTTTAGAGATTTCCGAGACCTAAAAACTACACGCTAAAAACAACCCTGATCACCTTCAACTTCCCCAAACTACAAACTACAACGGACTAGCACTGCGTGGCATTGTGCAGGGCCTGGTGGATTTGCTGGAACGCGTGGCGGGTCCTCAACGCGAACGACGGATCGAACGGGGAGCACAGGACCGATTGGCCGACCACCTCATGTACAACCTCGCCCACAACTTCTAGAGCACGACGCGCCTGCCGGAGACGCTCCCGCTCGACGCCCATCTCGCACTCGAGGGCTCGGGCTCGGGCACGCTCACGCTCACAGTCGGAGCAGCATCTGAAAAATTAACGGTATGAAGATATAGAGCTTGTGTTAACAAGGCGGGCACCAATTCCGTTCTTTCCTGGAAATTAACCTTGCTACACGCGTTTTACGGTACTAGACTTTTAGCGGGGGGGGGGCAATCGCGGGAAACGGCTTTTTGTTTTCCCGTCTATTAATGTTATATTTCATAGCGTTTTTAGGGGTTTTGATTTCTAGAAAGTTCTAACAAACTAACAAAAATTTCACGTTTTGGACATTTTTCAAAAATTTTATCTGAAAAATGTGGTTAAAACTCAATAAAATGGTTAATATTTCATTACAGGGCCGCACCAATCACTCCCCCCCCCCCCCGTTCACCGTCCAATACCCCTTTTCTAAAACGTGACTAAGCTTAAAGAATCCAGCAGAACAATTCCATAAGCCCGAAATTTGACATCAGTGCCTTGCCGATCCCTTTAAAAGGCAAAAACGAACTTGTTCTCCACTCCTCCATCAACGACCAGATGCATGGCAGGTGTCGTCGACCGGGAGCGTGACTGGAGGATGGGCGACGTCTTCTGCGGGCTGGAATTGTTGTTTTTATCTTTGTTCCGGGACATCTCGTACCTGGACGGACAGCTCGAACTCGTGGCCGAGTCGCTGATCGACGGGGTGGCGGGCTCTTCTTCGTCACGTTGAGGTGAGGGGGCGACGACGGACAGGGGTTGTCGGAGCGGGTCAGCCTGAATATTTTGGTTATTTTGTTACGCCCGAGCTGTTGGAGCTGTTCAAGTTCAACTACCTGGTGCTGCAACAAGTTTCCGGGATTGATATGGAGGGCCATGTGGAGGAAGAGGGCCGGCTGGGAGGGGAAATGGAGGCCGCAGAGTACGCAGGACACCTCTGGCTGGGATACGGTAGGTGGGGGAGGGGGTGGCGGGGGAGCGGGCCGGGGTTGTTGTTGCGAGACGAGGAATTGGGCCATCTGAAAAAAATTTAAAATTCGACTGAATTCATCGAAATCATTTTAAAAATTTTTGGTGTTTTGTAGCGTATTGGCAGACGTCTAGGCTGTCGCGAATATGATGCGGGTTCGAATCCCGACCGCGAATAAAACACAAGAAAACTAACCCTTGTAATTTCTTCCGGCGAAAATGAGGAAAGGTTGATGGAGGAGGGGTGGAAGGGGAGCACGGGTCTCGGAGCGGGCAGGGACTGCTGGATCGTCGATAGGATCGGCATGGAGGCGCGACGTTCATTGTTTGGTAGAGGTGTCGACGGAGCGGCTGGGGAACTGTAAAAAATATTAATGAAATGAGTATAACCAAAGAGTATAAGAGTATAAAAACCGGTCTTACACGTAATTCCGGTTCTGGTTCGTTAGCAGGGGGGAGGATGTTCAACCGGGGGGAAAAGACACGCTATCCCAATAAGGCTATTGGGAGTTCCCCCCCCCCCCGCTAATGACCCAGTACCAATATAAAAAAAATCGAAAGTGCTAGACGATCAGAATATTTTCGGTATTATCGATTTCGACATTTTTAGATTTGGCGTTTTTTATTTGACGTATTTTGTATTTCGGCATTACGCTAAAATATCGCTAAAATCCATAAATTCCCCCCCCCAAAAAAACGTACGCTTCATGCAACATCGACTTGCACTTGATCATGTGGTCGTGCAACTGCTTGTGCCTGGCGAATGCCTGTGGACAATTTGGACACGGCAGCCCCTTCTCGGCGTGGATCTTCATGTGGCGATTCAGGTCAAACTTGAAGATGAACGTCTTCTGGCAAAGGGAGCAGACGTGGGGGCGACTGCCGCGGTGGATCATCAGATGTTGGGTGAGGTGACCTTTCTGGAACAAGGGAAAAGTTGGAGTAAGAAATTCTGCGTAAAATTTACCTGGAAAAACGCGCTGTTACATTGGGGACAGACGTGGTTGCGTTTGCCCGAATGCCACATGCAGTGCTTTTTCAAGAGTTGTCGGGTGCCAAATTCTTTGCCGCATTCCTCGCACTGAAAATGGTATGATATTTTTTAGGAAGATTGTCTTGATATGTATGATTTTGCTCGTATTTTTCTCTCTCTCTCTCTCTCTCTCTCTCTCTCTCTCGAGCGTCGATTTATCTATCTTTAGCGTACCGTGAACGGCGTAGCTCCCTGATGTGTCCGGCTATGCGTAGCTAGCTCCCGCTTCACGGCGAATACGGCCGGGCACTGTGGGCATGAATAGTGCTTCCGGTCGGCGTGTGCTGACGTGTAGTGGGCGCTCAACTGAAATGGAAAGTTTAAAGGGACGAATAAGTCTGGTTCACTCCTTGGGCGTTTTACTGGCAAACAGCCTCATACGCCCGCAACTCGACTCACGAAGTTTTTTTAAGCTTCTTTGGACGTGAAAATCGACGTCGACCTAATGTATCTTACAATTAGCCCCACATTGCGCTACAGTAACGTGAAGTATACCAAAATGGTCGTCTTATTCTCGCGAGTATTTTGGTACAGTTTACAGCTCTGTAGCACCCAGGGGGATCGAGATACAAACGTTGGAGGAGAGCCCTCCCGCAGCATTACGACATGTAATTCCGAAACAGGCGAATTTTTACGTCCATAGTCATTTAACGAACCATGAAGCCAGCTCTAGGCTATGCGCGAGCTGACAGGTTGGGCTGTTTACCAAAAATCGACTGTGCGTGCGTTTTGCTGACTTCCCGGTCCCTTGAATATTTGCCCCTAGCAGTGGGGGGATATGATCGACCTGGCAAACAGTTGCCCCCTACCTGCCCGATTAGGGGGGATTACCGGAAACTGGATGCCCATGCCCTCCCGGCCATACTTGACTTGACAGCTATACAGTAACCCCGGGGCCCGAAAGATCTCGTCAAGCCCGAAAATTCCCCACGAATCTCTGCTAGTTTCCCCCGGGTTGCTTTTAAATTGTCGAAATTTGCGGAGCTTTCGCATTAGCGGGGGGAGCTATTTTTTTTCTAAAGATCCCGTTTTTATAACCTAAATATAATAAATGCCTCACTGTTTTTTTTTTATTATTCCTAACCGCAGAAAAATTTACAGTTTTCGTTAGCTATACAAAAAAAAACGATTTTTCGAGCAAAGATCATCGCATGTCGACCAGAAATTTCAACTGAGAATTTATTTCGATTCGTCTGGGCAAAAAAAAATTCGATTATATGAAATTGCGAACTTTTGAAATTTCGGCAGTATGAATTTCGACATTAGGATAGTAAATCCGGGGCCATAACGATCTCGCCAATCCTGAAAATTCCCCAAGGAATTCTGCCAGTTCCCCCACTCACCTCTGATTGATCGTCAAAGATATGGCCGCAGAATCGGCACTGATTCTTGTTGATCAGCGTCGGCGTTCCCCCGTCCTCCAACATTGAGCCGCTGTTCTAAAAAGCTCAAAATTCCCAAAAACCCTAAAAACCGACCTCAGTTCCGGTGGGTGACGGTGTATTTGGTATACTGGTGTCCATCTCGTCATCGTCGTCCTCTATCTCGGCGTCGAGCTCCTCTTTCAGGTCGAGCTTCATCTCCTGGAAATAGGATTTATGTAAAAAGACGTTTAGTAGAAGAAAAACTACGTAAAAATCGATAGCAAGATTGTTTAAAATAAGCCTAAATTTGTTCTTAATGCGTTCCAGAGACCAGGAGGATAATAAATAATCTTATTCGGTCTACCGTAAGCCCCTAGAAATTCAAAAATAAAAATTTTGGTTCTTGTGCATTAGCGGGGGGATAAAAGTTTATCTTGAAAAACCATGCCCATTCCCGTTCCCTTTCCCAATAGCTCTACTAGAAGCCCCCCCCCCCGCTAACGTACCAGAACCTGAATTGGGTCCTGGTAGCGTTTCAGCAAACAGGTAAATAAAAAATTCGTACTTGAGAGATTCCGTCTATAGTATGCTAGCGGAAACGCAAAAAATAAGATAAATTCGTTTTTGGCAGATCCTAGAGAAAAAAAACAGATGAAATCGTCTACAGTATGCCAGCGGAACGCGAAAAAAACCGACGAAAAAAATTGAGAATTCGAAATTCAGAAAAAGGGCATATTTCGTCTACAGTAATCCAAGGAAGTTTCAGAACCGAAAGGCGAGCTATACTAGGCGACAATGCCGAAAAATCTACATACAAATAGATAGATATAGAGAGAGGGAGGGAGAGAGAGAGAGAGAGAGAGAGAGAGAGAGAGAGAGAGAGAGAGAGAGAGAGAGAGAAAGAGAGAGATCAGAGTCCCAACTTTCGAACCCCTTTAAAAAGCACAAAGTAAGTAAGACGAGCGGTGTCAATAGGTATCCACCCGTATCGTATGACAAGTTCAACGCCGGCAAAGGTCAAGCCCCAGAGGGTGGATGCCTCTATGTGGTAGGGGCTTTGTGTGAAGCTTCCAGGCACCAGCCCAGACAATAGAGGGGAGGGGTGGAGATGGTGCCCCCTGGGGTGTCCAGAGGAATGGGGCGGAGTCTAGTGAGGGGATGGGCCCTGAGGGTAGATACATAGTAGACACACACACTACTTCGTGCCGACAGCCACCCCTCCAGCAAGAGGATGGCAGCCACAAACAATAGTACGGAACACACCAATCGACGGGTTGGGAGGGGGAGCGGAGTGTGATAGAAGTTCGTGGAGGCATGGCTAGGGAGAGTTTGCGAAATGGTAGTTTTTGTAGAAAATTTGACGGGAGAAGGGCAGGCAAGCAGAGGTAATTTACGGGATTTGAGAGGAAAGTTTTGGCTGGTGCCGGGAATAGTAATACAGTAAGTAGGAGAGAGTTAGTGAGCGGGAGAGAAGTAGCGAGCGTTAGAGACTGAGAGCGAGAGAGAGAGGGAGGTAGAGTGAGAGGCAGAGAGATACAGAGAGCGCGAGATAGAGCGAGAGTGGGATAGCGAGAGAGAGAGAGAGAGAGAGAGAGAGAGAGAGAGAGAGAGAGAGAGAGAGCGCGCGCGAGTGAGTGAGTGTGTGAGAGTGAGCGAGAGAAATGCACTGTAGCTCTCGAAAAGTTTTTGCAGCAGCGGGCAGGCTAGCAGAGGCCATTTAGGATTTCCTAAATCTGAATATACATCGGCCAAACCATCTAGATAAATCCCACGATCACGGTACCGTAGTTGACCCCGTCCGTTGGAAGGTATGGTCATCATGTCAAGACCCAGGGGGGGGGGGGTGAGGGTAAAGAAATGGAAGAAGAAGCTTGTGTTTGTATGTGTTCGGTCAGTCAGTCAGTCTGTCTGTCTGTCTGTCTGTCCCCTTCTGATTGTCAAAAGACTCTCGCGTTGCACGGGTCAAGAGCGCTCAAACACGAAGCTCCCCCTCCATAGGGGGGCACCACCCTCAAACAAGCCAGCCGAGTACCTAGAGAGAGAGGACCACTGGGGGCCCTCCTTTTTTGATGATGGCCACATCACAGATACCGTAGATGGCTTTTGGTAGGCCGCGCTCGGGGGAGGGTAGGCTAGCAGTGATTCTTGAGGAATTTCTGGGTTGAACTTTGAGTACAATGACCAAAGGATCATGACCGCGGGCTGAACTCGCGTCTTTGAGAGTTCGGATGGCCCATCCGAACCGCCAGAAAAAGTGCAAGGAAAAACAGCTGATGCGTATGACCCGCCCATGTGCCATAGTAGCCAAGCGGAAAGGGAGCACAGCCTCAAAAAATTCCTTCAGAATCTCTGCTACCTAGCCTCAATTTTTTTCACCATCATCTAAACAAAACCGTTCCGCACCAACTAAAAACCGCTAAAAACTTAAAAAAATGACCTAGCTACCGTGGTCGTGTCATTAGAAAGAGGTACATAGCCCTAAAAATACACCTCAAAATGGAGTTACCGTAACCCGAAAAATTGTCCTTTATAGCCGGCTCGTTAAAAATCGTCAAGGTCCCAAAAAATGACCCAGCTACCGTAGTAGCCATAAAAGCGCTCAAATAAATCGACGAATTCCCAAGACCCTATAATCAAAAATGATCACGCGAACCCGATCAAAAGCCACAGACTGACCACCACAGAGTGAGACGTGACCCATGGCCCAGGCCAAAAGGCCAAAATTAGAAGCGCTGAGGGGGACGCGTGTTTCACCCCCGATGCTCCTGCTCACGGAGGACAGTTGTCGTGCTCCACGGTGGGGAGCAAGAGCGAGGAGAACGGAGAGATAGCAGCTGTTTGCGTGGATCTGGCTGGCACGCATCGCCACTGACCCATCCCTTTCCGCCCTTAGGGCCCAGGGGCCCAGAAGGGAGAGGGCCCTAACGCGTGTAGAAGAACGGTAATAAGTGCAACGTGTGGTCCCAGCAGGCGGGTTGGACCGAGCTGGGTGAGATGGATTTAGTACAAGACCGGGGTTACGGTAGCTCTGGCTCTGGTGGGTTAGCGGGGGGGGGAGGATGAACATTTGTAAAGTTTCTACGCGGAAGAAAAGTGAAAACACTTCCGTTATTAAGAAAAAAAGTTGGTCCCCCGATAATGCCAAAGAACCCGAAATGGCACACAAAAAGAGTTTTTGCCTTGAAAAAAATTCTAAAAATAGCTATAGAGAATTAGGGAGCGAGAGAGAAAGAAAGAGAGAGAGAGAGAGAGAGAGAGAGAGAGAGAGAGAGAGAGAGAGAGGGAGGGAGAGAGAGCTGGGGGGGCGACACAGAGAGTAGAAATGATACTATCTTTAGAAAACGTTGCCCCCGATAATGAAAAAAGAACCTAAAAATATCAAAATATACCGTAATTCGGCTTTTGAAATCTAATTCGTGGCCAATAATAACTAATCTAACCCCGAAAAGTAAGCAAAACAACACGAAAAGCGACAGGCTCAGCCAAAAATTGGGTAAACTTGTTGTGAATGGGCCACAGTGATGGCCGGCTGACCGTTGTGACAGGGGCTGGAGGGTGAGCATGAGATCAGTCCGCGGGACACCTATGTGGGCCCGAGGGCACATGGGGGCCCGTCCCTTTGTAACTGGCACTGCAACCCACCGCGCCCAGTTTGAACAACTTTTTCGAGAGGGCCAATTGCGTCGATTAGCAGCAACGGTGGGGGTAGTGATGGATTGTTACCATGGGGTTGGGCAGGGTGGGGGAGGGTCGCACTAGCTTTTTCGTCGGTTTTTACGGTTTAGCAAGTCCCAGATAGCTTTTTCATTCCGTTTTCAGAGGGCTGAAAAAGCCTAGAAAGTTTGGCTGCAAAGCAAAAACTTTTCGGCGCCTTTGCATTATCGGGGGGGTGCTAATTTTTTTAACTCCAGAAATGCCTCGTAACATAATAGTAAGCATCTTAATCTGTCGTTAGTAAGATTTAACTCTACAGGGTGTCCCAAAAAAAAACCCCCCCTCGGCATTTGGTCGTCTTCTATCGGATCGGGGCCAAATTTTTACCAGTGATTGGGACCCATAAAAACTATGTGCAGCCGAATTTTCGACGCAAAATATTGTAAGACAAAAAAGTTATATTGAAATTAAGGTTTATTTTGCCGATTTCACTAGGATTTTGATGGATTAGGGCCTCGAAATGTTTAGCAAAAATGAAGAGGGCACTTTTTTCCACCCGGAGGAAGTTTTTGATTTACGAAAATTACGTCAAAATCGAGACTTTTCATCAATTTTTATTATCAAAACGAACAGAAACGGACCCGAAAATGACGATTTTTGGGAAAATTACTCAAAATCGGCATGCTAATTGCGAAAACATAGCGAAAAATCGGTACTAGCGTTTCCCAAAAATCAGTTTTTTAACGATAACTTTTTTGTTTTATAGTATTTTGCTTAGAAAATTCGGCTGCACATAGTTTTTATGGGTCCCCAGCGCTGGTAAAAATTTGGTCCCGCTGGGATAGAAGACGGCCAAATGCCGAGGGGGGGTTTTTTTTTGGGACACCCTGTATTTTAATTGTGAAAACTGTCTAAAATATCTTGAAAATTCAAAATTTCGACATTTTGGACGAAAATCGGCGTTTTTTTTGGTCGAAAAATCGTTTTCTTTAATTTGTATTCTTTGGTATTTATTCAATACTTTCGAAAAAACTTGCAAAATAATAGAAATGTTGAATATTGAAGAAAAAAAGTTGCTCTTCCACTGGTAACCTGCAACCCCTCCCCACCCCCCGATAATGCTCAAGCACCGTGTCCGGGGTTCCCGTAAGCGCCATATCAAAATCTTAAATTGCATTTTTCGCTCTTTCAAGCTATAAAAATAAAACAAAGTAAAAAGTAAAAAAACCTTGATAAACACTTTTTAAAAAACGAACCAGGGTGTCCTGTTTGGCGGCCGCGTCCTTGTTGTGTGTGGCGGTGCCGTGGTCGAGGAGAAGCTGTAGTGAATGGAATGATGTTGGACAGTCCAGACACACGTAGCGGCAATCATCCGCCATCAGGCCACACGCCTGAAATGTACAAGTTAAGGTAGAAACGTGAACGGCGAAGGGAAAAGCGGAAATGGAACATCTAACCTCCTCGCTAACAAAAACCGGAAGTATAAGCTTAATCTAATGGCAGAAGTACGCGGTAAGTGCTGCGTATCTGTGTGTATCAGTGTGTGTATGTGGAGAGTCGGGAATGAGCAATTGATCCACGCGTGTCTCGATCAAAAATATCAGAGGGGGCTGTGGGTGTTGGCCGAAGCGCCGGGGTGGAGATCAGCAAAGAGGAGCAGGAGGAGGAGGAGCAAAAGGGAGGCTGAGTCATGACGAATAATTAAAAGGGCATTTTATATAAGTAAATCAATATTTACGTGCTAAAAATGTCGAAAACGCTATAGAAATCTACATTGTGTACCTATTTCCATCAAATTAGGTGCTGGTTCATTTGCGGGGGGGGATGATTTGACCTTTTCCCGCATTGTAAACCTTATTTTAGCTATAAAAGGTTATAAAAATGATGAACTATTCAAAAAAATATTGACTTTTTGGTCATAAACGTATCAAAAAGTTATCAAAATCTCTCATAATCGTATTTTTTTAATTTTTAGCACTTTCCGGTAATGAAAAACTTTCATAAAAACGATATCCTTTATTTTATTTATCTGGGGTTACGTTGAATAAAGGAAGCTCCCCCCACCCCGCTAACGCACCAGAACCGACCAAATTCTAGCCAAGTCTCGCCCACATATCACGAGACCAGGGGGCAAAAATGAAATGGATGCGAATAGTGTGTGACACTGATTGCAGGGCCAGATAACGGCCCTCACCAGAAGAGAATTCTTCGACGATCATGTGAGGATGATATTCTGCACATGGGCGAATATTGAAAACACCATAGGGGAACGCAACAGACAAAATATTCCGCCAACCATCTTCGAACCGGGTACGGTAGAAGGGAAGACAAACTTATCGGAACGGGGGAAGGGAAAATTCTGTGGAAAAATGCCAAATCTTCGGAAAAGTCGCGAAAAGTGGTACTGGACTGTTAGCGGGGGGGGGCGGATTAGAAGGGGAAAACTGAATTTTTACTATGTTTCGGCAGACCCCAAATAATGGCCCCGGTTAATGTATCATTTTAACCGCTTTTTAAGTATAGAAAATTCATACAGAACTCTTAAAAATTAAGAAAACCGTCGTAAAGTTATAAAAATGGTCAGAGTGTCATTTGTAAAATTTTCCGGAAAGCTGTTACGACTTTAGTTTATCAGTAAACATCAAAATCCATCAAAATACACCAAAAATTAGCATTCTACCCCCCCCGTTAACAGTTCAGTACTGCCCAGTCATCACCAAATTTTCGGCACCCATGAAAAAAGGGCGACGATGGTCGAGGGGAACGGGAAAAGGTCAAGCTTGGTGGGGGGAGCTGGAGGTGGTGCTTTTCCCCCAATTGCCAACTCCCAGATACTTTTTCAAAAGTTGAAAAGAGGAACGGTGAAGCTGGCGTGACACTCACATTTAACGGGGTTCACCTAAAGGCGCCCGGAAACTCGACTACGACGCACAACAATTGACGCCGCAAAAACGTGCGTAAAGAACTCTTAATAAATTTCCGAAAAAAGAGTTTAAGCGTTCAACAAATTCCCGAAAGAGCGTGGAAATAAAAGCGCATTAAGTCCAAAAAAAATAGAAAACCAAAATACTGGTCCGAAAATGATAAAAATATAAGTTTTACATTTTTTCGTTTATAGAAAACCAAAAGACAATCGAAAAGAGCAACAGATTGTCCTAATGACACGAGGGGGTCTCTCGACAAATGATCGGAAATGGAAGGTGGGAAGGGGGCGATTCTCGTGTCAAAAAAGGAGATCCCTTTTCCGTTCAGCCAACCCATCCCCTCCCTATAGCGCGCCACATGCTGCTGCTCATTTCGATCTGTCAATAGGTGATGTCAGCATTTATCGAAGGGTACGGTGGGTATTGACAACGTTTAGAAAGGAAGATGGGACCACACAAAACACATACGAACCTTTATCGATTTTTATTTTTAAAAAATACCGAAAAAATATGGATTGTTCGAGCAAAACTGACCGATTTTCGACCAAAATTTCAAAAAAAAATTTTTTTGGTTGTTTTTTCGCTTATAATATCGTTAAATTTGACCTAAAACACTATCAAAACACTTGATATTGCGTTGTGAGGCATTTGTGGACTTATGAGGAAGAAAGTTCCCCCCGATATTGCACAAGCACCTGAATCCGAGATAAGCTAAGCTTAGGCCTATGCTTAGTCTGTGTCTAAGCCAAGCATTGAAAACCAAGTAAAGCTTAGACTTGAGCTAAAAACCAAGTAACTTAAGCCGATTGTTTCGTTATCTTTTACCCCAGTCATGGCCCTCTCCCCTAAAACACACCAACCTACAGTAACCCCCCAGAAAAATCAAGCAAAAAGGCAAGCATACCGTAGGCATATGCCAAAGAACAACAGCTGCCCCCCCCCCCACCATCACTTGGCCGAGATGAGATGGATGGGATCCAAGCCTCCCCAAAAAAGTGATGGGCGTGGCCCCGGGGAGGTGCAAGCAGTCGCGCACCCTAAAAAGTGACCCATCCCGATGGAGGGGGGAGTGGGCCACACAACTGTTCCTCCCCACCCCCTCCTCCTCCCCGATTGGGGGATGATCCAGTGGGACACACGCGCGTGTCTGCTGTAAAGGTCACCACCACGCACATATTACAGTAGTAGGCCACGCCACGAAATTTGGGGGAAAGGGCAGGGGAGTAGTAAACTAAAATGCGTTTGAATCGGCGGGGCAAAGAATCGCTGCTAGTTTGCCAAGGAAAATCTACTAAAAAGCTAGATTGGCAAAGAAGCGCTGCTAGCCTGCCTAGGAGAATCGACTAAAAATCGCTAGATTTCGTTTCTGCAATAATCACTGCTAGCCTGCCCCGAAAATTGGCTAAAGAGACCTGGATTTAGCAACCCAAAGAATCCCTGCTAGCTTGCCTCGCAAAATAGGCCAAAAGATACAGATTTTGGAATTCCCAAATAATCCCTGTTACACAGCGGCCCGGCGCCTAATAAAACGTCCGGTAGAATTGGAAACCTAGAAAGACCGCAACGCGTGCGATAGACGCGTCGCGTCATTGCGAAAGCAAGCCTGCGCAGCTAAAATCATGCTGCTATTTCGCGCCCCAGGCAAAAACCCGTACAGTACGCCTTTTCCCGGGAGCCATCGGGACCGAACCCATGGGCGGTTGTGGTTAGCCTGCCCAGGAAAATTGGCTAAATATGATAGCAAAATTTCGATTCCCAAAGTACCGCTGCTAGGCTGAAAATTCCGAAAAATAGGCTTAAAAATATTTGAATTTCGATTTCGACACGCTTCAATGCTAGCCTGGCTTTTTGCACACAAATTTTCTGCTTTCCTGAAATTTCCAAATCTCAAAACGAACTTCAAAATCGTTTGCTAAATTCGTTTCGTATCAATTTCCCAAAAAATCTCTGCTAGTTGGCCAGTAAACCTAATTTCTCTACTCCAAAATCGTTTTAGCTTCTGACTACGCGACGATCCCCTGGCCACCTCAGAAAAAATCAAAAAGGCCACAAGCCCCCGGAATTCCCACCCTCAACCCGCTGATTCATTTTCTTTTCCGCTCATTTCCCCGGTTTTTCCACCGGTGTGCGCCAAAATGTTGTGCCAGGGATGGCTGGGGCGGGAAGCGTGGGAACCGACGATATTATGCGCCCTCCACGGCTACAGTAACCGACGGAAAAACCCGAGATGTGCAAAACAATTGCCAGCAGGGGGATGATTACCTCCTGTGGTTAAGAAGGACAGAAATACGAGTACACCACTTGACACTCATTTGACACACATACACGAAAATGAGTCACTCAGGGCATGGGCCGAGGGGTTTGTGTGTGTAGAGGATACGGGCGGAAGCACACAGGAAAAGCGACTGGATGATGACTTACACGCTTGAACAGGTGCTGGACACAGTTTTTGGCGTTCTTTAACCAAAAACCCCAAAATACCGAAAGCCAAAACCCCGACACTCAAAAATCGCGACGGTGAAAATGCCGACAGCCAAAATACCGAAAGATCAATATTCCGACAGCCAAAATACCGACAGTCCTAATGACAGGTCAAGCTATCGATATCCATAATCCCAACACTCAAAGGCCGAAACCGATAATACCGACAGCCGAAACTCCAAAATATCACACCAAAAGCCGTACAGGCAAAATCGCTGTTTGAAAAGAACCGCATTGAAACTAGCGCCAATAATATGTCGGCATTTTTGCTGTCGGTATTCTCGTTGTCGGGATTATGAGAAAAAGAAAATGAATGTGTAAAAAGCAAAAAAAATCCAAGCCAGGGTTCGAACTTTCGCCCCTAGATTTGTAGCCAACTTTACTAACCACTAGGCCAATGGATACAGAAAAGCTAGTTTTAATCACGCAATAATAATTGAGGAACCAGTACATAAGTTTAAACAAATATTACGGTGTCGGCTCGGCAAAGTTGTTAGCCGTGGAGGGGATGGACAGGGGATTTGGGTGGGGTGTGATGTTGGTTGCGCAATTGATAGGCACGGCTCAGGGTGGATACAGATTTCTTTGATCTAAATGGGGGGGATGAGCCCACGCGAATCGCTATTCAACAGACACCCCAAACCCAACCGGGTCGCCAGATGCCCTCGGCGACGCGCCAGTTGTCTTCCGGGGGCCACGGAACTCGCCCATGACCTACGTGCTGCGTTGGTACCAAAGTTTTCAAAACGCCCCCAGTGGCTAGGACAGAAAATATCATAGCCCTGAAATTAAGGTACTAAACTGTTAGCGGGGGGGGGGGGGGGCAATAACAAAATGCGCACCATTTCTGTAGCGTAAACAATTTTTTCAGCATAGAAAGTTCGAAAAAATGATTAAAATTCTCTAAAACCTTTAATTTTGTCCAAAAAATTGTGAAAATGCTGAGAACTTTTAATTTAGTAATCTAAGCTACAAATTTTTGCTAACAAACCAAAACAAAATTTTCGAACAAAACTTCGAGTCAAAAATTTTGCTAAGTTTTCATAAATAGTTCCCCACCCGATTTGTTGTGATTTTGTAAAATTTCTCAAATTTAATTTTCTTATTTAGTAAAATAACTATTAAAAAATAGGTGCTATCACGTTTCTAGGGATCGCATTAGTTGCAGCAAAAAAATTTGTTTCTTCCCCCGATAATGTAAAAGTACCATAATAAATCTAATATTAAAATAAACGATACCTCAAACCCAAAAAGTCAATTAAGCATGAAAAGAAACGTTGCGCAACGCGCACACAGCACCGAGATCTCGTCAAAGTGGGTACCGCGCTGCGAGCGGGGGGCCCAGCCACGACTCGTTAGGCCACCGGGTAAACATGAGTCCATCACCCCTCAAGGTAGCCAGCCATAATCCAGATCCCACCTAAAAAGAGGCCCATTTAGGGACCACATACTCAACGAGGGGGGGGGATGCAAAGAGTATGCTACAGGTCATGTTTGAGCCGGAAGTCGGGCCCTGGCGCGTCGGCTTTGACCCAAACCGAATGGATTAATAAAGATGGCTACTTGATGGTTGGTAACGGTTATAAATGGCTAGAAAAGTTAAACTTTAAACGTTAAAGTTAATAGGAAAAGTCGCTTTCAAAAAAAGACCGGAAGAATAATTGGTATTTTACCCCTAAAAGCAGCGTAGTAGCACATATTTTACTATTCTTTTCCGTAAGATTTAGACAAGTATCTTAGATATATAGATTGTACCAGCGCTGACCCCCCGCTCCGCGGGGGTTCAGCGCTGGCCCTCCCGGGGGGAATCCCATACCCGAAATCCCGAAATCCCGAAATCCCGAAACGCCCCGGCTCCCGGACCCGTCCGAACCGGTCCTGGGGTCCCGCAGCGATCCGGTCGGACGGGCGGGCGGGCGGGCGGGCGGACGGACGGGCGCACGGACATTAGAAATTTATATATTAATATATAAGTGATAAGTGATGTAAAGATCAGTATTTCAGGCAGCAAAAATATTTGGAAAACCTCGAACAAGACTCCAAAATTTAAAATTTCGTCGAAAATCAGTAACGTTTTGTAGAAAAATCTATATTTAGTGTTTTTTGATGAAAATTTGTAAAGATTTAGGCTAAGGAATAGTAAAAAAGTAGAAACACAGTAAAACACGCTTTTTTACATATTAGATTGTATCATATATTAGAATAAGGATAGAAAATTGAAAATTTGGATAGTTGGGAAAGGTTTGTTTCCCTGGAAATAAAACAAAAACCCATTTTTTTTGCTATATTTGCCTTGATTTAATTTAGTAGTTTTAATTTCTACCATCTAAACTAAACGTAGAATTAAAGCAATTTAGCGCAAAGTAATCGCAACCTTTCGCTACTCTCGGGAACGTCCAAAAACACAGCCTTCCCGCCCGACAGTTTTTCAACAACCTCCTCGTAACCCCCGGTGATTTGCCACTTTTTGCTAGAGCATCCCATTCAACTTTTTCGCTGCCCCAAAAAACCTCAGATCATTCCGAGCAAGCTGGGTGGCCCACCCGGAGGTTTGGGGCCCAAGGGCCAGGGAGTGCCAGGGGGCTGAGCGGCACTCCCGGGGCCATTTCATGACCCGGGGGGAGTGTCACGGTTTGTCGCCGGTTTTGTTTCACGCGGATGTCCCTTGGGCCCGCCGAGAAACAGCAGCAGCAGCATGATGGTCAGTTGGTCGAGCACTCCAGGGGACCCAAAAAAAAGATCGAAAAAGAGCTAGGATCCCCCCACTGACTCACGAAAAGCTTGGAATCACAGTGGTCCCGAATTCGCCCTGGAAAAATGTTAAAAGTATCAAAAACCAAAGGGCAAACTTTTAAAACAGCATTTCAGCAATTTCTAAAAGAGCCCGACAGCTTCGGGAGCTCGAACCCACGAAAATCTTGCAAATCCGCCGGGTTTGGCCTTCGAATAGTTTGTCTCAAGTAGAAAAGTAGGTATCAAACACAAAATATTCAAACTAAACGTAAATTCCGGATAACTCTAAACCCCAACAGTTTCGAGGTGTTCGGCGCGGTGATGAACACCACCGCCTGAACGCGTTGCGTTTGCGTAGCGGTCAAATGTTGGCGGTTTCCTTACGTTGCAAAGAAACGCAACGACTACGAGAAGCTCCTCAAAACCTGTAGCAATTCCTTACAAAAATTTACCCAAAAACAGGAGTGACCCGGGCGCGCAAGCGGGTAAGGGATGAGCCGGTAGCCGAGCCACCCCCTAGGGCCCTCTCTCGCGCGGGTTTGTATGCGCGGTAGCGCCCGTGCGTGACGGCGTTAGGGCCCTGAAAAGAAGTGGCCCAAGGCGAGACGTGTGTCTTCTCTATCCACACCACTCGCCAACTCAAAAACCAAGTGACCCCCTCGCGTCTTCTTCAACCCGGTTGGAAAGAACGGGGGATGCGGGGGGAAAGTGGACGCTCACGCAGCCCCCCGTACATGGCCATCACTACTTGGCCATGTCAACATCACCCAGCAAAGTTCGGCTACTGTTAGAGGTTGGGGGATGGTTTTGAAGAAGGTCAGAAGAAAGTCTGAAAGGTTTTGACCGTATTTCGGGCCAGGGAAAACGGTGGGGAAAAGGAATTAAAGGGACGCCCTTTTCTGGCTGATTGGTATTCGGGGTTAGCGGGCGGAGCCCGCTAACTAGTTTTGGTTTGATTTGTTAATGCTGTTCGGTAATTCGAGAATAACGACTATTTATGGGTAATCTTCCATAGTGTATTTTCATAATGTTTTTTATAGTTTTCGATTGCTAGTAAGTTATAAAAAATGACCAAAAAGCCAAAAATTTTCGTAAAAGTTTATTATCAACTATAATAAAAAAGTAAAAACGTCTGTGTGTGTCTGAAGCCGAATTCAACTCGAAGGGGAAAGGAGCTAGAGCTTAGCTCTCTTCGGATTCGGATAGAGCGTGGTCAGAAACCCCCAAACTGATTAAAAAATTACGGAAAAGTTTTAGTTTAAATTATTAAAATTAACTTTGAAAGTTTTTCCTTAGTAAAAGGGGTGGGGGACGGAGGTTGGGGTGATCTTGGACATAGTGATCCAGGTGGCGCGCGTTTCGTGGATGAAAATTTTCACAAGAGCCATTCATTTCTTTTTTTTGCTCCAACCTATCCGGTCGGTCGTTATTTTTGTTTTTAAGGAGATTTAGGCTAGGGGAGGTATCTAAAGCCACCAGGAAGGTATTTAGGTAGTTTTTGAAGGGGATTTCAGCCATGGGGGTATCTGAAGCCATCGGGAAGGTATTTAGGTAGTTTTTGAAGGGGATTTCAGCCATGGGGGTATCTGAAGCCATCGGGAAGGTATTTAGGTAGTTTTTGATCAGGATTTCGGCTATGGGGGGTATTGATGGAGGTGGGAAAGGATGTGGTGGAGTGGGACATGTAGGGTAGCCCGAAGGCCAGATGGTTGCAGTCGCGAAGCGACTGTAACCATCTGGTGTGTGGGATGATCTTTTTACATCTAAAAACTGTGTAAAATGCTATAATAATTGTTTATATTTTGTGCTAGGACCGTACAAAATGACTGGAAAAGATTTGGCCGTCCCCCCCCCCCCGCTAACAGTCCAGTACCATTTGTCACACTTCTGAAAGTCCAAAGTTTCACGGGCACAAATGAGGCATTCAGAATCGAAATATCTTTGTTTAAAGCTGAAAGGCATACCTCTTGCTTAGGGCTTTCGCTCCAGAATTTTTCATTTTGTGGGTTTTCTTTATTTCCAAATTAGCAAGCCAAACAGAGCGCCCGACGGTCTGCACTCCGGCGCCCCTTTTTCGTCCACATGACCCCACTTATCGACGCTAATTATTTACCTATATCGAGTGATAGATCATCGACACAGCTAAAGGGGCGCCGACCAGGGGCAGCCGCGCCTCCTCCACGGCTTCCAAGTGGTAAGCGAATACCTGCCGCCCCTCATTTTTCGAGGGTCACACCCCGGCTGGACAGGTGGCCCCTGGGGCAAGCCGCGCATCAAAAGCCTGTTCGGATGGTGGGGAGGTGGAGATCAATGGTGGAAATGGATACTCGGACTCCCTCCAGGGGGCCAGATACCCTGAGGGCATCCGCGGTAAACAACCCATCGCCCATCACACACACGCGCGCACATTCCCCTGCACCACAACCAATTTGTTACAGTAACAGGATTCGTGCGCTGCTGGGGGGGTCGGGTTGTAAATCAGTGAATACACGCGAAATGGTGGCGTTGGGCTGGGAATAAGCATACCGTATTATCGGTACGGAGGAATTTAACGTACAACCTATACAAGGTGTCGCAAAATTAGATTAAAGATTTCCGATTTAGGTATCAATGCGCAACTCTGGATCGCGCAAAAACCAGACATCCGCTCCGATTTCAAATTTTTAGATGTTTTTTTAGGTTAAGTAACATTTTTGTGCCAAACGGACTGAATTTCTGATGGTTTTCAAATGCAAGGATTTCTGAAAAAGGTTTTAGAAAACTACAAATTATGGTCTATCGGGGCTTTACTGCATTTGCATATCTAAACATCCCAAAATTGGAATTTATTATTGAGACTTACCCTAAAAACCCTATTTTCAAACCCCCTGAACCCTTACGGTCGGCGGAAGAATTCTGGTTCGGAGAAAAATTGAGGTTCCTATTCTTCTTCTAGATTATCGCTTTTTTTCAGGTCAGCAACGGCTTCTATGATCAGCCCGAGCGTTGCGCTTCTTCTATTGGCCAACGCCGTGCCACCAATCGACAGCCGTTTGGCCGACGACATAATCCACTGCGACAATCGGTGGTCGTACATTGGCGGAAAGTGCTACAAGGTACCCTTCGATTACTAATGAAAGAGGAGAAATTCAACGCCCAGAAGCTTCCACACATCATGACGTAAGGATCCATCTTTTAGTTGCTCACATGGACAAGTGGATGGGATCCGACAGTGTGCGCGAACGAGTACAACTCGAGTCTCACCTCGGCTGACGATGACCCTACAGAACAATACATTGATGATTTTGATGAAATGCTTCGGAACTACTACGTGTATTGCGCCGGGGATGAGGTAAGAACAATCTATTTTTACTTTTTTTCGCCCAGAAATTGGAGCCTCGAATTTTTAGGACAACAGCAAGGAGGTGATCATCAACCTCAACAACGCCGGCGAATTTCAGCCGGTATCCACTCGTTTTCGCACCGAAACAAGCGACTTTATAGGCAAAAAAGACCGTGGTGTGCCCGAAGGGCGATCTGGAGACGAAGATGCAAATGTCACTGTGTGAGATCGATCTGAAACGCGTGCGCGTTGATTTGTCGACGGACGAGCTGCGGGTGGCGTTGCGAAACGAGCCCTCGTTTGCACGGATCAGAATGATGACGATTGAATTGGTGAGCTAAAGTTAATGCAGTTCTATTTAAAACTGGCTGAAATATCGTTTCTCCCTCCCAACTCTCCAAACTGAAGCTCCGACTTTTTCACCTAAAATCTTAGTATTTTACGTTGTTTTTTCAACTCAAATTTAATGGATTCTTACTCAAAAGAACAAGGCGAACATTCTGGTATACTTTTGTCATGTAGCTAAAACGGGAGCCGAGATACGAAAACCAAACCTACTAAAATTCTAGGCATTCCGTGAGCAACTCCAGTACATCTGCTACTACGTTCTTGCTTTCCTGGTAATGAAAGAAACCTCTAACAAAACCCAAGCTCATAGACCCTGACCGCCGGCGGCACCGCCTACTTTTTCTACCGCAACTGGCAAAACAGCCGCTACCTCATCCGCGTCCAACGCGAGCTGAAGCGAGCGGTACAAAGCAGCGCTCACGATCAATTATGAAAATTAAGATGGAAAACGTTGTGCAAAACGTGCAGCTCGTCGAGATCAACGAGGAGAATCGCCGTGGTTGCTTTGAGGTGGGGACAAGCCTGAACGCTCACTCAGCTAACGATTTTTTGGTATTTCGGGGGCTATTCTATTTACAAACGTCGAAACATATTTGAAATGAACACTTTTTAGGCGAAATTGCCAATTTTTTGCCGAAAAATCTTTAGTTCGAATCTTTAATTTCCACCCGATTTTTAAAAGTTTCCGCTTAAAAATAGTAAGAAACAGTGGCTACTAAGAACAAAACCGCATTTCATCGACAAAGAACCAAGAAATTTTCTAAAACTCCAATTTTTCAGAGTGGCCTCGGGCTCGACTTTGAGAAGCTGCGCGACGAGTGGAAAGCTGATCTGACCATTGTGGAGCAGCAATGTGAGGGTTTTCTGAATAGAATTTGCTAAAACCAGGAGATTATTCAGTCGCGGAAACGGGATCCACGCTATCGACCTCTGGATCCGCGACAGAGCCCGTCAAGAAACCCTCCTGAACAAGCTTATCCCATATCTCCTTTTGATCTCCTAAATTTCCAGTGTTCTCGTCGTGATCGTATGCGGACTGTAATAAACTTATTGCTGAGCGTTGGCTGCTCGGGCTGGCGCTCACGCCGAGGACGAGTTATGGTCGTTGGTGACGGGATGCTCCCGATGACCCGCCGGGCGGTTCTCGTTCTCTTGGGTGTCTGTGGGTGCACATGTGGGCGCACCATCGGGAACGCGTGGTGGCACCAAGAGGCACGCCCCACGCACACCCATAAAAAGTTGACGCATATGGTTAGCGGGAGACCGTCTTCCACCCCCCGGCCGGGTCCCATCCACCACTTTTTGGGCCATGTGCCTAGGGTCCCGGCGGCGTTCCGGAGGGCCATTGGCAAGAAAGTGGACGTGGATATTTAGGGATCGGACAGTTAGGGGTCAGCCTTTTAATATTACCGATACCAAACAGTGTCCCGTCACTTGCTACCTAAAACGTTCGACCAGATAGCTTGAATTTTGCTATTAGCTATTGTTTTTCAGCTTTTAATAATTACACGTGTCCTACTACACATGAAATATACCTTCGAAAAAAGGGTTTAATATAATTAAAATTAGTTCGGGGCCGGAAATGTCTAGCGAATAGCGTGTTTCTGCGTCTAAAAAATCTCTTGTGTCAGCAACCATGTTACCAATCTATTCCAAAAAAAAACCAAACAATCAAATTCTAAAACAAAATAACCGGTATTAGATGAGGAAAATGGCGTGTAACACGAGCAAATATCATAGACGCCTAGAATATGTCGAAAAAATGCGATAGAAAACAAGGGTAACGTGTTTACTGCTTCTTCTTCTTGCCGGCACCCTTATCGTCGGCCTTGGGCTTCTTGAAGATGTAGCGCTTGAGGAAGAAGTTGATGAACAGCGCCAAGTACGTCATATCCATGAAGCTGGCGAACAGGAAGACGTTGTGATCAAAGTCGACCTTGCGCTAAAAAGCAAATGCATGCATTGAAAAACATTTTCTTACGTTGGTGAAGTAGACGAGGTAGCCGTTGTGGGCCAGCGCGCCGATGGAGATGATGAATTGCCAGATCTGGATCGTGGTAATGAATTTGGAGACCGGCGATGGGAGACGGATGTTGAGAGCAGCGATGAAGTAGTAACTGAAAAGAAAGAAAAATCGTATACATCCTATGGAAAAAACGTTGCCGCTTGAATACACTCCAAAACAAACTTACGAATACATGAAGCTGTGGACGAGGAAGTTCAAGTAGATTCCATATCGGTTGAAGCCCGGAGAGATCGGGTAAGAGTAGAAAGCATAAATAAGGGTGAGGATGTGGTGATACCTAGATATGAATTTAGCGATTTCGCAATTTAACACGAACCAGTGCAAAAACATGAGCGGCTTTTTGCGCAGCACGATAAAGACAGTGTCGACGAGCTCGATCAACTTGGAGCAGATGAAGAGGAACACCCAGTATCCATTCAGCCCCTCCGTGAATTGATAGATGCGGGTGTATGCGTCTGAAAAAAGATTCATTATAAAACTAACCAAAGGTAATAAAATTTCTTTCCGCCAAGACTTACTCACAACGCCATGGTCGACGTGCGTCGAGAAGAACTCGTGGCTCAACCGGTATGTGCCGAAGATGGAGAAGGCGGCCAGGAAAAAATTCCACACCGCGAGGGGCGCCTATAAAATGTAAAGAATGCTTCATAAGTGGCAAACCTGGAGTTTGAAGGGTTCGCGGTTGCGCATGAAGAACTTGATGCCGAAGATTAAGAAGAAGTAGACGATCGACGCCTAGAAGAATTCATAGGGGTTTGTAATCGGTTAATTTTATACATGAATCGCGTTCAAACGTCTAGTTCGGCGTTCTTCTAACAAACCTCAGGGAAATATAGAGGTAACGTATTTCAGTTATTTTCTAATCGTAAAATTTACCTGAATCGTGATGTCAAAGTGATCGCCGATCCAGCTTTTGGCCTGTTGGTCGTCGAACTTCGGAGCCGTGGCAATGGACAACCATCTCTAAAAGGAGACTAAAAATAAACCGCGCGATTCTAACCGGGAAATCGAAGTGGACGTTGAGCAACCGCTGCACCCAAGGATGGTCCATTCCTGAAAAAAAAATATATAACTGGCAATTCAAAAGTTTTGCCAAAAATGAGGCACCGAGTGAAATTGAGCACGAGGATAATTTAGGAATGTTTCAGGGGGATTTTGATGTGCGGGGGAAGGAAGTGGCGGGACCATGGCAATCAGTCCTTTCGCGGCCACATCAGGCCATCCAGTGCAAAGGCCGTCGTCTTGTCTGCCCCCACCAAAAGTTTCACGATCACTCGCCGCCAGCGGACTTTCATACCTGCCGGCCTTCACCCTAGATCGTGTCTCGTACGCCCCATAAAGGGGAACGATTTTGAGGTGAACCCCGAGCGAGTGCTAAAAATATTGGTTCTGGAATGTTAGAGGGGGTCTTTACTTTAGCCTATCCATCCGTAATGCGCAACAATGAAATGCAGCCTGCAGCCTGCAGCAATAAGCCAGCCTTGATGCCGTTTTTAAGTAATAAGTTTATAAAATTTAATTCAAAATATTCGAAAAAGATTGAGTTTTGATTAAGGTTGTATGAAAAACGTCAATTTCTAATTTTTAGGGTTTTTTAAATCAAAATTGCATAATGAGAGACTTCACGCAGAACTTCGAGGCCTAAAATTCGATTGCCTGCGCTTCTTCGTGCTCAATCCCACAATTCGGTCGAATCCGGTAGGTAAAATCGATCGCCGTTACAAATCATACTTTCCAAAGAAAATCGCGTGTATAGTCTCCATTTATTTCTCATCCTAATTCGATCACAACGCTAAATGAGGGCGGTAAGTGACTAGTGAAGTAACACCGAAAGTCAAATAAATTAGGGGAACTGGCAAGACGTGCGACAAAAAAAAAGATGTGTGCAGGGTGCTAAGGTGGATGGGCATCGGGGGGAAACAGGGAATTCACAGAAAAGGGAAGCCAAGCTCTGGCATGAGAGGCGTAAAAAGGAAGCGATAACAGCAGAGGAGCAGTGGCTATCGGAGTCTGGACATGCAAGGTACAAAGATAGCATAGGCATGATACAATTGAACAGCAGACTAGAGCGGGGGACACTAGGGAATGTAGGCCCTAAAGAGGGCGAAGCTCAAAATGAACAGGGGAATAGTTAAAAAACTATAAAAACACAGCTTGAACGTTTTAAAGTAACGCTCGCAACACTACCATAAATGCATGAAAGAAATTTGGAGCTTACAGTAGCGGCCATTAAACACAAGATTCGAGCAAGAGGGTTATTGCAACGTAAAAAATTATGGCTATTGGCACCAGTTGGCCATCTTGGGCCGAGGGGGGATTTTTGGCACAGTGTTGAGGGGCGGTGAGGGGCTTTTCTTTAGAAACGGTGCCGATGCAACGGCAGGCAGGGTGGTGGGAATGTTTGGTGGGGTGGCAGAATGGGTTCTTTGTGGTACGGCAGGGCCCGCGGTGAGTCCGACGTCGTCCCAGGCGCTCGAGAACGGATCGTGGGCGCCGAGACGTGGCGGGAGGACGTAGTGGTCGGAGGGCTGTTTGAGGGTTGAGAAGCCGTTGAGTGAGCGGGAAAAGGGTTCCCTGAAATGGAGGTTTCAGGATCGTCATTGAAAGGGGCTAGGAAGCCTGGTTTACGTCGAAAAGCCAGATAGCGCCGCAACGCGACCGCCTCTGTTTCACAGTGCGAACCCCGGAAATAGCAAATTCTTCCGCCTTTTTGAACGCCTGTCATCGCAACGTATCGAGAATAGGCAAAAAACAAACCCGCTCAAACAACTAGCAGACCCATTCATCGATGATTCCGGGGAGGTCGATTGCCGTGATGGGCCATGTTTTGGAGGAGGGGGAGCTACGCGGGATGGCATCACCTGATGGGGAAGCTTTCGCTGGGGACACGAGCTGGAGAGGGCAGCTAAACAGAAATAATTATATGAAAAACAATCCCACAATAAGAAGAAGCCGAATCATCGTCCGGCCAATCAAGCGTTGCTAGTTGAACGGCTGAGCTGCTGACGTGAATGTTCTAAAGAAATACGACTTTGCCGATTCGACCCGAGGACTATGCCGCGCACTAAACACCAGACAACATAACCTACCAGGCTACTGGAAAGGGTTCGCCTAAAAAATCATGGTACCAGAATTTATGACAATTTCAGGGCAGCTAAATAAAATCGATTCTCTTACTGGATTGACGACGCTGGCCGGCCGTTGTGGACGTTCTGGTGGCCCACGGCTCGGAGGACGTGGCCGCTCTGGTGGGCCGGTGGATAGCATCGACAGTCTCGAGACAGAAATCGTGTCGGACGTGCCATCTTCTTCTTCTGAAACTGTCCAATAACCCAAGTTTCCAAAAGCGATGCTTTCGAAATTCCGGGATCCAAAATATTTTGTTTTAAGTTTCCGATAGTTCTGCCACTGAAAATAGATCTAGTTTCTACCAGGCCTCCACTATTGAGAACAAATTCCCCCCAGAAGCTCACCGTCAAATATGAATTCGTTCGATGCCTCACGATAGTCGGCCTCGTTTTCTTCGACCAATTGCTCCACAGTCACATCAAATTGTGCGAGCCGAGGGCGAACCTTGTCCGGCCAGTCCGGGGGTCCTAATTCTCATAATTCATAATTTGTACAAAATTTGTTACCGTAACCGGACATTTAGCTGGCAGCCCCGGAGGGCGATACCATCCATCGACAATGCGGCAATAGCGCATTCACCGGAAGAGAAGACGAGCCATAGGTCGGCTCCATCGACCCTAGAGACGATCAGAAGCGTGTTGCCACAAAAAGTACTTACTTGCTAGTGAGCAGCTGCAAGCCCAATTCTCGCGTCCTTTGCAGCACTTCTTTCACAGCCTCGCCGGGGAATGAGCCGAGGCCTTCCAGCGAACAGATCACCGTACCATCCGGAGGCCCCATGCTACTAAAGACAAAAAAAATTTGGAATAGGGTCAGGAGCAAACCTGACAATGTCTTCTACCAACGCTTCACACTTTGTCCAGTCCACTCGAAGAGTCGTCACCTCGAAGCTTGCATACACTGGCCGATGATCGGAGGTGCGCAGCTCCGAGCGGTTGTAGCTGAACAGGAAAATCAGTAGATTGCGGCACAGGATAACTCACCGTAACAATTTCGTGGAAGCTCTGGTTCCCCGGTTGTCGCGCCACAAGACACGGTCTGTCCATGCTGGGACCTAAACGTTGTGAGGTAAAAATACAAACATCAAAAAATGTCTTACTCGGCATTTCTCGCTGGTGTCATAATCATCGGAAAACGTGTCATATTTGTAGGTGGGCGGGAAATGAAGAGGACCCTCCTCGAAGCCGACAAAGGTCTGAAAGAACTTTGATTTTAGGGCTAGGAGACATACATTGGAAGCGGCTCTCTGCTGCGTCAGCTGATCATTCGGCACCAAATGGTCGAATTGTCCCGAAGCAACAGCTCGCTTCACATCTTCGCGCCCCATCGAGATTCCTTGAGCAACAGATTAAGAAATTCGTTAAAGTTTACGATAATTGAAGTCGCCGAACCAAAAGATGACGTCGCTGCTGCCAATGTCACGCCCTTGTGGGAAACGCAGCTTCCGCATCGCCGTGCTCCAGTCTTCATTTCGGTCCCGGATCTGGAAAATGGCGTACGTTCAACAGTACCGATTTTCCAACCTCATTTTGGCCAGCGGCAAAGTGAGAACAGACGAAGCAGAGTGACGTCGAGTGGACGACCATTCGGAATGCCACAGAGCCCTATGAATTTTTAATTTAAGCAAAAGGCGTCACTTTATTCGCAGTAGCGCCGCCCATCCCAGTCTTCACACTCCCAACGGAGAAGTCTTTCAGAGCGGCAGCCAAACGGGGCCTAATGAACACGTAGAGACAGACGCCCATCTGAAATGGCACCAATTTTAATGTTTATTTAATGTCATACCAGTTGTTCGCAGCCGAGGAGTACGTACGGAGCTTTTTCATGCAAGGCTTTCCGGATTCCTTCCAGCCAAACCCGTTGGTTCGTCGTGCTAAAAGCCAAAGCTTGGCTGGAAAATAGAGAAATACCTTGCTTTCACCATATTTTGTGCGTTCAGATCCACCAATTCTTCCAGCCCAACGGCCACGATATCCGGCACCGATTCCAAATCCGAGCAAATGTTCACTAGACGGAAAATAAGACGCATGAAAGTATTAAAATACCTAGATCACTTTCATGCGGGAATAGCCAGTCCCCTATACGTTCTTGATTCCGGAATGCGACATTGTACATGTTTTTGCCGCCATTGACGTTCCAAGTTCCGCAGAACACCTGAGAACGGCGCTAACCCTCGAATGACGCCAAACCTTAATCGGCTCGGGATTTGTGATTTCAGAGCTGCGATCGACAAGTTGTTCCACCGCATCCGGATATTCTGAAAAACTTCGAGATCAGCAATTCCCTTGATGCCACGACATCAACCACAATTTACTCTCAACCACGACATTTTCGCTTACCCGGAAAGTAGTATGAACCTACAATATTTCTCGATTATCACTGTTCTCTAAAAGGGGGAATCTGGCTACCTTGCATCAACGTGTGGGGCAGCAAATTAGCGGCACGATCAAAGAGGCGGTTCTCGAAAGACGTCCCACATAGGAAGAGATCGAAGGATTCCTGCAAAATGTCCACTATCAGCAGCCGTGCGACTCAATTACAACTCCATTTGCGTGTGCGTGAGTGTGTGTGGATTTTTGCAGAGGTCAAGGGCTTGGGAAAGAGGGAGGGTATTCGAGGGCTTCCGGCCTCATTATTATGATTTTAATGACTGGACCATAATTTATTTTGTACGCGGGTTTTCGGAGGTTGTCCGGAAGCCAGAAACTGCAATGATTTGTGGCGTTCTTAATACACGTTAATTTTTGCTAAATTTCAGTATTTTACAGTTCTTAAAAATTTTTCATGCGCTTTTGTTTAATTGCATAACCGAGTTTTGTTTCTGGACTTTTCGACGTCTTGCTAGTCGCAGTAGAAATGCCAGTTCAAATTGGCTCCCGAAAAATTACAGTAAATTACTGTTTTTAGTTTTACACTCTGACAGCCCGATCATATTACGAAATCTGGAAAAAAGTTATCTGTGTCAATTTCTCACGAGATTTCGATGCTTTGGTCTCAATCGTAGACCCAGCTTCGCTGCCATGTAGGTGGCGAACACCAAAAACAACCCGAGTGTAGTTATTCAGCCCATCCGCCCCGTCCCAGCATCCGGGATTTGTTTTGCTTTCCAAAAATCACGATACGCGCCGTGGTAAACGGTTTACTGTACTCCTACTAGGCCCATCAATCATGTCAAAGCGAAGGGAGCAGCCAGGGGAGGACGTGCGGGTATTGTGCAGCACCAGGCAAAGAGATAGAGAGGACAGTCAGAGAGTCGCCCTCTTTGCAAGTCCGCTTCGTCGAAATCCCCCCTTTGGGTTTGGGGGCAAGATCGACGGGGGGGGACCGGAAGCCGGGCTTGATTCCATAAATCAGAGCACCCCGGGTGGGGGGAAGGCGCAGGAAGCGCTAGCGCGGAGACGGTTCTCAGGGCGAACGGGACGGGCGCGCGCAAACCTTGAAAGAACGCCTAGGGTTCGCAAGGGCTGCAGGGGGCAGCAGAAGAGACAATCGAGTCCATATCATCTGTCACCTTCATGGGAACCGGGGGGGCACTTCCTCTCACAGGCGTCGCCCACCCATATTTCGACACCTTACGAAAAACCATGGAGCATCAATTTTGCAGGTTTTGGCGCCTAGTGGCCGATAAGCGCACAGTGTTGAGTGGTGATGCTACGCATATAATCCGTTATCGGTATACCAGGCTAATTATCTGGGCAGTAAGCATCGCAAAAAGCAACAAATCTATCTGGGTTCTCAAGTAAAGCGAAAACAAAAAGACAGTTCTTTTTTCTTGAAATTTGTATGAGTAAGTATCCTAAAGTTCTGAAACGGATTATTTGCGCAACATCTCTAGTGTTCAAAAAGGGGCGCCTCGACAGCAAACAATACCTTAAAAATTTCTCTTTTGATCGCACGATCCGCTGTGAAAAAACTAAAGTCTAAATCTAAACCAAAAAATCTAAAATTAGCTGATCCCAGAAAAATTAAAGCGCGTGTAAATGGGGCAAGACCTTGCATTTATTTTTTGCAGTTGCCTTTTCCAGATAGAAAGAGTCCTACGTGGAATTTATACGCGTACAAATCTATTTATATTTAACTCTCCGTAAACTTCCAGTACCCAGGAAAATGAATTTAGGTGATTCAGGGGTATTTAGAAAACGTGCGCGATTTCTCGGAAACCCTTTGGAAAATTCTCGACCTTCTTCGAAATTGCTATCCTAACTATTCTTTAAAGTGGAACTAGTGGCCGCGGTAATCCATCATTTCCGGGCAAAGGCGTTAAGAGGAGCGATGCGCCTTGTTTTTACTCGTATAATCGGCCAGCGCTGATGATAGAAAAGCCGATCGGATAGGATTTAACGCCGTTCGCCCAGGGTCACTTTTTCGGCCGGGCGGACAGTGCCCGGCAGCAGCGAACGGCTAGCAAGAAATCAGGGAGGCAACATCGGTGAACCCGACGGTACTGTATGCCTGTTTTCCGGTGATGGGCGGTGGGGAAGGTGGTATCTTTGAAGCTGTGTCTCTGTAAGGTACTACCAAAAAGATGCTGTAGCGGGAAAAGCCCCTGTCACTACGACGCTGCAAACAGTACCTGTTTTGAGTGGTCCATGAAGTTGTTCTGGAGAGTTCGCGTGATCGAACGGGACGCATCCTTCAGCTGAAAAATAGGAAGTATGTTTGATACCCGCAATACCAAGTAATAAGGCTTTTAAAAGTACACGCTCCGGCATGCTTTACGTGCGCTTTCCGCGTGTTCTTACTACAATTTGTGAATAGGCCTGCACAGGGACGTAGCGTAATACCGACCCCGGGGCCCCCCCCGAAATCGGCCGGGGCCCGAAAATTTCATAAGGGGGGACCCTTATGATTTTCATTTTCCCAAAAATTTTGTGGCCTGCGGCGCTATTTTTTCACGTTTTTACGGCTATAGCTCTCTATGTAACCTCCTTTTCAAACATTTTTGCCTGCGGCGCTGTTTTCTCGTTCATCTTTTGAGTTTTTTGGAAAATTTTTGGGCCCCCCGAAATTTTTTTCTGGCTGCGCCCCTGGGCCTGCACAAAATTCGGCACAATTTTTCAAAATTTGCTACAGGCGTTCAAAACGCGTTATTTGTAAACCGAAAGAAAATACCGAAAACAGCAAAGTCTCGATATTTGGAGGATGTGAGCTTGCAGCTAGCTAGTTTTAACGACGGTGGCAAATTTTTCAATCAATGAAAGTACCGGTCCCCACTTCTACTTCAGATCTATATGAGTCTCGATTTATTTGGCCTTCCTGGATACGTTTTCTTGCCTAAAAAGCCGGCTACGCAATACTTCCCCAAACGAACACTTGAAAGGCATCCTAAATTACCTTAAATACGTTTGCCCTCTTTGAGACCAAAAATCGTCGGGACTGGCGACTCGAGGTCTGCCGGACCATGCCACCCGCATTAACCCCCGCCGTTTTTCCCCAACATCCCCCTCCATCCGGGTGGGTGATGTGGAGAATATTGCTCATCCGGTGGTGGGGAGAAACACACCAAGCCCGAAATTAGGAACGCGCACGCCGGGGGGATTCGAATTAGCCGCGCGTCTCATCATGTTTTCGGGACGCGCAAACCACACCGATTTTACCGAGGAAAACAACTACCCCCGCGGGTTGCTGTGAAATCACCGGAGCTTCTCGATACTTCGAGTGAGTCAGCCGGATTTCTGCAAGGTTTCAACGGAATTGGTCACTAATTTGGTTGCATAATCGAACACTAATTTCATTACAGGCTAATCCTTTGCAAGAAAAAAATAGGTTCCCAACGAATAGGGCATCACCGGAAATGGGGTTTACTTGAACGCAAAAACCACAGGCCTGATGATTCAGACCGGGGGGTGATGGGCCTTGCCCTTCTTCTACGGACACTAAACGTGGAGATTCGGTCCGTTTCCGGTTGTGTGGAGGAGCGGTGCTAATAAATTTCGCGTATATCCAAACGTGCATCACTGGTCGTTGGAATTTTATGCAAAAAGGTGTCAGATCTAGCACGTGGGGCCTGGGATGCGGCTCACACCCACGCCCACACCCGGGAAAAGTTGCGGACTAGTATTCCCTGAGAGTGGCGGGATTAATGGGAGGGAGGGTTGGGAAAGAGTGGAGTAGATTTTGGCGGTAATGGAATTTTGGTTAAAGGACAACAGCGAGTTTGGGTGGATTTTAAAAGGCTAACTCAACCATTTAAAGGAGTAATCTTGTCCCGAAGACAAAAAAACTATGCTACGAAAAAAAGCTATTGCAATAAGCCGAATTCTGTGCGATTTTTTGCATGATTTATCGCCGCCTAAATATTTTGTCTAGGTCGGTGTTTGAGAAGGATAATATAGTAATATTGCTCGATTTTCCGACGTTTGAATATGCCTAAATATTTCTACTTGTTTTTGGTTTTTAGTTAATTTTCGAAAAGTATACTTCAAGCGATTCGCTTTATTCCAGAACCGCCATAAGACTACAAATAAACGGTGAAAGAACGAGCTTGTTATTGCTGGAATTTTCGAACTGTGATGGGGTGCTGCCTAAATATTAGACTCTAGGCTCTAGAAAAGCTAAAGCACCTAAAACTCTTCCAAACTTTTAGCCCTGGCACTACTTACGAGCCAACTATAGCTTGATCTTAGCAATGCGATTTGCAAGTTTATTTAACGGTACCCTGGCACCAAATTAAAAAAGTAGCAGTTCGCTCCTCTAGTTATCCCCAGCGGGCCACTACGATCTGGGCAGTGGCCTCGAAAAACGCATCGTATTCCCAGTGACCTACAACTTTACTACCGGAAGCCTCCTCCGGGTCGCGCACACAGACGGGTTGCCGCCATCCCCCCTCTAACGGGAGCAAAACGGTGGAGGGGGCGGGTGCGATGTGCAATCGGGGGGTTCGGTTTGAAACAGAACGGCGGAGAGCCTAGAGAAATGAAGCAACGGACGCTTCCGGTGATAGGGCGAACGCGCGAACACCGCCAGCAGGAACGCGCGCAGAGGAGAAGAAGAGGGGGATTGGAAAAAAGGCGCTGCGCCCGCATTTATCACCCAGCCAAAAAATCCACGATGACCGGGGGGTGGAGAGGGACCGAAGACGAGAGCGACCCACCTGGCGCTCGTCTATATAAGCACAGCCCGGCGCGACAGTAGCAGCAGCTCTTGCATACAGCCCAAATAACCACCAACCACCCTCCCCACTCCCACACACAATCTACAACCATCCATTTTACAAAATGATCAAGACGGCCCTTGCCCTCCTTGTGCTCGTCCAGCTGGCAGAAGCCATTCGCTACACAAAGTGGCCCGTCCAGCCCATGTACAACGTCAAGCGAGATGTAAGTCAATTCCAAGCCCAGCCTTAATCAACCGACTTTAGATTCGCAAAGGCGAAGCGACACTCGTGCTCGTCTACAGCTGCATGTGCCCCCGCAGCCAGCGCACCATCCCGCGCTTCGAGAAGGCGGCCACCGAGCTCAAGAAGATGTACGGAATCAAGACCAAGTCGCTCGAGTACTACTCGACCGGCTTCGAGTTCATGAAGGTTGTGCCGTACATCAACCGCTTCCCGGTGCTGATGCTGTACAGAGCCGACGGCAGCAAGGTGAGCAAGAGAAACGATAATTAGGGGTAGAATACAACCTGAGAAGCTTGCAACTAGCTTACAAAGTACTATATGAAAAGCAAAAGTTTAACCCCGCAATTTTCAGGTCCGCTACTCCGGCATTGACCCGCCAATGGCCGCCCCCGAGGATTTTGTGCGCTTCACGCTCGACAACGAGTACGCGCCGTACGAGAGCGAAGCCAACGACCAGTCCATGTCTTCCAACTCGATTTGGTGAACCCATCAAAGCCTGAAGACTTCTCGGCCCGGTCACATAACCCCTCTTGATCCTCATCGGCTAGTCGTACCCTGATGTCCATTTCCTTCCCAACCAGTCATTACTCTGATACTCATCATTTCACGTGTGCCAAAGCTTTCAATCATTTTACATGTACATTCGGCCCAGTCGTAAATTGCCCGTCCCCTTAAATCGACGACGAAATGCAACTTGCTGTCCTTTTTTGAATAAACGTGACGATATCGAGGCCTAAGAACCTAAGAATTGCACCGAAATTTTAGCAAATTTCAAAACAAGCTGATTGTTTGTCTCTAAATGTCAGCGCAATTTTCAAACAAAATGCAACCTGTGTGCGGTTTTTTTAAAAATAAAAGTTGCGATATTGTGAGGCCTAAATTTTGACAAAATTCAAAACAAGCCGATTGTTGGGGTTTAGAATGTCTGCGCAACTTAAAAAAGAAATACTACGCTCTACTCCGCGGCAAAACAACCGGCACTTCCGGGGGGGGATTTATGCTACGCGGCACGTAAGCTTGTCTCCATCCACCTGCCCGTCACAATTGATATCCAAATCTCGGACATATCCGGTGTTTGCGGCGTTTTTTTGTCTGATTGGCATCCCGACCCGCTGCTGCCTATCTGTTCAAAAACCATGCATAGCCCCCCTGCAAATCACCACCCGGGAAATGATACGCGTCCATAGCCCCCCCGATGTTACATGTTGTCCGGGGGGATAGCGCGACTTCTTTGCCCCCCTTTTCTCGGCCAATACAGACCACCAACCCCGGACAACAGTGAGCGGATTTCCGAAAATGACCACCAGAAAAAAGGGCGCGGCGGTGCTTCGGTTTCGAACGGAAGCCGGGAGCCCGAACAGCGCCCCGGCCGAGCTGAACAGGTTTTGCCCCCCAAATCATCGGCGGAACACCAGAAGACAAATTGGCTTAGAGATTAAAAAGCAGAATCGCGTTTTGAAATATACTATGCCGTCTGGGGAAGGTTCGGTCTGATAGGTGAGAGGAAAGTGGAGGGAATGGCAATTTCAAAGTGCTTGGTGGCCCAAAGCAGGACTACCGAAAAAAGCTCGGACCCGTATGATTGTTATTCCATTCAAAAGTCTCGAAATGCGAGAAAACAAGTGGGCTTTTTTCGTAAAATTAGTGATAATTTTAATCGTTTTCTTTAAAAATCTGCCTTTTTGGAGGGCTTTCTTTCGGATTTAGCGCAATTTGCGATTTTTATGATTTTTCTTGTAGCAAAAATCTTCATAAAAACCCTTAATTCATAAATTTAAAATTACTGATTTTCTCGCCCCTTCGAGAGCTTCCAATGGAAAGCTAAATCATTCAAATCGGACACTTCTTCGAAACGCTTGGGGGGGAGGTTTTTTTTGAGACATCCTGTGGTAGTCGCGAAGGAGCCAGAAACAGCCAAGAAAATGACAGCCGATTTACCTTGCTCTTCCCTTCGAGCGCTCCCGTTCCCGCGTAGATGATGCTACATTGGTCGCCATTCCGGACCCAGACGTCCTAAAAGACATTTTTCACCTTATGCTAGGATCTCCGACCTTTAACGTCTCCTCGAAGCGCTGCTGCATATTTACGTTGGCAGACTCGATGCGCATGGCAGTCACTTGGTTCCCAACCGACTAGATTTTATCGTATAGATGAGTACTCAAACTTGTCGTACCTGAATCCCCAAGACCGTCTGGACGCTGTTCGTCCGGTCCAAACAGTCCAGGCAATTTGTTCGAACGACACCGGATTGGGTCCTAAATTGCCGAAAATCATTTTATCATTAGAAAACTACCGCAAGACTTTGCCATCAACGCAATGAAAGAATCCGTGCTGATCAACGTATCTCTGGAGATCCTTTTTCAAATAGTTGATGTTTTCCCGGGACGCCTAGAGAATAAGTGTGTGCCATAATAAGTTTTGGCCCTTTTCTCCGCGGTCTATGTAGCCGTACAAACCGGATAGTAGGTTTTCGCATCTTTGGTCTACTTGAAATTCTTTTACGATGCAGGATCACGTTTTTATACGCAATTGTATAAAAATAGGCGAAAAACCCGTGACAAAATGATAGGGGATCATTACATACATTTCCACCAACTTTCTGTATGAATAGTGGTGCTAAGTGATTTAATTGAAGATTCATCGGAGGAACGATGCAAAGATAGGATTTTCTGACCGAAACGCCAACCGCAAACAGCCAGCTAAAATTTGCATCTAATTAGCATCCACTATTCATACAGAAAGTTGATGGAAATGATATGTTAATGATTCCCCTATCATTTTGTCACTGGTGTTTTTTGCCTATTTTCATACAATTGCGTATAAAAACGTGATCCTGCATCGTAAAAGCATTTCAAGTAGACCAAAACATGCGCATTTTCCGGACCCCAAACCTACAACCGGTTGTCGGGTACATGGGCCGCGGAGAAACGCCAAAAATTCTTCCCTTCATTATGGCCTGTGTACAATAAATTTTGCTCGAAAATTAGCCCTACCTTCATGCGGGCATGATAATCGAATTCAATAAAAGGCACCGTGTCCAACAATTTGGTCTTTTTGTGCTGGGTCTAAAATCGGCGAATGATTGTAAATAACGGTTCCAAGCCTTGAATGCATCAGTCATCGTCCTTTCCCCTTCCTTGTGCCCGAGAAGACTCACAACCACGATGTCCTTGTAGTTCTTTTCCAAAGAGAGGAAGTGCCTAAAGAAAGGTCAGATTTGAAAAACAAAGGTGGACCTTTTATATGCGGGAGCGGAAGCTTCAAAAGCACGTAGCTTTACTTTATGAGAACCGACCTAAACTCGTCTATGAGCAAAATGTAAAAAATGATAGAAACCTGCAGGCCCGGCTGATCCCAGAAAAGAGGTATTGAGCCACGTATTTGAACAAATGAGGATTCTTGATTATCGAAGAGGATCAACTAAAATTAAATTTTCTCAATTCTTTATTGAAGACCACTACCTGTTCGGTTTCGACAAAATTAGCGACATGTCCCATGTCATTGGCTCCGCGAACATTGAACCGAGTGCCAACCCGTTCGCAGCTCAACCGGGAAAGCAACGCAACCTAATTTAAAATTAGCGACAATAGTTGGTTGACAATATTATTAGTTGGACTTACCTTCCCCGTCTTGGCCCCGACATAGACCGTTCGCACCAATACCGATCCGCTGATGCACTTCAGAAACCACTGCTTTGAATCGATACCGAATCGCTGAAGCGGGAAATGCAGGCTCCGATTCCTAAAAGCGTTCTAAAGAAAAAGAATCCTTGCCCACCAGAAGAATCGTTCGTCACTCTCCGCATTTTCGGAGCGCTTTTGGGCGCATAAAGTGAGATCGTAGTCCGGAGAGGAAGAGAAATAAAACATTCCCGACGAGATCAGTTTTTGGAGCTAAAAGCGACAAGTCTTTGGAACCAAAATAAAAAAATTACCTCCGGGATTCGCAAATCTATATTCTCAGCCAATCCAATCGCGCGAAGGGGTATGAATTCAGTCATGGTAATCTGAAAAATCTCTATTAGTCAAAAAACGGATAAACCTTGTAAATATCGCTATTATGCAGTTGTCCGGCCGAAAGCACACCCTTGACGGTGAGCAGGTAGCTCTCCTCTGAAGTCAGGATTGGGTAACAAAAAAAAACACCCTACCTTTGGTCCTCAATATTCCTATCAAGCCGTATGAATCGGAGATCTTCAAATAGCCCTGCTTCCAGTCTTCGAATTGTGGACGGGCTGAAAAAATTGGCGTTTATAGGGAAACAAAAGTCTTACAAATTTCCAGAGAAGCATTATTTTCGAAGAGGAGACAGGTCTCATTCCTGGAGTGCTCGATGAGAAACGAGGGGGGAAGAGTGACGTCCGTGCGTCTCCACACACGAACCCCCCGGGTCGCCATCTAAAAAATCGTCGTAAAATTTACATTTTAAAGAAAACGCTTCGAGAAGTTAATGAAAGTCTGAAGAGACACATGACAAACGTTTTAAAGAAAAGTTTGAAAGCAAGCTTCTGGGAGGTTTCACTAGTTCAAGCGTTCCCTAACCTCGTCCTCCATTCCAAAATTGGCGTATCGAATCGGTCGTTCGGCTTTACGAATATTTTTACGAAGCTGGTTACATTTTCTAGCAATTGAGCCGGCCATAACATCTAGTGGGTGAGTAGAAGAGTAATGGTTTTCGCTGTGCACGAGGTTGGCAATAATGGCCCAAACTTGCAAATCCCCCCCAAAAAAAAAAACTAGTACGTGAAGCGTAGGAGCGAGGGGAGAGCGGGGAAAACAGAGCGGCCAGCGTTCCGGCCGATTTTTACATGCGAGGAGATCAGCATCTGCGATTGTATTTAGCATTTAAATCAAGCTATAAAATGAGGATTTTCCAACATCAATCGCATATCGCCTCGCACCGCCAACGTATTCTGCTCCGGAGGGGTGGTGGGTTATCACTTGCATGTTAATTTTAAAAAAAGTAGAGCAAATATGGGCGCTGAGGATGCGAAGGAAGTCAAGTCGAAGAAGGGCGGGAAGGCCGATGTAGCCGCGAAGGAGACGAGCAAAGAGGTCAGCAAGGAAGCCAGCAAGGAGACGAGCAAGGAGGTCAGCAAGGAGGCAAGCAAGGAGGCCGGAAAGGAGAAAGAAGAGTCCAAGGCGCCACCAAAGGAAGAGCACAAGGAACGGCCGGAAAAACCCGCGAAAGAACCAAAAGTGGTTTATAAAAAAAACGATAAGTCCCGAACTTTAGGTCGATCGGACCCAGGCAAAGACCGAGGAGGCCCCTCTGGACAAACCAGCTGAACCGCGCGCTACTGTCAAAGTTGGCAATGCTTTGATCACCATCACGAAGGAAGAAAAATCAAGCGAGGGACCTCCCGCGCCTGCCAAGGCGGTAGGTGCCTAGAATTGAATAGTTTTAATAGATTTTTTAGGCCAAAAAGGAAATCCCGCCGCCGCTGTCGGCCGATGACTTGGCAAAGCTATTGCCGATCCTTAAAAAGAAGGCGGATGAAGCCACGAAAGCATTGGACCTGCGAGCCTTCATCCAGAAACATCTCCGCGATGGCAGCATGAAACAAGAATACACACTGCCTGAGCTGAACGCCATTCTTGACAGGGCCAAGGTTCTTACTGACCTCTAATCAAACAATAGATGTTTTAGTACGCGTTTCTCTCCAGTTCTCCGCTGCTCGAGCTGCGGGCCCCGGTCAACATCTGTGGTGACATCCACGGCCAATACGGCGATCTCTTCCGGATCTTCAACTCGTGCGGCATGCCCTTCCAAAAGTGGACATGTACCAGAAAATAACCTAAACATTTTTTAGGAGATACCTCTTTTTGGGAGATTATGTCGATAGAGGGCGCCACTCGATGGAGGTCATTGTCATGCTGCTTGCCCTTCGAATCGAGTTCCCAAGAGCCGTTTACATGCTGCGTGGAAACCACGAGCTGGCCAATATCAATCGGTAGCCTTTTAAAGGCTTTTCTCTGACCACCATTCAAGCGTCTACGGCTTTTTGGCCGATTGTCGCATGCGCTTCCGCGCGGGTGATGATTGGAAGCTGCTCTACGAGCGTTTTAACGAGGTGAGGAGGATGCACCCGACCAATAAGCAAATTATAGGTGTTTTCCGTGATGCCGTTGGCAGCCATCGTCTCCAACAAGATCCTGTGTATGCATGGTGGTCTCTCTCCGGAGCTCAAGTCTCTCGACGACATTCGGAGGATCCAGCGGCCCATCACCATCGCTCGCGGGCTGGCCCAGGATTTATTGTGGGCCGATCCGGAGAGTGGCACCAAAGGATTCCAGGTACCGAGTAGCCTTCCATTTTCCATCATTGGAACTTATCTTTAGATGAACAAGATCCGGGCCGTGTCCCATGTATTTGGAGAAGACGCCGTCGCCGCCAAGTGCAAAGAGCTAGACATCGACCTTGTCATCCGCGCTCACCAGGTCGTCGAATACGGTTACGCCTTTTTCGCCGAGTAAGTCCACCCTCTTGCGGTCGTCTTATACAGACAAACCCGCAGCCGGAAGCTGATCACGGTCTTCTCGGCGTCTCGTTATCATGAGGATCTCTGGAACTGGGCTGCTGTCGTCAAAGTCAACGAAAATCTGGAAATCTCGTTTCATCAATTGAAGCCCGAGGAGTTTGAAACGGTATTGATAACCAACCCGATAGTAAACGATTATTCGCAGTATCGGAAAGAGAAAGCCCAAGCCGTCGCGCACACCGGCGACAACCAGGACGATGACGACGATCCGCCGAAGTAGCGCCAATACCCCGAAAACTCGACTACCTTATTGGATTGACTTAGCATTAATATGACCATTCCTTTTAATGAGAATCTGGTTTCGCGGCATGGAATAAATTGTTCAACCGGTGCAGTGATTCAGCAACATTCTACCCCGGCTATTTTCCCCCAATCAAAATAAATTCAAAACGAGCAATACCCGGGTGGATGAAAAAAAGCCGTTTACTTCATGGAGTTAGTGCCAATTTTTGAAAAGAAATTTTGGAGGACCATAGTAATGCCGTTGACCAATTTGATCTTGATTCTGCGCGACGTAAACTTGGAAATATGATCGCCTCTAACAGTTATGTTCACTATAAACAAAAGTGAAATGGCAACTAGATAGATTTGGCACTGACTGACATTTACAAAGTTGGCTTCAAATGTAAAAACAAAAATTTACGCGTAAAGAAGCTGAATAGGCTTCGCCGGCGGCATAATCGATGCCTGGGGGGAAAGGCTTGCGGGAGATGAGAGAGAAAGAGTACGAGGAAAGACAAGAAACCCACAACCCCCACTACCACTCATCTATCGCATGCTTCTCCACACGTTTTTCAAAGATGAAGCCGTGTTCATGCGGATGTGTTGTATGCGGAAGATGTTCATTACCTTCCGCAAACTCGTTACGAACAGCTCCTCGATTTCAGTCCGTCCATCGACCATCAAACCATTTGATTACGCTATGTAATCGATCGGCGCTTTGGAAATTTCCACGAATTTTTTCAACCTTCAATTTTCGTTGTAAATTTATTTCTTACTCTTACCTTACCTACCTACTTTTTCCTTTGCAGGTAATGGGTTCATTATACCAAAACGGGCGGGTGAAATACGAATGTGGCTGCGGCCAATGGCACCCGTTAGCTGTTCTCTTCTTTTGTCGGCATTGCGAAAAAATCCGGTAAGCTGTTGTGGAAAGGTGTAATCGTTTCGTGTAGATGCAACTCCTGCACAAGTGCCGAATTCGACTGCACGTTCTGCCCAAACTGCTTGGAGTCGATGCACAACAGCGAGGCGCGGATGAAGAAGAACCGTTGCTTCGCCTGTACGGCGTGTCCGCGTTGTGGTACGAACTTTTTATCGACTTAGTCTCCTCTTTTAGACATGGCGCTATCCGCAAAGACGTGTTTGGACAATGGTGCATCATACCTTGCCTGCAGAAACTGCCGCTGGTCCACACGCGAAGCTGGCATTCCAGACCAGCCAAAGCCCAGTGATTGGCCAATGTATGAATTCGATTCCCACATACTACTTTTGTTAGGCCTGCGAACCCAAATAGAGAGTACCATGCCACCGTTTTATCTCACTTCAAGGAGCTACAACAAGTCGAGAAGGCACAGAAGGAAAACGAAAAGGATCGGAAAAGGTGCGAAAGCTTTGTTGGGTTTTCAAACTTTTCTAGGCGTACGCATGGGTTCAGCGCGGCCAAGTTTTCGGATCGCCACGGCTTGCAAAAGTTGTACCAGGCGCGCAAGAAGGTATTGCTCCCCTATACAACCCTAACTCACTTGTAGGCGATCGAAGGTCCGCAATATACTGTGGAAGCCCATGAGGCCACCGCTGAGGTCCCAGATGACTTGAATGAGATTCTGGCCTCGAAAGCGACTTCAACAATGCCTCTAGCGGCCGCGCTTAGCCAGAATGTTTCGGGAGTTTCCACCGAGCAACCTGTACGCATTCCTATGGCGGCCCGAAAGGCTTTAAGGTAACGCTTTCCACTCTTTTTTTAATTATCTCTGTTCAGGTGCAACGAATGCGACTACCACATCAAGAAGCTCGAATTCAGCGCCACGACGACCCGCTACAAAATTGGGGTAGATTACTGTTTTTGAGCTTCAACGTTGATAGTTGTTTGCAAGGAACGTCATACCGGAGCTGCGTTTATCCCGCCCCGCTGACATTGAGCTGGGGCGCGAGGCGTCGATCTTCCTCACCATCCAGAACCACACTGATTCGACGACACAGGTACGCACATCTCCATTAAAGGGATGCCGACGGCATAATCAATCGGTTACCTGAAAGAAAATGTCTCTACGCCTCTCCCCAGGGGGCGCTCTTGCCCTGTTGGCTTGCCAATGTTGATGAGGGGAACCGTCGAGCCCTTAAAGCAAATTTCTTTGTAGTTGATGATCATGCCCGACCCTCAAGAAGATTTGGTAGAGAACGTTACTGACGTGATCGCGCTCACGATGCAATCTTATGACAACAATGCTGGCGTACTGAGCGGTGATGAGAAGAAACAGGAAACGCCGTCGCATCCCCGAGTTGTTTTTACCAAGCGCAACCGCACTGGGATTCGATTGGACGTCTTGCGAAAGGCCAGCCTCATTTTATCTACAAATAATGATGGTGACTTTAGGACGACTCCATCAAGAACGTGCTTGGCCTGCTACTGAAGTACAAGAATACATCATCGACGGCAGTGAATAGTGATAAGCCGGTATCTTGGAATGTCGTGCGGGTTCGTATCACCTTGGACGTTTAGCTTTACGCATTGGTCTGTCGTGCCTTGGATTCATAATAAAACTTTTTATTTTGTTTTGTACACACTGTATTTGTTCGCGTCTCATGTTTATCCAACGACAGGGTTATGCCCACAATCAGCGAGTATGATTTTTATTTGCCACTTGGTAATACGGGTCCAAATTCGTTTTTAAAAGCAGTTTGTGAATATAAATTAAATGATTGTTAATAATAGTAGCGCAGGAAAATGGGGCGGATTCTATTTCTTCTTTTTGTCGTGACGCTTCTTGCCGGAACCGTTCTTCTGATCTTTCTTTCCGCTGCCGGATTCCTTTGTGAGCTTCTTCTTCTTCTTCTTTTTCCTGTAAAATTCTAGTGCATGGGGGATGACTGTAACCTTCGGTCGGAATCCGTGCTTTCCTCCGAATCTTCGACGTCATCCTCGGACGGACTGCTCTTCTGCTCTGCCGTCTTTTTCTTTCTCTAAAATAAGCTTTCTTCTAGGTGTGGTATTAATGGCTACATCGTGTGATTTCTTGCTGATCCACTCTGGTTTGTTTCCTATCTTGATCCCTTCATCTTTCGCTATCTTGTCCATGTGCATCTGAATCATGGTGGAGAGTAGGAGAAATAGGAATAGTTAGCTGACCTGCATCATCTTGTAATCCGGCGCCTGATAATACGTCAATTCGTCAACATACTTCATCATTCTGCGGAAATCTTTTGGCACGGTATCCCAGATTTTGTGATCTAAGTTTTTTTGGAGAGATGACTATAGGCGCATACGCTTTTGATCGAATTGGAAGAGCTCGCACTTCAGGGCATACACATCTTCCTTCGTTGCCGAGCATCGCCAGGGGATCAGCTTATGCGCACAAAGATCAATGACCATATAGCACCACGTCTGAATTTTGGGCTATCGAGGTTTGCTTTCAATATGAGCAGACCTCTAGATCATCCTTCCGGGATTGTTCCACACTCTGATGGCATCCGCGTGATGCGAAGCCGACCGTCCCCACAAACTTGGCCTTCTCACGTGGTGGTCTACCAGTTCATTGAATGTTGTTTGTCATCTCCCTTACTTGTGCTGACCGTCAGCCTGGAGGTACTTCCGAGCGATGCCGAAATCGAGGAGGTAGATCGTGTGTTGTTTGTCTTCTAGTCCGATGGCAAAATTGGCTGGTTTGATGTCCCTAGAATTTAAGGTCATTTTCTTGTGCATCGATTGTTGTGCTCGTCATTTCCCGCCTACCAACCTGTGGATGTAGCCAAGATCGTGTAGATCGGCGATCCCGTCAAGTGCCTCGATGCTGATGCGCCAAGCCGACGCCTTGCTGAACGTCTTTCAGTTATTGTTTCCGGGGTTGTGCCCTACCTGAATTTTTCGTCGGGCAGCTTCTTCCGCAACTCGTAGATCGACGGGCCAACCAGACCCATGACCATGAACCGGATGTCGTCACTACGGCCACTATCGTAGAAGGGCACGAAGTGTAGCTTCTTCTTTGGGTCGGGGATCTGAAGAACTTTTGGTCTCTATTAGGTTGGTTTATTACCTGCGAGGCAACTTTCAGCACTTCACATTCCATCTTGAGGCGCAACATTCGCTTGTTGATGTGTTCGGCGTGACATTCCGTCTTGATAGCGTACGTCTGAATTCAGAAATTTCAAAGCTTGGATCAGCTCGTGCCTGTTTTTTGTCATCCTTCGCCCGATACACGTCACCGAAACCGCCAGATCCAAGGAGCTCGATGATTTCATATTTGGTCACTTGTGACTCGATGATCATTCCCGGCTTCAGCTTCTCCCGTTTATTGGCCGTTCCTAAGGCATTATCGTTATATCCAGAAAATCTTTACGCCGCCGGCCGGCGGCTTTGCCCCCGTCCTTCCTTTTGCTGCCCTCTTGTGTCCCCTGGAAAATGATTAAAGCTAGTAGATCTAACTTGAAACTAACCTCGACCGCCATGGACAAAAGAAGGCTGAGGATGACTAGAGCACATCTGACCTGTTTCCTACTTTTTCTTTTCTCTAATTTATTCATTTCCTGGAACTGTTCATTTTATGTAAATCTCCATTTAGAAAAATGACACTGCCTCCTGGTGTGAGCAGCGTGTTGGAGGCTGAGACTCCTCCTCCATCGACGTCATCGCAAAACCGGTTTTTCTCAAGTTTATTCGTAATTCATGAATTTCAGCTGTTCTTCTTCTTCGCACGACTGCGCTGATTGCGCGCGGAAGGACGATTTGATCGACGAACTCAAGGCAATTGTTTTGAAGTAAACCTTCTCCCCTTCTGCATATGACTTTTAGACCGTCCCGTTCAAACTGCGCGAATTGCGAGATCCTGACACTGTAAGCTGTTACTGCACCTTCAACACTTTTAATTTAGAGAAAATAAAACCGCACTGGCGACAATCCAGGGATACAAGACGACCGTGTAAGCTATATTCTGAAGTTTCTTAACCCATAGTTTAGGGCAGCTGCCGAGGGCGCCAAGGCCGAATGCGATTACCTGCTGGAGCGGCAGAGCGGCGCGGAAAGATGCGGCTGGAACAGCTACAACAATCTCGTCATAGAGAATAATAATTACAGGTATATTTCTTGTTGTGGAAGATGTCCCGATTTTAGGACAGAAACCGCAAAGCTGCGTGAACAGGTGGCGGCTTTGACGGGATCGAAGGAGACTTCGAATAACAATACGGTCAGGATTTTTTGAAGAAGCAATTGGAAAACTAAACCTGGCCGAAGTAGTGTTGTAATGTAATGTTTTAGAGTCACGACCAGAAACTGCGGATCATGTGTTTGCTGCGTGACACGAATCTGATTTTGCAGCACGAGATTGCGGAAACACGAGACGAATTGGCGGTTTGCGCTTGGTTTTTACCTACGTTCTCTTTTAGAAGCTCGGCTTCACGCTCGCCTATTCTCAAAGACTTGGCCCACCACCAAAGAAGCGCAAGGCCGAAGACTAAAACTATGTAAACAAATTTCGCTTCCGCACCCGGATTTCTATTTATACCCCGTCGACGCACTGAAACGGGTCCCTTTGCTAATGTTTCAAAATCTTTTGCTTTTGCATTAAAGACTTTATTCCGTGGCGATATGAGATCACATGTGGGGAATACCCATGTCAACATGAAAAATGTAAATGAGAATTATTTGGAACGATTAGGGCTTCGGCCAATTTTGCTCGGGCAAGCCGCGTTGTCGCCGGTATTCTGACTGTGGCGTCTGAAACGCAGTCTGTGGGCTTTCTCAATGTGAATACCTCTTCCTTGAATCCGAAGGACACTCCTCGGTGCCAGAGTCGTCGCTGGAATCGTCGCTCGACGAAGAGGAAGAGGAACTGTCCGAAGATGAGTTGTCGTCACGAGGGGTTGATTCGGCGGCTTCCATTATCGGGATCAGCTCGGGCCGTTCCTTTTTTAGTCTGAAATAAATTTATATCCATTTGGAATATCGCGTCAATTCTTTACAGTCAACATGGGTGCCGGGATCATAACGGACCTCAGAAACCAGTGCTTGCTGAATTTGGGCCTCCCGCGAACAGTTTTTGGCCATACGATATGTAAGTTCGCGGTCGAGCACAGGTTTTGCGTAATCGCGATCGTCATATCCTCGTTAATGACGACATGCCACCAGCCTGAAAGGTAATTGAGAACTCTGGAGACAAGGAAGAGACGTACCGGCCGGAACAAACATCGTCTCACCCGGGTTTTGGCGACATTCGATATAGGGATACTCTTTCGGCCACGAGCTCGAACGAACCCTGAAAAAACACTAGAAGATATAAATTAGAATAGCTTTTCCATATCCAATGCAGTCTGCCTGCACCTAGCAAGCAAAGTCGCGATAATAAAAAGTTGCGCACTTGCCTCTCGTACACCGTCCTGAACCAGGTCACAGCTTCGTCCGGATGCTTACCACTTTCGCCCTTGTAAGGTTTGACCAGGTATTTTGGCGCGTCAGGTGGAATGAGAACCCATCTATGCGACACAGATAAAAACTGTTCCTTGAAATTACCGTTTATGTCCTTGGATAAGTGAATTCCAGGCGCTGGTCCCCAATGGGTCTATGTGAATGGCTGTGCCGGAGCGAGGAGGTCCCATCACGAACCATCTGGAATATTCGGATTGGTTTGCCTCAAAATATATCGACAGACCTATGTGGTGGCCGCTTCTTCATTTCAGCGTAACGAAAGAGATCATCCTCCCAGAATTTCGGGATCTGATAATCATCGAGCAGCTTCTTCGTTTTGTTCCGCTAAGTATCTCGTAGTTTGTTGATGGTTAAAAGTTACCTCCCCAAAAGAGCTGTCAAAAATATATAACGGGCTATCATCTTTGTTGCAGCGAAGATAGTCGTAGTAGTACTAAAACAAGAAATTAACCCCAAGATTGCGCACACCTTCATTTTGAGCTTCACCGAATACCCATCGTCGTCTTCGCCGCATTTAAATTTTTGATTACGGAAACGTTTAAGGAGGCGCTGAAATACGAACATCAAAAATTTGTATATAGCCCTGGACCTGATGCTCCACAATAAGTGAAGAGCAAAATTTGACGACGAACTGTCTACAATAAAATACCCATGTAAACGATACCTCGGTGGTCCATTTCTCATTAGCCAGCCAACCTTCAGTCAATCCTGACAAAAGCACCGGTATCCCAGGCCGTTCGTACTTCTCTCGGAACTCCTCGACGCTGAGTTGTTGACCATCGAGCCTGGTTTGGGTTTCCGATATCTTGTTTAACACTCACCGAATAATATTATCATGAAGTGGCGGAAGCGAGTAATTGGAAGCATAACCCAATGTCTCCCAACCATAGTTCTTTAGCTCCGGCCTCGCTTTCTTCTTTGCTTCTTGCACGCGCCGCAGCGAACGATGATGAATTCTAGACATGATGAATAATCCGGATTAAGAATCCATACTTCGTCTCAGGGTCGTAATTGTTTGAAGTACGGCTGCTGCCGCGCCCATCATCGCAACAATCACGCATCATCTAAGTGATTCCGTGTCAAACCGTCGGTTACTAAAAAGGGCACCAATTCAGTGGATATCCAAAACTTCTGCGCAGAAGGCTCAACCCTATCAAAGTTTATTGGCTACATACACGCGTTTCAATACACCATCCATCGATCGCAACTATAGACAAACTAGTAGGGGTCAATGGGCCACAAAATGCCCACTCGATACATAGCAAAAGCAGAATCACACACATCAAGTTACTATTTCGGCGGGGAAAGGTTAGGCTTTTTCTCGGCGATTGGCGCAGGGGATTTCTGGAATTCGGCCCATTCGGCACGCATCGAGGCGAGGCCAGCACGAATCAAGTCGACCTAAAAACACATTGTTGAAAAATCTCCGTCTCTACCGTTTCATGGGGGTAGCAAAAAGCGGCCATCGTTGAGAGCCCAGTGGCTGACCCAAACACCCTGCCGAAACCGCCCCGCCTCATTCCAAGTACGAAACCAGCCATGCCGCCTAAGAAGTATGTGAACGGTCGGCAAACTCGACGAACCCAATGTGATGGCGCCAGCCTTAGGAAGGACACTCCATTCGTCTTCGACGTAGTGTTGGACCTAAATTTATAGGGGGTCCACAAGCACAGCGTGATACGGCAATATTACCAGGGACCGAAATCAGCATTACCTTGCAAGCAGTCTTCTTCGCGCCGGTCGCCACCCGATCAATGACCGAAAATCGTTCGGCAATTCTGTTGTACTCCACTTCCCAGGTCCTAGAAAGAAACAATGATCTTATGGCTATATCAATAATCCTACTTCCGCAATGTGGCGAACTCTCGCTGCAGTGGAAGCGGCTCTTCTTCAATGAAATAAACGGGCCGTGCAGGGGCATCCTCGCCGTAAAGCTAAACCAAATGATACGGCGGATTGATACTTACGGGAAGATCGTTCACAGTCACGAGACGCGACGGATCCGACTTCGGGCGACGATCCGCCGTCGTCAGGTTCCACCTAGGAAACTAATTGGTATATAATAAATCCTTACCATTGCGTGATTGGATTGGTACTTTCAGCAACCTCGGTTTTACCCATACCCTGTAAATACTTGTCTTGACCACCGCAGCACGTTACGAATAAGGTTCTAATCAGGTGTTTTTTTTACTCGCCGATGTATCCGGAAAGAACCATTTGCGTTTAATCAGTCCTGTGTTTAAAAAAATTTATCGCAAAGTAACAAAAACAAGCACGCAGAACAGTTCAACATTGAAAACAGAACGAAGAAGCAACACAAGGCATGGAGAAATCGAGATTTTCAGATCATAAAGCTGATGGTCATTAGAAGCCCCATCATTGAAGAGATCGTTGTGCAGTAGCTTATTCAGGCATGATCTGAAATAAACCAGATTAATGGCATGGTTCGATTCAAACCCACCTCCTTCTTTTCATCAGCGCCACCCTTCTTGGTGCCGGAAACAATGTCGTCGATACGGAGCAACATCACTGAAGTCTCCACAGCGGTCTTCAAAACTTGAAGTCGCACAGCCAGAGGATCCCAAATATCGAGTTTGTTCATGTCGACCTATAACAACGCTAGAAACGCGGAGCTAACGAATTATACCAGTTCTCCAGAAGAGCCATCTACACCCCAGGTCCAGTTATCCGGTGACTGTGCATGCTTGGCACGTAGAGCGGTGATTTGGCGGATGGTGTTGCCTACATTCGTGATAAAAAAACCAAAAGATAATTTTATACCTCCGCAATTCTGGATCAAGGTGCGCGGGATCACTTCCAGTGCTGCGGCGATGGCCATGTAAGGGTTCTTACGAATGCCCTCCATCTGACGGCTTTTTTCGTTGAGCGCCTGAAACGTCAGTAGTGTCATCGGGTAGTACGGGTAATCCTTACATTAGAAAGTGCCATCTCCAAAGCACCACCGCCGGGAACCAGGCGAGGATTCAACAGAACGTTCCTGACGACGTTAACAGCATCGTTCAAATTACGTTCAACCTAAAACCAAAATATTTGTTTTGGTAAGTTTAAACTTGCCTCGTTAATGACATCCTTAGATGGGCCACGAAGACAGACAGTAACAGCCGTGGTCTTTGAAGAAGTCACATAGGTGTAGTATCTAAAAGCCTATGTAGAAAGACAGAGGCACCTACTCGTCACCAATCTTCAAAATTTCGAAGAGCTCTGCCGTTGTTCCAACATCTTCCTCACGCAAGTCGCAAGTGTCATTCAGAATACGAGCGCCACAGACCCTGGACAGATTGGTCTTTTGCCAGAACAAGCATACCTAGCCAAGCGGTTGTTGTCAGTCTTCTTCAAACGACGGATGGCGGTAATTCCGGCCTTCATCAGGAAATGCTGGGCGAGGTCCGAAATCCCCTTTTCGGTGAAGACGAGGTCCGGCTTGACACGGATGATGTCGTCACATTGCTTGCGGATTTCCTCTTCTTCCTAGAAAAAGCGGTGTATTTTCTCCAATAATATACCTGCTGCAGGATACGAGTGATGTCAGCATCGCGCATAATCTCCAGGGAAGTCTGTGACTCGCCCTTTTTGTACTCCAGATTGCAATCGAGGAGGACAATGCGAGGGTTCTCGATGCTAAAAGGAAAGGATAAAAGCAATCCATACAGACAAAAAGTTACCGCCGCTTCATCTTCGCATGAGTCACATCCTTGTTCAGAATAACACCCTTGATCACCTTGCTGTCTTCGATGGTGCCTCCCGGAATTTTCTCGATGCGACAATACCTACAAAAAGAACAATTAAAAAGAGCATGTTTAGCACACCGCTTGATATCGATCTCCTGGACTCCACCCTTGTCGATGCGAATAGTTCGGACAGCATTCATTGCAATATCTACGGCCAGATCCATCCACTTGGCCAACATCTTGGTGCCAAGACACGATTTGACGACCTACTTCACATGATCAAGAACTCATTAATAATATACCGTGATCAACTCCTCGTCATTGTCAACGTTGATTGGCTTGCAGAATTTGCCCTCGGCCAATTTGAGGATATCCTCCAATGCTTGGCGATAGGCCTAAAGCAAAAATTTTACGGAAGAAATAGGGCAAACCTGAATGACAATTGTAGGGTGGATACGCTGGTCAAGGAAGGTATGGGCCTTCGCCATGACCTCACCAGCCAGAATAATTACTGATGTGGTGCCATCCCCGGTTTCTTCGTCCTAATACCGATGGTAAATGCCAATAACGGGTGGATTACCTGGGTTCGGGCAATGTCGATCATGCTCTTCGCAGCAGGATGTTTGACGGTGATCTCCCTAAAATGGTTTAAATATTACATTCTAACAAACCTTAGAATTGCGTTTCCATCATTCGTCATGACAATGCCGCCCATCGGATCCATGAGCATTTTCAGCATAGCTTTCGGCCCAAGAGCGGTGCGGATGACATCAGCAATCGTCTAACAAGGGTTTAAACATTATTTATAAAATAAACCTTGCAAGCAGTGATGATTCCGGACTGGACCTGGTAACCATTTTCTCGTTTCGTCCCTTGCGATAAAACGATCACTGGCTGTTGACTCCCACCACGCATCATTTTTACCTAGTAAAATAAATTATAAAATTTTCAGAAGAGAAGCAACGAAATGAGAAAGGGGAATTGGATATTACACTCGTTCAAGAAATTTCGACCGCGAGAAATGCCGGTGCGTGGCGGTTCAGGGCCTAACACCACAGCATATAACCACTTTTGACAGCGAAACTGGGCAACGGAAGAGCGAAACTTAGCAATAATGTGCCATCTCTGCAAAACCTTCTACCCAATTATTCGTAACCCCCCCGCCGCCCCCTTTTTTTACAGCGGGGGGGCGACCGCGCCAAATTTTTTATTGACCCCCATAACAAAAAACTCCATTCGCCGTGTTGACGAATATCAGGTCCGCTCTTTCTGCGCGTAAAAATATTAACCAAAGTAGAGGTTTATCAGATGCGGTTTAAACAAACAGCGAAAAACATTTATGGTATGCACAAAACAATAACAATTTATTTAACAAATCACTCGTTCTCCTCGGTCCGGATGCGGGCATGACCATTCGTCAATCTGATGTTCAACTGCTTTGCCCGCTCAACGATTTCTTTTCTCTTCTTGGCGCCGACGGCGTGGGCGATCTCTCCCGCGTACTTGTGATTCTGCATCAGCAGCATGTCGAGTTCCTAAGAAATGAATGAAAGGAAACAACGCGGAACAAACCCTCGAGTTGTGAACGAGGACCTTGATGAAGCCGGTGGGAAGGACGTGCTTGGTCAGCTTGTTGTTTCCGTAACCGATCGTCGGCATGTCACGGGTTCCCTTGAAGCGACGACGCATTCGGTTGTCGATACCATGGGGCCTGCGCCAGTTTGGTCGGATGCGCATGTAGCGATCAGACTCATGACGGGTAAACTTGCGTGTCCTCTTCTTCACGATCTTAATGCGTTTACCCGCGACGAGGACCATTTTGCCTGAAACAGGAAGAATTAAACCAATACATTACCAATCCGCGAGAAATGGAAATAGTCATCATGTCATTAAAGAAGCGGAACTGAGTTATCACAAAATTGGCTGGTCCTAACGCAAATTTCAGACTATTCCCCTTAGCTAAGTTATAGTCTGCTAGCGCAACCATCGTTCTAGAAAATCTCTCAACGAACAGCTGCACAAAAAAAACGTTTCATAGCAATCAACGCCATTCACAAACCAGAGTATGGCGGACTATTTTCCGAGCCGTAATAATGGAAAAAAATGGATGAATTTTGGATATCTTTCGCTAGAGCCTTTGGACGCGTTCATCGTAAAGAAACCATCGAATAGAACCATACGGAAATTTCAGCACTGCAGGGCAATTGGTGATGATTCCCCCGGGAGCAATATGAATTTTGTGGCGGAAACCATCAAGGTGGGCTCAACCAGTCATTCACTCTTCAATAATCCGCAAGGAGAAGTGATAAAAATGGAAAACTATAAGTAGGGCAGACTTTTATTAGAAAGAGGGCCAAAACCTTACTATCGCGACTTCTTCGCCTCGAAGACTGGGATGTCTACGGTAGAGAATGCCTGCGCGCCGGGACCCGCGTACTCTGGCGCTCCGTGTAGTTTATTGCTGGGGGATTTTCCGCACGTCAGCGATTCGCTTCTATTCAAAAAAAAAACTAAAAATCAACGGCAAATTAACTAAGAGACAGACTATTCGATCTTTCCGTATTTTTTTTATGAAATCTAATGCTTCCGGAACCTTTTGAGCTCTCTGGGGGGCGTTTTGATGCGCAGTGGCCGAAAAGACGTGAGGATTTATTGAGCGGAATCGAGTTTGGAACGGAACCTTTGCGGGAAAATAATCTGAAAAGCTCTGAATCGCTGAAAAGCTACGTTTTTTTTTCAGTTCAACATGGAATCGGTGCTTGGAAGAGAGCTGCGCCGGATTGAGATCGACAACTTTGCTTCCCGCCCCATTGTGCTCAGGTACGAGCTCGTTTTTTTGCTTAAATTTTTTTGCAGTGGCTTCGCGGAACGTTCTTCTGGCGCTTTGAAAAACCTGGATGATGTCATCAGAGCGGCCTATTCTCGCCCGTTACCGGACTACCGGTATTCCAGCAGGATCGATGAGTACGTTTCCTTGTTCGGCGTAGATTCTCTTTAGAACGGAATTTTTGTCTGATGACGTCAAGGACACATCCTCGGTAGCGAAAAAGGATTTGGCGATTTTGGCGTAGGCATATGTTTCGAACCATTATTTGGGCTTTAGCCACTCTGACGCTCTCAAGGAACGTTGTAAGAAACCCCAATACAGGTCAATTCAAAGAAGATCGCTAAAGGTACGGGTTCTCATTTGTGATACGGGTTTTCTGACATTTAGTACGATATGACAGATGTAAAGTCGCTGTTTGCCTCACCCACTCAATATGTTCACGGAGATATACGCAATCGATTGGCGACTTCGGGTAATAAGATCCACCAACTTTTTTATAGTGTTTAGATTTCGCCTCCAATGATGCGTCAACTTTGACGCAGCTCTCATTAGATATTGCACGGATGCGCATTTATGATCTTCCGTTTTATCAAAGCGTATTCTCTGATCGACATCGGCTACCGACCTATTTCGACAAGCGAAGTAACGATAAATTGGTGATTTCGGTGGCGACGTGTGTTGGCTATTCACGTCCCTTGTTCCCACATGAAGTTCGGCTTGGCCGATTGGTAGGCCAAAAATTCTGTTTATTCAACTGGTATTGTTTAGTTCAAACCAGAGCGCGAACTCCAACTGCTTGGCTGGCATACCCTGCACGATTTGCGAAAGCAACTGCGCTGTCCAGAGAACTGCACCCTTGAAGACGACCATACATTTGTGGCACCAATTCCTGCGGACTACGCTAGAGTTTGTTGCTGTCAGTTAAAGAGGCTCATTTTTAGGAAAAATATACCGGATCTTTCTTCTTCATCAACAACGTGTTTTATCGGGATGAAACGAGCCCGGATTCTGAAGAAATGGTGCGCAATCTCCGGGAGTTTCTGATCGGCAACAATTTGCGTGACTACGAGATGCGTACGATGCAAACAAGGTATTTGTAGCATGGTTTTTATTTGTTTCTTTTCTTTAGGCTTGGCGAGCTGGACCTGCAGCTTGGCCACCCGTATGTCTATGTTCATCAAGCGCGTTGCGAGCATTTGATCACTTTTACCGACGTGGCATGGGTGCGGAATAAGGTAACTTGCTAGACGATATCGATAGCTTCGTTTAGCTTTCTCCGGCGGCATATCCGATGACAACATATTTGAAACGCTATAAATCAGTGCTATGCGCTGTATGCCGGCAAGAAGCCAAGTAAGCTGCTTGCTTGAATTTATTTGTCTTTTTTTAGCCGCGTAATTTTGCCAGACGAACGTGGCGACCTCACGGGCAGACTTCCAAGTGGCACTTCCTACAACACAGTGACCGTTTTGGATGCGCCATCTTTTCTCTGCGCAATCTGCACGCAAGGATTTTTGTTGTGGGTTTTCCGTTTGTATCCATTAAAGTTTTTTTTTCAGGAAAAACAATGGAGAGAAGGAGTTCCAATACGTATCGGCACCATATGAGAGCAGGAATGCCATCTACTACGATATTTCGAAGACAGTTTCGTACTAATCTGTTGTTGGATAATGATAAAGATTCATTTGTTTTGTTGCTACTACTGGCAATCTGGATTCTCACCATTATTACTTTTTTCTGAATTATTCTGGTAGAATATTAGCTTTTGATTAGGGAATGAGCGAGGCAAAGGTGCGCAAAGCGTTCGAAAAGACTGATGCGCTTCGTCCTTTCATCACGAAAACTTGTGAAGAAATCAAGCGGCTTGACGAGAGGGTAGCCATCGGTTTTCGATATAATTTTCTTTTGCAGGCAGATGAATTGATGAAGGAAGCGCATACGCGGCTTGCTGATTTTACGTCGAATGTCACGAGTCTATCCCAGGACCAGCGAACTAAGACTTACAAAGAACTGATGGTAGCTTTGTTTGTTGTGTAGAAAACTATGAATTTTTAGGCGCTCTTGAACGAAGGCAAAAAGCTCCACGCCAAGAAATTTGCGCTAGCCGAGAAGCAGTATGATACAGTCGATGAAAATATAACCTTTCTCGACAATGCTTGGGCGAGTTTCGTTGAAGAACATCGGGTCGTGAAGCAAGACGCCGAAGGTTGGGCCCTTGAAAGCTCTGACAATTTTCTTAGAGCACACAGACGACAAGAAACGAAAATCTACGAGCGGCCGCAAGGATAAGCAGGCGGGTACGGCAGGTGAGACATCGAAGGCTTTCTCTTTATCTTTTTTTTTAGCACAATCTTTCGTCTCGCAGCCGGCAGTCGAATATGCGAACATGCCGGTAGATCCGAACGAACCAAGGTATTGTTCTTGCAATCAGGTAACGGCCCATTCTTTCTGGCCAATCCGGTTTTTGAGGTGTCTTATGGCGAAATGGTGATGTGCGAGAACAAATCGTGCAAAACGGAATGGTTCCACTTCCAATGCGTTGGACTGACTGAGCCGCCAGTAGGGAAATGGTACTGTGATAAGTGTCTACCAGCACGAAAGAAGAAGGGCGCTGCTGCTTGATGATGGTCCGTTGCTCTAAAAATTCACATGTGATGCTCAACTGGCATTTGCTTTAATTTTTCCGATCCTCGACCTACAGTTCTACTCTCTTGAATTCGATCTCACATAGCCGGTATTCATTCTAATAAAAACATTTCATTGTTGTGGGAGTCGCAGTGTAGTTTTAGACAGTTTTAATTGCTCAGATCGTAAAAATAGAAATTAGAAGCCTTCCATCTACCCCTTTCGCCGGTGACGAAAAAATGTTTCAGGTATTACAGTAGTTCCGGCGTCCTGTTGGAGTTTTTTTGGGAGCCCTTTTAGTGTGAGAAATATTCTGTCAAGCGCCTTTTTGTTCTTCTGGCAAGCTGAGACCTCAGACGCTTCCGGTGACCTTGCAGCCGGCACGGAAAAGTGGTTGGGCCCGTTCGGATCTCCATTACAGATTTTCAAAAATTTTTCCTCGAGAGCTATGTAAACCACTGTATTTCAGGGGCGGGTTGGGGCCTTTTTGAAGCCCTTCTAGTTTGAGAGCTATTCTGCGTCTACCGCCCTCCCCGGCTAGCCCAATCTCTTCCTCGGTCTGCCCCGTCGTCGCGGATGTGTTGATGATGGTTGGGAGGGAGGGCGGGGGGATGAATGGAGGGGGTGCGTCGCGTGCCGGGGGATGAGAGCGGCCGCCTATTGATCTGCCGCGAGCCACCGGGGGCCAAATGAGGGCCCTTTGGCCCCTCCCCCATCATAAGCCTTTCCGCCGTCAGCCCCGCTATCCTCGTCGGGGGCGAGCCGTGAAAATGGCGTTCTCCGTTGCCCCCGGCGTATCCGATTGTCGCCATTGACGAAAGGGCAATTACGGTCTCGGATAGTTTTCAACCCTTTTTCTTCTAAATATTATTGTTATTAACTCTTTCCTGGTGCTGCTTACTTAGCGGGGGGGGGGCTAAGTTTATTCCTATTTTTCCTAGAGCCGATCATAAAATATAAGCTCATTTACGGCAGGACGCGGTTTTTAGAACGTTAAAAGGTTTATAGGCAATTTTTAAAAATGATGTTTTTTTGGTTTTTGGCGACAAATGCATGGATTATCGCCAGCCTCGCCGCTACTATACAATTTTTTTTATCCAGCCATTCTCTAACATATTCCAAGCTCCACCAGAGTTTTACTACTGTTTTTAATAGCCTTTTCCATTTGCTGCGACCGGATTTGCTATCCGATTTAATCCAGCCTATGCCATTTTTCGGTCCCCACCAAGTTTTCAACCCACCCACCCCCAATTAGCCGTTATGACCGTGTCCGGCCCATCAAAAATGCAGCGAATTCTTGACTTGGGGTGGGGTTTCTGCTGCTATTCCCCCCCCCCCTCCCCACCTATATGCGCGCTAATAAAAACCGCCGGGGGCGAAGCTGTTTTTGGGGGGCAACCTAGTTGTCGCCAGTGTTCACCGCCCACATTGCCACGAAAATCATGGGGGGGGGGGGGGGCGCTTCGAGGCTTGTTTGGAAGTTTGCGGGGTCTCCCGAATCCCTGGGGGCGCTTGTGATAGATTTGGGAGCGGCAGATTGGGCGGCTGGCCGGGTGGAGGGAGGGGCTTTTCTTTCCCCCTCCCTCTTTTTCGGGCTGAATTCCTGGCTTTTCTGGGCTCGTTTTGTTGTATTATCTTCAGGATTTATCGAAAATAGCGCTGAATTCCGGAATAGTTTAATTTCTCAGAAAATGTTCTTTAATCGCCCAGAAAACGTAAAACATGTTTCTAATCCTACCATGTATAATTTTGGCACGACACATTCGTATCCGGACGTTTGAATACCCCATTAGTACAGGTGTCTGCCGGCGCGGCCCTCGTATTTTCTCCGTCGCCGTGGCTTCGTCGTCGTGGCTGTTGGCCCTTTGGCGAGCCGTCGTATCGCGTCGCCTCACAATGGGTCACTGTGCGTCTAAGGACACTAAGGTAAGTATGAACTTTGAATTTTTTAGTTTAGACGAGAAGGCGCTTGTAATAATGTGCATATTCATCGGATTTAGCGCGTAAAATACTCCTTTTTACCTTGAAAGTACGCTCAGATACCTTAAATTAAAGGGCTGCCGACGGCATGTGTCGATCCCCCCCTCATCAACAAATTGGCAAGTAGCCAACAGGGGAGAGAGCGCGCCCAGGGGAGAGGCGCAGAGACATTTTCTTTTCCGCGCGTAACAGATTGACTATGCCGTCGGCATCCCTTTAACATATACAAATTATTCTTTAAAAGCGTAAATGAATATTTAATGACATATAACGATTTCTAAAGAAAATGATACTGTGCAAACCGTACGACATTTGCTGATTGCCTTTGATCAATGAAAAAAAGTCGCCAATGGAAAAACCGAGTTTCCAAGCCGTAAAAGTATAGTTTTGTAATGTGAAACTATAGACAACGCTTTGGCAAATAACCATAAGCCTATCGACAACGTCTTTTATTGATTTTAATGCCCTTTTTCAGGATCAAAAGAAGTTGAACAGACGAATCGAGGAGCAGATACGGAAAGACCAAAGCATGTCCCTCCGGATCATCAAGTTATTGTTGCTAGGTGGATTTTTGGATTTTTTCGGCGTGTATTTTGTATTTTGGTACGGACCCGCCAGTTATTATTACTGTGGCCTTTCACCTGCCTCCTTAGCGGGTTTTTTCGAATGGGGAAGAAAGAGCAGCTTGTACCCAGTATTCACCCAGATTGTAGATGGAGTGTATTCACCTTTAATCGATTTCTAAAAATCCGTCTTTGTCCCTTTAAAAAGGCTACTGACGTCGTGGTACGGTGGCCAAGAAGAAAATGGCCGTCCGGGGAGGAGGCGAAGAGATCGGAGCACGCGATATCCGCCTCAACAAGTGTCACCCCGAATTTGGGCTCGGCGTGGGAAGACCGCAGGGGGATTTGGGAATGGACGGACGGGTACAGATGTTGCTAGGTTGGCAGAGTTTCTGGATAACAGGGATTGGGTTTTGGCGGTGGAAAAATTACCTAAAAAACGGGGGGCTATATACCTACCGTAACGGAATTTTTGGCTTTTCTAGGTCCCTTCGAAAAGAGTTCAGTCCAAAGCAGCACCGCGTTGTCAAAAATCTCAAAAAATGCTGCGTCGGGTTCCTTTTAAGGCGAAAATCCCGTGCATTTCTAAAAATGTTGGATTTCCATGGACTTACACTTTTCGACACGTCACCATCCCTTTAAGCCCCTCATTCGCTCCACTTCCCTCCCAGACATCACCAACAATTTTTTTCTCGGCCACCCCCAGGAAGGGGCGGATTGAAAATTGGCGCGGCCAGCCCCATCCGCGAGAGGTCAATACTTCCGCAATTTCTCGGCGGCCTGGCGCTCGGTGGAGCGGTGGCGGCTCTCGAAATTAGGCGGTGTGCCGTTGATTTGTGACGTGTTGAGGCCGATGGGAATGGAGGAGGGGGGGGAGGGGGAGGGGAGGATGAGGGGAGCACGGAGGGCTGGACGGGGGGACCCAGCGCATAATGAGGGCCTCCCAGCGGGCGCCACACCAACTATTTTTGACCTCCCGAAAAGAATCGGATTGACGCCGGGGGCGAGAATGGGGGAGAAGTGCTAGCTGTGAAAAAGGGGAATCCAGTGGCAGGGTTCGGTGCTGGTTCTTTAGCGGGGGGGGGGTAAGGAGAACGGTAAGGTCCGATGGTCAAATAGGCGCAGTTTTGCTTTTTACCCCGTTTTTAGAAAAAGTTGAAAGAAAAGTACAAAAATTACGCATAAAAAGTTCATTAAAAGTAATAAAATTTTCGAATAAGTTTTTAAGTAAAAAAATCTAGGAAAAGTCATCCAAATTTAAAAAATCTGCTTTCCGTCCAGCAAATTTAAAAAAATTACATTAGTAAATCTTCCCAAAATCAACCCATTCCGTCGACTGGGCGTCGACAATTATGCACAGCTACAAAATACGCTGCGAACTAGTCGGTCTTGATGGAATTCTCGTGTGAACACATTTCTTGGAGTTTTGTCTATGCCTAGTCCAACCCAGGGGTCGATTTTTGGCGCTTTCCAGCCCCTTTAAAAGATCTCCCAACGCCGCGAGGAACTATTCACAGGTTTCACGACTGACCTCTCGACCCTTGGGGCCTTTGGAGCAGCTGCCCTGGGGCCCAACACCGCTTCAAAGGGCCCATCATCGCCCTGGCCACCCCAATTTTATGAGCCCCACTTGAGGGCATTTGTTGGGGCGGATGGGTGGCGGCTGGCCGAGATTCAGCGCCAAAACCATTGTCCGGGTATTTGCCCTCGGGGGGCGATTTAGAGGGGGAGGGCTGAGGCCCCAGGAGAAAATATGGGGGCCTAGCAATAAGAATGGGCCGCTTCTCTCATCATAACCACCCGGACGGATCCCGGAAATACGGCTCGGGTTCGGGATATTGATGGGGGAAGGGATTGGCGCGGAACCTGGCGTCTTCCAGCAGTAAGATCAATTTAAAGGGGCGGGCAAAGCATGAATATATAGATTTTGAGTAAATTCACCTCTGGAAAGGCTTCGGAGTGCGTACAAGTGTCATTTGGAATCGCGCGCAGCTGTCGAGAGCTAGAAGAGGGAATGGGTCGATTCTTGGACTTCATAGTCCATCTTTGGAAATCTCGAAATATCATGATTTCGTAAGTAAAAATTTTGAAAGTTTACCCTTAACAGATCTTTCGCAAAATTTTCGTCATTTTGTGTTGAAATTTCGACATTATGGGGTTGGGCATTTCGGCATTACGAAGTTCGATATGCTGATAGCAGTTCCCGAAACGCTGCTAAGGCAACTTGCCGGCCCCTTTAAACCCCTCCACCTGGTTTTTTTGCATATCTGAGCCCTCTCCCGGCTTCCGGCCAGTCATTTTCCCAGCTGGCCCCCCGAAAGTGAAAAGACGGGGTGGGGGGCTGTTCTGAGGACCCCACAGGGCCCGCGGATTTGAGCCTCGCCGAGGTTGTGGGCCCTAATTGGGCCCTCTCCACTGGGCCCCTATAGGGGTCGCGCCCCCCTTGGTGGGGCCCAACTCCCGCTCTGCCTCCTTCTCCTGCTTCTTCTCGTTCTCCTCCTCCGCCCCCGCCCAATGCCCCCAGATTGCATTTCGTGGGGGGCCTTGGGCCTTTTTGGCTGGGATCTCGGGAGGAAGGGGCCAGGGACCAATGCTGGGGCCAAGGTGAAGCTCAGGGGGAAACAGAGGAAACGCTATACAACAACCAAAAAACTGAAAAAGTAAAACTTTTGAATGGTTTTACTAAAATTAGGTACGTAACAAAAGTTTACATGCAAAAGCTTTAAATTAAGCTACGCTAAACTACGAGCTTTTCTGATGTAAAAATACGCTTACATGCGTACGTTTTACGTAAAAATCTATCTTGTGCATCGAAGTTTACGGGAAATTACGGATTACGTATGTACGTTTGCATCAAAATACGCTTAAGTACGCGTACTACGTAACAAATTTCACACAACATTTTCCAGGTGCCGGCGAGAGCGGGAAGAGCACAATTCTGAAGCAGATGCGCATCTTGCACAAAGACGGCTTCTCCCAACAGGATCTCGAGATGATACGGCCCGTGGTTTTTAGGTGAGCCGACTTCCAATGTAGTTTTTAGCGTTTAGCGTTCAAAATTCTATAACCTGGCCCTTCAGTAACTGCATTCACTCGATGCTCAGCATCCTCCGCGCCATGTTCCACCTGCAGATCGAGTACGGCGAGCCGGAGCGAGTGGTTGGTTTTTGACTAATTTTTACGCAGCTTATATTTTCTCGATGGCACCAGGTCTATATTGTGCAGAACATTGCGCTGGTGCCAAATATTTCTTCGGAATTTGCGCAAAAAATGATATTTACAAAGTTACAGCGTATTTTAGGGTGTAGAATCGAAAAATCTCCGTTTTGGTATAAAAAAATGGTTGTAACTTTCTAACTTTGACTGTTTACGCAATTCTGAAGCCAGATTCGGAATCTGCGGAAAATTGTGCTCGAGATAGGCTTCCTTTTTATCCACAAATCGGAAGCAAAACTAAAAGCTCGCCGCCATTTCGCCAATTTCCAAATTCATTTCGCCCGTCCGCTACGCAAGGCACCAAATTACACTTGCAAAAAGGCCAATTAATTTTCAATTTCCCATAAATTGCCCTCCCATGTCGTACATCTACCGTAGCCGGGAAGTGGCGCGAGGGCAGCGAGGCGTTCAAAAGAAATGAGGCCCGGCCGGGCGGTCCTTTCATCGCGGCGGGCGCGAACCGCTGTTTTATGGCGATAGTTGCCATCCGGAATATGAGGCGCCTCCCTTGGGCTGGCTGGCAGAGAGAGGCCCTCCTTCGAATTATTTACGAGGCAAAAGCCCTCGGGTTACGTACGGGAGGGGCCTCGGCTGGGTGGCTCGCCTCAACGCACGCCGCCCCACAATTGTTTTGGGCCGAGGGGGGTGGGGAAAAGGAGAAGGTTAAATGGTTGGGCAAGGCATAGCGGGGCTTGTTCGAAAACTCATATCTTCGAGAAACATCTCGTCGAAAAAGCGCGTTTTCGAAAAATCTTGAAAATCGTCATTTTCTGGGTCATTTCTAAGCAGCTTAGCAATTTTTCTTTGAAAGCACGGCACTTTTCGAGGTTTTTCTATGGATTTGGCCGAAACCGCGACGCGCAACGCACGCTAAAAGACGTACGCGTTGCGTGCCGCGGCCGGATCGACACGAAATCCTTTAAAGCTATTTTCCAGGCAAGGCTGAAAATTATATAAATCGAATCTTAGCAGCGAGTGCATAGAATAAAAAAGGAAAATTCATTTTCCTTAAAAAAATCACCATTTCCAGCGCGACAGTCAGCTCGTCTTCGCCACGGTGCACGCCAACAAGGAGGAGCTGACCGAGGAGCTCGCCGCGGTTTGTCTTCAATGGCCCTTTAAAAGGCTTCTCCTAGGCGATGCAACGATTATGGGCCGACTCCGGGGTTCGCGAGTGCTACCGGCGCAGCAACGAGTACCAGATTGACGACTCGGCCAAGTAGTACGTTTTTTACGGTTATTTACGAATGATCTGAGCCATTAAATAACTAATTAGTTATTAGTACATATTTTAACTTTATTAAGAACTTTGTAAGCTTACGTTTATTATCTTACAACTTTTTATAGCCACTGCCCACGGCAAACTACAGCCATTCATACGATCGCGCCCTTTTTATACCCCAAAAAATCTTGGCCTCCGAATGTCATTGCTGGAAGGGTGCCAATTAGAGCCGCCGGGCCCTGCGCACGCCGCCATCACCCGCAAAAACCCGAATTTGTGCCTCTGTCTCAATGACGGGGGGATCCGCATAATAATTATAATTGCGCCCGATAAGTGTGGGGGTTACGCCGGCGAAAAAGCTGCTTTGATTTTTAACTTTTCAAATCGAAACAAACACAGGAAATTGTGGGGGTGTGCAAAGGGCGGTGTAGTCGGGGCGCGAAAAACTCGTCATGAATGGAGTAGGCCGGAAAAGGAGCTAAAAATGTCTATTAGAACATTTTTATTGTGTATTTTATTTTAGGGTTTTATATCGTTGTTTTTAGTTTCCTCGACAATCTGCCCCGGCTATCGGCGCCAAACTACGTGCCAACGGAGCAAGATCTCCTCCGGACCCGCATCAAAACGACCGGCATCACCGAGGTGCTCTTCGAGCTGAAGGGGCTCACGTTTAGGCGAGTTTTTAATGTGTGTTAATTTTATTTAACGCTTTTTTAGGGTCATCGACGTTGGCGGACAGCGATCAGAACGAAAAAAGTGGATTCACTGCTTTGACAACGTGAACGCCATCATTTTCATCTCGTCATTATCTGAATATGATCAGACGTTACGCGAGGACAATTGCACGGTACGCTTCTTTCGCTATCTTTGAAGATTATTACAGGAAAATATACTACGATTAAGATACATACATTTCTCGGCAATTTGGGCGCGGAAACCACTAAATTTTAGAACCGGATGCAAGAATCGTTGAAGCTGTTCGACTCGATTTGCAACAGCCCTTGGTTCGCCGACATTCACTTTATTCTATTCCTGAACAAAAAGGACCTGTTCGCCGAAAAGATCCAGCGATCGCCGCTGACGATCTGTTTCCCGGAATACAAGGGTAAGTGCTAGCAGTAAATCAAAATCCAAAAATTCGTAGATATCATTAAAAACCCATAAATTTAGACCCAAACATGTCTAAATCCAAGAATTAACGCCCAAAAATAAACGCCACTTTTAGGCCAACAAAACCAAACCGAGTGCATCAACTACATCCAGTGGAAGTTCGAACAGGTGGGGCCTTTTTGAAGGGGCAACCAACCCCGGCACGACAGCAAAACAATACCCACAACCAGAAATTTCAGCTGAACCGCTCCTCGCAACGCGAGATCTACTGCCATCACACATGCGCCACCGACACGAACAATGTGCAGTTTGTGCTCGACGCCTGTCTCGACATGATCATCGCCAAGAACCTGAAGAGTATGGGGTTGTGCTAGAGCTCAGCGTCAGGATGCTGAAAGGCATTTTTATGGGTTGGGTCGCGTCGCGACACGTAACGCTCCTTTAACTTTCGTTACGTAATCGACTACGTTTTTCCGTAAATTGCCAATTTCGTACGGCTGAGTATAATTATTTTTACCTTTAAAGTATCAGCTGTGACCCTAAAACTAATTGCGTGTATTAGTAACTTAATGTTCATTACTTGACAAAGTTTAAATGCTACCTAACAAACCGTGCGACGTTGTATAATTTCCATGATGATTCCTAATCGATTACTAGATCAAAGGCGCGCGTTGCGTGTCGCGACGCCAAAATCCATAAGAAATTCCTTGCCGTCCCTTTAAAAGTTTTCCCCCACCTTCCCCATCCCAATCGTTGATCTCTGCATTTCTATACTCATTTCGATTTCTGATTGTCTGAAATTGGCACTCCTATGGGGCAAAAAAATAGAGTTTTACCGCCCCCTAAAAAGTGCCAACCCACGGCAATCCGCCCACTCAACCGAGCTTCGTTGTGTTATCGACAATCGGGTACTGTTCGGCTGTTTCTTTGTCAACAAAGATTGTGATTTCCCGCCCCCCATTCTATCCCCCCAAAAAATGATCCTCCGCTCTTTTGATATCTGAATTCACCTCCCTCATTTTTTGGAAAACCTGTCAAATATCGATCTCTCGTTGTTGGCACCCCGAGTGTTGGTCCCTCGTTTTTTCTTTTGATCTAGCCCCTCGCTCCATCAGAAGCTTTCTTCAGGTTTGAGCCGACCGAGCAAGCTGATGCTCTAAACCGCCGAGTACTTTGTATATAACGATGAAACATTTTTTGTTGTTGTTGAAAACTATGTATCTTGAAGCGCATCCAATTGGCGGTAAAATTTTCACCGCACGCGTATCTTTCAAACTCCTTTGGAAGATCCAGATATTTATACGGTATGTATTCTGTTTTATGATGAATAAAAATGTCTATTTTCGGTAGCAATACAGTTAGCAATCACGATTTAATAGAAAGAAACAATACTATTAACAGACTGGGCCAGGGCCATCGATTTGAGGATGTAAGGTTACCCTTATTGCACAAATCTTCGGCGCAACACGTCCCGCATCTAAATGGGTTTAAAAAATAATGTAATTTAAGGGACAACAGAGTTTTGCAGCATAAACTACAGAATACACCTACGAAATAAAACGGTGTTCCATATCGGCAATGTGCGTGCAGCCGTCCTTGCACACTTGCGAGCACGTTCGCTCAAACATGTAGACGTCACCCGTTACGTCTGATTGCACTTTCCATACCTTTAACGGAAACTTTGTCGGTACTGGACTCTTAGCGGGGGAGGGCCTCCTAACTTTGGTCGTAGTTGACCTGCTTTTTAGTAAGCAAAAAATTACCAAAGTTACACCGTAAAGCGCCATACAACTTTTGTGGGTAGGTAGTCAAACCCCTCCCCCCCGCTAACAGATCAGTACCGTTTTGTCGTCCGCTTCTGATATATAAGCTTCGAACATCGTCGAAACCCCCGATACCTGGCATTCCCCATCACATGTTTGCATGCCGTGGTCGACGAGATCGGGGCCCGCATAGCACGACGAGTTCATCGAGTCCCCAAAGCAGCTGAGACACGTCAACGCGCTCGTTTTCTGGAGTATCATGGAAAAGAAAAAGACGGGAATATAGTTGAGAAAATGCATGCCGACATTTGAGGGGGCGAGAAGCTCGGGCGAGGATTTGTGGGGGGCTGATTGGGGCTCGGGGGCCCGATTTCCGGACCCTCGGTTAGTGCAAAGAATTTGATTGGTCACCAAAGGGAAACCCGGGGAAACTGAAACAGAAACAAAAAATGTTGAAAATGGGAGCGAACCATCGACTTGGAGGAGTTCAGGCCGGCTGGAAAAAACTTCAACGCCCAACAAAATCCTTTATTCGGGCACACAGCAGCGAAAAAGCAAACACGACAGACAGCGAATAAGAAGTGATCTCGTAGAAAAGAGACGGCAATGAGGGTTAAGCTTCTTTGTAAGTTGAGGGGGCAAGTCGAGCGAGGTCGGCGAGAGTGAGGCTCTAGATGCGCATCAGGGGCGAGGCGACGCGGCCGTAGATCAGCACCCGCTCCTCGGACGCGGACATCGGCTGCGAGGCGGACAGGGCGCTCTGGAATTCGCGGCAAATTCTAATCGCACATTTTGAGAAAAGGTACCTCGTTAAGCTGGACGCCATTGGCGAGGCTCGGGTGGGCGACGGCGACGCGCGGCGTGATCGATTCGGGAGTGGCTAAAAAAGAAAAAATACTAAGAAATACTAAGGATACACCCACGAGCATGGCGATCACAAGGCGCCACCGCCGTCAACACATCCGCGTCCGCCACGAACGAATTCTCGGAATCGGTCGACGGGCGCAGACTGACGGAGCGCGTGTCAGAGGTGGTGTCCGTGGAGAAGTGGGCGCTGAGGCTGCGCAAGATCGGCGCCGGCTGGGGCTTCATCAGATCCGTCGTTGGGCTGTAGACACGGGTCTGGCTCAGCTGGAATGGGACATCATTTTTAGCGAAGAAAATTTTTTGGGAATTTGAGCGATTTGTACCACTTGAAAACGACTGCATGAACAAAGTAATCCCACCCTATAGTCCAACACCTTCAGGAAGTGGCTCAGCTCGGCGTGAAGAGCGTCGATTTCGGCGGAATCCGCTAAAAGAACAGAATTACCCAACCTAAAACCACCGCGTACCATTGCCAACAATCTCGGGATACTCGCGCAGATATTGGAGCGCCTGGACGAGCGACGAGATCGCTTGCACCGACTAAACATAAAGATCAGTGTTGTGAACAAAAACGAACCCTCCCAAAATTGTCGTTGATGGTGCAGCTGCCCCCGTAGCCGATCGTCTCGTCGAGGCACGGAACGTTCAGCACCGCGTCGCGCTTTTCGGTCAGCTAGAAAATTAAAGCTAAAACTATGTAATTGTAAAACCCGGGCAATCTTTATAAATGCTGTAAACTAAAATAAACGGCTAAACTCTAGTTTACCCCCCCCCCCCCAGCCGTGACTTTTCAGCGATACGTCCTATTAATGCGCCGAGTATCTCAAAATGTTCCGCGTGGTCGAATTACTATAATAAAGTTGTTTTCTTACATCCAAAATTGTTAGAAAAATTTTTATAACAATTATAAGTCTGGGTTTTCTTTAGTTAATTTTTGCTGTTCCAAAGTGAGTTTTCCTATCTCGGCTATCTTTAGTCGTAGGGAGCTGTCAATGGTACCAAAATGTAGCTCTTGCTCTGTAGAATAAGCCTACAGTACGTTTGAGTCGAAAAAAATAGCGGAAAATAAAAATATTTGAGTTTTAGACTCCTAGTACCTCGAAGCATAGCGGCTTAATCTTTTGAACTTTCAAAATCTTGTAAAAAAATTTCTAGCAATTTTTGCCGCAAGAAAACAACTTTCTTATAGTAATTCGACCACGGCGAACATTTTGAGATACTCGGCGCATTAATAGGACGTATGACTGAAAAGTTAGGGCTGGGCGGGGTAAACTAGAGTCTTACCAAAATAAACATACCCTCTTGTGGACATCGTGGAGGACACCGTCGACGAGCCGCAGAGTGTCGTCGTCGCGGCTGTAGAGCATCCCGCTTTTCTGGAGGTGGGCTTCCAGCTAAAAATAAAACGGCCTTTTATTATTTTGTTGACCAGCGCCCAAAACCCGCTTCGCGGGCCTTGGGCGCTGGAATTGGGCCTTTGCATGAAAAATTTGAATTTCCGATAGCTCGGGTCCTTCGGACCCCCTTACCCCACCGGCCACACACGCGCGTGCAAATTGCAAGAATGAGCAAGTTTGTATTTTTCACATTATGCAAATTAGCCCTCCCGGACCCCCAAAAATGAATAAAACCGGCTTTAACTTTGTAAACTTGTATTTTATCGGAATTCTGAAAACACCATCAAAAAGAGGAGGGTCGATTCCCCCAAGTGACGGAGGATTGGGGCGTTTTGGACACGAGAAGGGCTTCAAATCTGGCCTGGAAACTGACCTCCGCACACACACACACACAAAGATACGCGACCAAATTATATAAGGTAGGATTTTATTTAGTTAGATTATCTTTTTTGGCACGGGCCTCACTCACAGAAAAAAAAGATTGATAGAGCTGGGTAATAAAATATGAATTGTACCAAATATGGAATAGTAATAAGCCTCTCACCGGCACCATGTTGCGCGCCTTGACCGCAAGGCGGGTGAGGCGCTTCTCAGCTGCATCGGCTCGCTCGTCCACCGAGTAGCTAAATGAAAGTCAGTCAGAAAGAACGTAGAAGAAAATATACCCGAAATCAGATCCGGGCGGGTTCAGCTCCCACTTCTCGCTGCGCTTCACCGAGTTGGCCAGCTCTTTGCTGAGGCTGTCGCGGAACGAGGGCAATGTCGAGTATTTGGCCTGAAAAGGTGTGTGTTTTACAAAATAAGCTACGCCAGCGGTTTCCCCGCACCCGTGGAACCTAAACTTTGATATCTCTGCTCCCCGTTGACCCTATAGGGACGTAAAGCATACGAAAATGTTCGTCTTCCTTTGGCGAGTATTTTCGTATACTTGACAGTCCTGTAGGATAACCGGGAGCCGAGATAAAAGCATATTCGAAAGCCTAAACCGCAAATAAATAGAACTCGACTTTTAATAAGAAAGTCGGGGAAAGCTCACCTTGATCATCCCGTCGGCCCGCTCCCTCAACTTCCTCAACCGCTCGCGCGCGTTCCCGAGCTGCTCCTTCACGCCCTTCGAACAGCTAAAATCAGGAATTTAAAGTTTCAGAAAAACTCCGACTTCAACTCGACGACCAATTGGTACTTCTTGTCGCGGACGGTCGAGAAGAACGCATCGATCTCGTCGGCTTCCCGGGACTAAACGAAAAAGCGGCAATGACGAAACAAATCAAATTACCTGGGTGACAGCGGACGCCATCGCTGCCAGAAAACTTTGGAATTATGGCGCGCAACGGGCCTTTTCTACCGTTAGAAACTATGCAAATTTATATTCGAGGAATCAATGTTAATGATTTTGCTAATTGATCCATAGCCTTGTTTACGTTTGCTTTACAGAAAAGTCTGTCTGTCAAGATAACTTTTCTTTCGCACGAAAAAACTTTGATAATAATTCATTTTACAAAATTCACTTTTTAACCGAAACCAACGGTATTTTCAGCTTTGAGAAAAGACGCAATAAAAAGGCAGCTTCGAGCTTTCGAAGTTTTTACATCAAAATTTGCATAAAAAGTTTAGTACATTTCCGGAAACAAAAGCAACCTCAAAATCGCTCAAGAAGATCGTCAGTTCACGAAAATGGCGTCCAAACCGACAGGCGGTTGGATCTGCAACTTGGTGAGCATTTTAGCAGGCTTTTTGGTACTATTCAAGTTGGGGGGGGCACAATTTTTTTTGGGGTCATTTTTGGGCTAATTGGTCAGTTTTTCTCTGGCTTAGGCTTAGCTTAGCTTAGTATTGGCTTGGCTTAGGCTTTAGCTTAGGCTTAAGCTTAACTTAGGCTAGGCGTAGAACTAGTTTAACCTAGGCTTAGGCCTATGCTTAGCCTAAGCCTTGGTACCTGGTCCTTAGCTTGGCTTCGTCACAACATCACTGCTTTTGGCTTCGACTTAGCTTTGTTCAAGCTCAATTTAACAGTGCTTCGGCTTAGCTTAGCTTAGGAGTTGAGTATTGCGCTGGCTTAGCCACGAAAAACTGATCAAGTAGCCTAAAAGGACCTAAAAAAATTTTGCCCTCCCCAACTTGAATAGTACCGGCTTTTTCTTGAAAATGAGAGGAAAAACTAGATCTTAAAAACACTCCTTTTTAGTCGACTGGCAACTTGTTTGCGCTGCACGAGAAGCCGGGCGCCGAGGAGCGTGAGATCTTTTCGAGTGAGTTCCGTATTGTCGATCATTACAACCCGATTTTAGTCATGGAGTGCTGCTACGAGAATGGGCGCAGCTACGAGCAGTTCACGCCGGCAGACGCGCCCGCCATCGAGTTCGACTATTCGTTTGCGCTGCACCGCCGGCAGCTCGATGATGTGAGCCGCTTTTTTTCATTACAAAAAAATCTTTTCTCTACTAGGGGAAGTTCTTGGTATATTTTAAAGCCTTGCAGCAAAGCCTACTTGAGATAAAGCTATATCAACTTCTACAGGTGCTGAAAGATGGGAAAACGGTGACGCTGAACCCGATGTACCTCTACCACGAGCACGTGTGGTGGTGCTACGGATGCAAGGTGTCGATGGCCGACGATGGGATGGTCCGCATGGATCTGTTCAGCATTGGAGCCAAAGCTTTCCCACGCGCCGTGCAACCCGGCGAGATGACGCTCAACGCGCCCGGCAAGCAAAAAGCCCCGCCGACCGTCAGCCGGAAAATCAGCATCGCGCACCAGGAGCGTAAGGGATTTTGATCCATTGCAACGTGCAACAGGGGAAATCTTCCTTTCTAAACCAAAATGTTAGCAGCGATAACAAAATTTTAATCGATACGATAGGATCAAAAACATACTTTTCATTACAAATACTATAGCACAAGATAAAGAAATGGCCACAGAGTTTCGAATGACTGGATCAAAAACTTTTGGCTAAACTCCAGATACCCCCCCCCCCAGCCGACCCCCACCTACCGTATCTCGGCTCCCTGTTCATCTACAGGTGTGTCAAGTATACCAAAATACTCACCACAGCAAGACGAACAATTTGGTATACTTTACACACCTGTAGATGAACAGGGAGCCGAGATACAAAAGTTGGGTGCCGGCTGGTGGGGGGGGGGTTATCTGGAGTCTTACCAAACTTTTTTACCTTTCACTTTTCCTTTTTCTCCTAACTGACCCTTCAGATGATGAGGGTATCGTGCTCAGCTCCGAGGATCTGCAGACGATTTTCGGCGACTTGAAGGTGTTGCGCATTGGCTGCAAGATTGTCGTGCCGCGCAGCTACTTTGACGCAAAGGCGCTCCTACACGCTCCCTTGTACGTGGAATTTACACGCCCTTTTACTCGGCTGGCTCGGTTTTGATCATTTTTTTCCAGGGTGCAGCCTCTCCCCTCGGCCGACTGGTTGCCGGCGATGCTGAAGGGCGAACGAGTGGCTGGGGTATGTTTTTGTGCGTATTATTTTGTATTTTACATTTTTTATTAACTCGTTTCTTTAGAGTGATGTGGTGTTGACGTGCGGCGAGGGCCGGCGCAGTGACTACCACGTCCACCGGGCCGTCCTCGAGAATTCGACCCACGTGCTGAAGACGATCCTCGACAACAACAGTGCGTATCCCGGGTGCCCGATTCTCGTCCTGTCGCACGAGGCTCGCCTCATCATCCCCACGTTTAACGAGGAGGACATGGCCGTGGTGGGGTATCTCTCTTTCTCTCCCTCTCTCTCTCTCTCTCTCTCTCTCTCTCTCGCCCTCTACCTTCCCATTTAGCTGCTCACCTACCTCTACAAGAAGGACGTCATCCTGCCCAACAACACTCGCTTTGGCATCGTGGGCCGGCTGGTGATGTCGCTGTTTGAAACGTAGCTGAACATCAAAGGCCACCTCCGGTCCAATTTAGCAACGTTCTCCTGAACTTCTTGACCGGCTGGGAACGGATTATGGTCGAGGATTTGCTGAGCATGGTGAGTGAAAAGCGGAAACCAAATAAGCTCTTATCTCTACTTTTTATTTATTATTACATCGTATTTATTCAACTTTCTTCTTAGGACCCATCCACCACCCCGGTCGACAAGTTCACCCGCTGCTTCGAGCACCTGATCGCCATCTTTACCGCCCCCTGTGGTGCATTTCCGGTCGCCAAGCGCGTCGCCATCTCCATGGCCGGTGATCTGGTAGGATACCGTAAAAAAAGCAAAAGCTGAATGAATTTTTCTTCTCCAAAAATTAAAACCACTCGCTTGTAGTTGCACATGGCCAGCACGACGCCCGATCGGCCGCATAGCCAGGGCATCAGGGACGAGTTGACACGCTTCGCCGAGGAACAGCCGCATCACACGTCGAAAATCATGCCCTGCATGGAAAAGGTGGCCGTTAGGCATTACTTTTTCTCTATTTTCTCTATCAAAAGCCACAAACTGAACACGCGTTCATTCCAGTCAATTGCCGCTCATTTTAGTTCATGCAGTTCGTGTGGGTCGTGGAGAAGGTCGGCGTCGAGGCATCGGAATAGACAATTCAACCCAGCTGTCGCCTCACCAAAAAGCATCATTATTATTACGATTATAGGGATTGTGAACAGTTGCTTTTCAAGCGAATAAAGGGTGAAGATTTGTTTGGGTGACATGGTGTGAATGGCGACGACACGAGGAAAGAACATTGCGACGACTTCGACGTAAAACGAAAAAGCTTCTTTTGCAAAAAAAAAACTTTAAAGGGATGCCGACGGCATAGTCAATCGGTTACGCGCTGGAAAGAAAATGTCTCTGCGCCTCTCCCCAGGGCGCGTTCTCTGCGCTGTTGGCTACTTGCCAATTTGTTGATGGGGGGGGGGATCGACACATGCCGTCGGCAGCCCTTTAAAACGAACGTTAAAACGAACGAACAGCGGACTGCTTTAACACTTTAACGTCTTTTCAAGGCTTTCTAAAAGATTGTCAGGGCCGCGCGAACGCAGCCCCTCACGCAAAAATTTAGCTGTAGGCGAACCCCAACTCGGCGCTGCCTTACAGGTCAACCCGGCCAAAAGTGCAATGGCCAAGCCTCGCCATAGAGATCCCGTCTTCATGATCACGGGAATCTCCCAGCCAGGTAAGTTTATGAGGGGCCGGCGGGCTGAGGATAGCCACTGGCAGTGGGCCAGATGGGGGGCGAGTGGGGACGGGGAGGGAACATTGAAAGAGCACCCACACACCTAGTAAAAAGTGCTACTAGCATAAATAATAAACCAAGCAGGCCAGTTTCCAGACAAAAAAAACACGATCCTCATTTGTTTTTTTCCCTAAAAACCAATGTGACCTGCCCTTCCTTATCAAACCAATCCCCACGCACCTCTGGCCCCCCAATTGATCTGTGTACAAAATACGCTTATGCGCTCGGCAAGCCAGCTAAAAGCCTTTGGCCCACTCCCGGATATATCCGGATTATGTTCCTCTTGATCCTGTTGGCCATCTACTTGCCTTTTGTCGCAGCTTCCAGCATTAATGAGGTACTTTTACAGCACGTCACAATCCCTAAAAAGTGGAAAAATCGTTAGTTTTCTATTTTTTTGTCCAAAAATTATATTTTTAGGTAGCCACCGCTGAACGACAGCTTTTCGAGCGCTATCACGCCCTACACGATGCCGTGATCGCCGCATCGGAAGCTGGTTAGTTTCTGGATTTTTTACAACTTTGTTTTTCTTTTCAGTATATCCATTTGGATCTGCGCCATGCCCCTTGCTCGAAAAATCGCCACTTCCGCCTCGCAGTGTGCATCAACTTCGCCCCGAAGATGTCGAAATCGTTGCCGCCATCGGTGATTCTTTAACGGTATGTTTTTAAAGGCTTCAAAAGCTGAAAATTTTAAATACTAACAAGCCAGACAGCTCTATTTAATTTTCAACTTGAAAACTTTAAACTAAATTAAACTTTGGAGATTTGACAACCTATTTTTAGAAACTATTTTAGGCTAGCCGTGCCACCCTTGCCCAAAATATCCACGACCTCGACGTGGAGTACCGCGGCAGGAGTTTCATCACGGGAAATGATGAGGAGTTGACCGAAATGGCGTCTATTTATAGTCAGCACTTTACTCTCTATACAATCTGGGTTTATTTTAGACATTCTTAAGTCTTTCCGGGGAGGAGCGGCGCTGTCCGGTGGATCTAAGGGACAAAATGTGGCTCACGACGATTACACCGATGATTGGGGCCTCAATTTGGCCATATCTGGCGCGGTGGCCAGCGATGTTTTTGAGCAGGTTTGGATTGTTTAGGTTAAAAGCTTATAAATCCTTTTATTTCGATTTGTTTGGGGCTAGGCTGACCCTATTTAGGCCCAAACTCTCGTCGCGCACCTTCAAAAGCACCCCCGCGCTGATGAAGCCTGGAAATTCGTTAACCTGTTCATCGGCTCGAATGATCTCTGCAAAATCTGCACCAACTTTGTAGGTACATTTCGGGGTACTGGGCTGTTAGCAGGGGGGAAATTGAATTTTGTTTTTTTTCCGCTTATGCCTAGCTTTTGATAATAAATATAGTATTTGTATCATATTTTCATTAGTTTTTGATTGCTAGAAAGTTACAACAAAGACTTTAAACATTTTTGAAAATCTATAAATTTCGATTTTTCGTCGTTTTTCACGTTTTTTTACCAAAAAAGTCAAAGATTTTCGAAAATTTTTACAAGTTTTTGATGTTTTTGTGAACTTTTCGATCTAAAAATGTTTAAAATGCTATAAATAATGGCTTATATTTTACTAAATGGCCGTGGAGGATTACTGGGAAAAATTAGTCCCCCTGCTAAATATCCCCCCGTATAACAGTCCAGTACCCATCGAGGAATTTATCTTACAAATCTAGTATTCAGACACGTTTCGGCGTAGACGCTTTCCAAACGCATCTCAACAATACGATTACCTATCTACGGTGATTGGCCTTCTTTCAACCTGGATGCTCCATTTTTAGGGATCACCTACCGCGTACATATCTGAACGTCATGCTGCCGATACACATCCAATTCCTCGTCGAAACCCATCCCTACGACCAGTTTTGCACTGATTTCCACACGTAGCAAATCCGGCGTAACTTTACGTACTTTTAGAGTGACATGCCCGTGCATACAGAAGCTTTCCCACGACGATTTCTCCAAGATTAAACAATCTTTTGACGATTCGTTGAGTATATTTTACGGTAAGTATTTGGGCCGACAAATTTTGAAAAAGAAAAGTTTAGGCGATGCCTATCAAACAGACACATTCGCCGTTTCGATCTCAGCGGTCAGCGGGCTCACCGAAATGCCGAAAACTAAAGTAAGTTTTTAGTTTTAGTTTTCAGATTCGGATTTGTTAGAAAAACCAGCCGAATTTTGCGATCCTGGCCCTGGACTGCTTCCATTTCTCGCGGGCCATGCACGACGCGGTGGCGAAAGTTGTGTGGCGGAATTTACTAGAGGTAGTAGTTTTTCCAGAAATAAGCCATAATTAAATAAAATTTCTGGAATTGACAAACTAAAAAAAACTTGCCTTTACGTTTACTAAAAATCGTTTTACCTCTTCTTTCCTAAAATTTTAGAAAAACTGAAGTATAATGATGCTTCCATGACGATTTTAACGACTTTTCGCGCGTCTCTATCTAGCCTGAGAATAAAACCACAAAGAAAAAAACTAATTTTAAAGAAAATTCCTATATAACCGCGTTCCTTAGCCGGTCCACAATCGAACGACGTTCCCGGTACACAGCTTCGAGGAATCGCAGATCGTGTGCCCAACAGAGGTAGGTCACCCCCTTCTCTTATCTTTGCCACCCGCCCGCTGTGCCGTAATCTGAAAAAAAAGCCTGCAGCATTGCCCCTACCTGCGAACACTCCGGAATTCTGCCAACTGCCACCGTGCCGCAGAATACAGGAATCTCCAAGTTGAGGCCAGTTTCTAACCCGTAGATGGGCCAAACTAGCTGCAAATTAGGTTATTTTTAAGCCCTTGATTATTCCTTGTGTTTAAGCCCCAACTTTGTTCTCCAAGCAATTTCTTGCCTAATATTGGCGCCTTTGGTCAAAAATTTTGAGCGGCAACTGTCGCCACATAAAACTAACTTCCTCTCCTTGATCGTAATTTTCAATTTTTTTAGCCCGAAACAATGCTGGTCGACAAGGCAACGCAGCGCGAAGCTGGGTTCCCGTTTCTTGCCCTGGTAGGTCGAATGAAAAACTAGTTAGAACAACAAAATATTCTCCAGGGCCTGATCGGCTCAATCGCAAGCCTAATGATGATCTCATTGGCCGTCTTTGCCGCCATCCTGTCGAGAAGGAAAAAGAGCGGTAATCATCAAATTAAGTCACCCAGAAGAAGCTTCCCTCATTCTATTTTCGGTTGCCATACCCCCCCCCCGCGCTTTTTTTCTCTTTGTTATTATTAAACAGTTCATGAATTTACCAGCGCCGCCCTAAAATTTTCATTGAAATTTTTTTGGGATTTAGCGCAATTTTTCCCCCCCCCCCCCCGCCCCCCCCGGGCCCCCCCCGAAACCCTTTGATTCAGTCAAATCTACCGAGCGCACACCACTCTTGCGAAGTACCATTTTCAGCGACGAGGAGAACCCGTTTTGAACAGAGTAAATATATTTGCCAGTACCAGTCTAGAACACATATCACCACAGCCCAATCACAGTACAGTAAGAAAAAAAAAGAAAAAAATGATGAGCGAAAATTGCACAAATTATGACTTTTTTAGTCAGCCTTGCCGCCCTTCTTCTTGGGCACAGGGACGGCTGGAGCAGGTTCTTCCTCCTGAAAAACTTAACTAAACAAGTTCCGCGAAACGAGACAAAAATTGATACATATCAACAATTTTTCGAAAATCAGAATGTGCTCCGTGGAGCTACCAATATTAAACCGCCATAAGGCAAAGAAACGAATAAGGCAAATCTTAGTAAAATTCGAAAAAGTAACTTTCGCAATACGGCTTTTGAAAAGTTGTTTTTCAAAAGGAAAGAAAACCCCGACCTCGCTTGAAATTTCCACCTCGGCAGCGGTGGCTACATCAGATGACTCGACGTCGTCCGCTTCTTCATCACCCCATCCCCAGCCCTGGCTCGACGGCTCTTCCTCGGTCTCGGTCGGTTGCGTGGGCTCGGGAGCTGCTACAAAATATTTAGTCAATTTATGCGGGAAATTGCGTGCCAGAATTGGCGATTGAGGGTCCGAGGAGCTCCAAAGAAGTCGAGTTAGCCGTAGTGTAAGTTTCTGCCGTTCTCACGTCTTCGCCACGAGCGCTAGAGGGAGCGGTCTCGAAAGGATCCGTAAATATATCGGCGGTCGAGAGGCTGGCCGCAGTCGTGTTGGCAACATCCATCTGTAGCTGACAAGTTGAGAAAAGAAAGAGAATGTTACCGAGGAGAGGCGCGTAGAATCGGTGTCGAATCCTACAACATCGGAATGGCCTGACGACACCACGGGCTCCAACTAGAGAAAATAAAAGTTGTGAACTGTACAAACCTCTGAAATCGCCGTAGAATCAGTTGCGAATCGTTGAACCGGTGAGACTGCCTCGACGTCGGTGTCGGCCTGGGATGAAGCCTAAAATCTGGACTGCACAGAAAAGGCACCACATACCTGTGTCGGTCCAACGACCAACGAATCAACACTGGGTACTTCGATGATAGACTCGGTATTACTGGTATAAGACGACGGTTGATTCTATAATCATAGTTGAAAGCTCTGAAAAAAGCAGCTACCATTTCCTCGCTCAAATGGGAGCTGATCGTGGAAAGAGGAGGTCCATCCAAAGATTCCGTCTTCGCATCACCCGGTGAAGCCGTTGGTTGTGAGATGGTGTGCGGCTCGGTCACTTCCGGGACCGTGGACAGCGTTTGGAAGCGATGGACGTTATAATCCTCTTCCTAGACAAAAATATGGTCTGTGAACAAAAGCAAAACCTCGTAGATGGCGGGGACGTCATCGGTTGGTGGTGAGGATACATGGTCGGAGGGCGTGCTCTCGGTGCTGAAGAGTATTTCGACGGGACTGTGGTCCGATGTGGAAGAGGCTGGTGCTCCTCCTGTATTTTCTGAAGCAGACAGGGCAGTAGATCCTTCGGCACTTTCCGAAGCAGTTAGAGCTGTAGACCCTCCAAAGCTTTCTGAAGCCGACAAAGCCGTCGATGCTTCCGCACTTTCCGAAGCAGCCAGTGCGGTGGACCCAGCAAAGCTGTCCGAAGCAGAAAGAGCCGTCGATCCCTCAGCGCTTTGAGAAGCAGTTAGAGCTGTTGATCCGCCAAATCCTTCCGAAGCAGCTAAAGCCGTCGAGCTTTCGTAACTTTCTGAAGCCGACAAAGCCGTCGAATTCAGGGTTTCCTCAACACTCGCGGATTGCTGCGTCGATTGTGCAGAAGGGGCGTTTGTCTAAAAATACGATTTGTAAGTCGGAATTTGTCGCAACACAAGCTTCCCTAGCTTTGGCTGCTACATTCTCAAGCTGCGAACTTCTGAAATTCACCTCTTCAATGCCATTCATAGCCGATCCCAGTGGAATCGTAACAACACCGTCATTATTATTATCGAGCGGTCCGTTGCCGTGCTTCGCCAGCAGACTCTCCAAAACATCGTCTTCAACCTTCGGGGGCTCAAGCTCGGCGCGCAACACCTGGAACCGAAAAAATCACATAAATAATTGAAATGTACCTCCTTCATCCCAGCGCCACCGTCGCACTCATCCAGTAATTTTCGCACATTCAAATCGCATGCCGACTCGTATTCGTGACGCGGGAAAGAGGACCCGTACAACCGCTGCACCGTCGAATACGGAAAGTAGAAAATGATACACCTAAAGATAATTTGTGAAATTTTCGGGGACGCCTTACTTATTGAGGAAATCGATGAGATGGACTGCCAAGATGCGGACAGCTCTCGCAAAATGGGCTGACGTTTTGTACGCGGCCAGCCAGGAGAACACAGACAACAGCGATTCTCGCAAGGTCTGGAGCACAAACGGTAGCTGGAAAAATTTTTTCGTAGTGATGGAATTATTACCAATGCCGGGCTAAGGGAGTAGCGAAGGTTATTCAACGCCTCAATGATGCCGTTGCCGTACACGGCGAAATCGTCGCACATCGACAGCTCGGCTGATGGTTGTGGTGGGCCAGCTAAAAGAGCTAATCCCGTTTTTAGTATTTCAACTGGGAAAAAAGAACGTTTCCTGTAAGTCCAAATATGGCTACTAACGCAAAGTCTTTAGCAAGTATTTTAATTCTGTTTTTAGTAAAAGTAAAGGTATTTAAAGCGGAAGAACTTTTTTAAACTTGCAAAAACTTTTTTAATGCTAAACTTGTTATACTAGAATCGCTTCTGTTTGGTCCTAATTACCTAGAACTTTCGCATCCGTAATAAAAACTTGAAAACCGAACCACTTAGGAACAATAAAAACAGTGTTAATTCAACGTACCGGTAGATTCATTTGGTGCGTTTGGCCCTCCCCAGGTACTGTCACCTCCGTGGACGTCGAGACGCTTCACTTCATTTACCAGCCTAAAAATTCCATCACAAGAAACATATTTGGAAACGCACTTTTGAGTGACGTGCCTGACGGCGTTGCTGAACCGCTTCTTCACCATGCTCATCATCGAATCGACGATTAATGGCCGAAAATCAAGGCCCATGCGCCCGAACGAGGCGCCGAACGCCATCAACTTGTTCCAGACTGCCGACATGTCCACTTGGGCCCTAAACTGCGGTAAAAACCCCCGACAATTGGACATACTTCATGTCAGCCCTCTCGATCAGCTCTAGCAGGCGATGCACATTTCGGATGGCCCATTCAGACAGCACTGCCGAACGACCGCTGGCTGGCCAGTTTTCCCAACGCGGATCCACGCTAGCCTAAAATTCAGTCTGTAGCTGAAAAATGATAAGCTTACGTCACGACGAACCACCTCGTTCTCCGGGAAAACCGCCATGTACAGGACCATCGTATCGTACATGCAAGTGCGATAGATCTCAATTGCTTGGAGCGTAAATTCAGCATTTGACTGAAAACCCGACAGTTCAAAAAAAATTTGCCAAAGACCCACCGAAGCATCAAGTATCTGTTTGTCGAGGTAAATATCGCGATACTGCAACACCGATACTCGCAGCTGCGGGTTCGTCAAATAGGGAATCTTGCGCACATTTTTTACGACCTAATATCAGCAAATATGCTGTTTGGACGAACGGAATTTACCTGCATCGAATCCGACAAATCCAACGGACCGGCAAACTTGTTGAAGAGCTCCTCCAAGAGGAATGAGCGAGCAGAGATCAACCGATCAGCAACAGCCTGGAAAAGAACTAAATCTCCACTGTCTCAAGCTTCTCACCGTGAACAACGTTTTATACGCGCCGTCGGCCATTGTAAGCAGGCTTTGCTGGAGGCCAATACCAAAGTTCGTCAACGCATAAGCCGCGTCATACGAGCCGGTGCGAATGCACAAATCCATCAACTAAACAATCTACCTGTTTAAATGCAGTGAAATACCTCTGGCATCTCCAAAATTTTCTTTGTGGGCCAATCCACTGCAGATGCCGATTCAAGCAGTTCACATTCCCGGCGCGTTTGCTTTGACACCTCGATGAAATTGCGAAACTAAATTTATAATTATTGGTCGTTGTCCCGGAAATACCTCTTTTCCAACATTTGGTAGTTGCTTTCCCATATCCCCGAGTATCCCGTTGATCTCGGAAAACTAAAGCGGCAAACTTGCAGACGAAAAAGCAGTAGAACCGTTTGCTGGCATTGCTGGGTCGTGCGGCTTGCGTTGGCGTATGTGCGGTAATTGTTGAAGGCAAGATCTCCGATTTGAGCCTGTAGCCGCTCCAGATCGTATGTGATCGCCATTTGTTCTCGTCCTAAGCAACATTTAATCAAAAATAACAAAAAAAACCCACGCAGCTGCTCGGCTCCCATGCGCCCGAGCTCCTTCTCGGCCTCCATCCTGGAGCTCAAATCCATGGCCTGTAAAATTGAGCATAAAACTACAATAAATTCAACGATTTTTTTAGAAATAAGAAGGCTTTTGTAAAGTTAGAAATTCAACGTGGCAGCCGCTGGGGATTTACATCGTGTGTTTGTTCGGGAATTGGAGTGCCGCGAAACGGCGAGCTTCGAATGCTCTATTCAGAAAATTGCTGTTTGGAGAAAAAAGCCAAAAATAAAAAAAAAGTAAAAAGTAAAAATCAACTGTCATAAACCCACTAAAAAAAAATAAATTTTTAAAAATTTATAAAATAATCACCTTAACTTCCCCCCTCTTGAGAAAAACAGAAAAAACACAGACACAACACAACTATTTTTTAGGAAGTAAACTGAAAAGGAAGGAAAACCCAGCATAAGTCGGAATCTGCTGCATGCTTGGCTAGCCTCCAAAAATAAGGATAAACATTGCCCAGGGAAAAACGAAACTGAACTACTAGAAACTGAAATAACTTCTTTAGAGCTTTAGGCATCATAAATGCCTCCAGAAGAAGCTGTTTTCAGGGATTCCCGCATCAATTTCTCTCAGTAAACCACCCAAAATGCTGGAAATAGCCGAAATCAGAGCCTATATGCAATCGGAAATGCAAAAAATAGCTTCCTTGAACGGTTATTTGAAAAAAAAACGAAAAACGAAACACGCCAATCTACGATAAACGGAATTCCTTCCTCCCTCCTTCCACCTCAAAATTTTCAGCCGGACCTATAAATTCCACCCTTTTCCTACGCACCTTTTGAAATTTTTTATATACTTTTAATCAAGTCGTTATATCCTAATCTTCTCAACGGTTTTCAAATTTCCCCATACGTCAATAGCTTAGTTTCCACACATTTCACTCAATTCCCTTTTTCCAGAATGTCGCTGAAGCTCGAGACCAGCGATGGTGAAATCTTCACCGTGCCCAAGCAGGTCATCGGACAATCCGGACTCGTCTCCACGCTGCTGGCGGTAACTTTTGCGCAAAGTTCTGCAATTTTTACTTAGGACGCCGACGTTGGTGAGGACGGCGTCATTCCGCTCCCCAACGTTGCCGCGCCGATCATGCGAAAGGTCGGCTTTCGTTCCAATTGCTGCAATGGTGGTTTAGGTGTTGATTTGGTGCTCGAAGCACAAAGACGACCCGAAGAAGGAGGAGACTGAAGAAGACAACAAGCCCAAGGAAAAGGGCCCGGTCGCCATCCCGGCTTGGGACACCGAATTTTTCAAGGTCGACAACGGCGTTCTCTTCGAAATTGTCCTGGTGAGGTTTTGAGATTTGGCGATCAGTTTGTTCTAGGCCGCAAACTATTTGCAAATTCCGCGTCTGGTGCATCTGGGATGTGGCATCATTTCGAACAAGCTGCGCGGCAAAACTTCCGAGGAAATCAAACGGGAGTTTACTATCGTCTGATTAGTAGACTTTATTTGTACATGCACTTATACTAGTTTCTCACTTGTTGTATAAATTTTTGGTGCATGATCAGGTGGCGGCACGCAAGGGGTTCGCAGGTCGCAATCGTTTCTAGCAATAATGAAGCCTGTTGGATTTGAGGCACCGTAGTGGCGATGAAATGGAATACAAGTAAAATTGAACGAGAAACTTCGTAAAAATCTGCGCAAGATGCCCGGAATGTAAGAGAGGTTACTTTTCGCCATCTCATCCTCCTGGCCAATCTGGAACTAAGCGATAAATTTTAGCTTATATCTTTTGCCAAAAAACAAACAGTAATCATAATTTTTCCGCGAGCCATGAAGAATCAAGTCAATCGATGCTTTTACCCAAAGCTTCTCCGTTTTTCCATATGCGCCAAATTTGCATATCGACTTCCTCAACGCCCCGAAACCCGAAGTCAGCTTTTGCATTTCTTGTCTAGGCGATTTTTTCGACTTTCCCTGTTTCTTTGTCATCCACTCCGATGACAGGGCCTCCCTCGCCCTCGAGCCCTGCGCAGAAATCCAAAAAGGAGCAGGATTATGGCAAATCCGCCGAATTGATTATCCCCGCCCACTACAAACCGACACCGGTATGCTTTTAGTATCTGGAGAAGGTGATGGATGATGCGACAACGTTTAGACGGAGCCCAAGCCGAACCCCGAGATCCATGATCTGATGCTGCGACTTTTGAAGGTCGGCCAGGCCAATGGGCGGATGACCACGACGGTGACATTTTGGGGCCCCACATAATTCTTTTTTTAGATCAAAGAGCTTGAACTGCTGAAGATGTGCAAGGAAGCCAAAGCCGTATTCAAGTCCCAGCCGTCGCTCATCGAAATTGACCCACCAGTGATCATTGTTGGAGACATTCATGGCCAGGTAACTACTATTGTAATTTCCCCTTCTATATTTTGCCTTTCTAGTACGCTGACCTGCTGCGCATCTTCAATGGATCCGGATTCCCGCCTGATAAGAACTACATGTTCCTGGGAGATTATGTGGATCGGGGCAGCAAGAATCTCGAAGTCATCTCGCTTTTGTTCTGCTACAAGGTATCTACATTCTCATGTATCCATTACCCATTATTCGTAGATCCTCTACCCCGAGCACTTTTTCCTTTTGCGCGGCAACCACGAATGCCTGAATGTGAACAAGGTGTACGGCTTCCTCGAGGAGTGCAACCGCCGCTACAAGAGCATGCGCCTTTGGCAGTTTTTCCAGGTGGGAATAGTTTTGAGCTTTTATTACGACTTTTAGGACGTCTTCAACATGATGCCGATCGTGGGTATCGTCGGCGGCAGAATTTTGTGCATGCACGGTGGCCTCTCGCGTGATATTGACAGCCTGGATACGTTGCGGTCGGGGTTTTGGATGGTTTTTGACTAAATAAACGTGTTTCCAAGATGTAGGTTTTGTTTTATTTTGCGGTTTTTACGACAGTGTTTAGAGCTCTTCGCCGCCCTGTGATGCCGATGACGGCGTCGATCGAGCTTGATCTGCTGTGGGCTGACCCCGAGAAGGGCATTCAAGGCTTCAAGGCTAATTCGCGTGGTGTCTCTTCCGTCTTTGGGGAAGACGTCGTCGAGGAATTTTGCAAGAGGTTTCCGATCTTATTTTTCTGATCGATATTTAGGCTGGACATCGACTTGGTTGCTCGGGCTCATCAGGTCGTTCAGGACGGTTACGAATTCTTCGCCGACCGCAAGTGAGTGCATGTAGCTGGTCGTGCAGGAAATGATTTTAGGTTGGTGACGATCTTCTCGGCCCCGCAGTACTGTGGTCAGTTTGACAATAGTGCGGCGACGATGGAGATTGCCGACACGATGCAGTGCTCCTTCCAGGTTAGGCGACATTATTTTTGTTATTCTGTGGTTCCTAGGTGTACAAACCGACAGCCAAGTCGGTCCGGTTGGCCATGGCCAAAATCAAGGAGTTGCAATTGGAATCATCTCAGGAAGTAGGCCCGGTTTTAGCTATCATTTCATTTTCCCTTTTCCAGGCCTGGCCGAAGAAGGACGCGAAACCGATGGGCCCAACGGATGGGACGACAGCTCAAGATTAGAAACACGAACATTATTGATCCCGTTTTGCTTTAATCGATTAACTTTGTGCTACTATGGATAAAAGATTTGACGATCTATTGAGAAACGAAGCTCACAGCCGCCGAGAAACGAACAACGTATTTGGGTACCATAGAAAGCTGTGGCTTTAGAAGTATACCGTCGTTTTTTCAAGAAACGGCCTGTGCCCAGGCTTTTGCCCCGCAGAAGATTGCATCGCGATCGGGATTCGGGAATTGTTGTTCGAAAGTCTTAGCCCCCGTGTCGGGCTCTGTCCCCTCTCTGCCAACCCTCCCCTTCCGGCCATCACCCGCTCTCTAGTCGGGCGCAGCATTGCGCCGTCCTCTATCAACCCACAAACACGTGCCATGCACTTCCCAAAACACCTCCCTAATGCATTGATTCCAAGCCCAGCTTTCAGTTTGATCGAAACGTTGTCTTCAGCCTTCCTCTTCAGATCCCTCTGAAATTTCCCGATTTTCAGATGTCGCAAACGAGGAATCGCAGAATCTCGCTCGGCTCGCCGAAGGACCTGAAGGAGGTACAAAAAGGTTTAGTGAATCAGCTATCACATTCAGGTGAAATTTTTCGAAGAGGAACCTATGCCCGATGTACCGCCAAAGGGAGCACGTGTCCAGGTGCCTTTTTGCTTTATATAAAAACTTTACTTTCTAGGTTTGTTATGCGGGTGTCTGTCTCACGGACCGTGAAGTCACCAACACGAAACAAGCACGCATCACCAATGGCATCAAGGACACCTCACTCTTCCCAGGCAATTTTTTAGACCTTGATGATCCTTATGCTTATTTCCTCAGTGCAATAAATATTTAGGCTACGAAGTCTCTGGCAAAATCGAATCCTTTGGCGACCAGTGCGTACCCGGGGAATTCGACCTGCAAGTTGGGGATAAGGTAGGAGATTTATTGTTTTTGCGTTAATCTACGCTAATTGACGGACCGTTTTCGAACCTTTTTTCAGGTGATTGTCTGGCCCACAGATGAGATGGCGGCACATGGATACTCGGATTTTGTCGTCGTCCCAACGTTGAACTTCCTAGTCAAGGTGAGAGAGGCAGCTGTTTGCTTATTTATTTATTTTTTTAGATCCCCGAGTCAATGAGTATGCACGTGGCTTCGATTCTGCCCGCCGGTGCCACCTGGGCTCTTTCAGCGGTATTGCAGGTCGGTCATCGTCTCGTGACGGATTGTCTAGATTTTGAATTGGGAAAAAATAGACGGGAATGAGATTGAAGATTTTTAGGCGCGCCCCATCGTCGAAGCTTTCTCGCACTCCAAGGGCTTTTGCAACATCCTGATCGTCGGAGCGGGAGGTCTGGGACTGTGGCTGCTCAAGCTCGCCAAACATTTCTTGACGATGAATAATGAAAAGTAAGCATACACTGAAAAGCCAAATGTTTTGCAGGAAAATCAAGATCATGGTGGCCGACGCGAAGGAGGAGCGCCTATGCCTTGCCGAGAAGAATGGTGCCGATTTTGTGGTGCACTGGGATGATAATGGTACCATGATGACAAAGATTTTCAACCATATTTTAGAATTCGAGGAATATCTCATTATGCGCACAAAAGACGTTGCCCGAACAGGGGTGCAGATCGTCTTCGACTTTGTCACATCTCCTCGTACCGTGACGAGATCGCTGAAGTGTCTAGCGGAGGTACATATTTTTTTCTTTTAAATAATGGGTTTTTCAGGGTGGTGTGCTCTTTGTTGGTGGACTGTCAGGACTGGATGTCCAGCTGCCAATCAAGCTCGTCGCACGAAATCGCCTCGCCATCATGGGAGTTTCCCGTGGAAATATTGATCAGCTAAAGGTAGATATCTTAATTTTGCAAAACTCTTTTCTAAGCAGAGCTATATTCAGTTGTTTGAAAATCAAGGTCTACTTGTTGTTTTTTTTAGAACCTGGTCAACCTGATTGCTGGCGGCCAAATCGATGCTCCGGATTACGTGGTTTATCCAGCTAACCAAGCCAGCATGGTAGCCATTTTCTCTTTCCAAGATAGCCATTTCAGGTCCTCAAACAACTGTCAATGTCCGAGGTCGAAGGCCGAGCAATTCTCGAAGTTTGCGACCCGTCCAACGTCGCCAAGAAGGAAACATAATACCGATCTGCCATCGTAATAGTAGTAAACCCGCTCGACTCCTAGATTTTCGCATTGATGTAATGTACATAAACGTCTACACCTCTCGGACTTACACTGAGATTCCTTTGAAGCCATTCATCCACGATCGCCCCTAGTCCCCCGCCGTGTCATTGTATTCCTTTTGGTAAATATGGGTATTGCGTATAGTGTGCCAGGCATTTTTCGTTGCTTCCATGCCCTAATACTAATAAATTAATCCGATAAAGCTCGAGTGTTACTGCAGGAAATGACTAAAGTTCACAACGTATTCCGCTCAGAGTTTGATTTTATTAATTTACGGATTCAGGTTGTACTATCAACAGCCTCGATGGTGTCACAGGAAAATCAAGAAGGTTTTGTCTTTATGTTAGAGGCGAACATAAGGTTTTAGAACCGGAGGTGATGTCGTTTCGAGTTTTGGCGACTGCGGATAAGGCCAGGCGTGGGCTACTTCATTTGCCGCACTCCATGGTCGAGACGCCAGTTTTTATGCCGGTCGGGACCCAGGGGACCATGAAGGTGCGCTTGGAATCGTGGCTATATGTATTTTTCCAGGGTATTTTGCCCGATCAGCTGGTTGATCTGGATTGCCGAATTTTGCTGTGCAACACCTATCATCTGGGGCATCGGCCTGGCCATGAATTGGGTGAGCGATTTTAATATCTGACAATGGGCTCCGTATGCAGAACTTTGAAAAGCATAGAGTCTGCAATTGACTTTACCGGTTTAAGTTATCCCATATTTCAGTGAGGAAAGCCGGTGGCGTACACAAAATGATGAACTGGCCACGGGGTATTTTGACGGATTCCGGAGGTTTCCAGGTTTATAGAAATCTTTCAAGCTTAAAATTCCATTTTAGATGGTTTCCCTCTCGAAGCTAATGACGGTCGACGAGGAAGGGGTAAACTTTGAGAGTCCACATACCGCCGAGATGATGTTGTTGAGCCCCGAGCAGAGTATAAAAATTCAACAAGTGGGTTGGAGTGTCGTGTGACGTTACGGAAAATGTTGTAGTGCCTGGGTGCCGACATTATGATGCAGTTGGACCATGTCGTGCACGTCAACACTACCGGGCCCATGGTCAAGGAGGCCATGGAGCGTAGTATACGGTAGGCAGAAGCCTGATCTAGATTTATGTATTTCTTTAGTTGGCTGGATCGGTGCAACGAGGCACATACACGCGATGACCAAGCTCTATTTCCGATCATCCAAGGCGGGCTCGATTTTGAGCTGCGCGCCGCCTGCGTCGAGGAGATGGCCAAGCGAGCCAAGGTTGTTAGACCGTTTAAAAAGTGAATCATTTATCATTAGGTGGGCATAGCGATTGGCGGGCTGTCGGGCGGCGAGGACAAGACGCATTTCTGGAAGGTGGTAGCGACCTGTTGTGATTTGCTTCCGCCTCACTTGCCGCGCTACGTGATGGGCGTCGGGCATCCGATCGACTTGATCATGTGCTCGTTGCTGGGGGCCGACATGTTTGACTGCGTCTATCCTACACGAACGGCTAGGTATCCAATTTTCTACTGTGTTAGAGGGGCACCTGCCTTGGGCCCTGATAATGAATTAAAGACCTTTTTACCGATTTTTAAGCATGTAGAAATCATAGAAATTAACTTTTTCCTCAATTTTCGAGATTTTGAATCAAACATAACTAAAAATACGTAAACACACTATACAACGCTGAATTTTTCTAGCTATCCCCGCGCTAGCAGTAGCTGACTAGTCTGGGCCTTTTTAAGCAATTTTTCGTTAGGAAATACCCATTTTGCGAGCCTGGCAAAATTTCTCATTTCAGATTCGGAACAGCCCTGGTGCGCCGTGGCGGCGAATTGCGGTTGAACCAGAAAAAATTCGCCAACGATTTTCGCCCCATCGACGACAGGTTAGTCGATTCGCATGGGATTCCCCCAGAAACAACCCTTCGTTGCAGATGTGACTGTACCACCTGCAAAAACTACACACGTGCCTATCTGTACACGGTATCACAGAAGGTGAGTGAGTGCCCGTCTTATCCCCACCGCTCCGCGTACAATCAGACCGAGTAGGGTGATCCCCGTCCCCCTCACTCGGCGAGCGTAAACAGGCAGACAACCGGGCAAGGAGCCCGAAAGGTCGGCGACTGATCGGTGGCGAGATATTCCGCGAATTTTGGAGTCTGTTACATCAGCCGGGCCCGGGGAGAACAAGGTCGCGCTGAAAAGGGCTATTCCCTGTTTACGGGATGGTTATCGAGTAAATAGCGCGATTTCCCGGGAAATTATAGCACAAACTAGTTGGAAAATGGTTCTGGGACGTTAGCCGGGAAGAATTTGGCCTAGATCATGCCTGTCTAGTAATAATATAAAGGTCGTGAAAATTTATCCTTTCTTGAGATTTAACGACAATGAAATTAATTTTGAAATTTTTTTATTTGTCGGTTTCGCACATTTTTTACCAAAAAAAAATCTAGTTTCTTAAAAATATTGTGTCTATACTGAAAAGCGGCATAAAATACCTTCGAAATAGTGGATAGTTTATTCAACCTTTTTGATAGTTTTGACCAGCCCGCTAGCCGTCTAGTCTAGATGGGGAGGCTAGACCTTGGTTTGCTAATATCAAAATTGGCAAGGTAAAAATTCACGCGCCCATAGCCGTCATTTCACGAAATACGCGAAGCATGCGAAGGTCCACACGTTTCTTCCTTAGCAGCCGGTGATAAGTAGCACCTGAGCGCTTATTACAGTGCGGTGCAGGGTCTCCCCCATGTGTCCCAGTGTCGCGTTTCTGTGGGGCACTCGTCGTGTCCTCGGCCGGCTTGCCCTGCGGAGGAAGGTGGTTTGATCTCCAGCCCCTCCCTGCCGTTGCCCACCCCCCTCATAGCCCCATCTCACCCGGCGACTTCTTTTGTCTCCAAGGTGGGGCTATTGGCAAAGTCGGCCAATCCCCCGCACCTAAAAATCTCGGTATTATAGGTTGTGATCTGGGGGCAGAGCTGGCTGGATCAAACTAATTTCCCGAGCATAATAGGCCCGATTATGAAAATATCTTAGTCATCAAATCGTCTAAATTTTGCGCGTGTATCTTTAGGACTTAAAATAAAACCGCCTCGTGCTTCCGCGGTCGATCAGCCGGTCAAGAAGTGGTCCTTGGGCTCCAAGGGCCTGCCGCGTGCATTTGTCAGTGAGCAAAAACACAACCACCCCCTGTCGATCCGGCTGTCAGCTGCTCAAGCCTGACATCATTTACTTGCCCCTTGTGGGAGGGAGCGTCGGAAGGCCAGGGCAGGGCATTGCTAGAGTCAAACCTCGTTTTCTCGGGGTTTATGTGTGAGTGAGTGCGGGCAGACGGACAAGCACAGGAAGTGGCCGCGGATCGATCGAGTTTTTCGCGCTTTTCCCTGAACCCCCGCATAGCTTCTCGGTGTGGCGTGACCGCCGGGGATCGAGAGCCATTAACTGTTCGAGTACTGAGAGATAAGCCCGGCCGGGATAAAGCGTATTTTTTCAGGAGACGGTCGCATGTCACCTCATCTCGATCCATAACATAAAGCACCAGCTGGACCTAATGAAGGATTGTCGCGAGAGCATCTCGAACGGAACCGTCACCGAATTCCTCAACACATTTTTACGAGAACAATTCGAAGGCCAGAAGGTCCCGGAATGGGTTCACGAAGTTTGCGACTTTTTAGGCTACAAGATTGATGATTAGGCTGTATTTGTTAACAGTTTGTTGTTATTGTTATGCTTGGTCACGTTATAAATTTTATTCGCATTCGGGACTCGTATGATCAAACGGGTAAAATCAAACAATGGGGGCGATGGTTTACTATCATGCTAGGCTAAAGAGACACTATCACCGGGGGGATAAGGGGAGTTTCTAAAAACGGTGAAGTGGGGGCGAGTTGAGCTTGCGAGGGAGGGCGCTTAGGTGAAGGTGAATCCGGCGGTCCTGTAGGTGTGGTAGACCTTCTCGATCGAGTTGCAGTAAGCGGCCGTGCGGATGTCCAAGCCAAGGTTGTACTTCCGGGCGGTGCGGATGATGGCTTCTCCGGAACGCTGCATCGTGTATTCGAGTCCAGAGTGGACGATGTCCTTCTCCGAAGCTCCGGCCATACGGGTCTAAAAATACGTTCAGCTAACGGGAGAATGACTCACGAAGAAAGCCTCATTGGCCTCGATGGGGACGGACTTGCCGATGGCGCGCTCGAGGGATTCTTGGACGGACTCTGGAATGACAGGGTAATGAGAAATGCCTATAAAACTTACGCAAGAGATGCCTGTTGGTCTCGCGCTCATACTTGAAAGTGAGACGGCCGAAGGAGACATGGTTCAAATTCTTCAACCACTCGAAGAACGATACCTAAGGCAAAATCAATAAATATTAAAGCAAAGCTTACCGTCACACCACCAGAGTTGACGTACATATCGGGAATGATGAGGCAGTCACCACGGGCCAACAGGATCTTGTCGGCGGCGGGGGTGGTAGGTCCATTAGCGGCCTCGGCGATGATCTAAGGGGAAAATGCAAGCCGGAAATATGAAAAGCTACCTTGGCCTGGATCTTGTGGGCATTGGACTTGTGGATAGCCTTCTCGCACGCGGCGGGCACCAGAATATCGCACTTCTCGTAGATGAGATCGGTGAACGGCTCGAAGCTCTTGGCTCCCGGGAAGCCGCGGATGGTGCCGTGCTCGTCTTTCCAGTTCTCGAGCTCCTTGGGGTGCATGCCGTTGGGGTTGTAGATGGCACAGTCGTACTCCTGAAGTGAAACCGCATGAATAACATGGATCTATGGATACCTGAATTCCGACGCAGATTCCTCCGACGCGATGGAGGTAACGCATGGTGTGGAGTCCGACATTACCGAATCCTTGAACGATGAAGGTCTTGCCAGCCAGACCAGTCGACAGGCCAAGCTTCAAAACAAGTTTAGATTATGGACATTCGATATACCTTGGCCATGTAGTCGGCATCATTGGCGAAGACTTCAAGTCCCTTCCAGACACCACGGCCGGTAGCAGAAACACGTCCGTGAATACCACCAGAGACGATGGGCTTTCCAGTGATGCAGGCAGAAGCATCCTTCTCCAAATGTCCGATGGTCTGAGCGTAGGTGTCGGCAATCCAGGCCATCTCGCGCTCTCCGGTTCCCATATCGGGGGCTGGCACATCAATGCCGGGCCCGAGGAAGCCCTTCTTGGCGAATTCGATGGCGATACGACGGGTGATCTTCTCAATCTCGTACTCGGAGTACTTCTTCGGGTCGATCTTGACTCCTCCCTTGGCTCCTCCGAAGGGAACATCGACGACGGCGCACTTGTAGGTCATCAGGGCAGACAGAGCCTTGACCTCATCCTCGCAAACGTCCATGGAGTAACGAATACCTGAAACAAAGTGTCCACGAATGAACTTAAAATCCACCTCCTTTGGTCGGGGTGCGATGCTCGGAGTGCTGCGAACGCCAGGCCTCGATAATCTCGAACTCTCCGTTCTCGCGGCGGATGGGGAAGGTGATGTAGAGGACCTAAGCCGATAAGTTAGGACTAGACACGCAAGTACCTTGTTGACGGGCTTGATGGCCTTCAGGATACCGCGCACAAGGTTAGCCTTCTCGGCGGCGTTCTGGGCGCCTTTGAACTCCTCGATGAGCTTCGGCTCGAGAACGGTCGCTCCCTTGTCGAAGAAATAGTCGACCATCTAAAAAAAGTGATAAGAAAAAAGCACGTGCGGTACCTTGAAGAAAGAGGGATTGATCTGCTCGTCCATCGGCTTTTGCTCATCGGCTACCTAAACAAGAAAGCATATACGTGGATACCAACAAATAGTGAACAAATCCCCAGCTCCAAAACCCCCAAGCTGCAGGTTATAATCGCGTGGCCTAATTATCAAGGTTAGCGGACAAGCCATCCCTTATGAAATGGGGAAAGTTCATGCGGCGTTGACGAAAATGTTCTCACAACCTAAAAATTTCAACTATGCCCGAAACAAAACGAAAATAAACTAGAAGCTACCCTAAACTTTAAAAAAATCAGCACCTGAGAGTGGGGATCCAAGTTTGCGGACGACATGCCACGGGCCCCGACATTGGCCACACGCCCCGAAGATCTGAGAAGCGTCGACAGCATCCTGAAAACAGAAAATTAATATCTGCAACGACGGGCTATCAAAAACGGGGGAAGAGCAAAAGACTGAAATTGGGATAGCCCGTCCCACGTGGGGGAAACGGGCTGCACATTGAGAAGTGGGGAGGAAGCGAAAAAGCAGTGTCCTGAAACCACGCCCCCTTGAAACGCGTAGAGACGCAGAGCTAGGACAAAATGCTGCGAGAGCCCAAGAACCAATGAAAAAGCAAACGAACCCTCAATAAAGCAGCCAAGACAATTTGCTGAATAGTTGAATGTTTGTGTAACGAGAAAGCCCTGGGGGGAAAATGCTGTCCGGATGTAAACTCTCGCATTCTGTTAACGAATGGTAACGATGCATCAGGTAAACCAGTAATAGACATGCCAAATTTTGTGTGAGCGACCGCCAATACCGGATATTTTATTGGTTCACTAAACTAAATAGTTTCCAGGCACACTTGTATCTTAACCCGTTATGAAGGAGGATTAGACGAGATCAATTTGCCGTCTTCTTCCAATTTCCAAAGATTTCGATCTTGTCTCGCTCTTGTAACGTCATCTTGAACGACATGAAAAGGGACGGTACGATCCGACCGGCTCTTTCAATCCCTTCTTTGAGTTGCTCGGGTGTCCATTGGCCAGTTAAAGTTTTTGCGATCAGCGTCGGGGCATCAGTTTCATGGCTACGGAAAACCAGAACAGCTAGCCCTTCTGCTGCCGCTTCATGTCGTTTCGCAGGGTTGACATAATAGTCTCCGGTAGGCGTCCGAGCCACTTCCACTGCGCAGAAAGGCGCCTCGCTGGGGACTTCACTATCCAGGAGGGCCAATGACGTAGCGTTCAAAGCCACAGCCATTAGAGAACCATCGTTCTGCAATTCGTGGATCGTCACCGCAAGCTCTGTTCTTGGGAAGAGCTCTCTTCGTACTGTAGATCCAACAGCCGACATAACCAAGTTCTCGAAGGTAGGATATCGCGAGTCTCCAAAGAGCGGGTGGAAGTTAACGGAAACGGCCATCTTGTCCGCAAGCCGTCTTGAAGTATTCGCATTTCCCGGACCATTGACGGCGACCCATACATGCGTGCCTCCTTGCGAGAGCATACAAGAACCGTCGGCTCGCGACAAAGAACCGAGCTGACACTTCCAAGACTTGGGACCCGCAGGCGGGTCTTCTGCTTCCATCTAAAGGGGTGCAAATGATCAGATCTAATGGAAGCCGCGTATATATCTGTCGCTATCCAAGCTTTGATGTATTTTCAGAAAGATATAATGCAACGATAACAATTTATTACAAAAAGAAACAATTAGTGGGCACGTTTGGCGGCAATTCTCTTGTCGCGCTCCTCGGCGATCGTCAGCTTGATACCCTTCTGGGCAGGCAGGGAGACGAGAGACTTGGTGCCCTTTCCGATCACGAAGACGTTTTGGATTCTAAAGCAAACATTTACCCGGACAGAGGAAGTCTGCCTACTTCCTAGCCCGCCAACGCAACGCTGGTCGGACTAGGACTCGTAAAAGCGTTAAGGCGTAAAATGAACCGACCTCGACAGGAAAGTTATGTCCTCCTGGACCCCTGCCTTCTCCACACGTTTTAATCTTACCTGGTAGCGAACGTGTGTCCGACGGCGTCCTTGACGTGAATGATGTCGAAGCTGCCGGGGTGATGGTCGTGGTGGCTGATGACTCCGACACGTCCAACGTTACGGCCTCCAGTGATCATCACCAGGTTTCCGGCCTCGAAGCGGACGAAATCGGTGATCTTGCCGGTAGTCACATCCAAGACAACGGTGTCATTGGTCTAAAAACAGCTTAGGGGAAACGTCGAGAAAATCCTACCTTGACACGGGGATCCGGGTAGCGGAGGGTTCGGCCATCATGAACGGTGATGAGCGGCACGTCCTTGGGTCCGGTGTATTTGTTGGTGATTTTGCAGAGCTTGAACTGGCCCTCAGCCGGGGTGATGCGGTGGACAGTGAAACGGCCCTTGACGTCGTAGAGGAGACGGAAGGTCTCGTTCGTCTTCTCGATGGTGATGACATCCATGAAGCCGGCGGGGTAGCGCATTTCAGTGCGGACCTAGAAGACAAAATTGGAGCCACAAATAAAGAACACACCTTGCCGTCGACCTTGATGAGCCTCTGCATGCAGATCTTGCGAGCCTCGTCGTAGGAAAGGGCGTACTTCAGACGGTTGCGGATAAAGAGGATCAGCGGAAGTGATTCACGCAGTTTGTGTCCACCATGAACTGGACGCGGGGCGAAGTTTCCTCCGAGTTTGTCCAGCATCCAGTGCTTGGGGGCGGCCAAGCGCTTCAAGTGCTTCTTCAATCCACGAGCCATGATGACCACAAGTCTGAAAATGCAACAAAATTAATTTATAAAGAAAGTTTTGCCAAGTGATAGATGAAAGAGTATAAAAAAGAACACGGGGAAAGATTTCGGGCGAAAAGTCTTTAGGCCCGATTTTGCGGCAGCAGCGACCCCCAGAGCGCTACCGTAGCCCGACGCGGGGCACCGGATAAAAACGACAGCCAAATACCTGCCGTGTTCCCACTCCCATCCATCTTTTGAAAGTAAAAAGAAACGAATAAAAACGATAATAAAAAAATATAATCGAGGTTTGGACGATCACGCTTTTTTAGAAAACTTGTGAACACTTCAAGTCATCGGAGTTTGAGGTTATTTCGGTTCTTTAGGATTCCCGGGGGGGGGGAAAGTATTCCCGGGGGAAACCAAATTTTTTTCGGCGAAAGCCTAGATTTTTGTATAAATTGCGGATGCGTTTCTAAATTGTTTTTAACTATTCCTGTGCATAAAAACTACACACATTTTAACCAAAAAAATGTAAAAAAATTAAAAATTAGGTCGAAAAATAGACCCAAAATGACCAAATTTTCGACTTTTTCAAACATTTTTCTAAATTTTTCTGAAAGTTATTCTGCTTTAAATATAGTTAAAACTTACTAAAAACAATTCGAAAACACTTTATATTTGATTACTAGGTCGACCGGGACCACCAGGAAAAAATTTGGTTTCCCCCGGGAATACTTTCCCGGGAATCCTAAAGAACCGTTATTTCCGTCATCGAGTAGGTGAAGTCCAATTTCAAGAGGATCCGTCGAGACTTTGAGAAGAGGATTTGCGTTGGAAATGAAATCCGTCATGCATGTGCCAGGGCAAGCATCCTCCCAAAAGCCGTTTTTTTCGGAAGACGGTCTCAACTTTTTCTCTCCTTTTTCTTTCTTCTATTCTATGTTTATTCTATGTTTGTTATAGATTCGGTCTCCTTTTCTAAAGCAGAGCATCTTTCCAAAGATGCGGATTTGGCGTTTGAAACATGTATAACCTCATCGTCTCATTGTAAGTATGAGTTTCGTCTGCAAATGGGTTCGGAAGGACCGAATAGTTGAGCATAACGTATTTATCGAACAACTGAGGTAAAAAACAACGCAGGAAGTCAAAAAGAAGTTCAACATCGGAATCCAAAACGCCTAGACTTGCTAACTACCAATCATCCTTCAAAGACAATGCGAAAATTATGGCAGCCAAGTAATGTGTACACCAATATATGACAAATCATCACAGAGGGAATTCCACTTTGTCGCTTGGCTTCGGCGCGGTTATATAGCCCAAAAATGGTTGTTCGCGCAGGACCCGTCGCATCAGCATCAAACGTCCGCCTCGTGTTTTTGTTCGGGCTTCAACGGTTTCGGTGTTGACCTTGTCCTGAAAAAAAGGTAATTATTCGGATCCTAGAAACGGTATGGTCAAAATTTGGAGGCCTTGCGCTTCCGCCTCGCGCGATTCTGCTGCCTAAAGAAGCTAAATAAAAATGTACCTTGATTTTGAAGGGAAAATAGCAGGGCCTGAAGTTGCTTCTGTGCCACGGGCAGTTCCACCGGACGGAGAAGCTGTTGAGGACTTGTGGCGAGACGAGCCGTCGCAGCAACATCTGGAAAATCGGAAAATTATGCAACGCATTGATATAGAAGCTAGAAAACGAGAGAAAAAGTCATGATGTGGTTATTAAAAATCCGTGTACCGAAGGCGCGCGCTTGAATTAGAGTTTTAGCTCGTACAATAACCGATGGTAAGAAAAATACGCGTAATATATGAAAACCAGCCAAGATTATTCTAGCTCGATAAGAAAGTATTTTCGTTACTCAAAGACTATTTGCTGTCGGGGAGAAGAACCGAACACTGGGCCCCTATCGACGCTCATGACTGCCGCCAGAGATAACCCATCCCCATCCCCCCGGTTGTTACTTCCACTTGAAGATAGAAAACCGAACCGCAAAGTTTAATAAGCACACGCTTTCTTTGAAACCATTTATTATCAAAAACAATTGAATTAATGCGTTTGTTGCTTGTTCGTTTCGGGGAGCCGCATATAAAGAAGACACCAAGAAACGCCAACAGGCAATGAGTAGAGCAGCGGGAATGCAGCTGTGCCGACGAGCTAAACTCGAGTTTGTCTGAATCTTTGAGTTAGAACTTACATCAAATAGGGGGATGATCACAAAGTTTGTACACACGACCAGTAGACTGTGGAGGGCATAGCAGACGCAGAATAAAGCGGATCTAAAACGATGAGCCTTGCTTGGACGTACTTACCGATAATTTAGCGGCACCAATTCGGGGCCAATCGTCCAAGCAACAGGGCCGACACCAACGCTAGAATATTTTGCTTGTTATTATTGGATGCTTGCTTACCCATAAATGAAAATGTAAAGCGCAGAGACAGCAATTGAGATGGTGGGCATGTCGGAAATCAATTCAAAGGTTGGGAATAGGAATAGAAGTAATAATGATGTGGCGCCTAAAAGGTATATACTAAAACCTCTAGAGGATGGTCTGTCATCTTTCCCACCTGCCGTCAAAAGAAGTTTACGCCGAGGAAATCTATCGATTATCGAAGTCGAAACGAAGCACGCGCCAGTGAAAATCACCATAAGAGCCGTGGAGGCTGATTGAGCGGTGGTCCTACAGAATTAAAGTTTATTTACTTTTTGCGACTTACTTGTCGATTCCGATCCGCGTGTAAATATAGGTTGAGCTTTGGAGAATCGGGAAAAATGGCAGCGTGAATACCAAGGCCGCCAGCGACAGGTATAGCGAATTTCGCATCCGTGGGCAAGAGCAAAGAAGCTAAAAATGTTATAGTAAAAGAAACCTAGATATTACCAAGATGCTGCCATCTTCCTCTTGTGACGACTCTGATGCCTCCTCCTTCAAAATCTCTTTTTCGATGACTGGGTCGATGGAAGAGCCCAGGAAATAGCTGATCGAACGATGAGCCGCCAAATTGTTTTTCCTACAAAATAAATTATGATTCAAGCGGTTGTCTTACTTTTTAATCGCCAAGTATTTTGGCGTGTCGGGGATCGTCAACAAGTAGAGGGTAGAAGCCGCGCCAGTCAAAAGTGGCACCAATAGTAGAAGATGAAGATCTCGCCTTTCACAATTTGTTGAAAAAATAAATAGATCTCACCCCAAGAGCTCATCTTGCCCCAAGGCCATCCCAAGTAGACAAGTGACAGCGTAGCCGGTTGAAAATAGAGATGACATACTTCCGCGAACAGCTGCCGGGGCGCATTCCTGGAAGATTTGAGGGGAAAGAGTAGTAAATATTACCTGAAGGTAGATGATAAGCGCTGCATCCATCAGCGGAGATGAGACCGCGGCCAATATTCGCCCGAAGAAGAAGAGCTAAATGGAGGAAAATACAGAAACTAAAGGGCATATCATACCTCTGGTACCGGAAAGTAAGACGCCACAAATTGCAGAGCTGCTCCAATTGTAACGAAGAAAGAAGACAGGACGAAGGCGGCTAAATTTCAATAAACCCTAAAGAAAAAAGGCACTTACCTTTTCGCCCATAGCGATCGCAAATAATTGGACTGGCGAGTGCACCGCCAACTTGTCCTACGTACCAGACACAGTTGATCGTCGAGCGGATAAGTGATATCTGCAACGAAAGATTTTTTCAGCGGATGTGCGTTCCGTTATCAATCCCCCGCGCGATGGATAGAGTTGCCGAAAATAGAACGGTGCGGTAAATACTGTTTGATGATAATACACGGGTCATAGAACCGACGATCTTTTGAACAACAACAGTTGAAGAGTGAGAATTTTTAGCATGTAACTTACATGATGATTTTCTAGCGGCAACTCCCGGCCGGTAAATGACTCATTGAGATAATCGTTGAATTCGTGAACGGCGTTGTTGACTGAGGTATGGGTAAACGCTAAAAACAGCTATGAAACGGCATTCTTGACTTACCTGACGGGAAATTGGCGATGGAGGTCAAGACGCACATCAAGAAAAAGAGCCTCAATCGGGAGCCCGTGCCGAGGAGAGATTGCTCGCTAGAAATGGTAAGGTTCCATAGCAACTTAACAATACCTTTCATTGCGCACCATGTCGGCATCGGGGTCGCAGGCGAGAGGTTGTTCAAGATCCTGAATGAAGTGTGAGAATCGTTCCTCATCGTCGGATTGTTTTTTCCGGATCCGCCTAACACCTGCCCCCGATCCAGTTTTTTAGTTTAAAGTACATCGAAAAGCGACGAAATGCGAGTGCGTAGTTCATACTATATAAATCCTTTATAAAATTCTAAAGGTGTCCACTGACCTTTTCCATGATTGCACTTCCGGTGTAGAGCGACAAATCTCAGGGCTGACGATGCCCGATTCACTAAAGCTATTTATGGGGGGCGCTCATGATTTCCAAACAGTGAAATGAAACATGAGCCGGAAGACATCACTCACCGTCCGGGCGGGTCGTTGAGAAACAGCCTGTTTGATTAGGGGGAGCCGGAGGTGGTGGTGGTGATGGTGGCACTGGACAGAGATGTCGTATCAAGGGTCAACCCTCGTACGATCTGCCCTCTCCCAGCACCCACCAGCCAGCCAGGCGAGCGCTCGATTGATCACACGCAGAATATAAGTAGCAGACGGAAGGAAGGAGATGGGTGTCCGCCCTCGAATTACCTCCCTGGTCCCGCCCCATCAGAAACAATGGGTGGGACCTCTAGGCATCTGGCCATCGTCTGGCCCCGCGGGGCACGCCTGTCCGTTCAAATCCTTGATCCTCGAGTGGTGGTTGCCCGCCGGGCACATGACCTGCAAAAAGAACTGAACTAAGGATTATACGACGGGTGGAAAGCACGTGAAGTTTAGGTGGGATAGAGAATGAATGGTACGCAGGAGGTACCAAAAAAAATTTAGCCTGTCAGCCCCATTTTAAAGTAGGACGACGAGGAGATTTTATCATATTTCCACGATTCTCGATCTCGGTTTCGATAGAAAGAGCCACCCGTATCGCACAGTAAAAACGCTTTTTCGGTTTAACTTTCGATCACAATAAATGTCGATTACGCGTATTTCGATTTAAAAAAATGCTTGTTCAAAAGCGCCTTGTGCGCGTGATGAATTAAATATTAACCTAGATTGTCTTATAGATAGCTATGTCGCGATCCAGGAATACTTTTTAGTTAAATTAGTTCTAACCTAAACATTTAGGGTCCAGATTTTTATAAATCGATGAATCCCAATCACCGTGCAAATCGTGCACTATTTGCCGACTTTATCATGTGAGGCACCGGAAGCCCAGCGTTCTAAGCTACATACCTGTACGACTCGGACCGCAATCTGTCCAAAATACCTTTGCGGAACAGTCAAGAAACTTTTAAATCGAAAAATCTATTTTTGTACGCAGCAAGTAATCACGCTATTTGCGACCCCGACCCCTTGCAGCCCTGTCAGACACAAAGCCAGTACCAGCAACTCGGAACACACTTCGATATTAATCCTCTCCGCCCGTTCCCCCATTGGCTATTGATTTTTGTGGGGCACCGGGGGGAGGAAAGGGACGATTTGAGGGCGCCTTCTGGGGCAACAAGCCTCAACAGCGCCCACCACCACTACGACCCTTCCAGCCCCATCCGTTTCGGGGGCTTCGTGGCCCGGCGGCGCACCACACACCCCCCAAAAGAGCAGAATCGCTTTTCCGGAAGGGCTAGTAAATAGCGGAATGACCGGCCATGTGACCATGTCGCCATATCGATTCAGCGCCCGCCCCAAAAACGTCACCGGTCCGTCCGTGTCCGTCCGACTGTTTGGCGGGAGCGGGAGAGGAGGAGGTGCAGTTGCGCCCATCTTCGCCCCGTATTTGTTATCGATCCAAGCCTCCTCCCACCACCGTCCACGCAAACACAAAGTCACCACCGCTGCAGGCCAAAAACCCCCAAAGTGCTTTACGTTCCGCGTGGTTTGCCCAATTTTTGCGGTTATTTTGTTTTGCAAAAAATTCTGGCGCTACACTCCGCTACTTTTCTATTGACGTGTTTAGGTGTAGTTTGTTCGATTTGAGCGAATTTTTTATTTTGTGAGAAATGTCAAAAATTCCGAGGCAAGGCTCCACTACATTACCCTTGACGCGTTTAGGTGTACTACGTACTACGATTTCGTATTTTTGGACAACTTTCCGGTTTGTGAAAATTTATCGCGCGATTTTTTATCGTTTCACGTTTTGTTCGCGATTCTTTAAATTTATTACATTTTCTTTATCAAGTTGTTAATATTTATCTTTTTCGGGAACTCTTTTATATAGATTGTACGTCCAGGAAAGCATACACGTCTTTTATTTTACTTTTTATTGATCTTTAGCAGCGCATAATCCCACTTTCCTGATCGATTACAACCACCCTTTCAAAACCTCTCCTTTTCTGCACTGGCCACCCTGATTTTCGGCGCACCTTATCGAGCGCCCCCGAATTGCTAGATACTGCTGGCCGACTGGGCTCTGTTCACCCGGGGAGTACGGGGGATATACTAAAAAAGGCCGGCGGGAAAAGTGTGCGTTTGGGGGGATGTGGTTGCTGCATTCCCTTTTTTCTGCTCCTTCTTTCCTGTTCTCTACCGACCGACCCGGGGCACATTGCTCTGCTTTCTCTGTTCTCTCACCCTACCCCGTTCCTTATCACGTTGCATCCTCGTTTATGTGCTGAAATTTTTAGGGATGGATGCCATGCCTCAGGCTCCGGATGATAACCACAGTGGTGGGGCGCTTAGTGATCGAGATTCGGGTATGTTTTTTGGCTATACGATTGTCTGTTTTGCACTGATCTTTTTATATTTAATGTCTACCATTGATTGCCAGAAAATGAAAACAATAAAAAAGGCGCTCCCGCCAAAGTACTCCCGCTTCTTACATTTATCGATTGATTTTTTTCAGGTAGTCAACCCCTCGAGCAACCGAGGCCGCGCAAGAGGAAGCTCGATAAAGACACACCGAAGAAAGAGAGGATTAACAAGATAACAGACATTTGGTCGAAGTCAACTACGGCGGTTTGTTTTGTCAAATATTTTTCATTTTTTAGTTTAGGCTCCTGCCCGAGTGTATTTTGTCAATGAAAGCAATGGAACCCCAAGAAGGGGTGGTGGTCAGCAGGACAGCAACAGCGACCATTCAGATAGCTCTAATCCTATGCGGGTAGGTCTTTATCATTACGGTCTGATCTTTTCCTTAGCAAACCAACTGTGACCCCGCGGCGCGCGTCCAGAAAAATTCGATCACGATGGGCAACGGCGGTGGCGTATTCCTTGATCCCAAGGTCGAGCCTACATTGCCTCGCAAAACCGAAGCGGCTGGCGATGTCCCTCCAGTTGCGATTGTTCCCGTAGAGAAGGACGAATCCATTCCTAAAGATGTTTGGCAAGAAAAGGTACATTTCTGGAAAGAAATGACCGAGCGCTAATTTTTTTTCAGGAAGCGAACTACCAACGGATTATTGAGGATCTACGACGACGCAATGACGAGTTGGAGAAGGGCAGGCAGGCCGACAAAAAGAAGATGGAGGGTTACAAGACGCAGCTTGTTGGGTATCGACTTTCTATTTTTTTTGATTATCAAAACGAATCTAGGCTCCTCACCGAGCAGACAAGGCTTGAGAGGAAGGTGCTGGGAGAGAAAACCGGCAAGGACTCTGAACGCATCGGAATGTTCAAGATGGTGCGCGAAAAAGACCATTTCAAGGAGCAATGGGTCCATGGCAATTGGTTTGAAGGCCTCGAGAAGAGACAGCAGGTGTGCCAAATTTTTATTCAATCAATGCGTTTGGTTCAGGAACTTGTCAACCGAAAGGCAGAACTGCTACAAGCTCAGCAATTGCTCAAGAAGAGAAAGCCTTCTGGGTCCTCCAAGAGGTAAGCGGTGAAATTAATTTTGTTGGGGCTTTTTTAGAGCGCAACAAGCTAACGAGAACAACCATTCGGGCCAACCGCAACTTGACGCTGATGGGTTTGCGCGTCCGGATATTCCCTGCAGTGAATTGTCGCAATTCGATTACTTTGAACACGTAACGATACTTAGAAAACCCAATAATTGATTTTTAGGAAGAGATTAATCGTCTCTCACGCGACAACTTGAAAAAAGAAGAAGCCGAAATCCAAGCCGAGTCCGAGCGTTTGGAGCGCGAAAGGCAGCTGCATATCAGGTATGTCTGGTGCCCATGTATCTATATTGTTCTTGTAGGGAATTGAAACGGGCTGCCCACGAACATGCTTCACGTTACAAGGACTTTATTCTGCTGCACGACCGTTACCTGATGCTATCGCTACTCGGCAAAGGAGGATTCAGGTAAACCAATTTTCGTTGCTCGTCGATAAAACATTTTTAGTGAGGTCTGGAAGGCGTTCGACTTGGAAGACAACTGCTACGTGGCGTGCAAAGTGCATCACGTGAACAAGGAGTGGAAGGAGGAGAAAAAGGCCAATTATGTCAAGCATGCAATGCGCGAAAAGGATATCCACAAGAAGCTAGACCATCAGCGCATCGTTCGGGTAAGGAATTACCTTTAGTATTATTAGCGGGAAAAAGCTGCTTTGAAAAGTGTAAATGTGACGTTATTTTTAGTTGATCGATCTATTCACCATCGACAACCATTCGTTCTGCACCGTGCTCGAATACGTTTCCGGCAACGATCTCGACTTCTACTTGAAGCAAAACAAATCCATGCCCGAGAAGGAAGCACGTATAGTGCTTATGCAGGTAGACTTTTTGCAAACTTGTCTTTACGTTTGTCAGATGCTTTCCGCGCTCATCTACATGGCCGAGCAGAAGCCGCCCATTATTCACTACGACTTGAAACCGGCGAATATTCTTTTGGAAGCGGGTGGCTCGATCGGTTCACTCAAGGTACATTCTTTTGACAAATTGCAACCCCAATCGTCAGATTACCGACTTCGGGCTGAGTAAGCTGATTGAAAACAGTGATGACAGAGACGGGCAGATCGAATTAACTAGTCAATTTGCGGGTACTTACTGGTAAGTTTCGGTTTTTGTACTGCAATGTTTTTGCAGGTATTTGCCTCCCGAAACATTTGTCGTGTCTCACCAACCGCCGAAGATCAACAGCAAGGTCGATGTGTGGAGCTTGGGCGTCATTTTCTACCAGTGCGTCTACGGCCGAAGGGTAGGTCTTTTGTCGTGATCTCAAAAACGAATGCAATTTTCGCGAGAGGGTTAGCTACATCCTTATTCACTGTAAATGTCGCCCTGTTCATTTACAATTGTGCCTTTTCAGCCTTTTGGTCATGATCAAACCCAGCAGAAGATTCTGGAGGAGAACACGATCATCAACGCTCGCGACCTTGTCTTCCCGCTAAAACCACAGGTTTGAGAATTCTAGTTATTTTCACTCTGTATTCCTCAGATTTCGCCGGCCGCCCAAGACTTTATCAGGCGTTGCTTGGAGTACCGGAAGGAGGATCGGGCCGACGTCTACGAGTTGGCAAGACACGAACTGCTGCGCCCACGCTCAGCTGTGAATCATAGAAATATTTCTTGACCGGGTTCCGTTTAGAAAAGCACTCAGCCACCGCATTCTCCGCAGTACACGAGACCTACCATCACCAAAATGGAAGGCTCAAATGATTGAACTGAAAACGATATACTGGTGCTCCCCCCGATATGTGTACAGCAATTTTTGGTCCCGGTATAGTCCCCCCGATTTTATCCCGATGCTCTGCCCTGCAGCCCCCCATTTCCACGTGTTCACATCATCCCCGTAACCCATTATCACCGCGGTCGCCGGCCATGGCCCCGCCGCGGCTATTCTGATGATTGATTGTTGTTTGTAATATTTATTCCGGACACGTCAGCGTACACCTTACTTTTCATAGGGTAGTTCTACGCGCGCGCTGGACATCCACATTCACTCCACACTTTCCACTTGTCGGCACCTCGATCTTTCAACATTGACAATTGACTACGTTGTGCCCGCCGCAGCTCTCCGTGTACCATTGAAATGGGTGATTTCGATTTATGTGCAAAACTTGTCGTTGATTAGATTTTATCGTTGCTCCGCTAATGTCCGGCATTTACGTTGATCTGTGTCGTTGGAAAAAATGTTTTACCAATTCGCATAGATAGAGAAGCACTGCAAAGTAGAAAATGCGCACAGTCGAGACAAGGGAGATAAATCGATTTGACGTGGCTTTTCCTGAGCCTGCGCCGCTGGAGCGCGTAAAAGCGGAGCTGCTGCAGCCAGCGGCGCTAGCTCGAGTACACTGACTAGAATCAAAACGTCAAAGAAACGTTATAACTGTAAATAACATCGTCAGAAGACTGGTAGAAACTTCTGCCAAAAGTCCGCGGCGCACGGCTTCGAACTCGCGACCGTTTTCTTTCGAATCCTGTTTATACGCGCCGACAATGCATTTTATCAGATTCTGATGGCCATTTCACAACTAGCCTAGGCGAGTCTGTGGCCCCGGAATGTCTTGGGCTGGAATTTGTTTGCCGTGCACAGAGAAACAGCCTTCTAGCAATCCATAAGTGATAAGGACTACTCGCCCGGGCGAGGAATTCGGCTTTTGCATGATGGGTAGTCGAGATTTGGTATGTTTTCTTCTTCTATGGGGGCTTTTCTCTCCACCTGGCGCGTGTTGTACTTATCGGCGGTGACTTAGACGAGTAATAACCCTTATCATCGCCGATTCTTGGGGGCGAGCCATCACGTCGAGTTATGGCCCTGAGTCAGGGCGCAGCTTTTCCGCCGAGTTTTTGAGGGCCATTGATTCGGAGGAGAGGGTTGGACACAACACGCTGATGTATTTCTCGTTGCAGAGGCGCTACGACGAATTTGGGATTGAGCGCCCGTCTATTCAGGGGCATACGATACCGAGGTAATAACGAGAGGGTGCTGGAATGTTAGTGGGGGGGGGACTTACTGTTGTCCATGGCTGCATCGTACTGACAATTTATATAATTTATATATGTATAGCTTCGTTTTTAATGAAAGAAAGTTCATAAAAACTGTTAAAATTGACAAAAGTTTTTGATCTTTAGTCAAAAATTTATGAAAATGGTCGAAAAAATTCCACATTTTTCGAATTTGTAATTTTTTAGTTTTTTGCTTATTTAGGTACGTAAAAGCTAGATACCATCAAGTTTAGTACTAAACGAATACTATATTTAACCTCCAGAAAAACCATTTAGGATACGAGCTCCCGGCGGCACCTCGGATAGCCCCTTGTCGACGCTTTCAACTGTGAGGTATGGATGTTCTTTTTGGTTTTCTAAAATTTTTTTAGAGTTCCGCATATTCCAAGGGTCGCCCTCCCTTATGCTCATGCCACACCGCTTGGCCGTGATGATGGAATTCCACCCACACCGCCGCCGACTCAGGTTTGTGAGTTTAGTTTAAATAATTGAATAGATTGATAATTCAGCTTCGTTTAATATCTTTTACAACATATCGACGATGATTTAATATCCACGTTGATTCGTACAATGATAATAAAGATAATTTTCGTTTCAGAGGCCACTGATCGAGCAGCAACGGGGAAGTCGCGCTTCAAAGGTGGTCGTCGTCCAAAACCCAATGATTGTTGACCCCATCTTGAAGTTAGTAATCAAGGATTTTCAAGAATTAAGCGCTTATTCATATTCTGACTTCCCATAGTGTGGCTAGACTTTTGGCTTTACAGCCAATTTTATTCTACCGATTTAGCGACGAGACCCTGTATCGACTGGCCCTCTTCCGAAACCCAGCACTTGGGCTTCAGCGTTGCGCCTTTGTCCTGCAAAAGTGAGTTTTTTTACGAAAAACTAAATATTTTTAAAGGTTCCCGGCGCTGGTGATGATGTTCGTGTCGGCGTGGGTGTTGTGGGGTCGTGGCTTCGAGCAGAAGCGCATCAGCAACGAGGGGTGAGCATCTGCTGTATCTTACTGACACTAATTTGGTTTTTCTCAATAATTACATTGTTTTTTTTAGAAATAGAAATTTGATAATCACAGCAAAATTTTAGGTCAGCCAGCATGTTTTCATTCGTTACCGGGGCTTTCGTGCTGGCCTCTATCTTATTTGGCTCGGCGGATCACAACAATTCCTACACGAGGGCAAAGATTATGGTTAGGCCTTTTGTAACCCTTGTTTTTAAATGCTTTAAACTTGAAGAAAAGCCTTTGATATTTAAAATCGTGTTTAGACAAATATTCGACATATCCTCGCGCTTGTCGGTGGGCTGGCTTCGATTGCGGCATTGATTTTGTCGGCCTCGAGTATACATCCGCTTGATAATGAGGTGAGGTTTGACAAAAAATGGAAATGTAATGAAAGGAAATAGAGCTTTCTAGAAACTATAAAAAAATAATAAGTTTTATAGGTATTAATGGTTACTTCAAATTCAGAAAAACGCACAGCCCACTGGAGCGCCGTCAAACGTTACCGACCCAGCGTTCGACTATCGGGACCGGATCAATAATCAGGTCAGCAAGTTAAATATAGCTTATAACGCTCATACATATTACAGTTCATACAACACCATGCAGAGATTAATAATTTTATAACCATTTAAGGCAGTTCTCGTCGGAGCAACAGCTCTCGTCATCTTACTTTCAGTAATCGCGCTTGTGTTGGGGATTATTGGTGGGTTAAAGCAAAGTTTTAAAACGACTCCACGTCTTTTAACATGCTCATAAATAGAAATGAGGTTTAAATAATTTTTAGGGTTGACTCAAATGGAAAAACGTCTAAAAGAGGAGAAGCGCCGTCGCCGCAACGTTGTCAGCTACGATAACCCAGCCATTTCCTATTAAAATTCTATTTTCTAATCCACTGCCAGCCCTTTTACTCGAATAAATCTGTTGAGCAAAAAATAAGTAAAAAGTGTAATTTGACCCTGAAAACCAATAATATATTCCCTGCTCAGGAATGGCGGCCAGCCGACAGGTGGCTAATACGGCTTATCCCTTCAAACGGACCCCGTGTTGACTCGATGTCTCGTCGTGGCGGGACCTTTTTCAAGAAGGGGGGGGGCAGCAGCCCCTAATTGGAGAGATGTGTCTAAGGAGCGCGGCTTGACCCAGGTCGTGTCATCGGAACCGGCCATTTGGAGACGCTAGGCTCCTGTTGACACAGCGTATCACGGCATCCACCTTCGCCACATCCGCCTCCAGGGGTAAATAGTGGGTTTTTTGAAGGTGGCCGATGGCCACATCCGGTGATTTGTTAAGCCGTTAGGTTACGGTGGGTCAAATTGGGTGTTGAGTAACGGGGATTTTAGGATTTTCTGCGACTCTAGGGCTGGCTTGGCGGAAACAGATTTTTTTCCGCGGACTTCTAAAAATGGTGATATAGATATTGGTGTGTTTTTTACATATTTTTGAGCATTAAAACTTGTTTTAACTATTCCTGAACGTCAAAATCGGGTATTTTCTACCTAAAATGGCCAAAATGTCGATTTTTCAGATATTTTTCAATTTTTTTGAAACGCATTTGACTTCAAATATAGTTAAAATTACTCAAAACCAATAAAAAAAAAGCTTTATATTGTATCACTAAGGCTGCAGTTTGAGAGATTACAAGAGATCCTAGATGCAAAAAAGTGGCTAGTTTAGCCCTGTTCCTGGCAAAATACGTTATAACTTTTGAAATATCAATATACGGAAAATTTTGGCGGTAGTTTCGTCAACAGCAACAAATTTTGCACAATTAAAGCATTGGATGAAACAGAAAAACTTTTCATAAACAGCCAAGCTTTTTCCGACCCTCAATTTCAAAGCCATCATCATCTATGAAAGGCGCGCCGGAATTCGCGGCGATCATCCGCGGCTCATTGGCGCTTCCGGCCAGGTGGGGGAAGGCCATTCGCCTGTTTCCTCTTCCTAAAGAAGAAAGGGCTGTCATTTGGGCCATTTCCGGCCAACGGAATGCCCCATTCTACTAGCCGGTCATCGTCAAAGGGACCCCTGGGGTGGCAGATACAATGGGCCGATGGATACACAGCACGACACCACTGCGACCACACCATTTTGGTGACCGCCGCCTAATTGGGGCCAAAAGGGTGGGATGGCAGATAGAGGAGCGCAGAGAGACAGCGAAAGACCTGTTTCAAGTCTTACTGTAGCTGTATCGTATTTTCGTGTAGAGGCGAGCGTTTTTCTTTCCAATAAACGACGACTTTACGTAGAAATAGGAATCGAAATAGGAGTGAAAGAAAGCGTTAAGATAAATCTTTATGTTTCTATTGAAGGGCTCGACGTTAGAAAGCTGAAAAACTATTTTTCGTATCAATTAGCCGCATTTCCGGTCGATTTTGTCTTTTAAAAAACATGGAAATTAGTAATTACAAATTACTGATATCTTCAACAAAATCTGTTGTGTGCCCTAAGACCATTAAAATGTAGCGCGTAGACAAAAATAATCCCCCTGCAGGTAAAAAAATAGAGAAAAATACAGCTACAATATTTTCTGGGCTTTCAAACGGTTTTAAAAGTTTTGAATTCGATACTCCACTTTGAAATAGGGGCTTCTGGACGTCTTAAATTAATAAAAACGATCAAGCCCCCCCCCCGTGTCGTAAGCCTAAGCCAAGCCTAAGCTCAAGCCAAGCAAGCCTAAGCCTAAGGCAAGCCTAAGCCTAACCTAAGCCTAAGCCAAAGCCCGATTATGAAGAACAAAAAAAGTTCCCCTTCCCGAAAAACGACCCACAATTTCATGCAAATCCCACGCGCCCCCTGATTTCACGAAATCCAGGTATAGCCGCCCCATTTCTGCCCATTAATCTCAGGGTCGGCTGGATGCCCCCTAGAGGAAAAGGAAGGAAAGAAAAGAGGATGTCCTGGTTTCGGAGGATCCCTTCAAGACCCGCTCGTTTTCACAAAAACCGTTTCCCCGCCGCCCCCTATTCTATCGGATCGGATATCGGGTCGTCGGCCACAACACTAGACGATTCAAGGCCGGCCCCCACGTAATTGGCCGCCAATATGCAGGGAATAGGCTTTGGGAGGCGCCGTCTCATCTTCACCCTCATCAAATTCGCAAAAAAGAGGGGGTTACGGTGGTTACGGTAGGGGAGGGCAATGTCTAGGGGCATTGGACTGTTAGCAGGGGGAACTAATTTTTCTCAGCAATCCTTTCCGGTCCTAGTAGAACGAAACACAAACCATTTTTATAGCATTTTATACAGTTTATAGATTTAAATACGCTGAAAGCTTATAAACAGTTTCGAGAAATTGTGACTTTGGCCAAAAATGTTTTACATTATAAAAGTACTTTTATTATTAACCGGTAGGTATAGACGGAAAAACAAATATTAGATTCCTGATAAAATCCTGGCTAAAATAAATACCTTTATGAGGAAAGATGGCTTAGAATCCACCTAGCAATCAAAGAACCGAGCTGAAATAAGAATCAACGAAAAATATAAACAAAAAGTTGTAAAACGAGAAGTTACAAAGCTAATCGGTGAGAGTTCTATCGATTACGCAAGGCTCCAAATTACACCTAGCTGTAAAGGGTAATAAATGGAAGGGACCATTTTAGAAGTAAAATTTTTCATATTTCTTGCAGTAAAAAGAGCCTTTTCAACATAAAAATTAGAAAGAAAACTTTAACGCAAATTTCTGGCATATTTAATAGGCATTTATTTTTGTCTATCTCTATTGTCTATCTCTATTTGTCTATAAGTTGTCTATTTAAGTGTTTAGAAGCGTCAACTTCGGTTTTTCTACATTTCCGTCCCTCATACCAGCATCCCATGTCTCCCCGGGCCATAATTCAACGCATTAGAATATTCTCACATGGCCCCCAGGTCCCAATATGCAAATGGCCCCCACCGGGGGTTGGGTGTATTTCGATGGCGCAACAGCCCGTTCTCCAGCCTCCACTCTCGATTCATCCATTCACCCCAACCAGGGCCCCAAATCTCGAGGGCCTCCTCGCCAATTTGGGTATGCTAATTTGTGGTGATTCCCCTCGGGTGGTATGTCAATCGACAGGGGCATCCCGCCGCGAGCTTCATATTGGCTTCTCATTACGCAAATCGTGGGGGGTCACGGCAGCTCATCGTCGAGATTAATTGGTTCCTGCTGGGTGTTATTGTTGACATTTCGGGGTGAAGCTTGTCGAAGAATAGCATAGATCCTTTGATTTCCTGAATTACATCAGCTACCATGCACTGGAAATTCCTAAATGTTATCGGCTAGCTGGCCTTGGAGACGGTCTTCCTCACAAATCGTTGCTAGCTTGCCCTCAAATGGTAACGGCTCAACCCTAGAGATTCCTTCGGAATCTTTGCTAGCTCGCCCGCGTGCTAGTTGATCCGCACGTGGAAACGCCATAGGCCAAAATCCCGGCAGCCAAAAACTTGACAGGTTAAAATCCCGACAAGCCAAAATACCGACAGCGAAAATTCCGACAACCTAAAACCCGATAGGCCAAGATGTCGACAGACCAAAATACCGATAGGCCAAAATCCCGGCAGGGCAAATACCGACAACCAAAATACCGCTAGCCCAAAACCCCGACTGCCAAAATAGCTGCTTAAAAGAAACTGGTCTTCGAACCAGCTTCAAGGATATGTCGGCATTTTGGCTTGTCGGAATTGTGGCTGTCGGTATTCTGTCGAATTTCCCTTTTTCCTTCCAACCCCCAAGTCTCCCTAAAATTGGTCGGCAGCACCAAGGGTTGGGGTGTTGAGTATTCCAGCGGCCTCGAAGCCCTTATCGACCGGAAGTGACCCATGCTGTTCCCTTTCGAGGGACTCGGTCCAAGTTGTCGAGTGGAGACACCTGTCCACTCTCTCTCTCTCTCTCTCTCTCGCTCTCTCTCTCAAGTACTACTCGCCCATTCCGAGGGATTAGCGCAACTTTGCAAGGGTCCCGCCACGGCCGGATATCCAAAGTGCTGCCGTGTCTCTCTGATAGATCCGATCTGGGCGATATGATGGGTTGATTACGGTAGTTTATCGACAGTAGCCCTTTGCCTTAAACCTAATTTTTGGCACGAAAAACTTTGACACGGCGAAGAAAATACAAAACTACAGCAGCCACCAATCCCCAATTCCATGAATTCCCCCGATGAATTGTCGGCTGTCCGCAACGCTCCGAAAGACGCCTCCATAACGGATAGCGACCGATCACCCGTTACACATCAAAAAGGGTACCGCTGGTCCCCGTGGGGTGTCCAATTGTTGCATAATTGGAACGGGAGCTTGCTAGCTAGCTTGCCCTCCCCCCTCCCTCTCCCTGCCAGCTGCCCTCCCCCTTATTCTGAATTCCCGGTCCCTTTAGCCGACACCGCCACACTCACACACACATAAATGGCCAGCGGCGAGCCTTACGCAATTTGTTAGCACCCCCCAAAGGCCATCCACTGTCATTGGGGGTATTTATGGTCTTTGCGGCGGATCAACAAATGGATAAAAGAGGTAGGCAAGCAGCGATCTTGTAGGAATCTTTGGGGTATGCTAGAAAAGACCTTTTAGGGATAGGCGGGGTAAAATAGCACAAATCCTTGAGGAATCTCCAGGGCATGCTAGCAGAGACCCTTAAAAATATTGAGGGCGTTCTAGCAAAGATCTTTTAGGAATCTTTAGGGTATTCTAGCAAAGATCCTTTAGGAATCTGCAGGGCATGCTAGCGGAAATGTTTTAGGGATGGGCGCGGTAAAATAGCAGAGATCCTTTAGGAATCTTCAGATAATGCTAGCAAAGATCCTTTAGGAATTTTTAGGGCATTCTAGCAAAGATCTTTGGGGAAACTTCAGGGCACGAGCCACTAGCACGTACTATAAAGTTAGTTTTATCGCGGCG